TCGAGGTCCCTGTGTCATCAATTAGTAGCCGTGTTGGTTTCCAGCTTGTTTATACTACCATTCGTCCCCTGCCACATTTATCCGAGATATCATCATTTATTTATCATTCCTCAAATTTGCGCGATAATCGGGCTCGGTTTGTGCACTTTTGATGCACCCCCTGCGAGCAGAACTTGAGCTTGAGACCTTTGGACGTGGCTACTTTGTCTGGCTATCCGCCAGCCACGAGTTATTGTCACTACCCTTCCTCCTTTTTATTGATGATTTCGGAGCCCACCGCAACATGTTCAGGGCATTGAAGGGGATCTATCTCACACCTGCCGGCTTGTCCTATGCCGGGCGAAGACGTCTGGCAACTCGTTTACCGTAACGCTGGGTCCTCATGGGGCCTCCTTTCAGGATGTTCTTGCCAATATCCATACTGACCTTGAGACCGTGGCAAAAGGCTTTTACAGCACAATCCATGGGAAACAAGTGCTTGTTACTGCGTCCGTCATGGCTCTTACTGGAGATATGCCACAGCAAGCTAAAAATAGTGGTATGCTCAGCTATAGTGCTGATATCGGATGTCGGACATGCTACTGTCCACGCAGCAAACAGTATCAGTGGTCATATGATACTGTTTCCCATGGCCGATATCATTTCCAGCATCAGTATTACCGAACTGAGGGTGATCACAAGGCCACTGTTCCAGAACAGCAAAGATATTTTAATGCTGTAGGGATACAGTCCGTGCCTTCGCCAATCGAACGGATCATGCCAACTCTTGACATTGTTTTAGGCCGTCCGTATGATGTACCGCACTCTGATTGGAAGGGGATCGGCTATCGTCTGCTGGAGTATATCCAGAAAATTCTTGTGCCTTCAGGGGTTTCCAACTTCGCTACAGCCTTGCAAAAAGTTGTTCGGCCGGCTCAATGGCCTCACTTTCCTCCTCTGAAACACCTAAAAACCTGGACATTGTCAGACCTTGGTCGAGGGATCATTCTCTTACCTATTATTCTTCGAGTATGTGCCCGCCCCGACTGGTTTCACCCGAGATTCCTGCTGCGGATTAAAAATATTATACCACATCTCTTTCCAAATACCGAAAATGTGTCCTCGCCACAGATGTGGCTGGTCCGTGCTTGTGCAGAGATCGCATTGACAACCACCCTTATCTCAACCAGCCGCGCGTTGCCTCCTGCACTGGTAAATGCAAGGATTACTCACAGCCGCCGAATCTTTCAGCATTTGGTGGTTACAGCTTCAGCCATGACTGATTCAGAGCTACAGGCATTCAGCATCCATGGTCTGTATCTGTGGTATTCGCTGGCCAGTTACCTAGCTAACATGAAGCAGGAAAACTGCCACATGATTATAATAAGAAGCATAATAAAGATAAATGGTTTAAGTATCTTGGGGTGCCAGTTGTTCATGCTGGCTTTCATTTTCATACATTTGCTGCTGAGTATGGCCCGCTCATGAACTGTAATGTTCTAGCCGGTGAGTTGAAGCATAGGTAAGTACCTATTCTAAATTATAGCCAGCTGCTGATAGTATCACACTATATAAGAATATTCAAGAGATGGATAGATCGCGCCTCGCCGCCTCAGCTGATGACTTATCTCTTCCGGCTAGATCGGCTCCACCACTCTTTACGCCTGGGTCTTGCGGGTTCCTGGCGGGATGATCATCCAATTCTACTAGAGATTGTCCAGGATCTGTATATGTCCTGCCCACGTCTGATCCAGAAACATATTCTTGCAGATGAATTTATTACTGACCTGCAAGTTACAATGACACATCCGATTGAATGGCCTCATTCTTCGCTTTCTGAGCAGGATATACTGGACATGTTACCTTCAGCGTACCGGCAAGAATATTCAATCTCACTTCCTCGCCAGTATGATAAAACACAATTATCTTACTATTGTCAGATCAAATTCTGTTCCCGGTATGATTTCTTTATTTTTAAGGAGACAGCTGTGAAAGGCTTTCGCAGCTGATTTCTATATATCTTCTATTCCAAGATACTAACTGTGTTCTGTTCTCCAGTCATTCACAGACAATTACCACTGGAAATTTTATTAAATACCAGTCTTCAATAGCATATGTGAGTTGTGGTATAAAGCATTATACACAATCAGAATGCTTCTTCTTTCTTTTATTACAGCCTTGGGTACGGAACGGAAATACAGATAAGGCAACAACTCTTCCTTTCTATTGTTCTTCTAAGAGATGGGTATTGTCAGGATTACAAAGTAAAGTTGAGCCGGCATTTATGATCGATATAGATAATGTTTACAGACAGGTATCAGTTGATATTAATACTAGACAAGATCTAGTATACTGTTCATGGAATATTGATTTTATGTAAATAACAAATTATTATATTCTGGTCTTTTACTACTTTCGTATGATTATATATTACTTCTGAGAATATTTTGTATAAGAATCTTACTATTATTTAAGGAGTGTAACCAGATAATCTCTAGAAATTATGATTAATATTTGTTATATATCTATAAAATACCAGATAATGTCTAGAAATTATGATTAATATTTGTTATATATCTATAAAATACCAGATAATGTCTAGAAATTATGATTAATATTTGTTATATATCTATAAAATACAGTTTCTGTTCATAAGTAATAGATATCTTCCGTATCTAATCTATTTTATTACAGAACTATTCTTGTTAAATTATAATTACATAATAGTTTCTGAATCGTATTCAACTTTAACAACGTTTGTATGTAATTACCCGGTTTGGGTGAGGTTGTATCGTTAGTAATTATTATTATATGTAAATAATAATAAATAACTGTTTTGCAACTGTAAGCAACTGTAACACAACCTAGCTACAACCTAACTGTTACTGTAGGTAACAGTTTGACAACTATTATGAAATGGTCAGTGAGTGTGGCAAACTATTAAATATATATAAATAATAGTAAGCTACCATCTTTGACTTTTACTGAACTATGCTGTGACCCTCTCTACGCACGCCTCCGGGCCCCTATGTCCCATCCCATCCCATCCCATCCCGGCATACAAACCCGACCCGGAAGTATAAACGAGCCCGCAAATATAAACGCAAGTAGAAGCATAAACGCAGACCGAAGCACGCAATAAATAAAGAATCAACCAGCAACCATAAACATAAAGCTACTATATACAAACCTCATAGTATCCCCTTCCTTTCCCTTCCTTCTACTACTAATACCTTTACATCCCCTTGTAGCCCCCCTCCCCCCCCCACCTCCTTCTCTTCCTTCTCGCTTACCATCCAACATCTAACTCATAAAAAAAAGTTACAACCTCGCCAACCGCACCCTCTTAAACACCACCTCAGTCAACCACCACCGAATCATCTCATTAATCTCCTCCGGCGCCTGCCATAGCGCCCAATGCGACGTGTTCACCTGCTTGAAGGTTAGATGCGGGATCGTGCGCGTCATCCCCTTGCCCAGGTGCGGCGGCAGGGCGGTGTCCTTGAGCGCTTGGATGAAGAGCAATGGCGCGGTGATTCGCTGGTTCAGGATCGCGAGTTCTTCTTCGAAGTTGATTTCGCGCGTGCGGTACCAGTTTACTATTTTGAATAGTTAGTGGGTTGGGTTGGGAGCTTATGATTGGGTTGAGTGGGATGGGATGGGATGGGATGAAAGGGGGGGTAAAAGAGGAAGACATACACGGTCCTCGAAGCCCATTCCTTGCGAATTCGGTCGCATAGTACTCCAGTTCCTATCCGATGAGAACCATCAACAAGCAATCCAGACAACCGGGAGGGGGGGGACGCTCACCACCTCACTCAACAACGGCGATGGCCTCACCAACTCCATCCTCTCCAGCAACACCCCATACTCGGCATCAAACGCGACATCCCTCTCATCCGTGCGCCCGCCATACAGCGCCGACAAGAACTTCTCGATGTCCTCCTTGCTGCTGATCGCATTTTCGAGCTCCCCGCTCCGGAACTGCAGTTGGTAGGCGAAGTGCGGCGCGATGTTCTCGACCATTTCCTCCAGCGCGAGGTATTTGCGCGTCGGCGCTGCGTAGGGTACGCAGACTGTGAAGATGTGGCTTACTAGGTCTGGGTGCCAGAGGGCGACGCGGTAGGCGAGGGCTGCGCCCCTGTTATTGGTGTCAGTATTTTTTGTTTTTGTGTTTGTTGGTGTTTGGGTCTGTGGGTGTGGGATGGGAGAGGGGGGAGGGAGTACCAGTCATGCCCGCCGAGGATAATGGTTGAAGCGTGGAGTTGAGAGGCGAGTTCTTTGATGTCGTTGGCGCAGCTTTTATTGGAGTATAATTCGATATCTTCGGGGGCATCCTGTGATTCATTTAGATGGTCTGCATTTCATAGATGTTTATGTTCTATTCTATTGTTTAAAAAAAAAAAAAAAAAAAAAAAAAAAAGAGATGGGCTTACTGTTCGGCCGTAGCCCAGACAATCCGGGGCGATGACGCGGAGACCCATGGAGATCAGCATGGGGATTTGATAGCGCCACCCCATCGACAGGTCGGGGAAGCCATGGAGCTATACGATAATCAATGATCAGGTAATCGATCTATTATGCGAATCCGAATGTTTCACGCACGAGGAAGATCGTCGCCCGATAAATCCCCGATTCGGGCGCACTGTAGAGATAACCTGCGTGATGGGATGGATACATGTCAGCGATGCACCGTGTACGCTATGCCGATATTCCCTGTCTAGACTGTGCTGCACGCTCTAGAAGATGCATGGTCTAAGGGGTGCTAGAGGCCGAAGAAACTGCAGGCAGAGGCAGAGGCAGGAGAGAAAACCCAAATCAGGCGTCAATGGATGGGTGGGTGGATGGATGCATCGCATGCGTACCGTACGTCTTGCCATTGATGATTGCCGAGCGGCGCTCGACCCGCGAGTCGCCGGTGACGTCGATCTTGTCCACGGGCATGGCTGGAACAATGCAATATTGGGGACGGATGGGAGAGAGTCGAGGACAAAGAAGAAGAAGAAGGAAAGGGAAGAGGGAAAATGATCGGGAGGAGGTGCATGCTGCTAATGCTATACCGACTTTCGCAAGTCTATAAATGGGACTTGATGGACCCCCGCCAGCTGGCCCATCACGTGAAACCGATGCTGTTGCGTGCAGAATGAGGCTATGGGGCGATTGGGCACACGCAGCATGGCTTCCAGGAGGATTCCCGGTTTCTGCGTGTTTCCCTGGCAGCAGCCATGTCAGGTTCCATGCACATTATTTGTCTGGTGCGCCCTGTGAGCGGTGGAAGCGTGGGAGTGTAGATGTGAGTCTAGTGGATGTGGCCCCGACTTCTCCCCGCCGACATGCCGAGGCTACGGCCAGCGGGCAAACCTGCTTTTCAACTTCAAACCCTCATGATCCTGCCAGTATAATCGCATAGAATCGCTCAATTCGTCCCCATCCCTGACTCCTTTTGGCGGTAGAAAAAGAATGGTAAGACTGGGTTTTGATCCCAGGATGACTTTCGTCAGATCGTTTCCAGGTCACGTGCCTCTTAAGCAATCCGCCTTATCCACTCGGTCACCTTACCCGCCGTTTAGTCAGATGCTATAAATCAGGCAATAATAAGTTACCTTCCTAAAAGGGTAGCGGTGAATAAAGCGGTAGAGGGACTAGGAAAATCATATTTGCCTGATGGCGGCTATCGTCCGCCGTACCGAGGCCCTACAACACTTGACACTCTTAGGCCTGCATGTAAGTACACTTCCCCGACTGCCAGTCCACATTCAAACCGGCCCCCCCCCAAAAAACAACAAGCGTGGGTTCAAGGATTCAACAAAGATGACCTCGTCCTCATCGCCTCCGCTGTCAATCAATAAATTACCGTATCCTCCTGATCCTCCACCACCTCGCCGCCATCATCATCGTGCCGATGGATATCGGGGTGGTCATGGGTAAAAGGTACATGGGTATCCTGCACAGGCACAACCTCCGGTTTAGCTTCTTCAGCGCCGCCATCTACTGTCATCTCCGCACCCAGCGTGACCGAAGACGCTTGTGCGATGTCCTTGTTCTCCTGGGCGTCTGACTCGGGCACGGGGGCCTGTTCCTGGATCTCCTGCGTGTCCTGCTTCGCTTCCTGCGTCACTTCCTGCGTCACTTCCTGCAGTTTCTCTTCCTCTAGCTTCACTTCCTCTGGCTTCCTGTTCTCCTCCTCTGACTTCTTCTCTTCCTCTGCCGAACGACGAGTCTCAAACTCCTCCACCTCCCTCGCAACCGTAGCCTCCGCCTCCCGAATCTGATCCTGTATCCTATCCTCCTCCTCGGCCCTCAGCTGCCACGGTTTATAACACTGCCGTAGACCATTAGCACGTAACCCCCACCCATCAAAGCAACTCAAAGCAAGCCAAATGCAAGTCGAGTCAAACCTACCAGAGCCGGCTCCGCCCTCGTCCGGAGAAACCTCGCCTCAGCCAACAGATTCGCGTGGCGCACTCGCATCTGAAACACCATCAATCAATCAGTCAGCCAGTCAACCCAACCTCCAAACCCCCCAAAAAAAACATCGAAACAAGGAAAGGAAAAGAATAAACAAAGAAAGAAAGAAAAAAAAAAAAAAAAACTCACCACCTCCCCTTCATAAACCCTCTGCTCCCTCCTCCTCCCCTGCTCCTTCTCCTCCCTCCTCCGTCTCCTCAACTCCCCATACGCCTCATCCTGCAACTTCAACTTATCCTGCTGCCTGCGCTCTATATCCGCGCGTCGCTTCTGCGCCGCGTTGTTCGATGGCCCGCTCTGCGAGAGCGTCCCCAGCAGAGCCCCGAAGAGCCGTTGTCCGCGTTTGCGGTCCTCGTCGCGCGGGCGCCGCGGGCGTGCGGCGGCGGCGGTGTCCGGGGAGGATGGCTTGCGGTCGCTGGGTCGGGGGCTGAGACGCCGGCGTTTGCTGTCTGGGGAGGAGGGCGCGTGGGAAGTGAGAGACGATTTGCGCCGTTTGGGGTAGTTGGGTGCTTGATGGTGGTGGTGATAGTAGTCCTGGTCTCGCTTGAGTGCTGGCTCGGGTTGGGGCGGGGGCGAGGGCTCGGGGAGGAGGACGGCGGAGGCGAGGGTTCTAGGTGTTGGGGGGGGGGATGTTAATGAGTTTCTGGGAGGGTGGATGGGATGGGTGTAGTGAGGATGTACCCTTCTGTCATGTTGGGTAGGTGTGAGTCGAGTCGAGTCGAGTTGATAGTCGGTTGGTAGGTAGGTAGTCGGAGGTAGAAGGGAAGTAAAAGATAGGTGTGTAGGGTGGATCGATAGGTAGGTAGGAAACGAACACGCGTATCCTGGAAAGAAACCCAACAGGATGTAGCTACCTAGGTAGGTACTGTAGGTATACTGTACACCGTCTCCTAGAATAACAAACGATCACCCCAACGGCAAACGTGACAGAAGATCGTCGGTATCGCGATAGTTATGCGGGACTGACTGCCTGGCTGCACTGCTGCTGCTCCAACCGGCGCCGCAACGTCCCGTGCACGGCCCACCCACCCTTCCAACCCGTTCGAACTTCGGCGCGGGCAAAGAGTTCCGATCCCTTCTCTGCTTCATCTTCTCCCGACAGCGCAGTTCGTTCGAGGTCATTCTACTCTGACATATCAATTCTTCTACCTCCTTCTCCTCCTCCTCTCCTTCTACCTACGGTATACTCGGTGGCAAATCCAGCTGGCCTGCTTACCAACCTACCAACCCACCCACCTAGTTACCTACATCAACCTACAAACCACCCTCACCTCTACCTCTACCTCTACCTCACCTCACACCAATCCACAATCCACAATCCAAAATGTCCGCCACCACCCCGACCTCGTAATGTGCCGCAAACAACCCGGGATCTCAATCGGCCGCCTCTGCGACAAATGTGACGGCAAGTGTCCCGTGTGCGACTCCTACGTGCGGCCCACCACGCTCGTCCGCATCTGCGACGAGTGCTCCTTCGGCAACTACCAGAACAAGTGCATTGTGTGCGGCGGCGAGGGCATCAGCGATGCCTTCTACTGCTTCGAGTGCACGCGCCTCGAGAAGGATCGCGACGGGTGTCCCAAGATTATTAATCTGGGGAGTTCGAGGACGGATTTGTTTTACCAGAAGAAGAGTTTTCGGAATCATTGATCTTGGTCTTGGTCTTGGTCTTGGATGGTTTATCGGGGGTTGGGGGTTGCTGCATGGCTGTTTGTTGCGAGGGAGGGGGGAGGGATGGGTGGGTGGGCTGGGCTACGTTACGCGACGGCTGTGTGGGTACGCGGTGGTTCGAGGTTCGATAATGAATGGATGTTGCGGTACGAAATCAAATGTCGCAGCAGCCCGACTATATACGATGCTATCGATGTACAGGTGTGCAGGTGTGCAGCTCACCGGCCCGGCCGTCTCGGTCTCGCGAAGCCTCGACTCGGTCCGCTGTCTTGCGGCGGGTGCACTTCCTCCTGCAGCCTCTCGCCCGTGATCTCGTCGGGGGAGGATGCCTCGATCTGCTGTTGTGTTAGGGTGCCATTCAATCAATTCAGCGTTCGCCACGGGTCTTACCTTCTTAGAAATCTTCAGCCCCTGCTCGCCCGCCATGGTGAGCGCGTGCATCCGAGAGCTGGCGTACAGCATGCGCTCCTTGATCGACGAGCCCGACGGGCAGGTATATATGAAGATCACCACGTCGGAGTCGGGGTAGTGGTAGAACGTGTACCGCGGGGAAGACGGGGGGATGTGTGCCTGGACCGAGTTGGGCTCGACCCCGGACTCGGTGGCAGCGACCTTGAACGCCTCCGTTGGGGCGTCGATGGCCTACACACAATCACAGTTAGCAATCAATCAAGACACTTCCTCCCACTTTGGCCACATAAGAGATCCAAATAAAATATGAAAACGTACCAACTGCACCAGCCCACCCTGCTGCAACCCCTCAAGCGCGTGCTTAACCCCCTCATCCACATGCATCTGGATCCTCATCCCGGACGCACCCCCAAGCCCACCGCCCCTTCCAAACGTCCCCCCAATACCAATATCCCTACTCGGCGTACCATTCCTGGCCTCCTCCTCCGCCCGCCTAACAGCCTCCAACTCCCTCTCCTTCTCACCCATCAGATCCTCCCTCCGGAACCCGCCCGCGCCGCCTTCCTCTCCCCCCTTCCTCTCATTATCCCGCTCTCTCCACGCCGCCTCGCCCAGGACCTCCTCCTCTTCAGTCGCAAACACCGTCGCCCCGAACTTCTCCGTCCCCAGCTCCCGGGCCAGGGTGGCGCGGGTCGCCGCAAAGAGCGTCTTGGCACGCACGCCCGCGTTCGACGGGATGTAGGTCAGGGCCACGAGGGACGAGGAGCCGGTTGTCTCCGACGGACGGCGGAGGAGGAGGTACAGAGGGGTTTTTGGTTCCAGGACCGAGGAGAGTTGCGAGAGGGAGGGGTAGAAGGCGTTAGGGGTTGAGAAGCGGAGGGGCGCCAGGGGCGCCAGGCTTTCCGATTTGATGGTTACCGGGAGGCAGAAGATTGAAGAGTCGGAGAGGAAGGTGTTGAAGGCATCGTGGAGGTCTTGGGAGACTGGTTGGTTGGGGTTGGTTAGTATGGATTGCCTGGATTGCTCGAGGGGTTGGTAAGGTGGCTTCCACTTCCATTGTTCGAGGCGGGATGTCGTAATGGGTCAGGAACCAGGGGATTGGGGGGATTGGGGAGTTTGGGGGGGGTTGGGAGGATGGGAGGCGTACCTGAGATGCCGGACTGCATTTTGGATAGAGAGCCGGCGGTGGCCTGGCCGTGATGGATGGAATGATCGGCCGGTTGTCTCCTGCAGTCGAGTTGGTGGAGTGCTTGCAGTGTAGTGTAGCGTAGTGTAGTGGCGTGTGGCAGGAGTTAAGTTGGGGGAGAGGCGGGCGGAGGGGAAGGCAGAAGCGGTGTGTTGTTGGTTTGGCGGGGCTGGCGTTCCCCGGCGGTGGATCGTCCTTTCTATTTCTGTTTCTGCTTCTACTTCTACTTCTACTTCTACTTCTTCTCCGATCTACTCCCGAGTATCCCTGTCTTTAAAAGATTTCCATTTTTTTCGGAATGAATTCGAACTTTGGTTGATTCTATCCAGTAACCAAGAGGTATACCAACAATAACAAGGAAAAGACAACGAAAATGAGTATATACAACCCACGGCGTGGACTGGCCTGGCGGCGATCCAAAGCCCCCAAACTTATAAACAGGAGAAACTGATCGAAAACGCCACCATGCTCATGATATCAAATGCTTTCGAGAACACGCAGCGGCCATTCTCTCCGCGGGCCGCTCACTCCTCAAACGTCCCCCCGACGAATGGCCACCGGGACGACTCCAGCTTGCCCTTCAGGAACTCATACACGGTGAAGGTGACGGCTTGGCCGGGCGCCACTCTCATCACACGGGGCGTAATACCCTTGTAGAAGGCCTGGGCGCCCTCCGTCTTGAACATGTCCTTCGCGATCACCATGATCCGGGACACCGCGGACTGGCCGGGCTCCGCCCGCGTCTTCTGCAGTCTCGTCTTGATGGTGTCGATCGGGGCGTTGGAGAAGGGGCCGACCGCTCCCGAGATCAGTCCGATCATGGTCGTCTGGTACGCAGGGAGCTGTGCGTTGGCGTATTCGGGCTGGGTGCGCTGGAGGAATGCCTTGAGCTCCGTGTAGGCTGTGAAGTTGGCCGCTTGGTTCGTTCCCTGGCGGAGGGCAGTCAGAGAGACACCGCGGTACAGGGTGCTAAACCCTTCCTCCCGGATGACGGTGAAGAGCGCGTGCGGCGCGCTGCGGTACTTGGGGGTGTCGAGAGGGTCGGCCAGACTGTGATGTTGCGCTTGCAGGCGAATCTTCACGACCTCCATGGGGTTCACGATGGCCACGGCCTCAGTCACACCCGCAGCGAGACCGGCTAGACGGAATGCGATTAGTATCTCCAGGCATCAGTGGCAGCGTCGCAACATACAGAGGAAAGTGGCCTTGCTGGTGACGACACCCGTCTCCTTATCGGCAAGCATTTGCTTATATGTCTCGTAGGAGGTGAAGCGGATGGCCATCTTGGGGATGATGCCACCCAGCACGGCACCCAGCCCCTTGTACAGACCCATAGCAGTCTCCTTCTTAACGATCTCAACACCGGTGGCGACGAACCCGCGAGGCTTGACCTGCTCCGGCGGTTAGTCGCGGCCAATGCCTTGCGCGTGGTGTTCACTTACCCCCGGTGCCCTGGCCCGGCGCGAGAGCTGCATTCGCACCTTGATCGTGTCTGCGACAACCGTCAGCTGCATTATCCCCGGAGACACCCAATTGACCGATTTGCATACCGAGGGGATGACACACGAGCGCTTCCATCATACCGGCACCACCACCAGCTGTCGCAAATTAGCATCGCGCGGAAGCATTGCGCCAGAGGGAGCTAAGCCGTACCGATCAGGTTGACGGCCGGGGAGGCTGGCTTCCGGCCATTGTTTCCCTGCACTGTTTTCGCAGACATGGTGTAAATGTGCAAACGCTTTTTTTTTTTGGTGTTCAATTGGGATCCGGAATCTCTTCCGTCTGAGCTATGGCCGTCAATGTGATGGAACGGGCACCGGACGCGACTGCGACGGGGGGGGGAAAAGGGGTACGTAAGAAAGTAAAGAGAAGGAGGGAAATAGAGAGAAAAATAGAAAGAGAGAACGAAGATACAAATGGAGCAACGTCCAGGGACCGTTCTTTTCTTAATTAAGAGCGAGCACGGGGACGATCTCGGATGTTCACAGGGAGGCCCAAAAATACGGGGAGATACGGAAGTATAACTACGTCCCTCGGCTCTGCCGACCCAAGGTATTTAAAACCGGCGACTGAGGAGTCAGAGGGAGGGATTAGCGGCTGCTGACAGGATGGAGCACAAGGGCCAAGGGCAGAGGGCAGAGAGGAGCCACGCAGCCGTTCTCGGAAACGAGGATCTGAGACGGGCTCGGGTCGAGTGGCGGGCTTGTGGTTTTGGGCTGGTTGGGGGGGGGGGGGGGGTGGATTTGAGGCCGGGGGCGTGGAGAGAGAGGGCCGATGATGACGGGGAAGCGGAGGGAGCTGAGGAAGCTTCGCTGGACGAGCGGAAGCAATGCCGCCGTCGAATACCCGAAGGATTGTTGGTTTAATTAGATTAATTCGAGGGGGCGCTTAGGGAGAGATAACTGGGGGGATTGGTAGATGTCTTATAATAGAAAGAGACATCGTTCATACACAGTACGGTTGCCATCTTGTAATTTTTCTACTAGATAAACCTACCCACGCTGCACACCGTCCATACTCTCCGTCTTGTCTCTTTCTACCTGTCTGCCTGTCTGCCTGTCTCAGTACTCAGTACTCAGTACTTCACTCAGTCCCTCCCTCTTCAAACAACCAAGACAGACAGACAGACAGACAGACAAAAGTGTGTGTCTGTGTGGCGTGGCATGTCCAAAAGTGAGCTCATACCCTGTCCCCCAGTACCAATGGCATCGCGGAACCAAAGAACCAAACCCCTCAGGACCTCCCAAATGCTTGTCTTGTCGCTGTTTTCACATGTTCCGTGTTGGAGAGTTGAACTCAGTTCCCTGGTTTGGTCTTCGTCATCTGCATGCATGGCCCATTGTTCTTCTGGGGGTCATTCAGTCATTCAGTCATTCTTTCAGTCTTCTGGGTGGGTAAGTAGAGTAGGTAGGGTAGGGTAGGGTAGGGTCCAGCTTGTGACTGCCACTGCCACTGCCACTGCCGCTGCCGTTGTTCCCGCCGAGCCTGGGCCGAGACGAGGAATGGAATGGAATGTGGGGGGATGATGGATGGCTATCCGCGGGTGATTCCGGGCCAAGACTGGGGGTTGGCGTAGCCGAGGTAGTACTATCTAACTGATTTTCATGCGCCGTGCATGCATGCATGCATGCATGGGCTGGCTGGCTGACTGGCTGGCTTTCTTCCTTCCATTATTATTCTTCGCTGGGGTACGGAGTAGATACTACCGATACATTCATATTTCATCTAACTAGGCTCTATCTACCCCGTATCGACCTAGGTACAGTAAGTACTGTGACGGATACTGTACGGAGTACGGAGATGCACATCTGACTCGTCGAAATTAGTAAGAGGAGGAGGAGGATGAGGAGATGGGGGATTTCTGGTCCTGTGACTCGTGATGGATGGGGTCTTTCTTCCTCCTGTCCGGAGTAGCTCTGTTGCTCCGAACATGAGGGGGGGGGATACTTATTTAGAGAGTGGATGGATGGATGGATGGATGGAGCAGCAGTACTCCGTAGTATCTACTTTACTTACCTAGTTAGTACTTAGTTGGTACCATAGTAAGTAGGTAGGGTATAGGTAGGTAGGTAGGAGCAGTGTACTCCGTGCGTTAGTTTAGGAGTAGTTAGGCGTACCCCAGCTCTCCTGAAATTTTACCCCACGGTTCAGGTTTTACCCACCTCGTCTAGACGTCTAGACGCACTTTCTACCTTAGTTCCTGGGGGGGTTGTTCGTTCTTCCTGGATTGCATTATGTGCATTATTTTATTCAGGGAATGGCACGGAGTAGTTGTGCGTGGTTTAATTGTGAGGGGGTTATGCAGGTGGTTATCTACGTAGTAGTAATAATAAATTGGGTCCGTCGGAGTACTGTGCGAGAATGGAGTGGGATAATACCTAGACGGATGGGTGGATGGATGGACGGATCGGCCAAGACAGCGTGGTTTGATAAGATGCTGGATGATAATGCAGTCTTGAGTCTGGCAGATGTATGCCCCCAGCTCCTTATATATATATATATATAGTATATATAAAAAGTCTATACTCACTGATTCATGAGGGTTTTCATAGTATGTTCTGTTGGCGGATGGGAGGGAGGTTTTTATTTGACTCAAGTACAACCCATAACTATGGAAAGGGGTCCTCTCTCATGATGTCATTGTGGCTGAATGTGAGGGTATTATTGGTGGGGGAAATTGCTTTTCTATTGATTTTGTGTTTGCTTTTTTGGGCATCTGTATACCTACATTGAGGTTTCTTGACATGATTGAAGGGATGGATATTAGATAGGTATGTATGCATCGATGGATGTGGGGCTGGGATTGGGAACTGAAGAGGCTGTTTAGGTTTAGGTACTAGTTAGGCAGGTAGTCCTGCCGGTATAGTTACCTACTTGGAAGCAAGGCTTAACCTACTTGAACCATGTGTGTTTGCATCATATCAAAACTATCTTCTATAGTTTGGGCATATGGGTAGATGAAGACTCCTGAAAGTAGCAATCAAACCACTCACACTTACAAATATCATTCTAAAACGGTCAAGGAATTGAAATAGCCGATCGGAAAGGCTACCGATGGGAGGCCATCTCTTGCTCCTTCATCCATCGCATGGCTAAATATCCCCGTCGGCTTTCTCCCCGGCATGTCGTGTACCCTCCAGACCACTAGTCGAAGATCTTTATTCCCAAATCCTATCGCACTATTGTTCTTCCCATCGTCCGAATGGCATCATCGCCCAATATTAATTGGCCCCAGCACTATCGTTCGGCCTATCAGTTTATCAGCATCTCGGACTTAATCCGACGGGCTCTTTTTCCTCCCACGCGACCACCACCACAACCACCACAACCACCACCACCACCACCAACCAACCAACTCGACAAGTCATGCAGGACCGAAACGGGAACGCAACACTCGCATCATCCTTCTCCCCTCGCTCGGACAGATAGAAATCCTGGCAATGAACATCTACCTCCCGGCTCATCCCACCCCCAACCCTTCTGCTCGGTGATTCGCAGCGCATCGCATCGCATCACATCACATCGCATCATGTCCACCACCACCACCACCACGCCCCTCAAACCCCAACCCCAACCCCAATGGCTCCGCGCCCTCAAAACCGCAGCCCTCTTCCTCCTGCACCAATGGCTCTTAATCGGCATCGGCGTCGCCTGCGTCCTGGCATACTACTTCCCGAACGTGGCCAAAAGCGGCGGCACGATCCGGTCGGAATACAGCATCCTCTACGGCGCGATGGCCCTGATCTTCCTGATCTCGGGCCTCAGCGTGCCGCGCGAAAAGCTGCTCCTGCACCTCCTGAACTACCGCCTGCACATCCTCGTCCAGGCCTTCTCCTTCCTCTTCATCCCGGCCTTCATCCTCGCCATCGTGCACATCATCCTCGTCGCCGACCCCCACCAGCACATCGACCGCGCCCTGCTCGCCGGCTATATCTTCCTCGCCTGCATCCCCACCACCATCGCCTCGAATGTGGTGATGACGCGCTCGGCTGGCGGCGACGATGCCGCCGCGTTGGTCGAGGTTATCATTGCGAATTTTCTCGGCCCGTTTGTCACGGCCGGTTGGACGGTGACGCTGTTGCCGAAGGAGGCGGGGTTCGATGTTTGGAGGGTCGGGGATGGGGATTTGGGCAGTATGTATCGCGATGTCTTTAAGCAGTTGGGTCTCGCGGTCTTGTTACCCCTTGTTGTTGGCCAGTTGGTTAGGTGGTTGTGGACGGATCGGGTCGCCTGGGTTTTGAATAAGTATAAGGTGCCGAAGATTAGTACCGCTTGTTTGATTTTGTTGGTTTGGTGAGTTCTTCTTTTCCTTCTTCTTCTTCTTCTTCTTCTTCTTCTTCTTCTTCTTCTTCTTCTTCTTCTTCTCCTTTCTTGCCTGCTCGACTTATCCCTCCCACCCTCCCTCCCTCCCTCCCTGCCTACCCACCCACCAAACACGCCCCCGAAAAAAAAGAGATATACCAGTGTACCTCTCCACCCCAAACCCAAACTAACCCACCCCAGGTCGACATTCTCCTCCTGCTTCGCCACCGGCGCCCTCCAATCCCTCTCCGCGTCGAGCATCATCTTCGTCGTTCTCTTCAACATCGCCCTGTACATGTTCCTCACCGTCGCGTGCTTCTGTTTCGCCCGGCCCCCGCCCATCCTGGCCCGGATGTCCGTCACCATGAAAGGCACCACGTTGCGCCCCTTCGACCAGCTGAATCCCTACGAGACCATCGCCGTGTGCTTCTGTGGGCCGGCCAAGAGCACCGCCCTCGGTATTCCTCTGCTTTATGCCATGTGGAGTTCCCTGGATCTGTACGTCAAGTCCAAGACCTCCGTGCCGGTGTTGCTGTATACCACGGAGCAGATTTGCGTGGCGCATTTTTTTGTCTATGGGTTTGGGTGGTGGAGGGTTAGGCGGGAGAGGGGGGGGGATGGGGGGGATGAGGGGGTGAGGGGACTGGGGCTGGGGCTGGGGCTGGGGCTGAGAGGGATGTTGAGCGGGGTGGCAAGGGGAAAGAGAAGGGGGAATGTGAGGGGATGGGGAATGACTTGGGGTTGGGGTTGGGGTTGCGGGTTACGGTGATGGGTGAAGATAGATCATAAAATAATGTCTCGTTTATAGAGAGATACATAGATAGCTACCATCCAGCATAGAATTTAGAATTTACAATAGAAATAGACCCTATATGACATGCAGCCCGACCGTCTCATCTAGATGAATATGAATGATGAATGTACGGTAAATTCCCGAGGAACATGAGTGACTAGATATAGCTCACTTTCACCCCCATCCCGACAGTCCCCTTGATTTTCTGCCATCCGGACCCTGTTATCCGCCGGATGCGCTCGCGCACGTCGTGTCGGCTGAGCGCCGCCACGATGCCCAGTATAAACAGCAGCGTGCGCACGAACGACAGCGGGTTGCCGGCTATGCTCTTGCTGATGTATTGCAGCAGGTTGCGCGCGACGGTGACTACCAGCGCCCGCGATTGCTTGCGAGCCTCGGGCTTGTCTGCTTTCTTGACGCTCTTCGAGCCCGGCGGAGAAAACGCCGTTCGACTCGTCGACGTGCCGGGTTTGCTGCCCGCCTTTTCTGCGCCCTTGGCCCGTCCCTTGATGCTGCCGTTCGGATACGTCTTCTCGATGCCGTAGTCCACCTCGGTCCCGCTGCGGCCATGTCCCGGTTGTGACCGATCAGCAGCGGCCGCGGCCTCCGCCTCCTCCGCCCGGCGACGTTCTGTCTCCCGCGCTTGTCGGTCCAGCTCCGCGTCCTTCTCCCGCTGAAGCGCCGCCGCGCGCAATTCGCCCTGCTGCTTCTCCTCCTTCAGCCCCTCCAGTGTTTGCAGGAAGACATCCTTCCGCTCCTCGTCCAGCACCTCGCTCAGGTTCAGGAACTCTTGCGCGTACTCCCACTCTTCGTTCCGGGGAAGCACATGCAGCGTGAACAGCTCGATTATTCGCACCCGCGCCGCCAGGTCCTTCGGGGTGTCGGTGCCGCCGCCGCCGCCGCCGCCGCCGTTCGGCGTTGGCGTGGACGAGCCGTCCCGGAGATGCTCCGATATATCCAGGGTCGGTTGTTGTCCGGATGACGAGAGATATGTTTCGAGGCGTTGCTGATTGAGTTTCTGGGACGGGGAATGTCTCAGCAGTAATGTGGCTCTGGTGGGTTGTCAGCGATTGACCTTATGGATAGATAGTCCCCTCTGTGGTCAGGCTCAGAAAACGAACAGGTTGTATACAACTTCGGCGTCGACGGATCCCTCCAGACCCTTGTACCCGGTCTGTACGACCATCTCCCAGATCTCACCATCGCGGACCTGAGACGAGATGGCCTTCCATTCCTTCTGTCCGAATAGTTTCTTCCCTTCCTCGGCACCGAGATCGACGATGCCGCTCAGCAGTGTGATGTAGAGATTCCACACCTTGATCCGCCAGGTGGGTTGGGCTGTGGCAATGGGCGCGACGGCCTCGCCGTGACCGTTGCCGTTGGCCAAGCGGTGTTGTTGGTCGTCGGGCCCGCGGACGATCGTGATGACGGGCTCTAAGGCGGCGAGCGATTCTTGTAACCGCCGGGTCAGGTACAGATGGGACGCCTTCTTGTATGTTCTGGAGCAAAGCTTGGAGGGGGAGCGTGACGAGGAGGTGGTGGTGGTGGAGGAGGAAGAGGAGAGGAGTTGCGACGACTGCGACTGCGACGCCGTCATGTGCGAGGACCCATCGTCGGCCATTGTTCACCGCCAGCGGAGATGCGACGGGTCGGAAAGCGAAGCGAAGATGGGATGTCGAGATGGAATGCGCGGGCTAGCGATGAGCGCAGGCAGATACGGGGATGATGAGGCGATTGAATTCGATGGAGCTCGGGGGGGTTGGGAAGGTCCAGCAGATGCCACTAAGCGGCCAGGATACGTACAGGTACCACCGATCGGAGGTCGTCTCGTCAGGCCTCGGCTCTCCGTTGGCTGGCCGAGAGTCTGGGGGAGCGGGTCACGGGACAGCGGGTTGTTGCCTGGGGCAGAGGGATAGTAAGGCAGTAAGGCATGCACACGAGGGGTAGCATTCAGGCATTCAGGCACCCAGGCACAATGCCTCCGTCATTGTTGGAGTCGAACACATCGCATTCATCCCAGTCGCTCTTTCCTGGAATGGCCGGGCGAGACTTCTCGCTGAAGAGCATCCATCCATTTCCCAGACAAGCCTTCCCCCCCCCCAGACAATCATTTCTTCACCTCTTAAGATATCCCCACATAACTCATAACTACGCCATCTAGTGGATCTATTCTTCACTTGCATCAATACTAACTACTACTCCTCTTTCTATACTCCTTCTCGTCTCATCTACCTGTCATTGACCGTCGAGGCTGCCCCGCGGTCCCAGGCTGCAGCCATGGATGTAACCGCTCAAACCTTCTATCACTACCTCCCGGGAATACTGGACGACCTGGCATCCAGTTGTTTCGTATCTATAGATTTCGAATTCTCGGGCATCGCAAATGGTCTTGGGAAAACCCAGAGCAAGAAAAGCACTCTGCAGGAGCGTTACGATGAAGTCAAGAGATCGGCCGATAAATATCAGATCCTACAGGTCGGCCTCACTATAGCAATCGAAGGCCCGGAGAGAGGTGAGATACAGTCTGCCTTCCTGGTTGATGTGCTAACCCAGCCGCAGCGATGTACACCCTGAAGCCGTACAACATATACTTGAGCCCGATCATCGACCGGAGGCTGGATCTGGAACGGAATGTGTCCTTCCAAAGCAGCGGTACGCTCACGCAATGCCTTCCTGCTGACCTGATCTGATGCGCACAGCCATGCAATTCCTCCTGGAGAATCATTTTAGCATGGACACCTTATACACGAGCGGCGTCGTCTACTTGTCAAGGGACGAAGAGGAGCAGATATTGGAAAACGCAGCCGCGAGACGGGATCGTTCCGCTGTGCACACCTCCCTCGATGTTGAGGAGACCGAAACTGAATCCATTGCATTCCTGGCGGAAGTTCGTCGTCTCGTGGACGACTGGCTTGCTCTTCACGATGTAAGAGACCGAGTCTACCCCGATAATCCGTCTAATTTGCATTCAGGCCCGGGGAGAATACCTCAATATCCCACCTCCGAGTCCGCCCACTGCGTCCAAGCAGTCCAAATCCATGCCGTCGGAACTGAATAGGTTTCAGAAAAGGCTTGTTCACCAACTGATCGAAGTAGAATACCCATCGTTGGTGACGGTCAGTAAGCCTACGTTCATCCAGATCATTATTTACGACGAAAAGCGCGAGGAAGCCGTCAGAAATCAGAAGATGCAGTGGGTGCAGGACCGAATCCGGCGGCAGACTGGATTCCGATGGATTGCGGAGGCATTGGTTGGAGGCGACCTGACGAACCTTGAGCCTTTCCTATCGGTCTCTGAAGGCATGCCCAAGTCTAGGCTCGCACAGAAAGAATTCTTGGACCGCGCGAAGCTGCTGCTGCAGTACAATCGGCCTGTCCTGGTTGGCCATAATCTCTTCACGGATCTCATCTATTTCTACCGCTGCTTCTTCGGGCCCCTGCCGGACCGTGTAGAGCACTTCCAATACATAGTCCACCGATTGTTTCCGGTTCTCATCGATACCAAATACATGGCTACTCATGATTGCGGCTCTATCAACCCGAGGTCATCGTTGCAGGAGACCAACGACAGCCTTGCTAAAGCCGCCTATCCGCTGATAGGTAAGTGAGCCGGACCGATATGATACCTCGTCCTTAACAGTTCACAGTGGTACACGAACAGCATAGCAAGTATGACAAAGAGGGCATCAGTCACGAGGCTGGCTATGACAGCCTGCTCACTGCCCGAGTCTTCATCAAGCTTTCTGCACAGCTCCGAGATGTAAAAGTATCCGGGGCCACAGCAACAGACACCGACTCGCAGCGCGAGCCCTCCAGCCGAGAACCACAGCCAGTTGCGGAGGGCACGTTACCGAGACCTCGCCAGTCAAAGAAGATTTTGATGTTTGGCAAAATCCCTGTAACGAAACCCCTTGAGACTGTGGAGGATGACTCTCATTATCCGTCTGCGCTGGAGGCGCACATGATGTTAGGCCGAGACAAATGTGCTGCGAGACAGCGAATCGTAGACCAGGGCCACTTGATCCCGCGACTAGGCACAGAGTTCTGGGAGGTCTACGGCAATAAACTGCGAGTTTTTGGCACAGATGAGAGGGTGTGCCGCATAGGCTAGGACTAGATCGCCTATCGTTACGAACGAGTGACAAGTGATCCAACAGCTTCATGAACCGAATTATTGCATGGTAATTTCACCGCCGGAGCAGGGCAAAGGAATGTATGCAGCGTCTATCTAACAGTACGCCTTGTTTTTAAAGAAGGTACCGCTAGCGAAAAAAGGCCGCGAAAGTACTCTAAGCACCGGATAATGGTCAACAGGCCATGGAGTATATGACGTGGTGATGATAAGGAAGGTGCTGTAGAGAGGAAAAGGAAGAATTGGGGAGCGACGGCAGGGTTTTTAAAGGCCGCGGACCACCGGGTCACCTGACCGGCTAGCCCGGGCGGGCCTAGCGTGGCTCCGCGGCGGCCCTCGCAGGTGACCGCCAACTTTTCTCCCATAGCGGCCTCCGCACCTGTTGACCAGAACGCAGCCATATCCCTATCACGATGTCGTCGGGGTCCAATGGTGCCAGACGCGTGGCGTCGCTTCTGCGTATGTGCCTCCGGCCCGATTGACCTCCCATCCAGTCATACTGACTGCCCCAGGACCCGCGATCTCCGATGCCAGAGTGTGCAGAAGCTGTCGCCGCAACTATGCCTCAGCCGTCACGCAGGCCTCCCCCGAACCCCCCTCCACAGCCTCGTCGACCTTCCCCGTCGTGAAGCCCGCCTACATGATCAATGCCGGCGTGGTCCTCTCCCGCCCTCCCCAAATCACCCGCGACCTGACCGACTTCGAGAAGTCGTACCACTTCTACCAGAAACGCTTGAACGAGCGTCTGACGCTCCCCTTCACGAAATACTTCTACTTCAAGCGTGGCACGCCCGCCGACGAGGACTGGAAGCAGAAGATCCGCGACCGCCGCACCCCCGCGCGCGATATCGGCAAGTACGACGCCTATTCCAAGGAGGCCTGGAACGACGAGCTCCTGGTCGGGGCCCCCGACGCGGAGCCCGCCCACCAGGTCGAGATGCTGGTGCAGGACGCCGAGTCCACCGTCAACGCCACCTCCCAGGACACCAGCAAGCAGGAAGAGATCCCGAGACCGTACCCTCGCGTGACGGAAGCAGACACCAAGGGCGACCTGCAGAGCCTCAACCGCGCCCTGCAGCGTACCCTGTATCTTCTGGTCCAGTCCAAGGAGGGATACTGGAAGTTCCCCAGCTCTCCCGTTGAGGTGAATGAGACTCTTCGCCAGGTAGGTCTTTCTCCCTGTGTGTGTGTGTGTGTATGTCGAATGGTGTCGATCGACCCGCTAACCACCCTCCAATCCAGGCTGCCGAGCGTACCCTCGCCCAATCCGCCGGCGTCAACATGAACACCTGGATGGTCGGCTACCACCCCGTCGGCCACCACGTCTACTCCGTCCGCAACCAGAACAAGCTCAAGTCCGAGTCCGCCTCCGCCGGCGACAAGACCTTCTTCCTGAAGTCCCGCATCATGGCCGGCCAGGCCGATCTGGCTGGCAACTCCCAGAACCTGGCCGATTTCAAGTGGCTGGCTAAAGAGGAGATTGCCAAGTTTGTGCGTCCACACTACTATGCTAGCATTAAGAATATGCTGGCTGAGCGGTAGTGGCTGGCTGCTTGGGATGGTATGATAGCTATGAGTGGGGGGGGAGGGTAGGATAGGGTATGGGTATGAGTGCTTGGGGCAGAGTACACACTGTATGGATAGATAGATAGTAGGAGTAGGTGCGGACTTGTTGGGCTTGCAGCAGGTCGACACCGGTCCGGTCTGAGTCTTGCATATATCATGAGTAGTGAGTGGGTCATGTATAACTAGCTTTCTTTTTTTTTTTTTCGACTGTTTGCAATGAAGATTATTTGTTAACTTATTCTATTAAGTATATGTATGTGTATATCTATGTCCTAAGCACTTGACCCAACGCCATGCACCATTACCCTTCTCCTTAAACCCAAGTAACCTAAGATAATTCATTCTTCACTCCCTGAAGCTATACCATCCCAACCACATACACCCCCAGAACTAGAAAAACAGAAGAAAGAAAGAAAGAAAGAAAGAAAGACCATTCACTTCAAATTAAACTTCTGCCCCTGCACGACCGGCTGATTCTTCGACGCGCTCGACGTCAATCCCTTCCCGCACATCGGACATGCTACATTCATTCATTCATTAGCATCAGCATCAGCACCGCACCATGGAAGGGGATGTAGGATGTAGGATGTAGGATGTCCTAGGAAGAAAGAAAGACAGGAAGAAAGAACATAACCATAATAAACCTACCATTCCGCTGATACGCACACCGCTGACAGAACTTCCGCCCCTGCTCCGTCTTTGTCTTGCACGAGTCGCACGAGGACGCGTACGCCGCGTACGGGTTCTTGGCTTTGGAGGTGAGGAGTTTGCTCTAGTTTTCTCTTAGCGTTTGTTTTGGTTTTGGTTTGGGGGGTTTTGTGGGTTGTGTGGGTTGTGTGTGTTCTTTGGGGGTTAGGATGGGAGATAGATGATAGATTGGGATGGGATGAATGGGAATGTATGTATATCTACCTTCCCGATACCCGTACTCCCCAATGTCGATTTCCCGGCGGTGCTGCTGCTGCTGCTGCTGCCCCTGCTACTGCTGCTACTCCCCGCGCTACTCGCACCGGCACCGCCCAGAGTCGTCGACGGCGAGCCGTAGTACATCTCCGCTTTGCGTTTCACGCCCGGGGTGGCGAGTTCGGTTTGTTTGAGTTTCTTTGCGCATTTCGAGCAGACCATTTTTCTTTTTTTGCCTCTTGGCTGTTGGTTGGTTGGGGGTTTTTTTGGGGGGGGGAGGTGGAAATGTGAGGGTGATGATGTATATGGGAAGATGATGGTGATGATATGATATGGTTGGGTGGAGGAGGATATTGGGGATCTGGCCGGGGCGAGGCGGTTAAAGTGCACCTCACTCCGGAGTGGGTGAAGTGCGGGTTGGGGGGATGTGGGGTGCCGTATACTCTACTATCTATTCACTTAAAAAAACTTTTTTTTTTTTTCTTACCTTAATATTTAGAGGAATTGGATATGATAGAATGTTTTGAAAGTTGACGATTTACTCTATGTACGGAGTACCTGGATGGTTAAAGTTATTGATGTTGGTGTGGAATAGTGGTGATGGTACAGTGCGAGTGGTGGTAGTTACTATATATCGGGTAGCCTCATTCACCATCAACCACCACATAGTGGTTGGTATCATCCATTCCAAAAAAAGTGGAAAGCTTTTTCTGTTGGTTTCTGAGTAGCGAGGGTTGGGAATTTGTCCTTCTGAATGACGGACTGTCTGGGACCGAACTTTGGCTTCTTTTATCCCACCATCGCATTTTTTTAAATCGCGTCTTCGTGTCTTACCTCACGATTCCAAGATCTACACCGGCCTCCTGGTTCTAATTGTCGGACAAGGCAGGGAGTTGGTCTGAAAACACCGTCTGGATTGCCGCTCCGACTGAATGGCTATATTTAACAGCGCAATATCTGGCCCTTCGAATGTCGCTCATGTCGGGGGAGCACACCCAGTGGCACTATGGCATCGCCCAAGTTCCAGGGCGTATCAATATCCTGCGGCCGATTCAGCTATCTCCTATCTCTCGACAGTCAGATGAATCTTGAATAAAACCAGTCCGCCGATTGTCATCCACCGGGTGATATGTGATAGAAAAAAAAAAAAAAAAAAGCACAACCCGTCGATCCCGACATCGGTAGACCTACCTTACCGTCTGTGATATGCCCGTCCAGAAGAGCTCCGCAAGAGAAGATATCCCTGCAGGCAATATAATCAGTCCGCGGAGACCGTCCATCTTGAAGCCGAGAACAACAGCCAAACGACGGAATCCATCCCCATCCCCATCCCCAGTGGTGTTAGTTAGGCACCAGCCCGCATTGAAGTCGCCCAAGACGAGGACAGTGGGCTCTTTGTAGAGAGACAAAGGCAACGAGGGCTGTGACAAGTCATACTTCGACGAGCTTCCAAGTCACCATGCCTTAGCCTCGGGGCCCACCAATGACGAAGACGCGCCGCATGCAGGTAAGCATATCACCGATTTGATTTCTGGCCGCAGTTCTTCAGGTCCTGGATGCAGCCTTGACCACGGCCAGGCCCTAATGCCGGGCGCAGTGGCTCGTCCGGCCTTCCGTCCAGAGCCCACTCCAGCGACGCATGCTGCACCTGCTCCTCCGCGAACTCAGCTGGCAGTGAAATCGATCGAGGACTTCGGCGAGGGCATGGCGGTCTGTAAGTAGATAAGGGGGCGATCGCGGGCACTCCGCGAGTGTCCGTGTGGTGGCAACAACAACAGGCCGGCCGTCTTAAATCCTTCTCGTCGCGCTCGCTCGCCTTCAACAACCCAACTTCCCTCCACTTCGGCTTCAGCCCTTCCACGACATCACACCCACCCCCCAGCCTGCCAGCCAGCCAATCCCCGACCGGCAGAGCTGGCCCTTCAGCTGCCTGCTGCCCTGGACGGTCGTTCCCCCCCCCACCGCGCAGACCTGCGTGGTCTTCCAGGCTGTTTGTCTCCCAATGATGCAGGATGACCCGCCACTCCTGAACTGGTCTGCAGCGGACGACTGAGCCAGATGGACCCCTTTCCTTCCTCGATGCACTCCCATCCCAGCCAGAACAAAAAAAAAAAAAGAAGAAAGCTTTTCTTTTCTTTTGTATTAAAAAAAGGAAAGGAAGAAACTCGGGATGGGCCGCGGCAAACCAGCGCCCTGGATACCTTCGATCAATGATCGTCTGTTCCAGTACGGTGGTTCATTCGGTTGGACATCGGCCTTTCTGCCCAGACGGACGGACTGACTGACTGGCTGGCAGGTGTGCATTCTCTCTCTCTCTCTCTCTTTTTTTTTTTTATAAAGTGGCTCCCCCGGGATGTTCCCATCGCCACAGGGGCTGTTCTTTTTCCCTGAGATGCTGGCTGTCAGATCACCGCCGATCTGGCTTTTGCGAACGCAGTCGGTCTTTGTCCTCGCCGCTGCGTGTGAGTGAGTGAGTGTATGCGGGTTCAGCGCACCGCCCGAACGCAATCCAAACCCTCCCCTCGACCGTCCGTCCCTCTCTAGATATATAACTTCCCAGGGTCTTCGGCTTTCTGGCTGACCCTGACCGAGGAATTCGGCAGTTCGCAGCTCGCGGTTCGGTCGGTTTTTGCTTTTTCGACCAGACACTACTACTTTTGCCCGCCCGGACCACGCGCCTGGTTTGGCTACTAGCTAGCTTCCCTGACTGCCGACTCCTTTTTCCTTGCCTTGACTTCCCCGGGGTCTAGAACGGCAGGTTGAAGCTGAACCCGTCGTGGAGACAGTCGGGAATCCCCTTGCTTCGAGGTGGAACGAAACTGGATCTTTGTCCACACCGCACACGCTTCTTTCTCTTTCCCTTCCCCCCCCCTCTGTCTTCTCCAGTACAGTACCTTCTCCCTGCTCAGCGACATCGTCCTACGGGTCCTACGGTACCTCCGGCCGAAAGTTTCCAGCAGCGCCAACAGCCAACACTGAAGTAAGGATTGGAGGGAGCTAGAGTGACACGTCTACATACATCCATACATCGGATTGGAATCAAGCGAGGGAGAGTCCGACACACCCACGCCACGATCTTTCCGCGGCAGCAATCAAAGAGAGAGGAGAGGCAAAGAGGCAAAGAAGAAAAAAAAATGCCCCCCGCCAGTTCATCCTTCACAGCGTTGAATCTGCCATCGACGTTCTCGCTCCCACCATGCATGGACTACTTCACGCTCACCGCCGGTCCGAACACGGATCTCTGGCGCAAACCCCCGAACCGCGACACCGCGACGGCCCCCATCGTCTTCACCTCCCTGCGGAACCCGTTCGTAGTCGCTGAGGTCACCGTCACCGCCGACTGTGAAATGGAATGGGACCAGGGCGGCCTGGTCATCTTCGCCGGCGCCGCCCCGCAGTCCTTCCCCCCGGACAGCAGCGTCCCCAGATCCTCCTCCTCCTCCTCTTCCTCCTTCTCCTCCCAGCGGCCCTGTAAATGGGTCAAAGCCGGCATGGAGTTCTGCTCCGGCGTCGTCAACGCCTCGTCCGTCAGCGCCACCGCCGACGGCGCAGACTGGTGTCTCTCCCCCCTGGCTGTCCCGGATCGAGGCCCCGCCGCCGTCCATTCCCTCCGCATCAAGCTCGAGCGCATTGGCCATTCCCTCTGGATCTGGTACCAGGTTCCCTCGGCCGTGCCGTTTGCCATGTCCCCCGGCGCCGTCAGCAGTTCGTGGAAGAAGCTGCGCGAGGTCACTTGGTTCTTCTATGGCGTGGAGGATAAGTTCGTCCACGTGGGCGTCTATGCGAGTCGGCCGCATAGTTTGTCCCGCACGGGGACCATGTTCGGGATGATGAATGGGTCGGCGGCGGATGGGTCGGCGGATGGGTTGATGGTTGAGTTTGAGGATTTGGAGATTCTCTGATGGGATTGTGGTTGTTTCTTTCAATTTGGGGGTTTTCTTTCTGGTTTGTTTTGGATTGGGTTGGGTTGGGTTGGACAGGATATCACGAGTCGATGACTTTGCTTGCTTTCTTGCTTGGTTTGGTGCTTTCTCTTACCTACTTTATATCATTTTACTTTTCCTACTAGTTACTGCTTCTTGGGTTGGGTTGGGTTGGGTTGGGTAATCGGCTGGTGCATTGTGATGGCGAGCTTGGAGCTGTGGTTAGATTGACCTTGGGGGTTTCTGCCAGAAGATGGTCTGTCTGCTTGATATTCTTGAGATTGAGATTGGTGCTTTTGTTGGTTCTTGGTCTATGATCGGTAATTCTTAATTGATGGGTTGATGGGTTGATGGGTTGTCGGAGCTGTTGGGGTTGTTGTTGAGTAGTATCTAATTCTACTTTCTATCGATTGGGGATTTTCACGGATCTACTTCTTGGGAAGATCGGGCTTTCTATATTCCATGTACCGGTTAAAAAGTTGGTTATTGACATGATACTGCTTAAGATACTACTAGCATTGAGAGCATACTTCCAGCACCCAGCACCATGCTCTGCAGTATGTATGCACACACATAGTGCACAGAGTATAGCTGTATAGCTGTGTAGCTAGCATACTATACCCGGGTCCAACTCCAACACACCTCCTATATTATAATGTATTTAGTAAGTACACTTCGATGCGCATGCGCATGCGCACTCCCCGCAGACTGCTTGAGATTACATGTATACATACAGCCAGTCATTGCTTACTTACTTGCACACACATATATACATATATATATATAGATAGATAGATGTGCATATAACTAACTACTGTGTACATCCTGCACGAAACCAGCTTCTGGCGTGGTACAGCGTAGGGAGTAGTATATACTAACTACTAACAGTACAAATTAACTAACTAACCCTACTGTACTGTAAGACAGAGAGTGAGGTGGTAACCAACCAGGACTAACTAGTACTTACTGACTTACTAGGTATAGTAAGGTAGATCATCAAATCCTAAATACTGTAGATAGATATACTGACGTAAACAGTAACCAGTGACCAGTAACTAACCACCCATGCGACGATCCGCGCCACCAAAGCAAGTTAGCAACCCAGCCCAGCAGACACAGACAGACAGACAGACAGGCAGGCAGGCAGGGCAAGCCGACTCCGAGGCGTGGGCTGTGGGTTGTGGGCCAATCATGCATGTTGCCAAGTTTACTGGATTACTGGATTACTGGATTACTGGATTACTGGATTAGAGTTTGGGGTTTACATACTTTACTTTACTTACTTACTTACTTACTTACTTACTTACTTACTTAGTTCTGGAGTATATATGGAAATTATAGTTATTGGTGATGAATATTTTATTGATAGTGAGTGAGTGGGTTCAGTGGGTTCAGTGTGGTGTGGTTGTTGTGGTGGTAATGATGGGTGGTAGTGGTAGCTGTAGTTGTAGTGATTGTTTATTATTATTATTATTATCATTATTATTATCATTATGGCAAGTGACGGCAGTTACTACCTTTAACTAGTTAACTAGAACCACACTGTATAATTAACTAATCACTAGAAGCAGACAGCTCAGCACAGCTCAACCATGGCTCCTGACAACCGGGTCTGAAAGTCACAATCGCACTGCACTGCTAGGCTAGTCTGCTAGATAGGCGATGAAGCTCCACTGATATATACCTGAGTAAGTCTGTAAGAAATCCTTACTTTATACGGAGTACCCGGCGGCAGAACTATGGTTCGGGATGGATCAGGCACCATAATATCTATTCATTGAACCACTGACAGTCCGGTCTTGGTCTGGATTGGCTCGGGTCGGGTCAGGTCAGGTCAGGTCAGGTTGGTCTGGGTCTGATGGAAATTTTCTTCTCTTGTCTTCGGGGTTGGGCTGTTGGATTATTACCTAGATAGGTATGGATTATGGGTGGGTGAGGTAGCTACGTCACTGGGCGGGAGACGTTCGGTACTGACTCACGGGTTTAGTACGACAAAGTATGCTGAGTATGGAGTAGATGCCTAACTAACTGTCTGTCTGTTTACTGATGCGAGTCATGGGATAGAGAATCTGCTATCTGATGATCTCATTGCTGTGATGCTATAGAGTACTGTAGGTAAGTATAGTAGGTAGATGGCATACATACATTCGGAGTGCGATGAGGTAAGATCCTGAGCAGCTGACCGGGGATGAATGCGCCGCACTGCCAGCAAAGCACCGAAGGATTCGCTGCTGCTGCTGCTGCTGCTGCTGCTGCTGCTGCATGCAACGACGATTACTTGACTAGAACTACTCCATACACCGGGCAGGAAACAATGTTAATATCATCTCTCTGCCTCGACAGGTAACTAGTAATTGAAGGTGATCTGACAGATTCCCCCTCCCTACATCCTTTCTTCACACAAGAATATATATAGCATACCTAGATACCAGTCCAACCAACAGGTCAACCAGTCCATGAATGAAAGAATGAAATACCTAAGTAAGTACTGGTAAATCCACGATATGACGGCCAATAATTGGGACTGACAAGCTCGAACGCGGATTTTTCCCGCCGGTGCCGAAACGCACCTCCCCGTTGGGTTTAGTCGGTCTCCACTCTGGATGGTGCCACTAGCCTTGCTATAATCCGCTAGACTGCTCTGGGATTAGTCTTGGTTTCGGCCCCACCATGGCTTTCTTTTTCTTTGCTTTGCTTTGCTTTGCTTTCCCGGACGGAAATCTTTTTTTTTTTTTTGGCTGCTGCTGCTGCTACTACTGCTGCGAGGCGAGGCGAGGCGAGAAAATCTCTGCTGCAGAATGCAATGTACGATTCAAGTACTTACTTACGGAGTACAGTAGGTAAGTATCCTGGAAGATATGGGGACTGATGGAAGGGTTCGTAGTAGTTAACAAGTAAGTAACACGGCCTTCACTCCCAGAGAAGAAGGGTTTCCCTCTTATCTCGCATAGCCAGACCAGACCAGACCCCTTCTACTCTCTACAGTACTGTTACTGGCTCTTCCTCTACCGGTCCAGCCCCAGTATCAACCCCTGATTGGTTTCGACCCGCCTCACCGCATTTTCTTTTCGGGCGCCCGGAGCTTCGCAAGGATCGGCGGATGATATGCTCAATTATTATTCTGCTTCTTCTGTCGCGACCTCGCGAATGCGACGCCCTCCCATTGGAGTGTCTTCCGTCTTCCTCCTCCCGGCCTGATATGGCTTGATGCACGGTGTTTGGGTGGACGACGGGCTAAGCTTAGGGGAGTCACTACGACGATGACTGACTGGTTCGATCCTGCGACCTATCTACCGTAGGTTTGTTAGTCAATTGCGAAAACTGATCATGCCGTCAACGCTCAAGCTGCTGCGGCGCGTTTCTTTCCCCTCATTTGATTCTGTCTTCCCCCCCATCTCCCATCTCTCATCTTGCTTGGAGGAGGATGCTGACGGTCATCTTAACGGTCTTGCTTTCCCTCTTTTTCTTTCTCTTCTCCCCCCCCTCCCTCCTCCTCCCCCCCATCCCCATCCCCCCTCCCCCCCCCTCTCACACCCTCGGTTGCTCCCCCATCGCGTCGCATCACGGAACGGGATAGGAGGCCGTCACTGTGACAACTGTGTCTGCCCCGCCCACGACGGGGTCGACGGGGTAATTAGTTGCTCGTAGTGACTAGATAGTCACCCCCATCGGTCTTCCGTGGGGACCGTAAATTCCCTGGTTTGGAGCACTATTGCAATTTGCAACCACTGCTGTAACTGTACGGAGTAGGTAGCTGGAAGTAGCTGTAAGTAGCTGTAAGTCTATGGGGTAGTGGTAAACAGCAGTAGTTACCATAGTAGATGGCAGATGGTGTCCAAATCCATACGGTACCCGTAATTTTTTTTTTCTGTGGTCCCCCTCCCCTCCTCCTCCTCTTCCTCCTCCACTCTTTCCTACCTTCTGTTCTGCTTTCCTTCTCCTTCTTCTCCTCCTCCTCCTCTTCACATCTCTGTTTGTTGTACTCTCTCCCAAAAGAGTCATTCTTACCAGTCCCCCTCCCATCTCATCCTCCTATCTTCTCTCCATCTCTCTCCCTCTACCTCCCACCCCCGTTACCCCTCCAAGACATCCTCGCCTCCCCTTACCTCCCCCGATCCCATCCGCGTTTCAATTCCACCGTGGGAGGACCAGTGTCTTGTCCTACGACTCCGCTATCTATCGCCTGATCGCCTGTACATTATCCGTTTCAAGTTCAGTCCGTTGATATCCTTGCGAGCGTTTGGTCGCCTGTCGTACAAAGACTCGATAAAAAAAATTCACGGCAGTCCCGTCCGCCGTCTTGAAAGAATTTTTTTCCTCCCCCCTCCCCCGCCCCCTTCTTCTTAACCAACCCAATCTGTTTGCGTGCGCTGCATCTTAACGACTGTTACGACATTTCATGACCACAATGGCCCACCCCGCTGGTGAGCCCGTCACAATCTCCCTCCGTCGTCCGACGGACGACCCCGTTTTCGTTGCCGGCACCTTCTCCGACCCGCACTGGGAGCCCGTCGAGCTCGGCGCCAGGCCTGTCGACACAGAACCCGATGAGGAGGGCCTGACCTCCACCGAATATCTCTTCTCCCACGAGTTGAAGCTGGTTCCCGGTCAATATCAATATCGTTTCCGAGAGGGCGCCAACGGCCCGTGGTTCCACGACGAGAAGGTCAAACACGGTACGCCTGAACTCTCTTTCCCCTGACATTGCATCATCGCGAAACCGAACCTGAAACTGATCCGTTGTCTCGCGTCCAGCCGCCGGGGATGGTGGTCTGATGCACAACTTCCTCGCCGTGGAGTCGAGCGCACAGCCCGAAGCTGCCGAGGAGGACGCTACGCCGGAAGAGAATGGCGTCAATGGAGTCGCCGAACCCACATCTGTCGCCAATGGCTCCGCGCCGGAGGTCAACGGAACGGAATCCGCCGAGCTGAGCTCCGAGACACAGCCTGCAGCGGAAGCCACAGAGGTCAAAGAGGTCACATCGAAGCCGGAGGAGCCTGTCGCCGAGGCTGAAGCGGTGGAACCCGCCACAGAGACTCCCGCCGAGCCTACCGAATCGACCGAGCCAGCTGCCGTGGAGGAACCGGTCACCGAGGAATCCGCTGCGACTGAGCCTGCGGAGGAGCCTGTTGCTGGGAAAACGGAAGAATCGGTCGAGGCCGCCGTTGAGGCCGCCGTTGAGGATCCCGCTATCGAGGCCGCTGTCGAAACTGCTGCTGAGGAGGCCGTTGAGGAGGTAGTCGAGGAAGAAAAGGCCGAGGAATCTACGGAGACGCCTGCTGTCGACGAGCCCGCCGTTGAGTCCGCCAAGGAAGTGACTGAATCGACTGAAACACCCGCCGAGCTTGCCTTCGAAGAATCTGTTCCCGAGACCACTGCAACGGAGGCTGCGGAGGAGAGCTTTGAACCCTCTGAAGAGGCCGACATTGAGATTGTTACAAGGACTCCCGCGGAGGAACCCAGTGTGGAAGAGCCCGTGACTGAGCAGGAGCCGGAGGAAGTTGTGGCCGAAGTCTCGACGGAGGCGGAGAAGCCCGAATCTGTGGAAGTAGAGGATACTAAGGAGGTTCCTGCGGAGACCGCCCCGGAAAAGAGCACCGTAGAGCCGGTCGAGGAGGCTGAACTGGTTGCGGAAGCCGTAGAAGCCACCCCGGAAGAATCTACCGTGGAGGAATCTGCTGCCGAACCCGTTCAGGAATCTTCGGAGCCCGCTGCGGAAGAGGCTGCCGTTGAGGTTGCCGTCGAAGAGGCTGCGCAGGACCCCGCTGTCGAAGCTGCTGTCGAGGAGGCTGCCGAGCAGGCCACCGAGGAGACCATCGAGGAACCGGCGGTTGAAGTCGTCGAGGAATCCGTTGCGGAGGCTGCCGTTCCCGAGGCCGCTGAGGAATCAAAGGAACTTCCCGCTGAGGAGACGGTCGTGGAAGAGCCCGCTGCCGTTGCCACTGAGACCGCCGAAGTGTCTCCGGAAGCTGCTGTCGAGGCGGCTGTCGAGGAGGCTGCTCAGGACCCCGCTGTTGAGGCTATCGCCAAGGAGGCCGCCGAAGAGGCCGCCGAGGAGGCTGAAGAACCTAAGATCGAAGCTGCCGTTGAGGCTGCTGCGGAGGACCCTGTTATCGAGGCTGCCGTCGAGGAGGCCGCCGAAGAGGCCGTCAAGGAGGCCACTGAGGAACCCACTGCCGAAGTCGAAGAAGCTGCTGTTGAGGCCGCTGTCGAGGAGGCTGTCGAGGAGGCTGCTCGGGACCCTGCCATCGAAGCTGCCGCCGAGGTGGCCGCTGAGGAAGCTATCGAGGAGGCTACCGAGGAACCGACTACCCAGACCGAAGAATCCGCCGTCGAGGCCGCCGTTGAGGAGGCTGCTCAGGACCCTGCCATCGAAGCTGCTGCCGAGGAGGCTGCCGAGGAAACTATCGAGGAGACCGCCGAGGAACCTACCACTCAGACCGAAGAATCCGCCGTCGAGACCGCCGTTGAGGAGGCTGCTCAGGACCCTGCCATCGAAGCTGCTGCCGAGGAGGCTGCCGAGGAAACTATCGAGGAGACCGCCGAGGAACCTACCACTCAGATCGAAGACTCTGCCGTTGAGGCCGCCGTCGAAGAAGCTGCTCAGGACCCTGCCATTGAAGCTGCCGCCGAGGAGGCCGCCGAGGAAGCTATCAAGGAGGCTACCGAGGAACCGACTACCCAGACCGAAGACTCTGCCGTTGAGGCCGCCGTCGAAGAAGCTGCTCAGGATCCTGCTATCGAAGAGGCCGCTGAGCTTGCTGCTGAGGAAGCCGTCGAGGAGGCTACTGAGGAATCTACTGCCGAAGCTGAAGAAGCTGCCGTTGAGGCCGCTGTCGAGGAGGCTGCTCAGGACCCTGCTGTCGAAGTTGCTGCTGAGGTTGCCGCTGAAGAGGCCGTCGAGGAGGCTACTGAGGAGGCTATCGAGGAAGCTATCGAGGAAGCTGCCCAGGACCCTGAGATCGAAGCTGCCGCCGAAATTGCTGCCGAAGAAGCTGTCGAGGAGACTGCCGAGGAGGTTATCGAGGAAGCTATCGAGGAGGCTGCCGAGGAAGCTGCCGAGGAAGCTGCCGAGGAAGCTATCGAGGAGGCTATCGAGGAGGCTATCGAGGAGGCCGCTGAGGAGGCCGATCAGGAGACCGCTGAGGAGACCGCTGAGGAGGCCGCTGAAGAAGCTGCCGAGGAAGCCATCGAAGAGGCCATTGAGGAGGCTATCGAGGAGGCTCCCGAGGAAGCTGTTGTCGAATCTGCCATCGAGGCTGCCCAGGACCCCGCTATCGAAGCTGCTGTCGAAGTCGCCGCCGAAGAAGCCGTTGAGGAAGCTGCCCAAGAATCCGCCGTCGAGGCCGCTGTTGAGGAGGCCGCGGAAGACCCTGCCGTCGAGGCTGCCGCCGAAGAAGCCGCCGAAGAAGCGGTTGAGGAAGCTACCGAGGAATCCGCTGTCGAGGCCGCTGTTGAGGAGGCCGAAGAGGACCCCGCTGTTGAGGCTTCTGCTGAGGAGGCTGCTGAAGAGGCTATCGAGCAAACCCTCGAGGAACCTGTCGAGACTGCCGAGGAGCCCGCTGCCGATGCGGTAGAGGAAGCCGCCGTCGAGGCTGCTATTGAAGCTGCCGTGGATGACCCCGCTGTCGAAGCTGCTGTCGAGGAGGCCGTCGAGGCTGCCGTTGAAGAACCCGCTGTCGAGGCTGCTATCGAGGCCGCTGCTGAGGAACCCACCGCTGACGCTGCTGTCGAGGATATTGTCGAAGACCCTGCCGTCGAGGCTGCTGTTGAGGCCGCTGCCGAGGCTGCCATTGAAGAACCTGCCGTCGAGGCCGCCGTCGAGGAGGCTGTTGAGAAGGCTGTCGAAGCCGCTGTCGAAGAGCCTGCCGTCGAGGAAGCCGTCGAGGAAGCCGTCGAGGAAGCCGTCGAGGCCGCTGTCGAGGAACCTGTCGAGGCCTCTAAGGAAGTGGTTGAAGAACCCGTTCAGGAATCTGCTGAGGAACCCGTGTCCGAAGAGCTTGCAGTCGAAGTTCCTGTTGCTGCGGCTATTGCTGCTGAGATTGTTGCGGAAGCTACTCAGGAGCCCGCTGCTGAGGAGCCCGTCCAGGAGTCCGTTCCCCAAGAACTGGTAGTTGAAATTCCCACCGAGGAGGCCCAGGCCGCCAAGGAAACTGCTGAGGAGCTTTCGCCTGAAGTCACAATCGCTCACGAGGAGACCATCGAAGCCCTCATGCCGGAGTCCGAGGTCGAGACTGCTGAGCCCGTCGAGGTCAAGGAGGTGATTGTCGAAGAGGTCGCACCGGCCGAGTCGGTTGAAGCTGCCGTCCCTGAGGTGGAGGAATCTGTGGAAGTTGTGGAGCCCGCTCCGGAATCAGCTGCTCAAGATGAGGAGGACCTTGCTGCGGAGGAGAACTTCACGGATGAGTCGTCCAACCTGGCGGAGTCCACCATCGCCACAACTGCCGGAGACGAGCTTGCGTTCGAGATTCGGTCGACCAAGGACGCTGGCGAGCCTACTGAGGAGCCTATCGACGAAGAGCCTGTCGCTGAGGCCATCGCCGAGGAGCTTGTCGCCGAGGAGATTGCCGAGGAGCTTATCGCTGGGGCTGTCGCCGAGGAGATTGCTGCTGAGGCTGTTGCTGAGGAGCTTATCGCTGAGTCTGAGCAGCCCGCTGAGGTTGTCGCCGAGGTTGTCGAAGAGCCCACCAAGGAGGAGGTTGCCGCCGAAGAGACCGCTGTCGAGCAGCTGGTTGAAGCCGTTGAGTCTGAGGCGAAGGAACTCGTTGCCGAGGCGAAGGCTGCGCCTGAGGAAACTGTGGACAAGTCCGTCCCTGAATCCGTGGAGGTTGAGGCACCTGTTGTTGTGGAGGCTGTCGCTGTTGAAACCCCGGCTGAGTCGGCTAAGGAAGCCGCCGTCCCCGAACAGGCTGCTGTGGAAACCGAAGAGAAGGCTGAGGAGGCGGAACCTGTTGCCGAAGAGAGCGTTGAGGTTACGGAAACTGCTCCTGAGCCCGAGGCCCCCGTTGAGGCTGCTCCCGAGAGCAAGGACCACATTCTGACCCCCGAAACCCTTGGTGCAGGCGTCGCGGCGATTGCTGCAGGTGCTGCGGTCACGGCTGGAGTGATCTCGGCCTCTCACCACGCACCGGAAACACAGACGCCCGAGAACAAGGCAACTGAGCCTACCGAGAGTAAGCAAGCAGCCGGCTCTGGAGAATCCGAAGCTGACCCTGCCCCAGCCCCCCAACCCGAAGCCAGCAGACAGGCGACTGTCGAGGACGACACGGAAACCGCCGCCTCCAACAAGGCAGTAGCCGCGAAGGGCACCACGGACGCTCGCGCCCAGAGTCAAAATCGGTCAGTCACAGCTGTTTCTCTGAACCATAAGCATGACGGCTGGTTGAAGACGATCCTCCGGGCTGTTTTCACCAACTTCTTCGGGGCCATATTCTCGCCCTTCCGCCGGCGCGGAAGGAACAACCAGTAGAAGTCGCGGGAATGCGGAAGCGAATCCGTCGACTGTTTTTTGTCATTCATGCTTGTCTGTCGTTGCCCACGCTAATGTGCCATCAGGAATACTAATCTGTTCTTGATGACCGTTTTTGCTGCCCCGTTGCTCGCATTTGTTTGGCATGCCTATACCCGCTAAGTTGTTCGATTTGCCGAGTTTGCGCCACTCTCGATTCCCCTGTATTTGGTATTGCTGTGCTTGCTTGCTTGCTTGCTTTGCTTTGCTTTGCGTTGCTCTGCTCTGCTCCGCTCTCCTCTCAGATTGTCTGAATTACTGAGTTTGAATCTCATTACATGGTTCATTTGATGATTTGCATTTCACATTCTTAATTGTGTTTACTTCTTTTTTTTTTTTTGAGTCCTCCCTTGTCAAATTGGTAGTTTGCTGCAGGTTTTTTTCTGTCAGTTTGTAATGTGTGCATGATGATATGATAATGATAGATGATTTTGCCTATAATATTGATAGGTATGATTTTTAATGAGTAGGTGGTTGTCCTTGTAGTTGGGCAACAGTGTTGTATTGATGTCTACAGAGAAGTGGTAAACTATCATATTATTGTCTGAAAATAATTAGCAGGCATTATAAGTCCAACTGTATGCTTACACACTTCCCTTCCATCTAAATGGATCATCGCCACGGCACCTCCCCATCTGCCTAACTACTACTACTACTACTACTCCCCAGATCCTAAACCACTTCCTCTAATCCATCCTATAATATCCTCACCAGAGTAACGAACTATGGGATAGAAGTAAAGGAACCAAACAGAACAAACCAGAATATGGCAATTATCCTGCGTCCAGGGTATACAAAAATAGCAGGGTATGTGTATAGTATGTGTATGGGTGTGCAGTTAGTTTCTCTCGGGGAATGCTCGTGATAAAACACATGTTAGCAGGGCTTCTGCAGTGGATTAGAAGAGAATAGAATAGATTATTAGATTTGATACCTGGGGTTGGTAAAGTCCAAGCCATAGCTGAGGAGAGGGGATAAACCGGGGAGGGCTTGCAGTATACTATACTATATTACTACATAGCTTAATCTACTGAGTGAGTGTATATGGCACTTGAACTATTCTATCCCGGATACTATAATTATGTACCCTCCTTCAGGTTAGCTTGGATTAATCTAGATCTAGTTGGGAATATTATCTATGTAGTGAGTGTATGGTGTATGGTATGCACCAGCTAAAACCTCTTCTTATATCTTGGTATAAAGAACTCTGTATTTTTCTCTAGTAATCTTTGTTTTAGAGAACTAGAATACCCCTCTCTTTCTTTTCCTTCTTCTTAACTGTCCTTCCCTCCCCTCTTCCCTCCTGAACACCCTATTCACTCCACCACCTCCCAAACCCAATTCAGTAACCCTCATTCTTCTTCTCCCACCCGCACGGATATTCTTCGCCCCCGCAGCACAACCCCATACATCTTCCACGCCAACCCATCTAAAGCCTCGAAACGAGACATAGAAAACAGCTTCGAAAAGTAAAGGATGAGTCTGTTGGTAGCCACAGTAGCTAAACATGTCAAACTTCCCCACTTTGATTGTAGGGAGAGATGTGCTTTTCTTTATTTCCCTCTTTTCTCTCTCTCTCTCTCTCTCTCTCTCTCTTCTCTCTTCTTATGCTGCTTCTGCTTCTTCTGCTTCTTCTGTTTCTTCCTGTCAACTGACTTTGTATCTTGCTCGCGTTGCTTTCTATCTCGGTGTTTCGCTTTTGACAAGTTACATCTTGTTGCGTTTTGTTCCGTGAACTTGAGATACATACGCACACACAGACACATATATCTTGAGCCTGGGTAGCTCAGCTCAGCGCGCTTTAGCAGCTTGTTTCTTCCTCCTCAGAGTGCGGTTTCGCTGACTTTGCTTTTCTTTGGTGAGGAGTGAGGAGTGAAGAGTGAAGAGTGGTGGCGAAAAGCGCGGTGTGAGTGACTACTTTCGACAGTGAAGTGAAGACGGACGCGCTCTACGCTCTACATCTACGCGTTCGGCTGTCGCGCTCTGCTTTGCTTTGATACTTGCTTTATCCTATTCTCTTCTCTTTGCTCGTTATATCCTATTCTCTTCTATTCTCTTCTATCCTATCCTGTCGTGTCGTGTCATCTGGTCTTGTCCAGACATACTTCGTTGGTCGAGTAGTCTGGAATATCTTGCTTTGGCGGATATTCCTCTCTATTCTGTTTATCCTGCTGTACTTGACTTGACTTGACTACGCTTCTCTTCTTTACTTCGGGGGTTGTGGATACGAGGTATCTAGCGTATCTACTTCTACTTCCTACCATCTATTTCCTACAATCCACTTGCTACGATAAACCTGGCAGCTTCAGCAGGAACTGGACCTGGAATTGGAACTGGAACTGGGTCCCAGGTACGCAACCTCCCCCCCCCCCAAAAATCAACCCAGCACATCTCATCAAGTATCATATCCATATCCATAACAGACCAGACGAGACAGATTCATTCATTGCTTGATCTACCAGAAACTAACTAAAGCCTGTTCCAGATTCAGCTGATTGATACCTTTATCGCAGTTCAGTTCGGAAAACCATTCCGTCCTGTCCGGTCCGTCCGTTCGACATTGATTTGATAGAATAACGAAAAAAAAAAAAAGAAAAAGAAAAACAGTAGGAAGTAAGTAAGTGGTCCATTCCATCCAATCCAGTCCATTTCTTTCCGTTTCGTTGCGTTTCGTTCCGTCGTTCCTTGAAAGGATGAGAGTAAGGGTCGAAATGATGGAATACCCCATGCACGCCCTCTTCTCTTCTCAATCTCTGTCGTGGTGATGGAAGATGATCATATTCTGCCGAAGATGATCCAAGTTCCGTCGGACGGAGGGAGAGAAAAAAAAAAGGTGAGGGGGTTGGTCAGCTGCTGCTGTTGCTGTTGCTGCCGCTGCCCGGGAGGTGGATGGATTTGGATTTGTTGGAGGTTGGGATTGGGGTTAGGAGGTTGAAAGTGATGAAGTGGTGCGAGAGTTCAATGCTAACACCCTCGTAGCACTACTGCCTATCCCTATCATGTCGCATCTGGATGGGAACGCCTGGAAGGCGAAGAAGGAGCAGCTGCGGTTGAGTGGTGAGAGCGGTGATGGTGATCAGGACAGCCCGGGGGGTCAGTCCTCTCTCTCTCTCTCTCTCTCTCTTTCTCTTCTTTCTTTCTTGTTGCTTCCTGATTTGAAGCAACTGAATTCTTCCCTTGTCGGAGGAAGAGAGATGTGATGTAGTCGGACAGAAGACTGATATGTGGGATAGTGAAAGCAACTCCGCCAGGTCTCAGCAAATTAGACTACGACGCAGAATTAGCTCTCCCCATGCCCAAGCCCCGACACGATCGGCCGGACAATCACAAGTTCGACCTGCCTGCATCGGGGTCAAGTAAAGGGGGCATCTTCGGATGGGGTGTGAACAAGAACCGATCGTTCACCGAACCGGGTGCGGGGACGGCCCCAGACAAAAAGACCGACAAGAAGTCCGCGTTCCAGGCTATCCGATCAAAGCTTAGCATGAAGGACTTGGCAAAGGAATTCCGTAAGGAAATTCCCCCGGTCAGTACCATGCCGAAGATCTCGTCGTTGGCGTTGGGCATTCGGGATTCCGGGTCCTCCTCGGATTCATATGGCCGTGTTCGTCTGCCAGGCGCCACCAGCAGCAATTTCGAGGTCGAGAGGCTATATACTCCGCGACCGAAGGTGACCGAGGTTCTTCAGGCCCAGCAGCCCCTCTCTGCGCCTTTGTTTCCCACGGCCGGTTTTCCGGGGCCGGACGAGTTCTCGCCGAAAGGTGTGGTGGTGACTTCTCCCACTTCTGTGGGCTCGTCGGGAGAGAAAGGTGTTGGTATCGTCGTTGGGGGTGGTAATGGTCATAACAGCCAAGGGCCAGAGAAGTTCAAACACGCTCTGATCAGTGACCATGGCAATCGGGTCGGAGAAGGCCCAACAAGCCACCACCTTGAAGCGGTCTTGCTGGATGGCTCCTCCCCCGCGGCTCGCACGGGCGAGTTCAAGAATAGCGGGCAGCCGGAATTCGTCACGACACCACGGCAACGCGCACGCAGCATGAAGGCTGAGAAGGGGGCGGGCTCGTCGGAGGCTGCGGCGGCGATGGCAGCATCGGAGTCGTTTCCGCTGCGTAACAGTGAGATCGCGAGATCGTACTCTCCGTCAGTGTACGACACGCTGCTGTCCGAAAAAAGGACGTCGGACCTCCCTCTCCGCGCCGGTGGTAACGATAGCAGCATCGAAGAGGTCAGTGTGTGCGCGCCGGTCCGCTACAGCGACGCGACAAGCGAAGGGTTTCCGGACTATCGCTTGTCCCTGATAACAACCACGTCGTCGTACATGCCATCGGGCCAGGCTCAGCAACAGGGCGGGGAGGCGTCTGCGTTTGCTGGTGCCCCGGCAGGCGAAGGGGCCCTCGACGTCACTCGCCATGGAGGGTATGCGCCGACTCCGCCGGTTCCAGGCTATCAAAACACAAACTCGCTGGAGGAGCAACTGGCACTGCATGTGAAGACAATCCATCACCACGTCGATGACACGGCCAACCGGCTCGTAAAGGCCGTCCAGGACAGTAACAACTGGAACATGGATCAGATCCTCAAGCAGGTCGACGCGTTGAGTGAGGTTGCGCAGCTCCTGGGCGAAAGGGCCGCGGCACAGTCAAAGATCGTGCAAGACACGAGACAATCCACCAGTGACGTGCAATCGCAGCTCCAGACGATCTACCAGGAGCTCCGCCGGATGCAGTCGAGGATGGCCACTCAGCTGCGCGAGGAGATCGGTAAAGTCAGATACGACGTGCACGAGCTGCAGGCACGCGTCGGCCCCCGCAACCCAGCGGCCGAGGCCGTTCTCGCGGCCGGGCTACAGGGGCCGCCGCTTCCGTTGAAGGTAAATCGAGACGCTGGCAAGCAAGGAGGGGGTGATCTGAAGGGGGGCAGAAGGCCCAAGGAGAGATGGGAGGAGGAGGAGGTGGTGAGGTGAGGAAGAGCACAAAGCGAGACAAGGAAGACGGGGGGAAACAACAGCAGAACCCTTCTCTGGTGAGCAATCCCGCGTAACGACAAAGCCCAACGAAAAGAGAAAAGGGAGAAAAAAAAGAACTGACCAGACCAAAAGGACGATTCCGACATTCCCACCCCTAAAGCCTCCCGGTTCAACCTCCGCACTGATGCCATCCCACCACTTGTTCCTGGAAACGGACAGGTGAGGCCTCTGGCCCCCAGCCATGGCAAGGGCAAAGCCAAGGACGAGAAGGAGCCCAAGACCCCCGTCAAGAAGGGTTTCTTCCATATGCGCCGCCAGCGTGACGGTGACAGTCACACTGGCCATTCGTCCTCTCGTCCTTCCCACGCCCACGCCCATGCGCACGAGACTCAGACTCGCCCCGTCGAACCAAAGCCTCCGGTCACTCCTCCCTCGCAGACCGGTCCGGGCATAAACCCCCAGACTGTCGCGCAGACCTCTCCCAGCCTGATCCATCCGGCCATGCGCACCCCTCAGCAGCAGAAGGTCATGGACGAACGCAAACGCGAAGAGGAGCACCAGCGCAAGGTCTTGCTCGAGCATGATATCAAGCGCGAGCGTCTCCAGCAGCAGACCCTCCAGCAGCAGCTTCGCCAGCGTCAGCTTGAGCAGGAGGAGGCCCAGCGAAAGGAAGCCCTGTTCCAGGAGCAGTTCTTCCTAAAGCAGCTTCAGCAGCCGCATCTCCAGTCGCACATCCAACAGGCACCTCCACAGCCATCTCGACCGGCACCTCAGCCCCTCCAACAGCTACCTCAGCAGCAAGCCCCCCAGCCTGCCCCCCGCACCAAGCACCCCCAATACAGCGACTTCCCCGTGCCACCTCTCGGCCTCCAAGCATCGAAACACCAGCACGCCGCAACGTCCGCCTCCAATCTCCCCGTGCCCGCGTCCCAGTCGCAGAGCACCGGATCGAAAGCTACTCGAAACATGGCTGCATCGACCTCGCACTCCAACGTCCGTCCTCAGACTCCCCGTGCCCACGCCGGCTTCGACAACCCATACCCGCACTTCAGCAAGCCTGGCACGTCGAAGGACATAAAAATCGACAACGACAACGACAACGACAACGACAACAACCCGTTCTACCCCGGCCCCACCATCGGCTGCTTGCAGAACACCTCGCCGACTACTTATAGTAGTCCTGTGCCGCCCGTCCCGATCGAGTATGTCAATCGCCATCGGGATGCGTATGAGCGTGGCTTGGAAAATTTCAAGAAGGACAGGGAGGATACTTTGCTGTGAGCTGGCTGGCTTTGGCTTTGTCTTGTGATATCGAATGATATCTAACAATGTTGTTTTCGGTTTCGGGGCACTTCGACTGACTGATCGACTTTTATGAGTGTCGGGTGAGGACCTCTTCGGATCGAAGCTGTGAACTGCTGGAGACTTCACTTTGACTTGGTAATCTCATGGTCTTATGGCCGTGATGGATGTTCATGATGAACGATCTGATCTTTTCTTTGATTTTGCTTGCCTTTGTTTTTGTTTTCATTTACTGCTTTTCTGCAGCGGATGGCATTATTTTCCCTTTTCTCCTCGTTGTTTTTGCTTGCTTTTCCCTGCTTTACTTTCATGTTATCTGCACACCTTACCTCACCTTGCTTCCATCTCTTCTCTTATCTTATGATACCACAACAGCACAGCCATAGCGACGGCGTCGATGATGATGATGATACTTTACATCATCTCGGATTTAATCCCGGAGATACGGATCGGAGGCGGAGTTGCGGTGGACGTTCTTTCTCTTCTCTTATCTTCTCTTCTCTTGCCGTGCGGTGCGGATGTACGATATGGTGCAGTGATTGATGGCTTGATGACTCTGACTCTAATGTGTCTTCTTGATGAAGCATGAATGACTGATGACTGACGACTGAATGATGAATGATGGATGGTGGATGGTACTTACGTGGAGGATTGGTTTCTTTCGATGTACAGGACAGGACGTACATAATGGCGGTGTGGGTAGGGGAGGATGATATGATGATTCGGCGATGTACGAAATGGGGTTCTGAAGGGGTGGGTGGTCTTTCGAGTGGTTTAATGGAGGGTGGATGGAGTGGGAAGGTGGTTTCTTTCTTTCAAGAATAATGTACAGATGTATCAAATGGTGGAGCGAGGGTCTTACTTGGTTGATTGTGGTTGTGGAGGAAGTGGTTTTCTTCGATGTACAAAATGGGGGACGACCTGATTGTTGCGGAGGAAGAATGTTTGTTGCTCACGTGCTTTTTTACGGGCATGAAACGGTCTATAGGGACAACAGCCGTAGCAGCAAGTAGGAAGAAAATAAGATAAAAAAAAAAAAAAAAGAAAAAGAAAACCCAACCATGACGCTCAAATCATGTATGTAGGTGTATATCGATCGACATGCCATAAAAATAATGAGAATAAATAAATATGGAATAGGTAAGTAAGCGGACTACTTCCTCGTCAAAATCATCTTCTCGATATCCAGCGCGGCATCGCGAATCTGCGGGCAATAATGCTGACGCAGCAGCTCGCCCTCCCACACCGTGCCGGCAAAGACATTGGTGGCTTCTATGTCGGCGGCGTAGGCGTTGAACACGCCGTCGCCCTTGCGCTCCTCGCTGTGCCACAGCGAGGAGATCCGGCGGGCGTTGTGCTTGGCGACCTGCGTCATGAGGGAGAGGGTGGCGATGGCGGATTTCTCGGGCAGCTGGAGCGAGGACGTCATCAGGCGCTTGGAGAAGCTGCCGACGCGGACGGGCGGCGCGATGCCGTGCGCGCGCGACAGCAGGGTGGATTGCAGGCACCGGAGGAGGAGCACCATCGGCGTCTGGAAGTTGACCTTGTTTCGCGAGCGCGGGATCGCGGCGTCCTCGGGGGCGTTGGGGTCGGGGAGACGGAGGGATTTGTCCGGATTGTATTCGACGTCCGGGTTGATGGAGAGGGTGTAGAGCGAGCGGTATAGGTGTTTGATGAAGAAACTCAGGTCCAGGTGTAGTGTGCCTGCGGCTTTGCTGGCGTCTTGGCCTTCCAGGAGGGCGAAGGCTGTCACTGTGCAGAGGAGCGCCTCGCGGTGGGCGTCTCGTGTTGTCTCGGGCTCGTCGTCGTCGTCGTTGGAGCTGTCTTCGGCGTCGTCGCCCTCCTGCTCCTCGACGTGGTCGGCGTGCGCTATGAGTTCCTTCAGGGCTTCCAGCAGGTCGCCGAAGAAGTCCTGGTTGATCAGGTGCGCGTATTTGGCGAGACCCTCGAGGACGGGTCCCATCAGGGCCGGGATGCGGAGCTTCAGGATCCGGAAGTATATGCCGAAGACGAGCTTCAGGGTCTCGGCTTGGTTCTTGTCTCGTTCCTCGTGCGACACCAGGGCGTCGGCTTCTTTCATGTCCTTCTCGACTATCTTGCGCTCCTTCTGCACCTTGCGCTCCCGCTTGGTGCGGAACTCGCGCTTCTGCTTGGGCTTCTTGCCGAAGGTGTTCTCCTCCTCCGGTTCGCGCTCGATGTGGTCTCTGGATGCCTTGGCGGAGAACTCGGACAGCAGCCGGAGGTAGAGGAAGGTGTCGAGGACGCTGTCGTGCATGCGGAATTCCTTCGCCTTCATCATCTTGGACAGCATGCGGACCGCCTCAAGCGACACGATCCCATCCTGGTCCCTTTGGAAAACCTCCTCCATTGTCTCGCGGCATTTGGCGAAATCGGCATCCACCTGTCTCCGGGCAAGACGGTTGACGAGGATCTTCAGCAGTTCGGCACGGAAGTTAAAGTGCGGCACGCTCAGGAGCAGGCTGCAGGCGCAGTTGATGGCAATGCTCTTCAGGCCGGCGTCGACCTGGGCCCCGTTCTTAGACGGCTTGGTGAGTTCCCCCAGCTTCTGGATGTAGCGCTTGTAGTTGGAGAGCAGCGTCTGCTCGAATGACCGGAGCTTGCGCACTTCCTTGGAGATTTTCGAGGACATGTCCTCGTCGCTGAGAGGCCGGATTCTGTACCCGGGGATCACATCCTTGTAGACGGCGGCCTGCGCGGCGATGGCGAGTTTCGCGATTGTGACGTGCGACGCATTGTCGACCATCTCGGCCATGGCCCGCAGCGTGGAGAGGTGTTCCTCGGGGTCCTCGTTGATCAGCGTGGCGTATTTCGCGAGGTCTTCCTTGGCTTGGATGATTTGCAGTTTGAGGGGGATCTTGGGCTTTTCTTCCTCGACCTCTTCCTCGTCATCCGAATCCGCATCCTCCATCTCCTCGTCGTCGTCGTCGGTGCCCAGGAAACTGTCGGACTCGTCCTCCACAGCCTCCGGCTCCTCCACATTCTGCAGCCCCGTGTCCGTCTTGATGGGCAGTCTGGTTCTCTCCTGGTCCTTCTTGCCCACCTTGCGCGGCCGGCGCTCGTAGTCCTGTTCGAGGTCCCATTCGGCGGCCTGGTCGTGGAAGTCGCCAATGGGGGCGGCACGAGCGGACTTGGAGCCCTTGTCCTCTTCGGCGGGGGGGCTGACCCTTCTTCTTTTCGTGGTGCGACCGGGCGCCATGGTGAAATCGAGGGTGGTGGAGGGAATTGGTGGGGAACAAGTCGAGAAGCACAAGATTCGCAGCCCGTGCAAAGTCCATGCGAAAGTCCGAAACTTTTTTTCTGCGGCGTTGCCAAGACCGGCCCTGGCCGCCCTGACCGCTTCGGGCGGCCGCTCCACCTTGTCTAGATTTTTTGTTCCCGCGGAGCTTCGTTTCCTGCGCATTCTCGCTTTTTGGTCACCCCGGGGTTTAGGCTGTTGCTCAGCGGACTTCCAAGATGCGTCAACTCACTGAAGGTTTGTGCTGTCGTTCCCGTTGTTGCTGTTGTTGTCGCGCTCGCTCTGGGTCCGGTGTCAGGGCGAGTGATATCGCATAGCTGCATGGTTCTGACCTGCTCGTTGATAGAGGAAACTCGTACCCTGTTCGAGAAGCTGGCCAACTATGTCGGCAGAGGACTGAACGAGTTGATCGCGCCGCCCTCCGGCTCGGAAGACCCCAATGAGCGCTACGTGTTCAGAATGCACCAGATGCGGGTCTACCACGTTAAGCTCGGCCTCGTTGGGCTCGCCACATCGATCCCTCGCGACAACCTGCTCTCGCTCGGCACCTGCGTCGGAAAGTTCACCAAGACCGGAAAGTTCAGAATCCAGATCACCGCGCTGGATCTCCTAGCGCCCCACGCTCGGTACAAGGTGCACATCAAGCCCAACGGAACGCAGCCTTTCCTGTACGGAGGAAACGTGCTGAAGGCGCATGTGGGACGCTGGAGCGAGGATTGCCCCGAGCACGCGGGTGTGGTGGTGGTGGACATGAACGATACACCCCTGGTAAGAGGAATCCGGGTCTCGGAGCATGGTTACAGAGGCTGATCGATAACAGGGATTCGGAGTGACTGCCCGCTCCAGCGCCGAGTCGCGGAAACTGGACCCCACGGCCATCTGTGTCTTCTCGCAAAGTGATATCGGAAACTATCTCCGCGACGTGAGTGAAGCCTGGAGCTTGAGATTGCCGGTTGGGTCGCTAACTCCTCGCAGGAAGATACTCTGTTTACGACCTAAGAGGGGGGCTTGCATACGCGGGATCGAACATGGGATTTTCATCATAGATACCGGGGGATTCTCGCAGGAGTTCTGGAGTCGTCTGTCTGTTCGTTTGGAAAAGTGTTTGAATTGTCTTCCGGCATTTGATGTCCTGCACCCTGTACGATATTGTCTGGCATTGGCTCGGGCTGGCTGTAAATGACTGGTGCTTGATAGCTGCAAGGATCTGCAATGTCGAGTTTCATCGACTGTCTGTCCATATTGCTCGTAACTCATAGGCATGGGCTATCTATACCGTTAACCACGACCTCAAACATGCCCGCGGCATGCGTCCCACACCGTATCTTTCCTCGGAGCAATGTAAATTCACCAAAAATATCCCTACACGTCAGTGAATCCAGCCGCGGCGAAAATAATGCCCTCGAAACCGCCGCGGGGACATGCATGGCCAGTACATGGGCCGTGGTGGGCGATGAGATGCGGGGCACGTGCACGGGCATCTCAGTCAGCGAGTCGCAATTCGAGTTTCCCCATCCAGCCATCCAGACACCAGAATTCAATCCAGCAGCGCAGCCAGAACCATCAGCCGGATTTGGGAGAACAGCCCTCATCGCCTCGCCACACCACCTCCCTCTGAGCGGGTTGATGACCGACCCTCCAACACATCCCACCCTCTCGACATCCCCCCGACTGCCCCTCCTCCTCCCTCGCGTCATCACCCAGGATCTCTACCCGCAGGCCACGGCGAGCCTCTCCCCCCACCATGCCGCCGTACTCTAGCGCCCAGAAGCAACAAATAATGCAATTTGTGAACCTGACTCAAGCCAAGGATGCCGTCGCTGCAAAGGTGCGCTCTGCTCTGCTTGTTTATTCTCGGGGGGCGATCGAGGCGTGGCGGACTCTCCTGCTTTGCTCGTCACGTGGTGCGGTAGGCTGACGGTGCATGCATGCATATAGTTCTTGAAAGCGGCCAGATGGAATGTGGAGGAGGCGATTGATGCGTGAGTACTGTCGATGCGGTTTGAGATTTTTTTTTGTTGTTGATGTGTATTGCGGTCTGTTGTTGCGAGGTCGTGGGGCCTGGATGTCCTCGTGGGTTCAGATGGTTGCTCGGTTTTTTGATATGTTGGCTCGACGTCTCGTTTGTCTGATGGTCTATCTACGCTTGGGATGGTCTGCAGGGTACGTCTTATTCGTTGGTCACTGGCGATTGGTCGGTTTCTATCTATATGGCGTTAAGCTTCGCCACACGGCTCTGCGGGCTACTTGGCGATACTCAACCTGGATCCATCCATCTTAAGCACAGCCCGAGATCTGCATTATCTGAGATGGATGCATGGGTGGCGTGCGATTTTCTTCTCATCAAGGCAAAGCAGATAAACGACCAGGGTGTTCTTGCACTTCAAAGGTCAAAAGGCCATTCCGCAGGCCACAGCCGGCTCGATATGGCGATGATGCCATTGCTGAGCCTCTTACGAATCCTGAACTTGAGCATTTGGACAAGCATGCTTGAGTCTACTCATCTTCTATGTTCAAACCACCATACTGATCACCGTCCCGGACCCTATCACAAGAGCGAAGAAAGACACCGGACAATGAGACGTCCAGCCTGCGTATCAACAACCACCACCCATCTGATATCACACTCACCACCCACGCCACCTTATATCCCCATTTCAACCCCCGAAAACAGCACACTAACCAACCCAGATACTTCCAAAGCCCCTCAGGGGCTGGAGGCAGCACATCCGCCCTGAACAAGATCTTCGACAGCTATCGAGGTTCGTCTCCCCCAGCTTACCTAGATATAACATTACCCCCAACCCCCCATCATACCCATACATATAGCTTCTAACCCCAATCGTAACCCCCAAACATGCCCATTCCCACACATAACATAACACACCATAATACATCACTAACAACCCCCAGATTCCCCCACCGACAACCCAGACGGCATCGGCATCGAAGGCGCCATGAAATACCTCGCAGACATCCAAGTCGAGCTCGACGAAGTGACCTGTCTGGGAATCGCCGAACTGCTCAAATCCCCATCCATGGGCGAATTCACCCGCGAGGGGTTCCTGAACGGGTGGAGAGCTACGGGGTGAGTCTCTCCCTCCCGCTCCCCCTACCCTTATCAACCATCCCCTTATTCCCCTCCTTCCCCCCCCCAACTAAAAAATCCATACCTAACAAAAAAAAAAAAAAAAGATCCGACACCCTCCCCAAAATGACCACCCAAGCCTCGCACCTCCGCACCTCCATCCCCAACCAACCGGACCTCTTCCGGCGTATCTACCGATACACGTTCCCACTGTGCCGGATGCAAGGGCAACGCAACCTGCAATTCGAGATCGCGGCCGAGCAATGGCGGCTGTTCTTCACGCCCGACAGCGGCGGCGTGCAGTGGAGTACCCCGACGACGCCGTGGCTGGACTGGTGGATTGAGTTTCTGGAGGAGCGCGGCAAGAGACCCGTCAATAAGGATCTGTGGGAGCAGTTGGAGGTGTTTATGCGGAAGTCCCGCGAGGATGAGGCGTTTGGGTGGTGGAGTGCGGATGGTGCGTGGCCCGGGGTGATTGATGAGTTTGTGGGGTGGGTGGGGAAGAGGAGGGGAGGGGGAAGGGGAGGGGGAGGGGGAGGGGATGGAGGTTGAGTAATTTAACCTGGTTGTGTTTTGGTGGGGAGGGGGGTAGGTAGGTAGGTAGGTAGATGAGATGAGATGAGATGAATGCATGGTAGGACTGCCCTTCTTTCTTTCTTTCTTTCTTTCTTTCTATTTATATTCTTTGCTCTACTGATTACTGATATTGTGCTATGCTGTGCTGTGCTGCGCTGCGCTAGGCATTTACAGAGGTACGGTTATGGGTACAGGTTATGAACGGAATAAAAGTGTAGAAAGTAGAAATATGGATATTTTATTGGAGTCGAACCGACATACTATTGCGACAGGGATAGGATGGTAACAAAGAGATGGCTAGTTGTTGATCATTAACCATCGGGATGTTGGGTAGTTGGGTAGTTAGCTGCTTGTTGGTTGGTTGTGGTGGTGGTGATGGTGATGGTGATGGTGGTTGGTTGTAGTATGTGGATTGATCTTCAGGGTGAAAATAGAACAGTAAAAAAAAAAAAAAAAAAAAAAAAAGGAAGAAAAAAAGCGGGAAAACACATCATCATAAATGCAGTCAAACATATCTTCATCTCAATGCCAGAGCTAAATGATGACGAATATGTCCGGTCAAATTAGGTTGTCATAGGGATGTAGATGGGATGGGGGGGGAATAGTTGTCGTAGGCTGTCGGGACTCGGTTGTGTCTTCCGACGTCGGAAGGCTCAGGCCCGAACGGGTATTCGGCATCGCGATCAGACACTGACAGACACGGCTCGGGAGTCAGGTATGCGGGATGGATGGTCTATTTACATCGTCTACCGGTAGTCGCCCTTGTCGTACTCGCTGCCGGGACCGCGGCGCTGGTCGTAGCGCTGTTTTTTGTCAGTATCTGTTTTTTTTTTTTTTTTTTGAAAGGAGAATAAATGATGGATGGATACCTTTTTGAGGGCTTCCAGACGCTTCTTCTTGGTGTGCGTGTTGACGTAGGTTCCAATGACGAACCCGATAATGTTGAAGAACGGCACCCAGGTGTGCTCCGGGAGGAACTTCTGGGCGAACGCCAGCGCGATGGGCGAGGTGACCCAGCTGACCTTCATGACGGGCATGAAGCCGGCGCGGACGGTGGCGCGCACCTGGTGGATGGTGCGCGCGCCCGCGATGACCGCCATGGAGGTCAGATACACGGCGTTCTGGATGGGGGAGACCTGCGTCGCGTTAGCACAAGCGCCCTGGTTTGGTCTGTTCAGACGGACGATTCGATCGGGTCGATCGACGTACCAGAAGGTTGCTGGCGAGGATCTGCAGCACCTTGGCCTTCAGACTGGTGCGGCCCGCGAAGACGCGCTGCAGGATGCCGATGAGGAAGTGGCCCAGCGGGGCGCTGATGAACATTCCGTACAGCACCATCTTGGGCACGCGGGCGCTGAAGTAGTGGCCGTGCTTGCTGACATCATGCGCGATCCACGACGCCAGGAATTCTTGCAGCCCCGACAGCACACCCGAGGTCAGCATCTTCGTGCGCAGCGGGTTGGACTGCAGTTGGCGCAGGTAGAGCTGTCATCATCGTCCCCGGCCTCCGTCAGCGACGCCGCACGCCCGGGGGAGTATAGGTGGAACCTACGGTGAGGTAGCCTTCTCCGGTCAACCGTTCGCCGACCTTGTGTACCAATTCCTTTGTGTCCTCGCGGATGGAGGTGATGGCCTCATCTTGGAATTTGACGGACATGGTTGTGGTTGTTGCGGTGGTAGTGGTGGCTGGGAGGCGAGTTAAGCGCGCGCAATATGGGGTCAACCAGGACGAACGGAAGGATAAGGACGGTATTGGTGTTGACTAGGCGAAGATGGCGACCGAGTCAGCGAAGCGAGAAATGAGGGGGGACACCACAATGGGACGGAAGTAGATAGGTGGTGGTGGTGGTGGTGTGTGGTGTGGATGAATGATGGGGAGAAGTGGAGTGGAGATGGAAAAGAGGGAGGAGGAGTGAGATTGAGAGAATCGGGACAGGAAATATGGGGTTGGGGTTGAGGGAAGATGCGGAAGACGACAGGCAAGATGAGCTGTCCCGCGCGCCCTCCAGGGGTTGGTTGGTTTGGCTTTGCTTAGCTTGGCTTGTTTACGCCGCGCGAGGGACGGCGACGCTATCGGGAACTGCACCACCACTTACCGAGGTCGGAGGCGAGAATTGCAGGTCTGGCTAGAGAGATAGGTTAACATCCACGGAACGAACAACCGGTCCAGGCACGCACTGACTGAAGCCAAGGGAGCTGAAAGAACAACAACACGAGGCCGGCAGATGGCGATCGCTGCTTTATAGCCGGTTTGATAGCCTGTTCGGGCGGCCCGCCTTTCGGTCACCTCCGACATCTCCGCCCCTCTGGACGCGGCTGCCCGCGAGGCAATTTCCTGCACCGGTCTGATATGATTTGTTGACCGCTGGTATAAATATCAAGTGTTTTCTCTGGGTATTTGTCTTTATCTTCTTTCTTTCTTTTTTATCAGACTGTACAGTAGAGATGCAAGTAGGTTGGCTTGATGGTTGCCAAGATGTCGACGAAGACAGCCTCTGTGCGGCAGGAGCACCAAGGGAGAGCCCGGAAGCCCTAAACACCGCATGCTGTGCAGGCAGAGAATGGCAGAAGGGCTTCTCTCACCGGTATGTTCTTAAGGTGCACATCTTGATTGATTTCCCCCGATTTCAGTTATCTATCCACTAACACTCCCCAGGTAGAATTATCTGTTTATCCAAGTATCCGTTCGTGTACATGATACTATGTAGAAAATCAAGGTACTTTAAGAATACCAGCTTGGTGGTCTTTCTGTACCTTTCTTGCCAATCCAGTTGGTTATAACCACTCAGTCAACCGGGATTTCCTTTGCCATAGTCCACCCACTGCCCCCAGATACCACCATGACGTTACGCCGCCACGGCGACAGGGCGACAACCGTTGCGTTGACGCTGTTCACTGTGGCCGCCAAAACGAGCCTAGCACCGTGTGATGAGAAGAGGAAAACTGCCAGACGTGATCTCTCTGTCCTGTCATTCTCACTCGCCTCATTGCCCCATCCTTGTTTTCGTTGATCACGTCCAGAGTTGTCTTTCTCGTGCCAGCACCTTTTCTCTACGCAGTCTCGGCCAGTCCTCCGTCATGTCCGACAACGAGGAGAATTCTGAGCAGCCTCCGGAGGGAGAGAATGACTCGTCGGAAGACTGCGTCCCCTCGTACAGTGAGAGAGTCCCCTTCTATCTTGACCCCGCAGTGGCCGACCATCTAGTCGCCCACCAGGATTACACCAGAGCCCCCCTGTTCGACCCGTACTGGGAAGAGGATGAGGACAGCGCCCGCCGCCGGGGACAGAGATACTGCAAACACGATGTGATGGTTCGCGAGTACGCTATCGACGAGTACGAGACGTGTGAGTCGTGTGGTCGAGTCCCCGCGCTGCGATGGTTCTATCGTTGCGACGTGGACAACTCTGGTTTTTCGCATCAGATGGAGCCCGGCCACGAGCCGGTGCTGAGTCCTGCCATCTCGAACGCCATCGACGCGGGCCATTACACTCCCTTGCAGACGAAAAGTGTTCGGTTCCAGAAAGAAAGAGTTGTGCAGGTGGCCGCGGCCGACAACGACATGCCGGTTCCGCAGTTCGAAACTGGGGAGGTCATAGAGGGGATCGAGCAAGATGACGAGGATGACTACGAGAACCCTCAGGTTGACTTTGTTGAGGATATCGCCCAAGAATTTCTCGCTTCTTCCGCGACTGAGTCTTCGATCGTGTCGCTTTGTCCACCAGGCCCTCGACCCCAGTGCAGCTACCGGGCTTGTCATCATTGTTCCTCTCGGTACCAGGAAAAGGCCTGGGCAAGTCTTGACGAGGTCCTCAATGATAAGGCGGTCGATGCTCCAACTGCGTGGGACCTACGACAGCTGTCTGTTTCCGATGTTAGGGTTGTTCGCACCCTGGGCACCCGTCCAGCGTATGATCCCTACGATAGCGGCTCCCCCTCGCCTGTTGATATATCCGTTAGCTCGCATCCTCCATCTTTTGACTCGTCCGACGACTCTTGCCCTTCGTCTGTCGAGCCATCTCCCTCGGTGAATGAATCGTGCATTGACACTCCGCCCTCGCCTGTTCAGTCTTCTCCCGTCACCCAGGAGGAGTGGAGGTCTTCTCATCCCCCTGGTCTGGATGCGGGTTCGTCGGAAGAGCCGTCGCAGGAAGAAGGCAAGAGCTCTGAGTCCCTTGGCTCTGATTTGTCTGGTCCATCCGTCGAGCCCTCGCGTGGTGATGGGGAACACAAGAGCTCCCAGACCCCTGATCCGCCTGCTAGTTCGTTTGTCGGGGCTTCGCATATCGAACTGGAGAGCTTTCAGCCTCCTGACTTGCCTGAAACCTCGTCTGCCGGGCCCTCGCAGGATGAGTGCAAGAGCTCTGGATCCCCCGATTCGCCTGCTACTTCGTCATCCGAATCCTCACAGAATGAGAGTCAGATCTCTCACCCCCCTGCACTGCCTGCGAGCTCGTCGGTCGGGGCCTCACACACCGAACTAGAGAGTTTCCAACCCCCCGACCTGCCTGAGAGTCCGTCGTCCGGGTCTTCACTGGATGAGCGTGAGGTTTTTCCCCCGTCTGACCCCGACTTGCCTGAGAGTTCGCCAGCCAGGCCCTGGTATGAGGAATGGATGAGCTATCGCTCATATGATTCGGACTCGGATGCAAGCTCGTCGGACGAGGCCTCGGAGTATGAGCTGGAGAGCCTTCACTGTCCTGACCACGATCTGCCTGGTAGCTCATCAGCCTGGCCCTCGCCTTACGATTATGACGACGACGATTCAAAAAGCTCTTACTCGCAGGACGAATTGGAGAGCTTCCCCCTTGACCATGACGCACCTGACAACAATAATGATGACTCCGACTCCGACTCCGACTCGAAGAGCTCCTACTCACAGGATGGAATGGACTCTCAGTCCCCCACCCCCGACCAAAGCGAGTATATCCCGATATACTATGAAGGGGACACCTTCTCCACCACCACCACCACCACCACCAGCCGCGGCGACGGTGAAGCGTCCACGAGCGAGGAATATTATTATCGAAGGTACCTTCCTCCCTCCGCACCCCAGAGTGAAGCCTCCAGTTCGTGTGACGATACCCCGGGACCCATCCAAGGGTTCATCCACAGATACATATTAGCGCCGCTTGCTGAATTCTTCGCGTCACACTGTAGCTTCGTCGGATCCATCGCCGGACTATTCCGTCGGCCTCCTCCCGCGCCATCTCCCCCTCCGCACCAATTCATCCCGGATTGGCTGACCCAGCAGGCTGGAGCGGCGCCCGAAGACCCCCCCGACAACGCGCAGCCCTGCGTCGCCTCCCCCCCTTTCGATCCCATCCTTACGATTACATCCGCGCTAGAAATAGCATCTACCGCCATCCTAAATACCGTCCCCCTAGGACTGAGGAGGAGAGGGAGAGGGTGAGGAGGAAGGTTCCCCTGTGCACCGTGTTTGAGACTTGGCCTGGGGAGGAGTATGATACCGATGGGGATGTGTATGAAGATGAGGATGGGGTTTATGAACTGACGAGGGGACAGCCTCGCGATGGAGATGACAGTAGTGATGGAGGCGAAGATGGCGCGGCGGTGAATTAAAAGTGACAGTGACGGTGACGGGTTCGTGATGCTTTTCGGCAGGCGGATCCGGGTTTACTACATATCGGTCTTGTTGGATCTCGTTCACACACAGTGAGGGTGGGATGACATCTTGTTATGATATGATGATCATGATGACGACGGTTTAATACGGGTTTTTTTTTCTTTTTCTTTTTTCTCTTTCTTTTTGTCAGAGGTACATTCCCAGGGCACTGAGCGTGTCGATAATCCCGGTAGTGATGCGAATAATGTGAACAATCAATCTAATCTTCCGTGTCTCCGCTCGGCATCCACCATTCCGAGCCAATTCCGAACCTCGGCTCGCGCCAAGCAGATGCTAATCAGATGCAGATGATCACCGGCCGTCCGCCTGATAAAGATCCGTCCGTCCTTTCCGTGCCCGCCATCGGAATGTTTGCAACTATCTAGTATCTACACTACATATCACTCTCGGAGTAAAGCACCATGGCGGAACCGGAACGCTCCCCTGACGTCTCTGCGCACGTTGCTGTCGCTGCTGAGCCCGACAGCGACAAGCTCGGTGAGGGGAACCCGGTGAGTCCTGCGGGGGACCCAGCATCACCATCACCGACACCGAAATCGCCGAGATCCTCACCCCTCAGTACCAACGCTCGACACAGGCTGCTGGCAGCGCTACGAGCAGCGGACTTTACAGTCGGGCGTGTAGCCAAGTATGTCCCCCTCCTCCTTCTCCTCCTCCAAACACAACACCTCACTAACAAATTCCCAAACAGACTCACATCCACCTCCACCGGCCAAGAACGCGTCTTCGCCATAACCGGCTACCTCGCCCACGTCCTACACCACATCCTCGTCTCCGCCCCATGGCTGGCCCTTCTCGCGCGCCTGCGCCGCTCCCCCTCCCCCTCCCCCTCCTCCTCCTCCTCAAAACCCCCACCTCCCCTTCATCCCCCCTCCTCTCCCTCTCCTCCCTCATGTCCGAAACCCGCTTCACCCTGCGCCTACTCGACCTCGTCCCCCTATGGACCTGGGGCTCCTCGACCCTGAAACACCCCCCGGCAGACCGCACAATCTACATCCTGACGCTGCTGCAGGTCCTCGCCAACGTGGTCTACCAGGCGCTCGAGAACGTCGCGTTCTTGGCGAGTAAGGGTGTCGTCTCGAAGAGGTGGATCCAGCGTTGGGGGGGCGTGGATGCTTGGTATATCTGGAGTACGAGGGCTTGGTTGGGACATATTGTTTTGCAGTTTGGGGTGTTGTGGAGGGGGAGGGTTTTGTATGGGAGGAGGTTTGGGGGTGGGGCTGGGGCTGGGGATAAGGCAGAGGCAGATTCAGAAGAGGAGGAAGAGAAGAGGAAGGAGATCCGCGCGTGGAGAAAGAGTCTGGTGAATAATCTCTGCTGGGCGCCGTTGTGTCTCCATTGGTGCTTTGAGAAGGGTATTGGGTTTCCGGAGCATTTGACCGGTTTGGTTAGTTTTATGGCCGGCGCGTGGGACTTTGGGGATTCGTGGGCGAGGACGGCCGTGTAGGGATAGTAAGTACATCTGCTGGGATCTTGTGTATCTTATGATCTGGTTTCGTTTGATCTGGCTGGGTGGGTGGCTGGTTGAGTTTGTTTGATGGGGGGGTTGTTGGGATTGTTTTTGTTTGAGCGTTCGTTTTTTTTTTTTTTGTTTGGGGGATGGTGGGTGGTGGTGGATGGTGGCAGGGTTGGATAGATCTGCCTGGAATATAGATCTACTGGATATAGATCTACCGGATATAGATCTACTGGATATAGTAGATCTACAGAACCTACATCTACTTGAACCGGTTCGTGTCTGATCTCGCGGTGTATTCGCTCGCTATTCTAGGTATCTTGTAAGCAATAAGCCAAAAGCCAAAGCAATATAGTACATATGGATATCAATCCGTAGATCTCCTCTCCCGCCTCCAAACACCCCGTCCAATCCGCATTGGAGATCCAGCAACCTCACCAGCAACCCATCAACCCCGTTTCCCCCCAACATCTCCCACAGCTCCTCATCGCCTCACCTACTCCAACAACCTCGCCATCTGAGCCCGACGCATATTCTCATAAAACGCCCCGGCCACAAACTCATCGACCTCCCAATTCGTCCCCACCACAGGCACCAAGCCCTCCTCGCAGGCCCCATCCTTCCAAGCAAACGCCCCGGCATCCACCTCCCTCTCGCTCCTCGTCACCACATCCTCCTCCACCCCCTCGAACACCTCCACCCGCACCTTCACACCCACCAACTCCATCAGCCCCGCCTCAAACTCATAAATCACATTCCGCTGCTCCTCGTTCAGTCCGAAGATCAGCATCCCCTCCACCGCGTCCCCCGGGTCCCTGGACGGGAGCATGACGGGTGGGTCGTGCGGACTGGGCAGGTAGAGCTTGTAGCCTGCCAGAGTTGCGCGGGTCATGCGCGAAACCATGTCGGTGGATTGCGGCTCGTCCAGGATGTATTTGAGGGCTGTGGGGAGCTTCAGGACCCCGTAGACGAAGCGCGGGGGGCTGGTCGTTGCGTTGAGGAGGGTATTGAGGGTTGTGGGCGTTGGGGTGTGGTGTAGGGCGCAGAGGTAGTCCATGGGATAGTGGGGTTGGGGGTCCATGGTGGATGGTCAAGTCACTGGGCTGATTGGACTGGACTGGACTGGACTGGACTCAGACTGGTGGACTGTTTCTGAGGGAAGGAGCGACTACCCCTGGGTACCAGGACACAGAATCAAACGAGTGGTACTGGTACTGGTACTGAGTGAGTGGGTACTCTGGGGTAGAGACCCCGGTGAAGTGAGATGTTGTAGCTTTTTTGGAGAGGGGCAAAAAGAGCGTAAGATGAAGATATTAAACTGCGATATTTTCGGTATCTGTGATGTTAATGTGGGTTTGAGAAAAAAGGAGGCATGTAGGTGATGATGATGTAGCTGCACAAATCATTATAGAGTCATGATGATGATGATGGCATATTTATACCACTCTATGATCTCACTCGCTGAGTACCAAAACCACGCCGCAACCCACTGCACAATGGCAACGCCCTGACCACCAGCTGCTGCTGCTGGCGGTATTGACCGCAGCCACAAGGCTTTGCTGTGAAGCATGTCATGTCTACTACTGGACGAGCCGTATAAAGAAGCGTCTGACAAGGCAGTCCCCCCAGGCGGCTCAGTGCAGCGGAAATGCCCTGGGGGTGAAAGCAGCCTAGCGCCATGGCTGCCTGAGCTGCTACGTACCTATGTAGGTTGTCGCAGGTCAGTAGCAGTAGGCAGTAGGCAGTAGTAGTCATGAATGATGACGGTAGGCTGGAGTAGCAGCCTGAGGCACCAACGGGCGGCGCAGCGACGGGCGCCAGGCCGACGCTAAGTATGCTGGATGGGGAGTCTCGTCTCCAGCCCACCCAGGGAACAAACCGCCAGGCATGGTTCAATCCTGGCAGGAGTCGAAGCTTATAAAGCAGGGCCGTAGGGAGGGCATTCCGGGTGGGACGAAGTAAATCATCAGCAGCAGCAGCAAATAGGCAAGATGGTTAACTACTGGTTACAATGATAATGTAAACAGTGGGGACGACCGGCTTCCATGGGCTTCTGTCCGCGGGCGGTGGCGGGCGGCAGCATCTGCAACAGCTTAAGTCATCAGCCACGGCAGGGCCTGGCACTATCGTCACCTCTTAACCTCTTAACGGAGCTCTCTCTCGCCATCCTCCGCTCTCACTTCCAACTCTCCCCACTCTCTCTCCCCCATCTCCCCCCCCCCACCAAATCTATTCCGTCCCTCAGGCATCGTCTTCAGTCTGGTGGGATTTGTTTCTCCGTTTCCTGCTCCCTTTTCCGACCTTTTGACCCCCGTCCCTGTCGCAGAGCTGCCCAGTTCCCACTCCAGCGACACCGTTCCTGCATACGTTCCTGAGTGCCTACGTTGCTTTACGCGCCGGATCCATCACCCGTCAAGATGAGCGCCGAACCCGACCACTCCCACGAGAAGAAGAGGGTGAACCTCAAGTATGTCTGCATCTGGCGGTTTTTCTGATTCCGAGTCCCTGGTGCTAATCTCTTTATCCGCACAGTGACGCCTCCGGCGCCGAGAAGAAAGAGGTAGCCCACGCCCATCCGTACACCCCAGACCCCCAAGGTCCTTCAGCGATACTGACACGTTTCTGCCTCCAGGAGCTCGATACCTCCACCGCTATTCTCAAGAAGAAGAAGAAGATCAACTCGTTGATGTAAGATAGACAGCGTTGCTATTCGTGCGGGGACCCGGGACTGACATCTTCTAGCGTCACCGACGCCGTCAACGATGACAACTCCGTCATCGCCCTCTCCAACAACACAATGGACGCTCTGCAGCTGTTCCGCGGTGACACCGTCCTTGTCAAGGGCAAGAAGCGCAAGGACACCGTTCTGATTGTCCTGGCCGACGATGATCTCGATGATGGCAGCGCCCGCATCAACCGTGTTGTCAGGCACAACCTCCGTGTCAAGCACGGCGATATGATCACCGTCCACCCTTGCCCCGATATCAAATATGTAAGTTTGCGTCATGTCCCCCACTTGTATCTGGTTTGGCTGTGTCTGGTTCACTTCATGTCTGGCTCGTTCATGTCTAACTAACCGCTCTTACAGGCCAAGCGTATTGCTGTCCTCCCCATCGCCGACACCGTCGAGGGCCTGACCGGCTCCCTCTTCGACGTCTTCCTCGCCCCCTACTTCCGCGAAGCCTACAGACCCGTCAGACAGGGAGACCTGTTCACAGTACGAGGTGGTATGAGACAGGTCGAGTTCAAGGTCGTCGAGGTGGATCCCCCAGAGTACGGTATCGTCGCCCAAGATACTGTCATCCACTGCGAGGGTGAGCCGATCCAGCGCGAGGATGAAGAGGGCAACCTCAACGAGGTTGGATACGATGACATTGGTGGCTGCCGCAAGCAGATGGCCCAGATCCGTGAATTGGTCGAGCTGCCCCTGCGTCACCCCCAGCTGTTCAAGTCCATCGGTATCAAGCCCCCTCGTGGTATCCTCATGTACGGCCCCCCCGGTACCGGTAAGACCCTGATGGCTCGTGCCGTGGCCAACGAGACCGGCGCCTTCTTCTTCCTGATCAACGGTCCCGAGATCATGTCCAAGATGGCCGGTGAGTCCGAGTCCAACCTCCGCAAGGCCTTCGAGGAAGCCGAGAAGAACTCTCCCGCCATTATCTTCATCGACGAGATCGACTCCATCGCCCCCAAGCGTGAGAAGACCAACGGAGAGGTCGAGCGCCGTGTCGTGTCTCAGCTCCTGACCCTGATGGACGGCATGAAGGCCCGCTCCAACGTCGTCGTCATGGCCGCCACCAACCGTCCCAACTCGATCGACCCTGCCCTCCGCCGTTTCGGCCGTTTCGATCGTGAGGTCGACATCGGTATCCCCGACCCCACCGGCCGTCTGGAGATCCTGTCCATCCACACCAAGAACATGAAGCTGGGCGAGGACGTCGACCTGGAGACCATTGCCGCCGAGACCCACGGTTACGTCGGTTCCGATCTGGCGTCTCTCTGCTCGGAGGCTGCCATGCAGCAGATCCGTGAGAAGATGGACCTGATCGATCTCGACGAGGACACCATCGACGCGGAGGTCCTAGACTCCCTGGGTGTGACCATGGAAAACTTCCGCTACGCCCTGGGCGTGTCCAACCCCTCCGCCCTGCGCGAGGTTGCCGTCGTCGAGGTGCCCAACGTCCGCTGGGAGGACATTGGTGGTCTGGAGGAGGTCAAGCGCGAGCTCATCGAGAGTGTGCAGTACCCTGTCGACCACCCCGAGAAGTTCCAGAAGTTTGGTCTCTCTCCCTCCCGTGGTGTTCTGTTCTACGGTCCTCCTGGTACTGGTAAGACGATGCTTGCGAAGGCTGTGGCCAACGAGTGTGCGGCCAACTTCATTTCGGTCAAGGGACCTGAGCTGCTGAGCATGTGGTTCGGTGAGTCCGAGAGCAACATCCGTGATATCTTCGACAAGGCCCGTGCCGCGGCCCCTTGCGTTGTGTTCCTGGATGAGCTGGATTCGATCGCCAAGTCCCGTGGCGGCTCTGTCGGCGATGCTGGCGGTGCTTCTGACCGTGTTGTCAACCAGCTCCTGACCGGTAAGTTTTTTTCTCGCGGTGTTTCCTGTGGCAGTGGCTAATCAATTTAGAAATGGACGGTATGACCTCCAAGAAGAACGTCTTCGTCATCGGTGCGACCAACAGACCCGAGCAGCTCGATGCCGCCCTGGTCCGTCCCGGCCGTCTCGACACCCTGGTCTACGTTCCCCTGCCCGACCAGGCGTCCCGTGAGGGTATCCTCAAGGCGCAGCTGCGCAAGACGCCCGTGGCGTCCGACGTCGACATCCCCTTCATCGCCAGCAAGACCCACGGGTTCTCCGGTGCCGATCTGGGCTTTGTCACCCAGCGCGCGGTCAAGCTCGCGATCAAGCAGTCCATCAGCGCGGACATTGAGCGCACGAAGGCGCGCGAGGCACAGGGCGAGGATGTCAAGATGGACGACGAGGAGGTCGACGAGGAGGACCCGGTGCCGGAGCTGACTCGGGCGCACTTCGAGGAGGCGATGAAGTCGGCCAGACGGTCAGTCAGCGACGTGGAGATCCGCCGGTACGAGGCGTTTGCGCAGAGCCTGAAGAACTCGGGCGGCAGCAGCTTCTTCCGGTTCCCGTCGGCGGGCGAGGTCACGGACAACAACACGTTCGGCGAGGCCGGCAATGACGACAGCCTCTACGACTAGGTCTTACGTTTTCAGTTATCTATGAGCTAGAAGCAGCGGGTTTACGCGGGAGATGGCTCGGATCCGCCTTGGTTTATTTCTTTTGATGAGATTGCATACAATGCCATAATAGTTAAGAATGTTGCACTTGTAGTAGTTCAGAATGGTGTACTTGTAGACAGTAAACTCTGACCCGAGTATAGCAGCCATTAGACGTGCATACGTGCATACGTACATACTAACTATTGTGCAAAGATCATACCAGACATTAACTGTCGTGCATTACTTACTGTTATAACTGTTATACAAACCCCCCATAGCTGGTATCAAGGTAGAGAAGATATTATAAAAAAAAAAAAGGCACACCAAACTCCAATCTGACACGATACCTCAACGCCACGCCATGCCATAAGCAAACCCCCTCCCTCCCTTCCTCCCCTCCAACGCACAGAAAGAGAGAAGGGAGAAGAGAGAGAGAGAGCACCACCTACTTCCCCTTCGCCTTCACCTTCTTCTTCACCCCGGGACTGGCCGTGCTCCCCGACTTCCCAGTCCCTTTCTCCTTCTCCTTCTCCTCCTTCTTGTCCTTTTCTCTATCTTTATCTTTATCCTTCTCACCACCACCACCACCACCCCCCTCCTCCTTCCCTCCAGTATGATTCCCATGTCCCTCCTCCGCCAAAATATCCCCCTCATCCTCCACCTCCAGAACAACCACCTCCCTCAACACCTCCTTGATCGCCCGCACTCCTTGTTCCACCACCACCTGCGGGATGCGTACGTCCTCATCCCCGGCCCCAATACCCGCTGCTGTATTATCCCCACTCCCACTCCCATTCCCATCCCCATCCTCCCCACCATTATCATGATCACGATCATGATCGTTATCATTATTATGATTGTTGGCGTCGGTGCTAGTATTGGCATGGCCATTCGAAGAAGTAAGAAACGGATGTCCCCTCCCCTCCGCCGACGCAACCACCGCATCGAACACGTCCTCGAACCGCTCGCATCGTCCCCCGCGAAGGAGCTCTTGCGCGAGACGTCGGATCTTTTCTGTCCAGCCGAGCCGTTGTAGGCTTGAGAGGAGAGTTGTGTGTAGGTCGTCCAGGGCAGGGGTCGCGGTTAGGTGGGTGAGGAGGTCGGATTCCAGCGGGGTGGGCGTGGGGGTCGTGGTGGTGGTGTTGGTGTTGGTGGTGGTGGTGGGGTGCGTTGTGCTGGGGGGTTTGGGGGACGAGGGCATTTTGGGGTGGTGGTTTGGTTGCGTGGTTGCGTGGTCGGATGGTGTACGCTGTGTGTATGCTGTGCGTAGGGTGGGAAGTGTGGGTTGTAGGGGGGATTGTATGGTCGGTCGGGGTTGTAGGTTGGAGGTTGGAGGTTGGAGGTACGTAGGTAGACACTACGTATGTCGCGGATTATACGCAATGGGTAGATGGGTAGGTGTAGGTAGGTAGGTAGGAGGCACCTATGCGAAAGCGATAAACTCCTTTGTCGTCCGTCGTCCGTCGTCTGTCGCGCTCCTACTTCTGCTTCTGCCCCCCGCGCAAAGTCGCAGGTAATGTATGCAGTACGCGTATGATATCAATATCCGCCTCCGAGTCCGAGTCTGACTGAGTCTGGGTCCGAGTCCGACTCTGTATATCGGGTACGCGAGCGACGCTTCGTCTGGACCCTGCAGGGCCTGGTAATCCCCGTGGTAGGTGGGCAGTGATGTGGTGTGGTGTGTCGACAGACTGACTGGCTTGGCTGGATGCGATCGATCGCGGCGGTTAGCTTCTCGCTTGCTTGCGCGAGGGTTCGAGTGAGCGGTGGACTTACCTGGTCGGAGTCTGGGGTGTGGGGTCTGGTGATAGATTCGGGGTGCTGGCAGGGTGAGGGAGGGAGGAGGGGAGAGCTGGTCTGGTTGGGGCGAAAATGTTGGTTGGTTTGGTTTGGTTAGTCTGGGTCGGAGTCTGGGGAAGTGGAAGAGAAGAGAGAGGAGAGAGGCTGGTCTGGGCGGACGGAGTCTGCGCAGGAACCGCCGATAAGGACCGGTGCGGTTGGATGGGGGGGGGGGGGTTAAGGGGAGGGGATAGAACTTGTAATTCAATTGGACTGGATTACTTAATTGATTTTGTATCCATTAAGAATTGAATTGGTGTTGATTAGGCTGGATAATAAATAATATTGAATGGGTGGTGGTCGCATCCTTCATTCAGGGATGTATGTACGGAGTAGACTGTGGATCTAATAACACCGTTAATAGCATGATTATAGGTAGGTGGATTATTCGGGGTCTAATTATCTGATATTGAGGCAGTGGACACATAGAGCCTATAATATTATAGTAATGTTTGGGTGTATAGCATCAACCCTATATACCAAAGATGGGTGGGTGGGTATAAGAAGGAGGGTATCATGAATGCGCCTACACTATACCTCCCATCCACGCGCAATCAAACCACTCCACTCACTGACTCCTATTAGCCCATCTCGACGGTCGGCACACGCCGGATATTCTGACCAGGGCTCGTCCAGAAGCGCCGCGCCAGGCACCTGATATTAATAGCACGCAGCTGGCGCTTCGAATGGACCAAGAGGCAATCATTGCGCCGGAGTGGGTTACATACATACAATACAATGCACCACACCAGTAGCTGTGTATGGCTCCACTGCAGCGCTGCAGTGCAGAATGATTGACTTGGCTGCATTTCGGTCGGGCTGTATACATGGAGAGAATGTTCATGTCTTACAGAAATTGTGGGTGCTGGGGTGAGGGAAGGCATAGGATAGTGTACGTGTCCTGGTTTTTAAAAAATAAAATAGCGCTGCCATCCATGCCATGCCAATGCCATGCCACAGGGCTGTTTGTTACAGTTACCGTGACACCTTGGGTGATGCGCCAAGAGAGGCAGGCGGATTGGGCCAATCATTGCAGTCCAACCAACGCAGGTGGTAGGTCTTTCCTCTCTAGGTATAGGGAAATAGATATATAGCTATTCAAGGAGCAAAAATCAACTTCATGCTCACACGCGGATTCGAACCGCGGACCTCATGATTACTAGTCATGCGCTCTACCAACTGAGCCATGCGAGCTGATTGGTCAATATTTTGAGAGGTTGGATTTATATTCAGTGACTAAGGGCATACAGCAAATGGTAAAAAGTTGATGCTCACACTCGGATTCGAACCGAGGACCTCATGATTACTAGTCATGCGCTCTACCAACTGAGCCATGCGAGCTGGTATGGAATTGGCTGCGTAATTAGTGCGTTATGATCCTGCAAGACTGTTACTAAGGTATCTCTGTGTTGCCCGGATAAGGCACCCATGCATGTCTTCGCGGTTGGGTTGGCTGACCAATTGGGTCTGTTTGATCTGGATATAATTATGCAGTCTGAGAGTAACTGGTGATCCATTTTCCGATTATCCTGGGTCGTGGATTCTATAAGTATTGTAGGGCTTTCTCGTCTCGTTGCCCTAGGAGTTTACAGGCCTGGTTGGTATATATTTCCTGCTACCACACTGTATGGTTGGAGCAATATTCAACAAATCAAGGCAAAAGAGCGACTCTAGCCACCAAACCATCAGACAACAACTCATTTCAAGCTACGAGGCAAATTATGATGACAGTGGAACCTCAAGGCGCCGTAACAATGATCAGCGTCCAAAAACCACAAGAGGAAGAAACAAAGGAGCATTGCCAAGAGCTGTGACAATGTATCATGTATGTACGTCAGTCCCACTCAACGACACGCGCTTATTTCTGCCTATTGGCTTGGAAGTAAACAAAAGGGAGAGAGATCCTAGCGATCCAGGTAGTTGATATTGATTGTACTCGGTGTGTAGATTCCGAAATATGCGCACGTAGTACGGAGTAGATAGCGGACGCGGATAAAAGAAGTGAGTAGCGTGCCGTGCTCTGCTGAACAAGGTAATTCCCTCAGGTACGCAGTACATCATCATGATGATGCTTTCCGTCGGAAACAAACCGTGTTTCTTGATTGGACAAAAAGAGTAGCACAGCACACAGGACAGCAGGGATCTCTAGTATAGCTCGCCACATCAAAAGATAGGTATAGGTAGATAGATAGATATAAGGACTCGAACAAAAACAAAAAGGAAATGCTCTCACGCGGATTCGAACCGCGGACCTCATGATTACTAGTCATGCGCTCTACCAACTGAGCCATAAGAGCAGTTGATGTGAGCTACTGTAAACCCAGAGATTATATCCTGCCAGCCACGTGCTTTTTCCACATGCGTTCGTTCCCTTCCCTGCCATCCAAACAAATCAAACAAGCAAGCAACCTTCATTTCAACCAGACCCAACAACCGAAACATCCAACAACCTCGTCGGAATCACCCTACAGTAGACACGAAAAAAAAAAAAAAAAAAAAAAAAAAAAAAAAAAAAAAAAAAAAAAAACCATCACACCTCTACTAAATTTATCCCTTAGATCCAACCATCCAACACACCTATCTATCTACCTAGTACCCACACCCATCTTAATCCGGCAGAAAGCAAGCGCTCAAGTGGGAACGAACACTAGTCTACCCGACCACTAATTCGCCGTTATCAAGGAGCTGTGCTATATCCGGAGATCTGTATGTCGGTCAGTGGATGCGCAGGAGCAGCCAGCAGCAGACAGGATAGGACGGGATAGTATCTCGTTGGCGCGGAAGGCTGGCACGCCGCTCAGCCACATGTTCGTGTAAGGGCGCTCATGCGTGCCAGGGATGGGTGTGTGACAGCCCGACCAGACTCGAGGGATACAGATACAGATGCAGATGCAGATGGCTGGGTGGTCGTGCAGTTGCAAGGGATGGATGGGCCGGTGCTTTGATAAGATGCGCTTTTTGAGTACTCCGTACTCCGTACAGTATGGGGGAATGTGAGGGTTAGATGTATTGATCCAAGCTGGTAAGTTGAGGCGGGGAGTGCTAGATAGATACTACAAGTCTGTCCGTGTCACGGGTCAACCCTGCTTTGTCCGGGAAAAGCTTCTTAGATTGAAATGTCCAACGGCGCGGTAGCTACAGCTTCAGATCATCGACAGGTCTACCGCACGGAGTAACTACTCGCGACGATCCAGGATGGTGGTATATGGTGCAATGGGGAAAACTCGGTGCTGAAATCTCCAACTCGGCCGTTGACATCGTGGATCTCCTTCCCTCAGCCCGGTGGAAATTAGGAGTATATACGTCACTCCAGACTGACTAGTCAAGGGTGTTATTGATTAACCATTAACTACTGGGGCGTACAGGACGCTCGTCCTCGATCACACGTAATGCGCATCCACCAGGCCTAGTATCTACTATCGATCTAGGTATCTATCTATCACTATCGAGTCTCGTGATATCGAGGGGAGATAAAGTTCCACGACCACTGAGATAAAGCCATCGGTGATGGTATCCGAGAGTTAATTATAGAACGGCCAGCGAGAGTCCAATACCAATAGGCGCCGCGGCGGAAGGCTAGAGAAAAATTAGAACCTAAATTTTTGAAAAAAAAAAAAAAAGGAGAGGAAGAATTTTCTGGAGCAAGGACGGTCCTTGCAGCGGCAAATATGGTATTGGCATTATTGGGCAAGGACCAGCGCGCGCGAGTCAACGAAGGCGTCCCCTCGATCGACTATCGAGACGGGGAGCAAATGGCACGATGGCAGCGGAGGATTCGGGGCCCAGGACCAGACCCAAACCGTCCAGGCTCCGGCACTATTGGATTCTGACAGCGCTGTCCTGAATAATAGTGGGATGGCCGTGTGCCCCCTCCCCCCCTCCTCCAGCCATTGACCGTTGAGCATGCCTGGCGCTGTTCTTATTTGCATGAACACTGATCGAACCAGTGTCATTTGTGTGATAATAGTTCCTTCTGGTCGCGGGCATGGTGTCTCGTTAGTCTGGATGACAGAGCAATAAGTATCCAACCGTGGGTTTTGTGGCTTTTTTTCCCACCCCCGGTTTTGTACTTTCTGGAGTTGGGATGGGTCTCCTTTAATTTATTTCCATTTTCTTGCTTTCATGTTGTTGTTGGATGTATGCGCGATTTGCCCGGGTCCTGTCCACTACTACTAGTACTCACTGCTGGCTGGGAGGATGCAAGGATGGGCGATCCATTAGCCGTACGTAGGTGTCGGGGGGGGGGGGAAACCGACGGCGCCAGGAAAACAGGAGAGAGAGAGACGCGCCGGGATGATTGCACCTGTATGTATGTACGGAGTATGTGGTAACCTTCCACCAACTGGGCGTAGAAGTAGATAGATACACCATTATTACTGTATACCGTGGATAGAGGGAGTCCGTATAAAGAGGGCAGGCAGCGAGTCCAGACCGGCGTCACGTGCGGCGATCCAACTTTAGAAGCGCCTCTTTTGCCTTCCCGTTCGGCGGTTCGTTCGTTCGGCTGCTGCTGCTGTGTTGCTGTTTGTCTCCTCGCTCGCTCCCTCCCTCAACTCTCGCTTCTATCGTTGTCTCACTGACACCCCCCCCCCCCCATTCTCCATCTTCTCTTCTCCTCATTATACTTTATTTTAAACGGTTTCCTCGTGGCATCCTCCAGTCTCGCCCTGTCCACCCTCCCCCCCCCCCCCCCCTCTCTCCCCTCTCCCCTCCCCCCTCCCTCCCCCCTTCACTCCCGTTTGCTACCCCCGAAGTTCAAGCACAGCTTCCCCGCTCTGGCTGCATGCCCATTAGGATTGCCTACAGCCGACACCAGCACTAGCCTTGTTGGCCTCAGGAACTCCTCGCTCCTCTCAATTTCGTCCTCCCTCCATGCTTCCATGCTTCTCTGCTCTCCCCTCGCCTCCCCTCGCTCCCCTGAGCCCCGAGTCTTCGATCTAGCCTAGCCCGCCTGCTAATCTACCGCATCGTGTTCCCGCCCACCTCCCTCGACCCATCTCATCTCCACCGGTCCGAGTCCCTGGACCCAAGCCGCCTTACCGTCCCGTTCATGTGCTACGTCTACTCGACTCTGTCTCGTCCACTGCCTCTCTTCGACTTCGTCCGTGCATAATACCTGGGCGCTCTGCGTGGCCGCCCCGCTGTCACCTATATTAGCGACTCATCCTGGTCCAAGGCTGGCGCTTCGCTGAGTCTTCCCCCAACCGGTCCGACGTCTACCCCAGCCCCCTCTTCGTCTCGGGCGTCGCTGCCGGTCCTGAACCATCACCATGTCCCTCCATACCTCCTACCACGCCGACTCGGATGCCGACGACGAGTATGAGCGCAGCGTCATCACCTCACCTCATCTGGCCACCGATTCCGAGGCCTCCCCTTCCGAGTCCGAATTCCCGTCGGCAGAACACACCCCAACCACCCTGGCAAACGCCGACGAGAATCCCCGATCGCCCAGAACAATCATCACAGAATGGACTGCGGAGGAGTGTGCCAACTTCGTTGCCGCCCTGGGTTTCCGTCAGTACTGCGGAGCGTTTCGAGGTAAGTCTTGTCCTACCGAGGCGTCAATCAGGGTGCTGACTGGTTCGCGTGGCTAGAAAACGAAATCGTTGGCGAGGCGCTCATCGCTCTGAAGCACGATGAACTGAAGGAGATGGGCATTGTCAGTGTTGGGCATCGGTTGACCATCTTGAAGAGCGTGTACGAAATCAAGGTCAAGCAAGATATTCCAGTCGACGCCGACCACTACATCCCACTTTGTACGTTCCATCGCTGTCCGTCTGACAACTCCAGCTAATCATCCACAGCCGCGGACCAGAGCATGAACGAAGGTGCGACCCAGGACGATGTTGCCCGGTTGATCCAGTCTATCCGGCTACGCGATGAGCGCATTGTCACGATGGAGTCGGAGATGCGGCGTATTGCGGAGGATTACCGTCGACTGCGCGAGGAGCTTCTTCCCGTGTTCAAGATGGCGAAGAACAGATCGCAACCGCTTCCCCCGCCGTCCGCCGCGCCGACGTCCGGGTCGGACACATTTCACGACAGCCAAACACTCACCTCCCCGTCGTCGGGCATCACCCTCCTGGATCGCTCTGGCTCGATCCTGTCGCGGACCTTTTCCAAGAGGGGCCACACGGGCGGCATAACTCCCAAGACCAACTCTCCCACCCACATCCCCCCCTCCATCCACGAAAGTCGAATGTACAGCGACGGACTCGATCCGTCCGCGGCCAATTCCTCCCACATGACCATGCTCAATGGAAAGTCGCAACTGTCACCCGGGATCCCGTCTCCTACATCACCCGGCAACCACTACACACCCCAAACGCTGGCCTCCCGTGCATACACACAGCCGAGCTCCAGCAGCATCAACCACGCCTCTTACAGCCACCACGACGACTCGGCGCCAGCAACCGCTCGACCCGATCGCCTGAATCCTACGCCGACACAGGCCACGCGCCCCGACATCCCCACCCGGTCGGACTCCCGGGCGGGCGGGGATCCACCCAGTGTTGAGATCTTCAAATCCTTCCGCGTGTCGCAGGACGACCCGTGCTATAAGGTCCTTCCGGCGGCACTGAAGAAGTACAACATCAACGCGGACTGGAAACAATACGCCCTCTACATCGTGTACGGGGACCAGGAAAGGTGCCTCGGTCTGGAGGAGCGACCGCTGCTCCTCTTCAAGAACCTGCAGAACGAGGGACGCAAGCCGATGTTCATGCTGCGGAAGCACGTCCACCCGATCGAAGGCGCCATGTACTCCGGCGGTGGCGGCGGCGGAGGGTCTGCGCCGAACAGCGCTGGGTTCGAGGGACGACAAGCGCAGATCAACCTGCCGGGCGGAGTTTTGTGAGCTCGCAAGAACCGACCTGTTTCATTGTTTGAGATACCCTAGGCCCCTTGACCGGGCTCTTTTTTCCTCCTTCTACCTCAATCCATCGGGCCAGTCCTGGCTGGCCGTCTTTATCATATCAGCGGTGTTTGGTGTTGGGATGCGGACTGGAAAAGCTCATAAATCAGCGTGGCATTTCTGTTGTTTTGGTGCTGGTGACCTGCCTGCCTGCCATCTTCATATGGCTTAATTTCTCTGAATAAACTTACTACATAGTTGGTATGCAATACTACTCGTACAAGTCTAGACCCATCTATCCATCTATCCATTCATCCATCTATATTTCTATCTACCCCACTGCAACAAATCCTATTTAACTTGACCATCTATCACATTGATAATAATAATAACCGTAACAATAACAATGACAATGATTATCCATAATAGACACCTCCGATCGCATCTATCGACTGTAGTTCGTATTTCCTTCCCAATCGGGCCTCCCCTCCGTTCTCTCTGCCCCCTTTCTGAAATTCTGAAATTCCGAGACTGCGATGGCGGATGGCTGCCCCCTTTCCGCAACTCAACTCGTACCCAATTCTTGGTCCCGACGCCGCGGCCTTTGCCGCTTGAGTGGAGCATCTTTCCCCTCGAGTCTGATGTCCCATTCTCCCTCCCCCCCTCCGATCGGCGTCTTGCCCGGTCTGGGTCCGAATCCGGGTCCGGGGCCCTGTATCTACCTACCTATCTATCTAGTATCTAGGTAGTCTGTACGGAGTGGAACTGTAGATTGTGGTAGTAGATTATGTATTCTTGTTGGGGTCCGTTTTGTACTGGACTAGTGTTTCTTGAGTTTAGAAGGTGGTGATGTGATCTAGATTTTGGGTGTGGGATGTGATCTTTTGATAAATGAAGGGTTTGGCCCCGCTTATCATGATTGTGATTAACTATTATTATTATTGTTGTTGTTGATGAATTGTTGTTGGTGGTTGGGGCTAGATCGTTTTTGGGCCGCTTGCGAATCGTATGTATCGTAAGTAGTTATGGGGTGGGTTGGGCTTGGTTTGGCTTATTATTGGGATTGGATTGGGGATGGGAATAAGGTTGGATGGAGGGTATAGGTTTATCTGTATGGAGTTGGATCTGGTGGGTTTTGTTAGATGTGTATGTATGCTTGGGATAGGATGGGATATGAGGAGGATCTAGGAGGTTGGAAGGCGGATAGATGAATACAGATATAGTAGATGCCCTGTGCTGTGAGCGGGTTGCGGGTTGCGGGTTGCGGGTGTGATGTTACTCACTTATGGGATGTTTGTTAAAATGATTTAGGATGCTTACTTGTTGAATCTCTCTTGTCTCGCTAGATATGCGCTTACTGGCTGGCCTGCCCAAAATGGTGTCTACTGCTATTTTTTTTATGATTTAGGAAATAAATCGGCTGGATTAGAGTGTAGACGTATTAAGTACAGACAGTGTTAACGATATGAGCTGTGCTGATGCCGATTGAATAACCCGAGTGAATGGAAATAATAATCTTGTAGATGGCATTTTAGTTCGTGAGATATTGAATTCACCATGACTGCGGCGAGGTTGGGAGCTACCATGTATTATGGAAACCCCCCCCCCCCCCCCATCACTTATGTTCCCCAGCGTGACGCTGGAAAGCACCAAACAGCTCGCCTGATAGACAAGCTGCAGGCGCTGGGACCGAGTAGCACGGTGAATCGGCCTGAGGCGAGCGAACCAATCTCCCCCCTCCCTTCCTCTCTTCCCCTCCAGCTCATTCCATCCATCCAATCGCCAATCCAACACAACACAAATAAAATCCGACAAAGCTCCGTCCTGCAAAACAACAGAGATCTCTTTCACGTGAAGACCACTTGTGCACGCATTGCTCCATTCAGATCCCCTTTCGACGGATTTCGACTGCGAAAGAGCTCCCTCGCTGTCAAGATAACTATGTGCCGAAACGCATATCCGAGAATGATGAGGCGATAGGGATGCGCGTAAAGCATTCTGTCGTTGAGAGGCAGGGGTTGAGTGTGCGGATTATGGAGGAGGTTATTTGCGAGATCTCGTGTTTTATCGTATGTTTTATTTTTTTATTTTATGTTATTTTTTTTTAAGATGAGAGATGAGGTGAAGCTGAGGCTGATGTGGTCAATTTGGGTGTCCAGGGCACAGAGCGCATATCGGTGAACAGAAACCTGGGACAATGTTGGGCTTGAGAGATGCGACGCTGTGGGTTGGGAGGCCTGGGCTGAAGGGTCGTGGATTTACCAGGTCTGATATGGAAAGGACAGAAGGGGACGAGGCAGGATGCGTCGAATGGGCTGGCTCGTGGGTCGGAGGGTGGAGCGGATTCGCAGACAAATGCGGCGGTGGCGTGGAACCTGAAGATATACCCGGGTTGGAGAGATGATATATTGGAGTGTTTATGAAGTGTGAGGATTCTGATCATGGGGGGTATGTTTAACTAACTGCTTGGTGGTCTTCTACAGGGCTACTGATATAAGAAGGCCCCCAGTCAGATTAACCCGGATTTGATATCTTGTTTCATGGTGCTTACTACTCTTCTAGATGACCAGACTCTTGCAGAATGACTTACTTGTTGACTGTCCCCGATCAGGATATACACAGACCCATATCACCGACACGAAGAGCGACGGGAATGAAATGAACGAGTGGCGCAAGGCAGAGCTCGCATCCAATCACTATAAAACTACGTTGATAAGGAGCGACGAGCCCAGCTTCAGCCAGACATCTCCCATATCATCACAGAGATTCGTCAAACCCTCAGGAGTGTGAACCCGAACTGAGAAAAATGGGCGAGGCCCGGGATAGTCACAAAGAGAAGCAATATCTCATCATCCAGCTCTGTCAGGGGATACAGAAAATGGCAGAGGCAAGTCGATGTTCCATCCCAACCCGAAGATCATGCTTCGCTACCTGGTGCAAGATATGCTTGATCAGGTTTCTATAACATGATTGTCAGCGAAAATGTCTTATCAATCTCGTTTTTGAGATTTACAAGGAAGCCAGGATCAGCGAGAGCCGCAGTCTTCCAGGCACCGTTCACTCTGATGTGGAGGGACGGATCTTCCGGAAGCAGTCCACACACTGCGAAGGAATTACTTAGGTCTTTATTGAGGTCGTGAAATATCTCGTGAGCAACTGCCACAATGTGCTTCTCCGAACCGCCGTCTCCAATAGCAAAGTGCGACTGGAGGTGAGCCGCGTGGTTTGAAAGACCCTTGAAGAAGGGAATTTTCAGAAAACGAAAGGATAATCCCCAGGCTAAAAAGGTATTTCAACAACATTCGAGCTAAGAAGGTCCTGCTTTCTGTTTGATAGGAACGCACATGCGGACACGGCTCCGCGAACTGGCCGAGGGGAATCAATCTCGATATGTCAAGGCACCGAAGGAGTGACAGAGGGTGAGAACACTTTAGGCCTCTGTACTCCGTACCATGACGTTAGTTAAATTCTAGCCGAGATGTATGACGTGGAATCTCTTATCTCGGGGACTGTATTGATTGTCGGGGAGTGGTTGGCTGCAATGAAGAACAAGTCAGGAGAGGTTGGTATTTGCCACTCCCTCAACATCAGTCATATCGATTCCTTCTCAAGGCAACAACTAACTATTCCAATCTTCCTAGAGCTCATTACGTGTGATGGTCATGCCCATTTACTTCGGCTTTCCTCGGAGTTGATTTCAAATTACAGCCTTATCATGGGTTGGGGGCCAAAAGTAGCACAATCCTGCGTGAGTAAGTATGGGGCCATTCTTTTTTGTCAGAACCAATCAGATAATATCCTAGCGGCGTGCATGTTTCATTCAATCACGGCTGCTAGGAGATTGCACGCCTGGCCACTGATCCCCCGGAATTAGGACCGGTGCGGCTGCAACCATGCAGAAGAACTATTGGTCTCGGATAGGGGCGAAAATGAACACTTCTGGCATTGGGCCTCCTTATGTCAGAATATGCACCACCATCATGATCTACATGGGTGGTCGGAGCCGCTTTAGTTAACCAAAAGGCTCTATCTGACAATTCACACAGCAATAGGTGAACAACATCCACATCAGCTTTATTGGAATAAGTCAAGACAGATGACAACCATGTACAAAGAAAGATTCCAATCCCTCCACCTCTTTCATTTCATCAGCACATATCCGCTTTATCCGAATGTTGATGACTGCTGTAATTGATCAGTATCTCAATCCTAGCTAAACAGAGTGGCACCACAAGAGTATAGTATATACCTTAGCAAGCCGCACCGCAGTCGGTGTCCTCCTCACGCTTGATCTCGACGACGGGCTCGGGCTCGCGCTTGATGTTTCCGCAGCCGTCGCAGTACATGTCATCTTCACGCTTGATCTCGACGACGGGCTCGGGCTCGCGCTTGATGTTTCCGCAGCCGTCGCAGTACATGTCGTCTTCACGGGCGGCAAGGCCGTTGGGGGCAGCAGCCGGGATGGCGACGGCGGAGTTGCAGAGGATGGCGACGATGGCGCCGGAGAAGAGGGCGGTGAGCTTCATGATGGCTGGAGAGAAACTGGACTGGCTCAATTAAGAGTTGAGGAAGTGAGTGGTAGAGATGAAGATGCAGATGGTGAAGACAAGGGTACCTGGATGGAGGGATCTGTCCAGCTATTTTATACTTGACCGGAGCAATGACATAAGACGGTAGGTTCCTACGTGACAACCACCTCCCTCGATATCCATCTTTACCTAACCAGGAAACTAGGATGTCGGTACCGAGATTCCAGATAGATAGGTAGGTAGGTAGCCAAGATCCGGGCCTATCTAACCGTTCATCCATCCGCCTGAAACAACCCGCTCCAGCAGCAGAAAACGATACGCCTAACCCAACCCATTGGCCCACATATCTCTCTACAATTCCTCAGTGGGGTAGAAGGAGGGCAGGAATTGACAAGTGCCAATGTATCTCTCCCGATGGAGTTATCCCCCTGCGGCTAGATCCTGCGGGATTGCGCCATATTGCGGAGGAAGCTCTAGGCCGTTTCCAGTTTCTACATACCCGTGGATAGCCTGCGAGTTACTTTTACGGTAGGTTGGAGATAGATATTGGGTGGATAAGTGAGTGGGTAAGTGCGTAAGATGGCATCAGAGGCTGAAGGAAGGATCGATCATATGAGGGGTGGGGGGGGGGGATATTAGATAGCCATATTAGATGGATGGAGCATTCTGCTCGGAGTAAATATTCCGTACCGAGTGGCCTATCTATATAGATAGATTCTAGTGAAGTGCTTGGTTAGAGACTAGCGAGCTTATTTACCTTCGCTTACGCTGATCTCCGTCGGTGTCCGGGGTGTTGTCTCGTTGGTGGTTGTTTGGCTATTTGGAATTGTGGCGATGGTGGTTGTCAACACCTCTATCTACCCAGTACTATATACACAGTACATGCATGGTACGGAGTACACGGTCTAGATAATGATCCATAGATAATCCATAGAGGACTTGGAGCAGAGTTACGCCAGCAATGTCAGCTTCTTCAGCAGTCAGCACAAGGGTGATTGATGGATTGTGGGGTTTCTTTGGCATAAGTCCTTAGGTAGTGCTTATATTGCTATCCACCTAATATTCTCGCAGTTCCGTGCACAGCCACGTTGGGAATATGTATTGTGTAGAGACCGCTTCTGCTGTCAGAACAAGTCAGCCAGAGTCGGAAAATAATGCCCTTCGAAAGAAGTAGAGGTGGGATGTTGGATGAAGGAATATTGATCATTGCCCCACAAGTAGTTATTCATGCCACCTGTACGATGAATCAGCAGGGTTATGCATGCATAGCGAGAATTGCATAACTACTCTTTGGGGTTGTGTTGTTTCCTTTCTCTTACAACTACCCAACCATCGAACAAACCAACCTACTTGATGCTGGTCTATTACCTCCACATCTCTAAACAAGTCTGGTTACTGCTTGTTTATTGGCTATATAGAGCCCTTCTATAGCTCTGAGCCTCCAAATCGACCACAGTTGCAAGGCGTTCATTCTATCTGTCAGAAATAGAACCACTGCACTAAACAGGTGTCTCGACGATCTCCTGGTCAAATAAATCCCTAATACCATTGATTTGACATCGTTCGTTCCCTTCCACGTTGTGACTCCCGGATTCTGCGAATTTCATCTGACGAGAAATCTAGACATTTTGAGATAGCTAGCCAATCCGTTTTCGAATTTCTCGAGAAAGAGTGATAACTGGAATTAAACCATAGACATCAGGGAGTTACTGGGCGGTTTGTGCGTCTTTCTACATCACATAGTAAGGAGCATATGTGACACATGACATCATTTGCGCCATCTCATCTTATCACCCACCCTACTCTATCCAAAATGCAGACTCCCATTTCTGTCCTATCCTCTTCTTCCTATAAATGTGTATCTCCTAGATGACTATCCGCCCCCCTTTCCCCCTTGCTTCCCCTTTACTTCATCAGCACTTAACTATCAGAGAGCAAAGCAAGACTCTCGCATTTTTGCGCCACCCAGGTAGACAGGAAACATCACTTGATATGAGAGAAATAATCGGAAAGACAGCGATGAGAGTAAACGCGACATTACTATACTATAAGCCTCTCGCACGATTATCTAACTCTAACCCCGCGGGACAATTAGGGCTCGGGGAATTTCCAGGCTGCCAGCCATGGGTAGGATCGGATCGGATCGGATCGATCCTTTTCTTCGGAGAAGAGAGAGGCTTTGGAAATATTCATAGTTCCCTACTAATCTAGATTGTTTTTTTTGGGCATATTTTACCAATGCATTATGGTATATTATTTTCTTTCTTAAAAAAAAAAAAAGAAAAAAGAAAAACCACTGCATCATTTGCCTGAAGCTGAGGCATTGCGGTGATGGTGATGGTGATGATGATGATGTGAGGTATGGTATGTATGCGAGTCCCATAGAAGCCACTGCATAATGTGCCCATTTTCGGCGTTCGGCGTCTCCAAGTATCGTCGGATATATTCGGCGACGCGCAGCGTCAATAACTCAATCAATCAATCAGTCAATCTTTTTTTTTTTTTTCATTCCGAGTGACCTGCTGATAGATTCACATGATACAACCAGAGCATACCTATTTAGTACTATGATACAGAGATCAACCTGCTTGGCGGCATAACATCAACCTGATTAGCCACAGCGGGTGTCGCCAAATCCTTGGTTCTCTACCCTGTTCTAGATCTTTCTTTCTGGACGTTGTGACCTGCTAACATTCTGTCTATGCTTCTCTCCACATGCAGCCGGGTTTGAGTCTTCCACACAGGGAGGATAGGATTCTTTCTGACATCAATGTGAGTTGTTCGGCCTATATGAATTACTCATCCTCTCTGTCTTCGATATGCCCAGGGCTCGGGTTTTGTTTTTTCTTTAGATATTAGGCCAGAGAGTGGGTGTACTGGCCTGATTATTTCTAGTCAAAAAAAAAATAGAAAGAACAAAGAAAAAGAAAAACCATGGATCTTGCTCAATCTTTATGCGTGCAGGCCCCCACCGCCAACGCACGATACATTCTCCAGGAAGCGCTGAGAAACATGACCGAGGTGGCTCAGCTCGAAGTAATCACCGAGATCTTCACGGCGAGCAAGGCGTTTGACGAGGGCATCTGCGAGCTCGTCGACGCGGCCTGGACGCACCTGTGCAAGAACAATCTCTGGTCCTTCAAGTACGAGTCCATAGAGCGGTACCGGAAGCTGATCTGCTACCAAGAAATTGTGGAGCCGATCATCAAACGCTTCAGACGATCCGACAGAGCCAAGCTGATGAGCCTGTCCACGATTGAGCGAAGTTGGCAACGACCCCTGGAGCAAATCTTGCCGGAGGTGCTGAGACCCCAGGCATGGAGCAAGCACATGCTCTCTGTTCTGGCGCAGCTAAGCACCCACTGCAGCCTGGAGCATGCGGTGGCTTTGTTGCAGGATAGTATCGATCAACGGCCACCAAGATCCCGCCATACCCAGACCCTGATAGCCAGCGATGTGCAGCGGGCCCTCAAGAAACTAAGGGGCAGTAGGGGTGGTGGTGGTAGCGCAGAAACTAAAAGAAACGAAATTGGTGAGCTTCCTTCCCCCGCCCCATCACCACCCCTCCAGCTCAGTAGCTCATCTGCTCCTGTGTGTATGCAGTGTTTCACTCCCCGACTCCGTCGCATACAGAACCCGATATATCAAATTCCCCCGCAGCGGACGGTGAATGCCGAACCCGGTCCACATCCAACTCCTCGAACGCCTCCGCTCCGAGTAACACTCCCAGTGAGGGAATCAATAGGGATATCAATCTCGCCGGACTCTACCCCGCCACGGAGTCTCTAGAGTGTGGATGCCTACCGATCTGTCTCCCGCTAGTTATCTTATTTGGGGGAAACACGCCCCTCATGACACAGGGGGTGATGGTGAAGCTATACGCCTGGGCGCGAAACGTGTCGTGGTCCAGCATCTGTCTCCTACACCTGAGAAGCCTGGCAAGTCTCGATCTCGGAGATATTGCCTTTCTCTGGTCCCAGGAAGAGATTATCGCGCATGTTGAAAAGATTCTTTTACATGGCCCGACAGATATAACGGGTGTGGGCGTAATATTGAATAAATTTTCATCTTCTGAGTTGGCTTTGTGTATGTAGTTGCTGGCTCTCTTTTTGCCATCTTTGTTTCTTCTTGATGTGTCTTTTCTTGGTTTTATTTTCGTGTGATGTATCTGTATCTCTGGATTATCACGCGGGGCAAAGAAGAGAGAATATCAAGGCTCTGATTTGTAATTGTAGTCTTGTGCGGGATGATGCTGATTGAGATAGTTAAATACAGGCGGTGGAAGGTGGAAGGAGGAAAGAAGAAAGAGGAAGTAGCCCTTCACCTGCCTGTAGTCATTATTATCTGTTAATTGTTACAGGAGCACCTCATGTTGTTGAAAATGTAGTATCAAAAAGATTAAAAAAAGTTAAGCTTGTAGAGACGGCTTGGTTATATAGAGAGAAAGCTTTAAAATCTGTTACCAGTCACGACCCCGGATGAACCGATTAAGGACGGGTCCGAGAAGAATGAATGTCCGCTGCGCATCCAGATTCATCACGGCATCCACGTCCTCCGCTTGCCAGAACGGATCTTTCTTGAACCAGGTCTCAAAGTACTCGTCCAGCCGGGGGATCAATGATACGGGCTTCTGCTTGGGCAGGCGGAAGAACTGCAAGAGCCGCAGGATGTTCTCGGGGTGAAGAGGCTTGTCGGCCGCTGCGCCCAGCGCCTGGCCGAAGGAGGAGTCAAGAGTCGAGATTTCTGGGGACGCGGCGTGGAAGATGGGAATAGTGAAAATGGGCGCCTTGCCGCCCCATCGCTCGCGGGACAGCTAAATCCAGTCCCAGGCGAGGCGGTGATATGAGGGATCGATCCACCGGTCCCGGGGCTCGACAAAGGTCAACGCCACCAGGCGACGCAGCACCTGGCGGTAGGTCAGATTCTCCAGCTCGATATTATGGCCGGTGGCGTCGACGGCAAACCACGGGCGGGCTGAGTCCCGGTTCAGGCGCCTCTTGATCTCGTCGCGGGCCGTGTGGAGAGTGTGCTCTCGCAGGGCTGGATCGGGGATGGAAAAGAAGCGCTGGTCAAACTCCTTCCACAACAAAGCCGCGCGCGTGGCCAGGCCGCAGATGGGCCGTCCCTTCTCTGACTGGCAGGTCAGCGTCACCGCGCCCGCCACCAGCAACTGCTTCACCGACGGGGAGGTATAAGCCTCCTTGGCCGTCAGGAGGATGCGGCTAGGTAGCAACACCCCGTCAAAGGGCATCGGTGCGTGACCCCAGCGTTGGGACCACGTTCCCGTGAGGCAAGGCAGCAGGTCCGCATCCGCCTCGGAGTCGAAGCCACTGCCCGCGATCAGCACGATGTTAGGCCTTTGTCGACCTTACTGATCCTGTCTCGTACAAAGACTGTGAACAAGATAAGACTATGTTGTGGGCAGCGATGGGGGTGATTGCCGTCAAGTTCTTGTGGTGGAATCTGAGGATCCACATTCAGCCATCGATTATGGTGGATAATTGCGTCTGTATCCCGTATCAATGCGTAGAGCGATGGCAGGCGAAGTGTCTAGAGGAGCTCTCCGTCCAGCGTGCAAGCTACGACGAGAAGGAGCGGGTCTTCGTCACGCATCACGATCTCCTTCTCGCCTGGTATCTGAGAGTCCACGCTCCTGGTCTGCCCCCCTCGGACGAGTATCTGGAGGTAAAGTATGTGATGAACATCCAGAAAGCCACCTAAGCGTCCCAGAAAGCGGACAAATATATTCGAAACAATGCCATGACCATGGCCTGAATACCTGGGACAAGAGAAAGTTTTACGCGAGAGGGTGTCGCGTCTCGCAAGGGGTGGGATGCTGGGGAGCAGATATTGCAGGATGAGTTTCTGTTTGGCCGTTCCGAAGATGTGAAAGCGCTCCAGGATGGCAATATTCACAAAGCAGGATATCAAGATGGGCGGGGACGTTGTTAAGATGCGGGGGTCAAAACGAAGGATCCAAACCGAGAGATCAAAATATCAGGATCACCTGACTGTAATCTGGCCTGAGGCTGCCAGGGCGTCCGGCGCACAAACTTGTCGTTTCGTCTTCTTTCTTCCATCCTCGTCGTCATCGCCATCCTCCCTGACTGTTCAATAACCACCAGCCAGTCGGACGAAATATGTGCACCGTTGTTAGTATTGGGACTTGAACAAAAATAAGCCAAAAGAAAGATCTACAACAGCCCAGTATTGGGTATAGACTCGCTGGTGACCATCCCCCTCAATGCACTATGCACTCGCTAGTCGGGCTGCTAGAAGACGCTAAGAGTTAGCTTGTTCAGTCATTAAAGCAGTTTGAAGCTATCCTTCCTAGATAGCCATCGATGGCTCTTGGGCCCAGCAATCAAGGAGATCCGTGTCTTCCAGACCTGGTGCTTGGTGCTTACGCCTCCTGGATCTGTCACATACTACCCCGAATTCATCAAGCACCCAAGTGAGACAGCAATCGGAGAAGCTGGAAATCTCGGAAGGCTGTTCAGCTCAGCCCTGTGGAGATTTTGCGTGGGCCTCTCCCATAGGACCGGGCCGTCGGCTGTTCTTGCCGGAGTATCTGTGTATCTATACCCAAGCGGCTTCGAAACGTGTTCAAGACTCAAGTGTTCAGCGCGGTGGATCCCTTCAAACTTTCCATCGCAGCTGAACGGTATGGCAGATGACAATGGCGTGGCATGAATCGGGCAGCTGAAGCTGTCGGGGTCGACTCCAACGACCTTGAATGTGGTCAAGTCCCCCTGGTGCATGATGCCGCCCTTCCACCCCAGAACGTCTGACAGCTGCATAGCTCAGAATGAACGTCTTTGGAACGACCGTGGATCCGGCCACGACTCTCCACGGGGGAGAATGCGGGAAACGCCTGATCCCCCATATCATTGACGCCACAGCCCGCGTGACCCCCGACGTCGAGTGTCTTTCTATACCGCGCACCAACGGCAACCCTCGCGATGGGTGGAAGCCCGTGAGCTGGGCCCAAGTCGCCAACGCCGTCAACTATGTCGCCCACCTGCTCGTCAAACAGGCCGGACACCCCGAGCTCGGCACGTTTCTCACCGTCGCCTACATCGGCCTCGAGGATCCGCGGTATCCCATCTTTGTGGTCGGCGCCATCAAGGCCGGCTACCAGGCGCTTCTCATCTCGTCGCGCAACTCCGTCGAGGCACAGCTGAACCTGTTCGATAAGACGGATTGCAACTTGCTCTACCATGATGTGCAATACGCGTCAACGGTTCAGCCGTGGGTCGATGGGCGATCCGGCATGGAGGGGGTGACGGCTGCCCCGTGGGAGGAGTGGGTGGCAAATGTCGCGCCGTTCTCTTACACCAAGACCTTCGCGGAAGCCGAATGGGACCCGTATGTGGTGCTGCACACGACTGGCAGCACCGGTCTGCCCAAGCCAGTCGTCATCCCGCAGGGTATGCTCGCCTTGAACGACTTGCATCGGACGATCCCGCCACGCGACGGCAATCGGACGTGGTTTCCGACATGGACCAGCTTTCCCAACCCACGGTACCTCCTCATCTTCCCTCTGTTCCACACCGCAGGCATCATGACCTCAAAGCTGTGTGGCTTCTACTACAACGCCCCCATCGCCTTCCGCGACCCTTCCGTGCCGATCACCGGCGACAACGTGGTCGACTGGTTGCAGAACTCGAACCCGGGCTGGACGCTCATGCCTCCGACCATCTTGGAGCAGATGTGGCGTTCGCAGCAGGCCGTGGATGAGCTGAAAAAACTGCACGCCGTGGGATTCGGAGGAGGTCAGTCATACTCGGAGGATAAGCCGTATAAGACTAACTCGTATCTTGTGTAGGCGCTATTGCTCCCACCCCGGCAAACGATCTCCTAAGCCAAGGGATCCAAAGGGTTAATGCCATCGCCACAACCGAGTACGTTTACGCCTCCAGATCTCGTCCACGACCGCTAACCGGACAGACAGGTATATCTACTTCCCTTACTACGCGCAACCCGATGCCTCCCTATGGCCGTGGTTCATCGTTCCGACGGAGATGATGGGCATTGAGTGGCGGCCGTTTGGCGAGAACACGTACGAACAGGTCTTCATCCGCCAGAACAAGGATCATCCGGGCCTACAGGGCTGCTTCTACGCGTTCCCCGAGCTGGCCGAGTTCAGCACGAAGGACCTCTACCGGCCGCACCCGACCCTGGCCAACCACTGGACCTACGTGGGCCGCGCCGACGACATCATCGTCTTCTCGACCGGCGAGAAACTCAACCCGACGACCATCGAAGGCGCCGTCATGGGCCACCCGGGCGTCCTCGGCGCGCAGGTCGTCGGCTCCGGCCACTTCCACGCCGCCCTGCTGATCGAGCCGGCCCAGCAGCCCCAGAACGAGCCCGACAAGCAGCGCTTCCTCGACGAAATCTGGCCCATCATCGAGAAAGTCAACGTCGAGACCGTCGCCCACAGCCGCATCCTACGCGAATACGTCTTCCTATCGGATCCAACCCGCCCTTTCCCCCGCGCTGGCAAAGGCACGATCCAGCGATGGTCGTCAAACGCTACGCAGCCGATATCGAACGGATCTTCGAAACCAGCCATGACGGATCTGCCACGGCAGTGGACCTCGACCTCACCTCCAAACCAGCCTTCACAGACAGCATACGATCCCTGACGCAGGGCATCCTCCAGCTCCCAACCCTGAACATCGACGAGGACTTATTCGCTGCAGGCGTCGACTCTTTGCAAGTGATCCAGCTCGCCCGGGTCCTACGCGTCAGTCTCGAGAAAGCCGGCCACGAGACGGCCATCGAGCCGCGCGTCATCTACACTCACCCGACAATCACCCAGCTTGCAGGCTTCGTCTACAACCTCACCTCCTCCAAGCCCAAACCCAACACCCCCTCCTCCACTCCCTCCACCCTCACCATATCCCGCTCCCTAATCGCCAAATACACCACCAACCTCCCGCCCCCATCCCCCACTAAACCCTCCCCCCGCACCACCAACCAAACCATCCTCATAACCGGCACCACCGGCGACATCGGCTCCTACCTGCTCGACCTCGCCCTCTCCTCCCCTTCCATCCACCACATCATCTGTCTCAACCGTTCCTCGGACGCGCAGGCGCGCCAAACCGCCGCCAACGCCTCCCGCGGCCTCTCCACCGACTTCTCCCGCACCACCTTCCTAACCGCCAACCTCTCCGCTCCCCTCCTCGGCCTCTCCCCGTCCACCCACCACATCCTCACCCACTCCGTCGACAGAATCATCCACAATGCCTGGCCCGTCAACTTCAACCTCTCCCTCCCCTCCTTCGAGCCCCACCTCCTTGGAATCCGACACCTCATTGACTTCAGCGCCGCCGCCGTCCGCACCGTCTCCATCGCATTCGTCTCTAGCGTCAGCACAGTCGACAGCCACGCTTGGCCGACTCCCTCCGTCCCCGTCCCTGAAAAGCCCCTTCCAGACGACTCTCTCTCCGAGCGGGCGATCGGCTACGCCCATTCCAAGCTAACAGCTAGCTTGATCCTCGACGCTGCAGCCGAAGTCTCGGGTATTCCGCGCCAGATTATCCGGGTCGGACAGGTTGGGGGCCCGCGCGGCGAGAAAGGCCAGTGGAATACTGGAATACCCAGGAGTGGTTGCCTAGTTTGATTCGCAGTTCGCTGTTTCTGGGCTTGTTGCCTGATGGGCTTGGGAGGTTGGGGGCTCTGGGCTGGGCGCCCATTGAGGATGTCGCGAGGGTGGTGTTGGAGGTTTCGGGTGTGAGTCTTGCTGATCAAGATGCTGCTCCAGATGCAGACGCAGATACCGATGCGAATGCGAATGGGCATGTGCATAAGCATGAGAATGGGCGAGTGAATGAGGAAGAGATAACCATAGCCGGCTACTTCCACGCCCTAAACCCCCACCCAACACACTGGCCAAGTCTAATCCCCGCTATTCGGGAATTCTATGGCCAGCGGATCAAGAGGGTTGTTTCCTTGGGGGAGTGGGTTTCTGCGCTCAAGGAGAGCCGGAATGGTGATGGTGATGGTGATGGTGAGGGTGATCTTCTGGAGGAAAATCCGGCCGTCAAGCTGGTGGATACGTATCGCTGGGCGGTGGCTGGTGGGGAAGAGGGACTCACTTTTGCGACGAATCGGACGAGGGTGGTTAGTCCCAAGTTGAGAGATATGGCGGGCTGTTGAGCCGGCGTTGATGAGGCATTGGTGTGGGCAGTGGGGGTTTTGAGTTGCAGTTCGAGTTCAAGGTCGCCTAGAGCCGTACAGAGCAAAGCTGTATAGCACTCAACCTTTCTGCGTGTGGTCAACCCGCCTGTATATAGCGAATTCAACCTTTCTGCGCGTGGTCAACCCGCCTGCTTATAACGAATTCAACCTGTCTGCATATATAGCAAGTTTAACCCGCCTATACCGAGTATTCTATACCTAAAAGTATAATACACTCACTTACTTAATCTATATACAAATAATACTTTAAAGTAACCATTCAAAAAAATACAGAATGCCAATATCATGTAAGACCACTGGCACTGGGGACTGGACTTAGGGCTTTTCCTCTCTCTGGCCAACCAAAAGGCTTCCTTCCCCCCCCCCCCACCTTTCTTTCACGTATAGATATTGCAGAGCTTCGCTCTGCAATAATAGTATCTACTCCTTATCGTTGGGACATGTAATGTTGTATTGTTTCTGTTTGTTCGGCGTTCTTGTATAAGTAAGCGTGGATTGCGTATTTCTGCTTACCAGCTATGCCAGCTATGCAACTGATGCAACTTATGCCACCACCTCACCTCAGCCCAGTTCGCGATCTATGCACCACACTGCCGCATGCTATCTATCCTACCTTATACTTATCACACGCTACACAACAATAGACCAGAGATCCCAAACCAGAGCAAAAAGAATAAAGAATTAAGTACTATCTATCTAATCTATCTATATATACCATCTCCCCAAAGCACGAGCATGAGTTGCTGAGCATCGTAGTCATACTCAAGGCACCATTCAGTCATAATTATAAGACAAGCAGTCAGTCGGTCAGTCAGTCGGTCAGTCAGTCAGGCAGGCCGGCAGGCAGGCAGGCAGGCAGCTGTCCTTCCAACTTCCATTTGGTATCGCGCCGTATCTGTTCATTAGTACACTGCACGCACTCTACTCCACTCCATTCGATTCCACTCTGCAGTGTGCACACATGCACACACAGGCAGAGAGAAAAAGAGAGAAGCAGAGGCAGAGACAGAGACAGAGACAGAGAGAGGGAGAGAGAGAGAGAGAGAGAGAGAGAGAGAGAGAGAGAGCGACCAGCAACAGACACAGACACAGACACAGACACAGACACAGACAGACAGCAGCAGGAAAACGAAAGACCCAACAAAGACTCGAGAGATGTAAGTAGTTACACAAAGTAAAAGTAAAGGTACGCAAAGATAAGTAAAGTGAAGCAGACCAAGCAAGCAAGAAAGCAGAGCCGGCTCATCTATACACGCCATCCATCCCACCGTCCACCACCCACCACCCATTATCCACCCACCACCCACCATCCATCAGCCAGACATGCATACAGCCAGACAAGAAGAACGCCGATGCGATGCTCAAGAACAGACAGACAGACAGACAGACAGACAGACAAACCAAAGAAAGGAAGTCTAAGAATAGCAAGCGACGCAATGCGACGCGACTTTTGTTGTCTTTCCAGGCCGGAAATATTGCGGTGAGAACAGAACGTGATGCTCGCTCACCGCCCCCCTTTTATACCCTTTATTACCCCTTATTCGAGACATCCCCTCTTTTGGGAGGGATTCCCCTCTTTCCTGCCAGACATCTCTCTAGGTGTGTGAGTGAAATCCCTCATTGCGACAGACATCCTTCTCATGGGTGATCACGTCTCCCGACCCTTCTCTCCTCCCCATGAGATACTGCGACGGCTCTGACTGCGACTGCGGCGGGAGTATGACGAGCTGCTTTCTGGTCCCTCGCCATTTCCAGTACCGTTGCCTGTCACCGACTGCTGTCGACTGCCCGCGGGCTTTGTGCCGTCAGCAAAGGAGACCTTCGCTCCCGCCGGATCACTGCCCTCGTCATCCGACTCGACCACTGCGTCTGGATCGTCCGAGTCATCCGAATCGTTGAACTCGCCCAGCGCAGCAAGACGACGTCGTCGCTCCGCCGGCGTTTCGCCAGTGTCATCTAGATCGGCTTGCTGCGGGGGACGTGTGAGACCAGCGGCTTCCCGCAGCTGAGAAGGCGGAATACGTTCGGTGCCGTCGTCGTCGGAGTCTCGTCGCGTGCGCAGGAAAGGCTTGGGAGGAGACTCCGGGGGAGGGCTGAAGTTCGTGCGCCGCTCATCCGCCGCCGTGCCGCGCGTGAACCGCGCCAGCGATGCGGCGATGTCGCCCGGCATTTCATAGTCCGATTCATCGTCCGTGAACTCGCTCTCCGAGCCGGATTCGTCTACCGGCAATTGTATTGGTACCGGCGCCGATGGGCGAGCAGCGGCCGCTGGTTCGGATTTCTTCCGGTCTTCGATAATGTCCTCCTTCTTGGCTTCTTGGCGAGCCACGTCCTTGACCCGCTCCGGCGCGTCGGTCTCCTCGACCACATCACGCCGCGCCTTGGGCCCGAGATTCCGGATCTGCTGGGCGAACTCGTGCTTCGTCATGCGGCGGCCCTTGTGCTCGACCCCGCGCTTGCTGACATCGTTGTCGTCCGCCAGGGTGAATCTAAGACCATCATCCGCCAACCATGCGTCCTGAGCGGACTTCTTCGTGCGGGCTGCCTGCGACGACTCGCCCTCCTCTTCCATGCCGAACCACGTTCCCATCCGCGTCAACCCACGTCGAACCGGAGCATCAGACTCATCCTTATCCGCGGAAGGAATGGAATACTTTGTGAGCACCTCGCCGTCCTCGTCCTCGACAATGATGGTGTTTCCGAATTGGTAGGCATGGGCTGAGCGACCTTTGCCTTTGGTGGACTTCCTTGGGGCTTCGTCGGTCTTCTTCTCGGTGGGTTGTTTGCCATCGTTGGTCGGCTGCTCCTCGGGGCGGCGTCCGAATCCGGCCCACTGTCCAAACCGCTTACGGACCTTGTCCAGCGTGAGACCCGTCTTCTCGGCAACTGCCTCTTCGATTTCCTCTCCTTCATTCCGGCCATGGGGCTGGGAGCGAGACTGGGCGAAATCATCCGAGTTTTGTTGTACCTTCTGGCGCTGCTGTTCCACATGACGGGCCTGCTCTTCGGCGGGCATGTGACTGACGTCTTCGACCTTGAGAACGTTACCCTCTTCGTCTTCTATGATCATATTATGCCCTTCCAGATACACTTCGATCGCAGGCTCGCGTCCAAACCGGTCGCGCTCCTTGGAAGGCGGGGATGACTCGCGCTCGATCCGATCACGCTCGGCTTCCTCTTCCTTCTCCTTTGTTTCGTCTGACTCCGTCTCCACCGGACGTTTGGGCATAATAGCGGACTGACTGATCGGGCCACCGGCTCCGTTGTCGTGTCTGCGACGTCTACGGCGCCGTCGACCGGTCGGCTTACCGTCTGCCGCGTCGGGTTCCTCATCCCGGACCCGGCGCAGAAAATTGCCCGGCACGCCGATAGGTGGGAGGGTTCCGGGGGGATACTCGGGTTCGTTAGACGATTCCTCTGCCTCATCCGGCTTCCGGAATGACATCGACCCTTTGGCCAGGGATTGCACACGGGGCAGACGGTTCATCCACGACGGACCTTCTTCGTTAGCTGTAGTGTAGGATAGGGTGATGGTGAGGGTGTTGATGCGCTTTCCGAGGGTAAAGACGGCAATCGATGAGCCGTGGACCAGAATGGAGGAGATGACCATGAAGGTAGTGATGGGCCATATAAGCTGTATAATGTAATAGTTCGGACTACCAGGCCCTGGCAGTTCCGACTGCGACATAGGCTCGGTGCTGTCATTTTCCAGTTCAGCACGGGCCAGGATCGAAGCAAAGATCGCGCCGACACCGATGGGTCCGAAGTGGCCCGCGAAAAGCGCCTCGCGCCACGTTTTCACGTCTGGTATGATGGGTTTGAGAAGTAGCATCACCGGAATGCGCCGGAAGAAAATCACCAGAAGCGCGATGACGACCAGCCTCCAGGGCACGAGGCCAATGCTGGGGTTGTTGTACTGCTCCCAAGGAATGATGGCCCCGAAGTACACAAAATAGGCCAAGTTGAGCAACAGATCGATGACGTTGGACACATGCGACTCCTCAGTTTTTTCCGTAAACCACCCATCATTACTGAAGCCGACGCCGGCGGAAAAGCCGATCAGTAAATCATCCATGCCCAGAAGACTGCCAGAGCCGGCGCAGAAGACCGCGAGCACGAAGTAGAACACCAGGAAACTCTCGCGGTCCACCAGCTGATTTCTCTCGGCCCACTTGATGGCGTGCCGCGCCACATAGCCGATGATAAACCCGTACACAGCACCGAATATGCACTCGTATAGGATGGTCACACAGAACCAGTTCAGCGCCACCTCCCCGGCGTCGGGGCGGTAACGGTAGATGTAGAAACCGAGGTAAATGAAGGGAAACGCCATGCCGTCATTGCAGCCCGACTCGGCGGACAGCAAGTCTCGCAAATGCTTCGGCACTCGTCGCGCGAATTTACCCTTACCGACGACGGACGATGCCAGGACGGGATCGGTCGCGGTCACGCAGGCGGCGCAGACGAGGCTCTCCAGCCACGAGAGGGGCGGAACCATCCACCAGACGAACAGACTGGTGACCAGCCAGCCCCACGTCATGACGGGCACCAGCAGCAGAAAGACGGATTTCCAATGACGTTCCATGTAGGCTTTGGGCAATTCGACACCGACGGCAAAGCACTGGACGACCAGGACGATGCGCGAGCACTCGAGGGTGATTTTGTCGACATTGCCCCACGATAAGGGATTAAACAGATTGGCGGCATGAGGGCCGAAGATGATGCCGCAGAGCGTAGCGACGGTAGCCTCGCCGATGTATAGCTTTTCCTTGACGAACAGCGAGCACAACATGAACAGACTGGTGAAGCCGCCCAAGATCATATACGCCAGATGCGGCTTGTCGATATCCAGGTGATCCCACGCCATGGCTGTTTGTTGCGACGGACCGAGTGGGAGGGTGAGCGATCGGTCGAATTTCCCCCGCGCGCTGTTATCTTCACCCCAACTGTAATTCCCGATGCCTTGACCGATCGGACCAACACGCTCTTAAGCAAGGGATATCCGCCTGGCAAGTGGACGAGCGCCGGGTTCCCGCATGCCTCGGCGGACTGAATGCGGACCGATGGGGAGCGGGCACGGCGGAGAATCGGGAGTGGTTTCGAGTGCCTCACGGGCGCGTGCTGCAAGGGGGGGGGAGGGAGGGAGGGAGGGAGGCCTGGAGAGCGCTGACGGTGAGATTAAATTCCGGGAAGGGGGGAGGGAAAAGGAGAGGGGGAGCCGAATAAATAACAGGAAAAGGGTTGGTCCGGGAGGCAGTCGAGGGAAGGAATGCGAGAGATTCCCCATTCGGGGCTTACCTGATCGGGCAATGAAGAGGGAAACTCCGGGCGCGCGCCGATGATGTCAGGCGCTGACCAACTTTTCCCAGTACTAAGAACGAGGGGAAGGGGAATCAGAGGGAAAGAGAGATAGGATGGAAAGGGGGATAGTGAGAGAAGGGAGGAAGAGGAGGGGAGACGAGGCGAGGGGGTTGCAAGAAAAGGGAAGCGGAGAGAGAGAGAGAGGAGAGAGCGAGGCAAGACTCGCGTGGAGGACGGACGGACCACGAGCGAGAAGTCTGGGCAAAGAGGGACGGAAAATTCACGATGCCCGAGCGGCATCTCCAAGAGTCGAGGGCTCGAGGAATCAGAGGCCGCGGCGGGGAGAGCGCCAGTCACGGGCCCATCCTCGCTCGCGGAACCTTCACGCTGAGCCTTGGCGAGCGGGACTGCACTGGCACTGGCTCACTTTGAAGGTATTCCTCGTCCATCCTCTTGGCTGGGGGCCATCTGGGATGGGAAATCAAGGAACATCCCTAGGTGTTGTCCCCGGTAAAATATACAGCCTCCGCACGTCTGTCCGGACCGTCCGGATCTTCCATCGATAGTCAAAGGAAAAAGGGCGTGGTACCTGTCCATTTGGCCGCGGACCAGTCACGATCGGACCGATCTGTCACTGTGTCACTGTGTGACGGTGGCACTCTGGAGGAGGCATGTCACATTGATCCGATGCTGGCCTCGTGTCGACTGTACAGTAGATACTTACAGTTTGTAGGGAGTAGACAAGACAACAGTTGAAGCCATGTTGCCATGTTGTGTTACCTGGTGCCAATCACCAGCATGACGACATGCTTGACCCCCTCCAACCGGGGGCTGCGATCCAACATCGCCGACCTTTCCCCTCTGGGCTGCCCATTACGCGCTGCTGTCTGGCGGATGCCGCCATGCCCAGCCTTGCCAGGCTGCCGAGCCAGTTGTCCATTGGTTGGTCCTACCAGGTTAGACCCGCAGTGGGGCGCTGGGCGTCGGTGGGGGAGCTCCTAACTGGCTGGCCGGCAGGGCTGGCTGACTCCATCCAATCCGTACGGTCGAGGTGGTCTGCACGCGGGCGTCACGAGACTGACGGACTCAGGTAAAGGTAAGTACTAAGTAACTATGTACTAATGTATGCGTATCGTCCTGTCGGACTCCCAGGCAGGACAGAACAAGACAAATACAAACATTCCCACCGATACGGCACCAAGGTAGATAGATCTGTCCTGTTCGTTCCAACTTCCCCGGATCAAGATTCAACCCCGGATGTCCCGATGTCGACCCTGGAACTTATAGTAACGCCCCAGGCCGGATTGGGACCGACCACACCGACCGATGCATACATACATAACTAGTACCTATAGTACTATGAGCCCAACCACCCGCCACCCGGCATCTGCTCCTCTGACTCACTTATATTCCGAACTCCTGCATCTCTGTTTTTCCCTGTTGTCTGAACATGTAACAGATCTCATCCGCATACCCCCGTGACGTGGTACATGTCTGGTACATGGTACATGGGTCTAGACTCGATGGACAGACAGACAAGAACACACGACAACGTACAGATATCTAGCCGGGATAGACGGGAAGAAAGGTAGTCGTTACCTACTTACCTACTTACTACATATCGACCTGACCTACCCACATACCTAAGTAGGAGGCACATCCACACATACGTACAGTAGGTAGATACAGTAGATACAGTAGATACCTATCTGCATACAGACAGACTGATTAAGCTTTCAGGCTGTGGCGAACCGGCGGAGTTAACCAGCCAGGTCACGAACGCTGCACCGACTAACTAACTACTATCCACACTGCATCCTAGGTACTTGTATGTGGGTGTATGTGTATGCGAGCGATTGCGGCTAGTAAGATTATTCACTGGCTGCGTGGTACTTTATAAGTAAGTCAAAGTCCAAGAGTTGGGTGGGATAAGGTTAGGCTAGGATGGATTTAGATCTGTCCCTGTCCCTCTCCAGTGTCCACATCTCTACTATCGATCGATCTCTCTCTACTGAGCCAAGCTAGTGGAAAGTAACTGTACGGCATGGGAGCCCAAATATCAAGGGGTGATGGGACAGGATAGGACAGGACAGGACATGACTGGCGGATCTGGTTTGAACTTGGAAGAGCGTGAGTAAGTGAGTCGATGGACCTATCAATCAATATATGTGTCTATCTATCGATTGATCTAATTAACTTTCTAGTATCGAGCTTTTTAGAACTGTGTCGTGCCTGTACCTGTACCTGTACCATAGTCCGCATCCTATCTGCATCGACTACAACAACAACAGCAGCAGCAGCAGCACAGTTAACTTTCCACCCGCTTCCCCGTCAGTTACAACACAAGTTCGATTCGAGGGGCTTCGTGTCCTGCGTGGCAAAGAAAAGTCAATTAATCGGGAGAGGGGAGGACTTCTGATTCTGAGCTGCTTTTCTGCGCAGATGAACTCCTAGATTTTCTCTCCATGGCGTGCTTATGCACATTACATATGGGGAGTTGCGATCTTTCTGTATAGGGCTACAGTCGTACTACTCCAGGGTACATGAGGTTTAGATACCCATTCCCCATGGGAGATTGATTGATTGATTTTGATTCATAGATAGGTTGATAGGTTAAGCCAGTCAATGTCAGAAATCTAGCAAATAGGGAGCTCGGTCTGTACAGCTGTCTATCTGTAGGTATGTCCCTGACTGCACTGCACTGCAGTCAGTCACTCGTCGCGTGGAAATGAATGATCCCGAATAGTCAAGTCAAGTCAAGTCCGCTCGTGGCTCGGTAACCGCGCTATTGACATCCATCAGTCAGTCAATCAGTCAATCAATCATTTTTCCTATTTGTGTGTAGCACTCGGTAAAGTGCTGGAACCAGTCCGTATTCCATACTACATACTACATAATCTGTGTATACCGTGCATGCTACGCATACTCCCCCTGCTCGATTATACCAAACCCCAGGACGCCATAATAATACCGAATCAATTTACCTACGCCGGATCCCAAGTCCTATACAAGCAATGCTACACATACCAACACCAATACCACATACTCAAAAAGAGGTCTCACCAGCACTCCTACATTAAGAAGAGACAAAACAAAGTCAGGAGAAGGGAGAAAAAAAATCTGACTAACTTCCTGATCCGGCATCAACATCGACATCGACTTGATTCCTCATGCACGTTCTCCTGCAGGTAGGTAGGTGCAGGTCAGACCCAAAAAGCAACCCAACCATGTGTCAAAAGATCATCCCTGCAAGCTGCACCAGCTGCACCCGAGGAGGCGGAGAGAAATAGAACAGACCAGAACAGAGCAGAATAGGAAAAGACAAGAAACCCCTATCGGTTTGAGGGCAATACTGGCAGGCAAACAGCGGATAGCGGATTTCAGGCTAAACAACACAATAACGACAGCCGCAGTAGCAGCCGCAGGAGCAGCAACAGTAGTAGTAGTAGCAGTAATAGTAACAGACGCAGCAGGATACATAGGAGGTACGACAAACAAATCGGATTATTCGGGAGGGAGGGCAAAAAAAAAAAAAAAAAGCAAAAATGAAAAATACAAAACAAACACGCGATACAAAAATCAACCCTGACAAATCACATATCGAGACAATACGCGCGCGGAGCGACGGAACGCTCATCCCGGGGGTATCCATTCGAGTCATCAGTCAGTCAATCAATCCCCTAGAGGCATGCCCTCTACCTGATCGCTCAGTGACCGCCAATTGTCGGCCTGCAGCTCCGAGTACTTGACCCGCTCCTGGCTCCAGTCCTGATGCAGCCGGCTGATGTGGTACTGGCTCTGCTGGAAATACACGAGCTCGTCGCGGATGCACTCCTTGATGAAGACCCCACGTGCGTGCTGATGCACAATCGATTCCTTGTCCTACGCGCCCAGAGCCATGCATTGTCAGTCACCATCACCAGTCATCCTCGCACGTTCGCCTCGCATACGAAAAGAGAAGCCCGGTGCTTGCTTACCTTGAAGATTGCCTCCTCCACTTTCTCGGCCTCCCCGGGTTTGACCGTCCCCTGGGGCCGGGCCCGCAGTTCCTGCAACTTCCGCTCGTTGTTCTCGATGCGCCGCTCCAGCTGGGGGATGTTGTTGCGCGCGTACCGGTCTCGCCGGTCGAACATCTCCCGCACTCCCACCAGGCAGTCTCGCTGCCGCTTGAGGTCCTCCAGCATCCCTTCCTCCCACGCCCGCGCCTCATCTTCTAGCAGGCTTTGGCTCGCGGACAGATGTCTCGCTGTCGCCTTGATTCCCTCGTTGAGCAACGGCACGTCGTTGGTGTCGAACGCGTAGGTGTCCCGCGTCACCTCCGTCAACGACTGAAGCGCTAAAGAGAACCGTAGGTGATCCGCCGCAAGTCCCTCGTTCCGCTTCGCGAGACGCTCGAGCAGCGTGCACAGGTTGATATACACTTCCGCCGACCTCTTTACACCACTACGCACCGTGTCGAACATGTCAGGGAGATCCGACGGCAACGAGTCCTCTAGGTCGGGTGGTAGCTCTCTGCCCGCGAATTCGTCCTGCACCGATATCGTGGCTTGCTTACGCCACACCGAGAGTTCCTACTCAGGTTAGCCCCACGATGCCAGACAGACGGAAAAAACATACCGTAGGAACGGTCAAAAACATAATCACGAGCTGCTCCTGGCTCAGAATCGGGTGCCGAACGAGAGCGTTGGTAAATCGAACGAGTCCCCTGCGCCGCTTCTCAAGAAATGAAGTGGAATCCGCTGCAAGGTGAGTGCCATTGACTTTGAGTAGGTAAGTAATCTTGGAGGAGAGCTTGCAACAAGCCTTGCTTGAACGTACCTGAGATGCGTTTCGGGGGCAGGAGAGGCAGCTGTCGGAACGGGTATCGCTTGTGGAGGCAGTCCAGTAGCCAGACGAAATCGCTGTAGCGTCGCACAACTGTGCTTCCCCGACGGGCGGACTTCACCTCGTAGTTGCGATGTTGGAACATGAACATGCCCTCCTTCTCCGGGAGCAGTGTGACCGTGATCACCTCTTCCAGATGGGGGCTCGCGACCCGGCCGATCCCCAGCGATCGCCGACGCGGATGCGGCTCGCCCTGCTCACTTCCGGTTGACCCAAAGCCCCCAAGTCCAGCTCGGACAGGCCCGCCGATCCCACCACCCCCATCGGATGTGTTTCCCAGACTCTCTCCCCATCCAAACCCCGCACTGGCGGGCGCCGTGTCGGCCCGACCGTTCGAACGGGTGTTCTCTGGCGCTTCATGCGGGGCGTTCCCCTCACTAGCTCGACTCGACCAGGCGTTGGTCCCGGACCGCACGCTCCCAAACCCGTTGAGCACGGGGTGTTCGGACTCGGTCTGCGCCTGGGTATGGGCGTGGCCACGATGCAGCTGGGGGCTGCCCCACGGGTCCGCCTCCAAGCTCCCCATGGACGGCTGGCCGGATTGTCGCGACTGGGTCGAGCTCGGTTCTTGTAAAGGGGTGGCAGGGGGAGGCGGCGTGGAGGGACGGTCTTGCGATGGGACAGGGGCGGGCGGTTCTTGTTTGGCGCGCAGGGCGTCGAAGTAAGAGGTCTGGGGGACGGGGAGCTCTGCAGTCGCGTCCGGGAACGTTAGTGGGTTGATTTAGAGTGTGGCTAGCAGGAGTCAGCGACAACTCACTCTTGCGTCGATCGTCCACCGCATCGAAGGTCAGGTCCTCGCCCTCCTGCGCCAGACCCACGAGCGCTAGCAGCACGCTGAATTCGCCGCGACCAAGACCGTTTGCGCTGTCCAGGTCGCCTGAGACAACCAGATTCAGAATTTTGGCCTGGTCGGTGGCGCTCAGCCCACTGCCCGACAGTATTTCCCGAACGGAGGTCAAGCCGACGCCGGATCCCACGCGATCCCCCGCACTAAGCACTAGGTCGTAGGCATCGATGTAGCTCTCGGGGACGTCGGAGTCGGGCAGGAGGGTCTTGACGATCTCGTATTTAGAGGTTCGCTTGTTCGTGCCAGTGAGCCAGGGAGAGCCGGAGCTGTCGTCGTCGGCAAAAAGGGAGGAGCCCGCGTTGCCCGGATTGCCGCCCTGGGACGGCTCGTCGGCGAAGAGAGAGGACTTGGAGCGCTGGGTAGAGTTTGCCAGCGGTGAGTCCTCCGGAGAGGTGCCGAACAGCGACATGGAGGACAGGGTGGGTGTGGGTGGGAGCTGGCAGCTGGGGGATGGTCCGACTGGGGGGGGGATGACGAAGCGGAGCTCGGTCGGCAAGGAAGTGATAAGTAGCGGACAGACACGACTGACCGGACGAGGGCCGGCACGACGCTAACAATGGCAGACCCCGCGAGAGACGGGTGGAGTATATATCTGGATAATAGATAGGCAATTGAGCAGGGCGCACAGACACAGCAAGGGAAAAGGGCCTGCTCTTCCTGAACGAGTGGTGGTGGAGGTGGTGGTGATAAGGGAGCGAGCGCAACGCGAGGGAAGAGGAAGTTCCGGTCAGTTCAGTCAGTCAGTTGTGATGTCGGCGCTCCACCGGCGGGCGGCACTAGTGGCTAGTCTGCTGGTAGCTCACTGGCCGGGTTCGCACCCTCCCAGTCCCGCCTGAGGCCCTCATCCCGCATCCATGGTTCGTGTGTATATCCCGTGGTAGTATACATTCTACATTATAGATGTGCTGTCAGACTCATATTAGACTACTGTATTAGCCCTGATAAAAATATAAAAATATAAAAAGCACAAATAAAGATGCCACCACCCCATCACTGAACGCCTCTACCCGCCAATGCATCATCACTATATACGTCTAATCATACAGGAGAGTCCCCTCCCCCACGAAGTACCCTGTCCTAGATTCCCCCTTCGCTCGAGCTGTCCGATTCCGCGTCGTTGTTCACCGATAGAACCTCTCCGACCGAGGGCACCGTGAAATGACCGGCTTGGACCAAGAGGTCCTGCCATTCCTGTTTGCCAGTGGACAGGATCAGCCCCGGATTGGCATCCGTCGGGAACCATCTCTCCCTACGGGTGTAGGCTTTATTGCCCCCTTCCAGGGCTGCACGACTCGCTCGGGTCTGACGAGACCGTTTGGTGCCCGTCGCGTCGGCGGAAAGCAGCCCGCTCAGCTGGTGGCGATGCTGTGCGAGCCGGAGATCGTAGGCCATTATGCCGCGAATATACGGCCCCAGATCCTCAGCGATGGGTCCGAGACCGTTCTCGAACGAGGGAGCCAACCGGCCCGTGGGAGGAGGGAATACACATTCAGCCCGCTTGATGGGCTCGAAAGCCTTGAGTAAATCCGCTCCAGCCGGGTTCGCAGCGCGAGGTCTGCTGACACTGCCCAGCAGGTGTGCGGCTTGCGATGCTTCCTTATCTTGCTTATCATCAGATCGAAAGGCCTTCCCGAGGAGAACCTCGAAGGTACAAGCAATAGCGGCAGGAATCGATGAGTAGTCGGGCACCAGAGAAGTGTCGAGCAACGTATAGCCGTCAGTGTAGCTGGCTCGCTGCTTCTCGTGCATAGGCGGGGCCGATATGTCCGCAATGTCCTAGCAGAGTCAGTACTATTTTCAGAGTGAGGGAATAGCTTGGCCTACCAATTTAGGGTCAACCGAGCAAGGGGAACAGAGGAGATCAAGGGTGCTTCTCATGTCCATCAGCTCGGACTCCTCTCGGATCTTGTCAAGGCGTTCCAGATTCGACATCGACGGACTCAATTCTGCCTGCGATCCAGGCGACCGTACCAGACTCTCCGAATCCTGCGGGCCGAGCTGCCACCAGTGAAGCAGCTCATGCTGGGATTCAATCGCGCCCCCCGTCTCGTCACACATTAACATGTCGCGGCTGAACCAGCCCATGTACGGCTCGTATGTGTTCAAACTGAGCACACGGACCCGATTCCCATCCCTGTCGAGATCGGACCCCTGGGGCCATCGATCGACCATCCAATCGAGACCGGACTTCTCGCTGCCCACCGCCATTTGACACCAGAAGCCCAGCTCCATGATGGTGCGTCGGACGTCCTTGCCGGTACACATGTAGAGGTCCTCCACCGCGTTGCGCTTGAGCATGTGGCCTTCATTTGCGGTCAGGAGGAGCAGATAATCAACAGCGAGGTCCATTGGAGGGGCCCGGTAGCGAAGGATCGCGTGGAAGTTGATGTCCTGGAGAGGAATGAGATTCTCGTCGTTGCAGGTGATGATTATGGGCCTTTTCGACTGGTTGATGAGGGTCAAAACCCCGGACCAGAACTGCTTATCCTCCTCGAAGAGAACGTCCGCCTCTTCTAACAAGATGAGTGACTGTTTCTGATTGCGAGTTCTCTTCGTATCGGCCTCTGTAGGGGTTGCCGCAGCTTTGGCGTCCTTCTTCTGCTCTTTAGCGGGGAGCGATTTGAAGAAGCCCACCAGTTTGTTTTGCCTGCCGTCGACGGCCTCAGTATGTGGTTCGGAGGCCTGACGAGTGCTTTCCTCGCCAGTTGGGTGCACCAGATGATTCCGGGTCATGTCACCCACGCGCTCCACGATGTCTCTGGCGCTACGACGGTTCCCCGGATTGATCTCAAACACTTCGAAGTCAAGCTCCTTCGCCACGGCGTAGATAGATGCCGTTTTCCCACACCCGGAAGGACCGCTGAGGAGAATAACATTGGACGTACGACTTTTCTCGCCTCCAGAGAGCGTCAAATCGCCGGATCGGATCATAGTTCGTTTGGTGGTCACATCGCCCGCCAACTCGTCGTCAGAATCATTCACCGGGTCCAGCTCGTACGCCTCGTCCTCGCTGGAGACAATGAAGCCGTCCAGATGCTCCTTCTTGCGTCGCTTCCGCTTCTTCTCCTCCATCTTTTTCTTCGCTTTCTCATCATCCTTGGACGACTTGCCCGTGTCAACTGCGGAGATCGTAAGGTACTTCAGCCAGTCTCGCAGCATATATACTTCTTTGGTGGCTTGAAGGACTTGATTGGCGGATTGGGGGGCGTACTTTTGTGACCAAGTATGGACGTCAAAATGTCCCAGATCAAAAGCAGTCATCGAACCAGGAATCGAGGCATGAAGCCTCCGCAGGGCCGGATGACTGGTATCCAGCAGCGTTTTGTCGTCTTCTGTGGCGGAGTTGGATAGCTGTCTAGTGACTGCTGTTTGTAGGACCTTGCCACTGGCAAGGTGTCGTGAAGGTATCCTTAGGACATGCTGGGGTTGCCCGGAGTATTTCCGCGACAGATGTAGAAGTACATTCTCCTGGTCACTAATGCTGACCGCCGCCATCTTTGACTTCTTTCTATCCAACTCCAGAGAAACACACATCCTATCGAGGCCATCTTGGACACCTCGGACGTGAGTGAAATCGCGAGGCGGCCAGATTGGGTTAATAGTTTCCACGAACTTTGGGCGCGGCCTGAATGTTGAAAAGGCCTGCTTTAAACCGCCCTTTCCGTGACTGGCTGGACTCTCACTCGTTCCCTCGGAGACACCCTGGGAGGGGCCGGGCTCCTGAGGATGAGCTTGCGGAGCTGAAACATCGGACTTGTTCGCGGCCTTTTTCATGAAAAATGGATGGGTGGGCTTCTTTGGTTGGGCTGATCCGGTTGCGGAGAGAGCGGCGGGAGCGGGTTTGGCAGCAGGTTTGGTAGGAGGGCCATGTCGCTTCTGACCACTAAGTATACCGTCAATCAGTTTTCCAACGCGGTCCCTGGCCTCCTTGTCAGTTCCGTATTTGATCACGACCACCTTGCTCCCCCCCGTCGGTTTTTGCGCATCGACTTTGCGCTTGGCAGTCCGCTTTTTCTTCGACTTGTCCTCGAATTTATTCCCGACAGGCGACGACAGCAGCTTTCCATTCGGATTCAAACTAATTGTCTTCTGCCTGGGCGAGGATTTCCTGGGTAATTGATCTTTATTCGCGTTTGGTTCAGCGCCATCGCCAGCCGGTGTTTGCTCGGGTTCTGCTGTGTCCATGGCCGTGGCCAGGCCTTCGGCGGAAGGGGCCTCAATAACGGTGTCGGTCGCAGGGTCAAGGGGTGTGTCAGTTTTCCTCCTCTTTCTGCGACTGGCATTGGGGTCGTGGTCTAACATCGTGAGGGGGGTATCGGGAGCGGATGGCTGAGGACAAGGGGGTAAGATCGGGCCATCGCTGGCGGGGGATTGTTTCTTTGGGCCATCGAGACTGGTATTAGGTTCTGTGAGAGGTGACGGTGCAATTGAGCCTGTTGGTGCTCCGAGATCTGCAAGCGATGAGTACTCAGGGACGCAGAAGCCAACGGGAACAATCACCTCTTCGAAAGAAAGGATGGATGGCCCGTTGTTGCCCATGTCCCATAGCCATACTCGGTCACAGCGCTGCGTCCATGGGACGGGGACCAAGCCCAAGGGCGGAGGGATAAAAGAGTGGAGGGGAGTGGAGGGGAGTAGAGGTAGGGAATGACAGGCAGTGGAGAGAGAGAGTGAGAGAGTGAGTGTATGCAAGTGAAGAGCAACGCAACGATAAGCAAAGCAATTAAGGAACGAAATTGACGCGAAGCAGCGCGTGTTTCCCGCGCGGGATGCCTGAGGGCCTGGGGCCTCCGCGGGACGTCATTACTAAAGGACGCTAACCTACTTTGTATGTACGGAGTACGGAGTATCACCGCCCAAAAAGGGATGGGCCGCGCTAACCCGTCTGGGAGTAGGCCCGGAACCCGGCACAACGTAGGCCCGGAAATTTTTCGGGGCGGCATATCGAATGGATTTCTTCGTGATGCTGCCTGTCTGCTGAATCTGCAGAAGTCGCTTTCTTCGATCTCCCGTCTTCTCATCATGGATCTGCAACCTCCGTCGGTGCTGGCGCACTTGCCGCACCCGTTGCACGCCTCCAGCGGCAAAACCCATATCGCTGAAGTCTACAGCTTGGCCGACTCGAAAAAGCGCAAGAGACATGAAGTCGTCGTGGCGGTCGACGGCGAAGCCGTGAACATCTACAACGTATGCCAATGCCTATGCCTATGCCTCAAGACCAGACCAGACCAGCCGGGACCTCGCCAAGGAGCAGATACTGACTGATGGTTTGTTTTCAGATCCAAACCCCGAAACTGGTCACCTCGTACGCCCTGCCCCCGCAATCCACGTTCTCGTGCCAGCCATGCTCCGTCCGCAGAAAGGTCCCGAACCACGCGGCCGTCAAGAGACAGACCTACGTCGCAGTGAAGCAGCAGATTAAGTCGTTCGTGGAGGAACACGGTGGCAATGGATCCAGTGCGCCCGTCATCTCTTCGTCGTCCTACACGGTGACCGACTCCGACAGCCCGGCGGTTTTCCTGGGAATCGTCCCGACCGAGTCCGAAGAGGAGGGATCGTTTGACGTTCTAGCTGCTCACCAAGATGGTCGCGTACGCAGGCTGTCCTCCGATCTCGAGACCCAGCAGTGGAGCCTCCGGCACAGCGAGATCGCCAAAACCAGCGCGACCCATGAGATCCGGTCCTGTTTCCTCGTCGAGTTCGAAGACGCCAAGAAATCCCTGTTCAAGCGCCGACAAGATCTGGCAGCTCTCGCCTTCGGAAACCTCACCGAGTCTGGCGTTGATGAGCCCTCGGTGTTGCTACTCGTTTCGGAGCCCACCGGCTCAACCCAGACGAAGCTGAGCGACGTGAAGGTGCAGATGTTTTCCGTTCCCGCCAACGTATCCGCCCAGGGCCGCGACGAAAGCCAGAAGATGCGACACCTCCTTACCGTCACCATGCCTGAGGTGGAGGGACAAGAGACGATCGAACGCCGCGATTCCCAGTGGTACTTCCATGTGGGATCGGCTGGGCTGAACCTGTCGTTCGAAAAGGGATACATCAACTTCGACCTCTCTCAGTACGCTCCCACGGTCACCTCGAAGTTCATTCTGGAGAACGAAGACTTCTCCTCCATTCTGCGCATCTCGCCCCAGTCGGTGATCGGCGCTGGCCAGTCCATGATCGCAGTCTACGACACACAATACAAGTCCGTGCAGCGAAGCATCCCCGTTGACGACGTCCCCGCCGGTGGTGCCGGAGCCAAAGCGCGCACCACGTTTGTGAGTTACTTCGCGAAGCTGGGAGTCGCTGTGGCCGCAAAGAACAACACCCTGTTGGCCTTCGACCTGAGCACGTCGCACACTGCCGCACCCTCCCTCAAGCGGCCCAGAGATGGACTCCTGATCGACGCCATCGGCCGGGGTATCGGATCCTCCGCCTCCCAATGGGACACCGCGTCGAAGAAGCACCGGACCGACAACATCACATCTCTAGGCTTCACCTCGCCCAAACAGGCCGAGCAGTGGAACCAAGTGACAGCCTACCTGCGCAAGTGTGCCGCATCCAAGGACGCGGACGGGTTTGACCACGCCGTCAGGGGATACTTCGGCAAGACCTTGAACTCGCCAGACCGATTCGTCCACCCCGAGAGGACGCTCTTCCTGCTGTCGTTGATCTTCTCCCTGCAGGAGGATGCCGCCAGCGAGGACAAGCTCTCCGCCTCCTCCTCCTCCCGCCTGTCCATCGAGCTGTGGCCGCAACAGACCTGCAAATGGCTCATCCAAATCGGTCACCTCTCCCTGAGCAACATCGAGATTGCCCTCCGCCGGTCCATCAAGCCTCGCGTCCTCCCCTCTCTCCCCGCGGGCTCTCTCGCCCAAGCCCTGGTCGACTCGGACCCCTCCCTCCAACGCCTCATCGACGTCCTCCAGGGCCGCGTGCTCTCCTCCCCCGACGAGCTCGCCTACATCCTCAAGCTCCTCATCAACACCGCCCGCGCTCGCTCCATCTCCCTCGACGAAGAAACCCCCAAGGCCCTCACCAACGGCGAACCCACCCTCACCGACCCCTCCACAGCTCTCACCACCACCACCACAACCCCCGAAGCCAGCCTCGCCAACATCTTCCTCGCCCTCAACACCACCCTCGAAAAGCTCCACCACCACCCTCTCCCCGCAACCACCACATCCATCCGCTCCGTCCTCTCCCGCACCGAAATCATCTCCATGGTCCACCACCTCCGTCTCTCCCTCGCCACAGGCGGCTACACCTCGCGCTTCACGGAACCCGCCCCGGTGCCCGTCCCCGCCGAGCAAACCCAACCCCCCCTCTCCCTCCCCACCATCATCTCCCTCCTGAACGCCTCCATCGACGCCATCGGCCCCTCCGGCTGGATCTCCGCCTCCGCCCCCGGCAGCACCATCGACGACTCCCCGATCCGCGACCAGGAACTCATCGCCGACATGAAATCCGAAATCTCCGCCGCTCTCGCCGGCGTCGAAGAGGCCACCTACCTGAAAGGTATCCTGCACGAATACCTGGGTTACGCGCACAGCGTCGTCCGCTCCTTCTCCGCCACCACCTCGTCCGTCGCCGTCGACGCCTCCGGCTCCGAAACCCCCGCGTCCGCGCTCGTGCGCCACGAGAAACTCAACGGCGCCGACCTGATGATTTTCGGTGCGCCTGAGGAAGGCGATGAGGGCTTCGATGGCGATGCCTCCGGCAAGCTCTTGCCCCTGTCGCTCAAGGCGGCTTCGACCGATGTCAGCAAGACCAAGATCAAGTTGTCCACCGGTGAGGTCAAGACGAGGACCAGTCGAGAGATCGGCTACCTGCGGAGAAAGGCCGCTGGGAAGTACTCGTTTGAGAGGCTGATTGTATAGTTTTGTGTTGTAAGGAGCTTGTGGCTGGTGTTGTGTTTTATTCTTATGGTGATCGTGATGGTGTATGTAGGTTAGGTTACGTTAAAAAAGTAGAACGATGATTTCTTTTTTATCTCTCTCTATATGTTTTCTTAGAAATACCGAGTATGTATGGTATGTAAGACCCTCCAGACTTCCCGCCCCAAGGCATGCATGTTACTTACACGTACATACTTTATATAGTATTGTCTCCATCCCGCTGGAACCAATGAGAAAAACACATCCAGTCCAGTAACAAACAAACAAAAGTAGTAACTCAATCTTTCTTTCCTTTTAACCATGGAGTCAGGACAGCATCCTAGGCAGTCAGTCATTTCACTCCTCCCTCCCATTACCAGAAAATTACGAGCTTAAGATCCCAGACAGTTGAGTCCAAGGTAGTACTATATAGTATATATATATATACTAGTATTTCATTATATACTATATACACTACCTTACCTACCCGTCAGCCCCGCCAATCAAAACAGCAGCAACATCCCTCTCCCTCTCCCCTCCAACACCTTCATACGATCACACGTATAAGGCCCTGATTCTGATACCCAAATAAACAACTTGTTTTGGAAAAAAAAAAAAAAAGAAGAAAAGCACAGTACCCAATCTCACAATTTCATTTCAATCCACTGACTTAGACTTCCACTGTGAATCTGAGATAGTCTTGATATGTACACAATTTATATATAGCAGATGCGTGGGTTGGATGTGGTGTGGTATATGCACAACGAAATGAAAGAATGGCATGACATAATATGATAAGATATGATATGATAAGACAAGGAGCGAACGATCCAAGACAATCACTTGGTTGGTTTCTTTTCCATCCGAGCATGATCTCATCATCTGATATTAATCCAATCCCACTCAGCCTCGAACCAGGTCATGTCATGATAGTAACAATCTCAAGCAGACAGGCAAACACGGGCTGAGAGTGGTAGGCCAAGGAGATAGATGGATAGATAGCTGGATAAGTAGCTTCGAGTGGAGTGGAGATAGATGCCCATGATGAAAGACAAACCAGATCCTCAAAGCAGGTAGATAGATATCTGGTAAATCTGCGTGGCTGACAGAGTAAAGAAGGTAAGGATGGATAATAAAGATATCGATCGATGGTTGATTGATTCATTGGTACAGTAGTTCACAATTGAATAATGGACAGGGTCAATTGTTAGGTCCACAGGTCCACCCAATTTATGCTGCGGCTGCTGTTGGCAAGCTCCCGACCCGAATATATGGCTAACATAGAGAACATGCAGGAAACGAAGAGGAAACAGAATACATGGAAAAGGATGACAACGGTTGTCTTAATTCATGATACACGGAACGCACAGGATAATAATAAAACATGGCATGGCACTTGCGTGACGGCGTTAGAGGGGGTAGATGATGGTAGATTGGTGGTGGCGGCGTAAATAGTAAGATACCAGTCTCGGGGTATGGCTCGGTTTCTTCAAGTAATGCGACATCATTTAGGCTGAGGACGAGAATAAGGATGCAGGGAATGTTATAATAGAGGGATGGTAATGATAATGCTGATGCTGCTTTTTCTGGATAAATATATGTTTTTCAGGACTGTTTTGAAAACCGCACGGATTCATGAGGAGAAGGAGAGGGTGTCGACCTGGGGTGTGGTGAGATGACGGATTGCATGTAGACACTGTCGCAGACATCAACAGCTAGACCTGTCGCAGTTGTACCTCCGGAAGCAGTCTGTATTATCCCATCGCTCTGTATCACTTGTATGAAACAGTCAGGGAAAGTTCAGCCGTCAGAACATCATGTGACCTGATACACTGAAGACAGCAGTCGACTGGAGCAGGCAGCCGTTGATGCCCAACGCGTTGAAGCGATCTCCGCATACAGATAGCATTTTCAGCAGGACTCGGCGAATATCGGTCTGTAACAGGGCATAGACAGAACTAGCTGGGTCCAATCGAGGAGCCTTCAGCACGCTCCTTCAACCGCATAGCCTGCGACTCGAGAGATCGCGCCATCAACTTTGTGACCGGCCACACAGCAGCCCGATCGAGAAGGCTGGCAGTGGAAACCAGAATCTTGCAGCCGTAACCTCCTTCAACCACACTAGGCAGACGTTGGAGGACGCTTAGCGCGGAGATGGTTGCGCCGCTCTGGACCTCCTTCTTCATCTTAGTTTCGACACTCGTGAGAATCTCCTGAATTTTTCCCAGCAGCTTGCAGTCCTCTTCCTCCAGCAGCATAATGCTAGTAGCTTGCGCAAGGTCGATATCATCCCGACCAAGGACGCCCAAATAGGGGCCCACGCGCTCTTGGACCGTGGTGATCCATTCCGCCAGGACTTGAGCACAATCAAATGTACACATGGCACATTGGATGGGCAGCTCCCGGCAGGTAAACTCGGCGAAGGTGTTTCCGAGTTGGTCGGACATGGAGATTGAGTCCGCGGCGTAGAATGCTGCTTTGCGGAGATGCTTTTCGCGTTTGGACTGACCGGGCCGATACACCCCCATGAGAGTCTGCATGGGCTGGTCCTGGGTGGGGGTGCTGGAAATGGCAAGATCGCCCACTCCTAGATCGGCGACTGAATCGCGCCGGTTGTCAGTCTGATTCGGACCTTCCGTGATCGATGGGTCCAGCACATCGGTCGGAATGTCATCCATGGGGTGAACGATCTCTGTTCCGCGGGCAAGCTCGTCGGACATAGCATTCCAATCGCGCTGCCAGAATGCCTCCTTGCATCGTCCAAGGTTAACAAACAACCTTACATATGCGAGATCTAACAGTGGAATGCTGTCAGCCGACAGGGGCCCTGCACCAAAGGGATTGGGACGTTCCAGGCTGTGGACGGGGTTGCTGGCCCAAGCGGACTGCCAGGCCCTCAGTGCAGGCTCAATATGAGCCTGCATAGCCTCGGTTTCCCGAGACGTCCACTGTCGACCTATGTGCCGTTGGCGAGTTTCCCAAATGTAGTTATGGAGAGCATATATCAGGATCAAGCATCCGAAGGTACTAAGCTTTAACTCGGGACTGGATGGATCACCTGAAGGAGTATTATTACCCGATGACCTCGACGGAGACGGCTGCTGTTCGCGTTGGCTGGCAGTTAACAAGGTAGTCAAGGCCGAGGAGAAGGAAAGTCCCTTCTTCGGGGACGGCTGGCCACCCATTTCCTTCCAAGCCTGGGGAGACTCTGCCGCCCACAGCTCCTCTTCGCAGGGCAGATCCAGGCGGATCTCCGAGTTGGTAAGAGCAGGTGCGTGGTTGTAGGCAGAGACGAGAAAGCACGACAGAGCGAAGATCGCGTACAGCGTGCGCTTCCGCTCCTCCACGATCTTCCAGTCCAGCCACTCCTTTCGCTCTTTAGACTGTCCAGATGGTACTTGGCTCCAATTGGCAGAGTCTTTGCTGAGCCCGGCGGTAAGATAGTCCTGGCAAAGATCCCTCGCATCCAGATGATGGGTCAATTCAGCCGCTCGTGCAAGGCTCACCAACGCTGCACAGTGGGTACTCGCAATGTCAGCGGAGGTCTTGTCACCACAGCTATGTCCGTAGATAACGTTGAGAAGCATTGCTTGTACCAGCCACAGCGGAGTGTTGTGTATCGAGGTATCGCGCGCTTGACTCCCTCGGCCAAAAGCAGTAGACAGATCGGCTTTCCGGCGTTCCTCGAGATAGAGTTGAATCATTTTCTTGGCAGCTTCGAAGAGGTCCTTGGAACCGGCGGTGTCGAATTCGTAAAGCGCTCCAATCGCAGCCATGGAGAGGATCAGGGAGCCACCACCTCCAGCCACGCCAGTGGAGCTCAGGTTGAGATGGCCGCTAGGAGTCCGGAGGTTGTTGGTATATTCGGGTGCTTGGAAGTCAAGGGTCGGGATATGGAGAAAGGGCATGTGTGGGTGAAAGTAGGTGATGTAGGCCGAGATGTAACGCTGCATGTCCGAGGTGCTGGGGAGTTGACCGGAGCTGCTGAAGCTGGACGAACGGGAGAACAGGTCACGGCATTGGATCATGCCGCTGGCCGGCTGTGAGTACTTGCGGTGATTGAGACTGGTAGGGCGCGCCATACTGGCTAATAAAGCCTGTCGTGTGGAGTCTGTAAAGGTATCCGTGGAGCTTGGGGAATGGTAAGTTCGTAGGGCACTATTCGTGAAAGGCAGGTTGAGAGGATTAGGAGATTCTCCGTTTGTTGCCATAGAGGATGAAAACATACTATGCGAATGTCCACCCATTATGGGCTGACCCACGGAAGTCATGGATGGGGGGGTGGCATAGGTCTCCGCAAACGGGTTCTGGGCCATCAAAGACTTGGGGGAAACCGTCTCCGGCGAGATTCCTATATCATTAAAGCTGGAAGATGTGTAATCGATGGGGTACTGGTTCGAGGCCGCCGCGTTATGGGGAAACGGGTTGTGCCAGCTAGCCGAGGAGATGGAGGAATAGCGGTTTGAGCCATCCATCATCGCTTCGCTGATCCCACTCTGGCTGCCTGTGCTCATGGCTGAGGGAGACGACTCGTCAATTGCGGAATCATTGCCTTTGCCCAGCGGCAGGGCAGGGTCAAAGTTATTCATCCAATCGAAACTGAAGTCATCCTCCATCATTGCATCAGTGGAGGGCACATGATGCGCACCATGGGTGTATGGGGATGAGGGTGAATCATTCCCATACTGCTGCGGGGAGCCCCCGAAATGGAGCTGTGAGGGATCGATGGTACTATGACCCATGAACATGTCCGGGATATTGATGTCAAAGCTGCCGTAGACCGGGGCAGTCCGAAGGCCTCCAGCAAAGTCCATGGGTAGCCCGGATGTTTCCAGTTTGGGTAGACCATTGGAGAGACCATTCAAGGAGGGGTGGTGACCAGAGGCATATCCGCGGGCAAAGTCCAGGTTGGAACCGACCGATGTGGCAATGCTCGCATGATAGACATGGCCGGGATGGCCGGGAGCCGAAGACGGATTGGAGGAGTTGATTCCTAGAGCCGCTGCGTCAATATGGCTGATGGTGTTTGCGCGCGGGCGCATGGTGGAGCTGCTGGCGATAGAGTTCTTGCGAACCCGGTTCGCTCCAGTGCCTGCATTTCCCGTGCTCTCCCGCCGGCCATTTCTGGGACGCGACGAGGGCGTTGTGGTCATGTGCAGCTTCTGTTGATGCCTGAGTAGCAGGTCGCGACGAGCGAAACAGCGCGCGCACTCCGGGCACTCAAAGGGCTTCTCCTTGGTATGCGAGCGCTCGTGACGCTTGAGGTGTTCCAATCGAGCGAAGGACCGATTGCACGTGTTGCAGACATGAGGCCGGGGCTTGTCAGTTTTGGGAGGAGGCACCGCGGCGCCGGAATTAGGCAGGGTATTGGCATCTTTCTTGGGGATCTCCTTGGGAGGAGCTGATGTTGTTAGGAACCAAGGCACAAAGGGAAGCCGTCAACAACACGAACTCACCGGACACATCGCCGGGGATTTCGCTGATGCTCGCGAGATCTTCCATTTTGGGGCTCGTGGCCGGATCTTGGCCGACCATCGTGTCTAGTAACATCCTAGGAACCTTCTGTCGCGTGGAAACCAGGTCTAAGCACTGGTTGCGGGGGCGGGGTAGTGTGCAGAAGATGCTGTGATTGAGGGTCAGGGAGGAGGGGCAGCGGAACCCAGCTGGTAAATAGGTAAAATCGCGGACGGGGAGTAAAACTACTGGCGACAGTGGTGCGGTAAACCCGACATTGACAACATTCTGATTCAATGATTTAAAGTTAGCCTGGCCGGTACTTTGTCCGGATGCTAAACGCAGCAAATCAGGAGCGGCGCCTCCGCAGGATACTGACCGAATGATCACGGAGGGCAGCAGACAGCGGATAAATTGTAGGTTTTTTTTTTGTAGAGCGATTTCAGGATTTGAGCACGAGAGCGATCGCGGGGTCTAATAAGTTGACACGGTGTGGGCAGGATTGACAGGAGACCCGTTACAAAGGAGGCAGGAGAGGTGGGCTTGGTGGCAAAGTGGTCCCGTTCCTGGGAGTTTCGATCTCGGCGGTAGCAACTGTAATCAGCAGGGGTGAGTTAGGTTTCCAGGCTCCAGGGGAAAACCACGGGTAGGCGACTCACCCAGGTGACGAGAGAGGAAAGGACTGTGTAGATGGGACGATTCACCCCCGAGCGTCGCAGACCATTGGGATCCGGGGTAGTTACTTGTCAGTTGTCGCTTTGGAGGGGTCTGCGAGGGAGGTCCAGGTGGTAGTGGTGGATGATGGTGTAAGCCGGAGATAGCCGACCGCAGCTGGGCTTATGGCGAAGGACGGGCAATGAACTGCTCAATGGCTTGATAAGCACAAAGAGTCGGCGGGAATCCCCCGACGAGAGCAAAAGAACTTTCGGTGGAGAGGAGGAAGGGGAGTGGGGGGAGATGGAAGAAGCGAGGAGGAGCAAGCAGGAAGAGGGAGGAGGGAGGAAAGTCAGTGTCAGCGGGTAGGCCGATGGTGGATGGTTGGAAGAGCGAGGCTGTACTCTCCGAAGTGTACGGAGTAAGTAGGTTAGGTGGGAGAGGGAAGAGGAACCAGGCAGGCAGGCGGGCGGAAGAGGGAGTGGCGCGCAGCAAGGAAACTAGTAGTAGTAGTCTGCCGTTGCACGAGAATAATGGAAACTGGACAGAGAGAGAGAGATACTAGATACTTGAATGCTTGTATCTGCTCTACTCTACTTCCTTCCTTTCAACACTTTACATACCCCCCCCCCCCTCAACGCCAGATGTCGTAAGCATATTGGGATCGCTCTGGCAGTTCCTGTTACAGTTACGAGCTCACCCAATTTCCTACACCAGCAGGTCCTACAGTCGACGACTAGAATACTAGTAGTAAGGTATGATGGAGTCGAGGCTGGTACTAGTACGGCATGGCGACGTACCTACTTACCGGCCTAGGTAGCAGTGCAAGTGCTCTCTCTCTAAACAGTACCCCGGCCGCCCGGCGACAGTCGCGGGATAAACCCACGAAACAGCATCTAGCCTTAGTCACGGCGCCCGCCCAATGGCCAGCTGCCATGGCCGCCGGAGTGGGTCGGTTGGCTCGGGTCCGCCGTCCTTTGTAAGGGAGCATGGGCCATGACAGGGCCAGAGCCAAGGGCGGGCCCCACCTCCCAGTCACGGGGGGCCTGCAGTAATGCACTGATGCTGACAATACCGTACGGGTGGGACACAATACCGTCACGGCCGACAGCAGGTATTGTACGGCCGGTGTTTATTCCCAGCCCGCCATCCCATCACCCCAGTCAGTACTCCGTAGTGGCAGGTAGCAGTACTTGGGGGCAGGGCAGGGCATAGCATCCTCATCTACGATGGTCGTAGCGAATATCTAGCTAGCTAGCTAGCTAGCTGGATAGATAATGATAACACCCACGCTGTCTCGCCCCCTGCCCCCAGAGACAGAGACACACGAGCGACTAACGCGGTTGGAAGGGGCCTGAGGGATTCCTTCGCAGGGGATGGCGTACTTGGACCTACCTACTACGTACGGAGTACTCGCTACTTGGTACTTGCCTAGGTTGCCTCCTAACCAATTTCCCTCAGTTGCGTCCAGGTATGAGACATGATGTACCCCATACAAGCTATTTTTAAACTTGCTCACATCCTGACAGTGTGTCTGTCCAACTGCCTGCCTGTCCTCGATCCCCAGGCCAGGTCCGATCTTACGCTTCCGTCGTGTCGTCTCCAGCTCAGAGACACCACCGGGTGGTGGTCAGGCCGATTGATTGCCTGTTTGACGCAGTGTCGAGCCGATGTCCTCCTCCCACTCCCAACTCCCAGCCATAACCCTGCAATGACTCCTGCTGTGCACGTCCGGATGCTTCCCGCGGGCTGCTGGAAGGTTTCTAGCTTCACCCCCGGCCGATGCTGCTGTCCCTCTCCAGATTACTCTAATTCCCGGAGGCAGACATGCAGCAGCAGAGGGCGGACGGGTGGGCTCGTGACCACCGTGAGACGTGCCGGCGATGATTTCAGAGCATAGCTGGCAAAGGACAAAAACGAGGACGAGGACGAGGACAAGGACGACGAGTGCTGGGATAGTCAGCAGCCCCCCCCCTCGCTGCGATTGATCCTAGCACTGCTGCCTGTCCTGCCAGTCCTGGTGCCTGTCGGCGACAGCGACAGCGAGCAAGCCCACCAATACAATATATACCTAGTACCTAGCAGTAGGTAGCTCGGAGAGCATTTTCCAGTCCCTTCCCTTCGTCTCACGCATCCTTTCTTCTGGAGAGACAATAGTAGCGACGATCTGCTCCGTATGATCAGTTAGAATCCATCATTCCGGTGAGGTTGTCAGCAGGATATCATCGGCAGTTGTCGCACCGTATTGCAGATTAGATTACCGGTGAGGGAAGTGGAAGCTCGCTCCAAACCAGTCCGACGCAGCGCGCCCCTAGCCGGATTAGGCAGGCTCACGGCAACGGCCGGATTTGATACCACCGATGTCCGTCTGGACGGTGTACGGGCGATACGACTCCCCTGTAATGGACGTATCATCGGGGTAAGGTAGGTACTACGGGGTAAGCCCCGCAGGTAAGATATCGTTGCTCCGTCTCTGTTGTAGTATGTAAGTATGTCGTCTATTGTATCACTGATCTCGGCAGGAGCCAGAGTTCAGGGTGGAATCCAACCCCAGACCTCGTGACCGTTCCGGATCTGCGACTGGTCTCTCCCTAACTATTGCGTCCCAGGCCACCCCGAATCGATGGGAACGAGATCCCCAACCGGCCGCGGCGGGAACCAACGACGTACGTACAACTACGAGATACAAAGAGAAGGCCGCGCAGACGGTTTCGGCTGTTGGGAAAACCTTCGCCGGCGTTGCCCGAGTCCATGGGCCGTCTGGGCTGCTTATTGTGGTGGATTGTGGTGGCGGTTGGCGCCGCATCCCCGATCCCCCCAATCAGGTGAATGGGGGAGAACAAGGGAAAGGAAGGCTCGCTCGTAATAATGATTAATGGCCGGCCGTCGCAACGGATAGATACTGCTAGGCAGTTAGTTACTAACTACTACTTAAGAAGCGGATCCTGTCGAGCAGCAGTGCAGTGTTCATATTGCTGCTGCAGCGAGAGCGTGCGCCATTTTGCATTTTGTGGGGAGGGCGAATGAAAGGCGGCAAGGTTCGTGTGGGGGATTTCCCTGGATCCAGCGGGTATGTTGCCAATCGTATCCGTTCGATCCGCTGTTGCGGGTGGAGCCCTTGAGGTCATACCTGCGAGTCGGCGACAGTCGACGCAGACTAGCCCGGTCGCTCCGACTGCGACGGGCGATTCTGGGCGAACCTGGGCAAACCTAGTGATGCGCCTGGCACCTCGCACCTGGAGTCAATTTAATTCCCTTCTTTTTTCTTTTTTTCTTTTTTTTTGGCCAGGGACTCAGGCAGTAGATAGATAGGAGGGACTCCAATTTTTGTGTCTTGTGCCTTGTGTCTCGGATGTCTCAGGTCTCGAAAGTCTGAACTCTGAATTCTGAACGTTAATCCCGACAGTCTACTTTTTTCGCTGAGGTTTCACCTCCCCGTTCGGTTATGCTCCATCGGGCAGTTGATCATTGCCCGGTGGAGTCGGTTTCCCTGTCAAGCCTGGTCTGCCACCTTGAAGACTTGGCAGCACCGTGGGCGAAATAAACCGGAGCCACTGGTCGCACTACGCGGTTTGGGAGGCAGCTCCAGCCGGGCCAGCGCCGCCTGATTGGCCCGCCGCGCCGGTGATGGGGGATCATCTTGGTTGGCTTCCCCAAAACTTCCGTCCCCTGAGCACCGGGCCCGGTTCCTTAGGAACAGCCAGGCGTCCAAGCTCGAATTTCTGGAACACACAGCCAACCAACACGAGCAATCGCTGAAAGCATCCTGCCCCCCGCCTGATTGGTCAATCGGGGTTTGACTTTGGCTGCCAATGTTCAGACTTCCGAGGATGCGAACTGTCCAGGTTGGAGGAGTGGTGTGATGTGCTAGTTTATGTGTCCTGTTTGTAGGTAGGTAGGTAGGTAGGTAGTCTGTCTGTCTGTCTGCTCGATCTGGCGCAGACGGAATCGCGCGGAATCGCTGACTGACTGACTCGAAACTCTAACGGCCAGGCGTGGTTGCACGAATGTAGGTGCGACGCCGGTCCTGTCGCAAATCACTCAATCGGTTGAGAACCGGAGGCGAGCCATCGAGATCTGTACCTCATGGGGCAGTCATTCGTCGCGGACCAGCGTCAGCGTACCTGGTACGGAGTACTACTACTGTTAGACCCTACCTGGATACATGCTAACGGAGACGGAGCTCCATCGACGATGGCCCATGCTTCCCGGGTGGCCTGCCAGTGAGGGAGGGAACGTGACGGCCCGTCCAGCTCATGATACGGAATGGAGATTGCATTGGAGGGCTGGGGGATAATCTATTTCCAGGGCCCGTCACTGGCCGCGCTGGAGCCCGGATGGATCCCCGAGTCCTGGCTACCTATGTCCGTGATGCACTCTGTAGTTAGCATGGGTGCCGGATGGTATCTAAGCTGCATGAGGGGGTGGGACTTCATTTAAGTATTTACCCAGGATTAGCCGCTGTCCTGTGCAGCCGACATTAGTGTTGCACAGGCCGATTGGTTGCGTGCGGGCGGTTTTGCGCGCCATCCCACGTTATGACGTTGGGGGGGAGGATTCAATCAGAGTCTGAGTCTTCCCTCGATGAGATGAGATGTATCGTCTGTCTGTCTGTCTGTCTGTCCGTGAAGTGTGAAGATGCTCGACAATAATGCGATGGCCTGCAGACATGGATGCAAGCACGGTGCACGTACTGCGTCCGCGATACGTCCGTCCGATATCCACATCTACATCTACATCCACATCTTGCAGGGGCAAGACTAGGTATGATCTACCCTACCTGCCCACCTAGGTAGAAGGCCATGCCATACCATACCATCCGAGCAAGGGAGCAGCCCTGAACGAGTCCAACAATAATTCTCACGACCGATCAATAGTCATAGCGACCCGAGCACCCGCGAGATATTGGCCACACCCATCGAAAGACGACCACGTAGGTAGATGGGAAAAAAAGAGTGGACTCGAGTATCGGCCATCCGCACGGCCCTCGCGCGCAAAACCACAGACCCTCGACACCTGAGGCCAGCTGCCGCCCGAGCGCCTTTAGTGCGGGCGTCAGGTGGTGCGCCGGCGGTATTCTGTTTCGGTGTCGGTGGTATTGTTTGTATCGCGCCAGCAGGGATGTCATCGCGAGGTACCTAGCTGTACCTACTACTACCGACTACTGCTAGATACCTACCTAGCGAGATACCTGTATCCATCCCTCTCCACGCGTAGCTGCATTCCCGGGTGAAGGACAGCAGCAGCAGCAGGAACCAGGACCAGCGCTGCGCCGCTAGCAGAGCTTCACGAATGGTCCACTACTACGATTGATTGATCGATTGATTATCTTGATCCGATCCGCTGCCTACCCGGACAGACTACGGGACCGAGGAATGAGAAAGGCCTACGGTACACTAGGTAGGTACTAGGTAGCTGTCAAAACCGCTCCTTCCGAATAATCTAACTGACTCGGGAGCCACTGCGGAAGATCTCCTTACGCGCTGTCTACCTGGACTAGTAGATAGTCGGCACCAACCAGCTAACTAGCCTACTAGGTCCTAGATAGCGAGCGCCCTGGCTGGCCGAGGAGAGAGGGAGCAAGTGGCACGGCATGGTGGGGTGACTTCTTAATGGCTTGCGATCGGAACCACTCACTCACCCAACAAAAGGATCCTAATAATGTGTTTGTTTTCTGAGACGACAAGCTACTGACCTATTGGACAAAAGTGGTGCAAGAGGGATAGATAGACAGAAATGGTTGATCCTAACCGCCGGATGCTATGCTACAATATAGGTTCTCTCCGTACTGGCGATGATGATACGGTAAGGATAAAGCGCTTGGCTGGCACAAAATCTACCAATTAACGCTAAGTAATAGGGTACCTATCCAGAGACGCTACAATCCTACCTGCAGTAAAAAATCTCAAGGGAAAGGTAGGTAGGTAGGTAGATACCTAGTAAACAGGATATGTCCCACAGAAGGATGAAGGAAGGATGGATGATAGGCGCCCGTCAGCCGGCTCCTGCGCATCCGCCTACCCATCACCCACCCAGGGAGTGAGTGCCACGGACCACTATGATCCGGTAGGCAAAGCCCTACTTACCTATCTACTCCATAACCCTACCGCACCCTGCAGGGCCATCGCCCTGTGCGTGCGCGCACCGCGAACAGACACCAGCCCCCAGCCCACCATACAATGCGCAACGATCGCTGAACAATTGCATTGTCGATCTGCGCGACTTGAGTAACGGGCAGGGCAGGGCAGGGCAGGTTTAGAAATTCTCCGAGGGCCGTGTGTGCATTGATGATTTACATGGTAGAAGTTGGCTACTGGTTAGTAGGTAATTCGGTAGTAAATGTGGTATTTCGAGGGTATGACTGATTTCAATGTAATGAATACCCTCGAGTGAAAAGTCGAGGTACAAAACAGAAACCGACTGGTATAGATACATTTTTGTACGGATACTTACGCGTGGTGGAAGGGTTTCTATTTTGGTGGTGGGCGATGGGCTAAGGGGGGTGAATGAATGGATGGATGGATGGATGGACGTATCTACGACTCAGGTCGTGGAATGAGCGATATTCCAACTAATTTAGTCTCGTTCCTGATAGGTGTGATGAGAATGGCTGGTCTGGGCTGGTCAGTGAGTCAGGGAGCCAGGGAGTCAGGGCTGGTTTTGTTGCATGGGCTAGCCGGCTAGCCAGTAGTAAGTAGGTATCTACCTAACTAGCAGGGACGCGCTCTAGGGCTGATTTGCTATCAGATACCATAGGATAGGCTGGATATATGCAGCTCCCTAGGTAATTACTGTCCTTGCACAGGACTCCACACACTATCTACCTATGCAGTGATTACCGAGTAGTAAGTAAGTAGGAGGGTTGAGTGCAGGACTATCTATCTAATAATCTAACAGAGGATGGCCGGGTGTGAAGTAGCACGCCATCATCCATAGCGGCCGAGCCATAAGGCGCGGCTGGGACGATGATAGGCCGGCTGTCACTGCAGATATCCTGGTGCGGTGCGATCCACAGCCGCCCCATCATTCCGTCCATGCTGGATGCTGCTAGTGCGTCGTACCCACTCGAGCTAGTGGCCAGTTAGATGTCGACGGGTGATTGAAGTTACACCTATCTACCCGGGGTTTCTAGTTACATAGTGGGTGGTTACTTATCTCGAAGATAGATACGGAGTAGATACATTCTGGCCAGATCAATGGGCTTCGATGCCGAGGGTTGAATTGCTCAACGGTTGTTGGGTACTCACCAATGGGTCTAGACTGACTGTCGGGTCTCTTCAAGTTTTAGATGTCCCAGTCTCAGTCCCTCCAGATTATGCAAGCTAAGCTAAGTAGGTAGACATCCATCACATTCACTTACACTCCAATGACCCCAAATAGTTAGTAGTATCTTATGTATGCACCAGCAGTAGCAGCAGCAGTAGCAGCAGTGGATCAACCCCGTCCGTCGATTGTTGCTTGATATATAACCCCGAGAAATTGCCACTGGTCGATTCAGCACAGAGGAAGTACTTACGGAGCAGAGCACAGTATCATGTATCTATCATATCTCGCTACCTAAGGCGACCAGTAATCCAGCCAGAGATCCATGCCCGCATGGATAGTGTCGGTATGCGTGTGTATGAGGAAGAGAGAGAGAGAGAGTCTCCCAGTGGCCACACCACCAACCCTCGCGCAGGGATATATACGGGCAGCGAGCGATTCCATTGCACCGTTCCTGGTGGTCTGCTAGTAAGGCAGCGAAGACGTACATAAGGGCCATGCAAGGTGAAATTTGGCGCGGGCTTCTAAACGGCTGCCGCAGTTACTCCGAGGCCCAAGTCCTGTAATTCCAACCCTGGTGGAGAGCGCCCACTGCGGCTGAGCCTTGACGATCCTGCACGCTAAGGAGCGGAATGCTGTCAGCGTGTACTATCTATTACTTGCTGGTACTAGTTTTTTTTTCCTTTTCTTTTTTTCTTTTTTTTTTCTCGGGCTTAGTAGTATGATTGTTAGTGAGGGAAATAATAATAAGTGGCAGGTTGGTCAGGGGTATGTATGCGGTAGCAAGGAGAGAAAAATATCCAGTACATGCAAGAGATATATGATAATAGTAGAAGGGGCAGTAGTCTGCGACAAACCAAACCAAAACAGAGCTTCAACTTTACTAATCCAGGCGAATAAGTGAGTGCAGTGCGGAAAGGGCTGGAAATTGAGATGATGGCAGACAGAGTATCCGCACCTACCGAGGCAATTAGATAGACTGGAGTGGTTACTACTCTACTATCTTCTTCCCGTGCCACGGGCCGCCGTGCAGAACGCGTTGCAGGCCGGCCATCTTCCTTCTGTTGGCAACGCACACGCCCTCAAGCGGTCCCTGCAGCCGCCGGATGGGCCACGCCAGCATGCGATCGCGCGAGGTGCTTGCAGTTGAGTTGCAAGGTGCATGGTGATGTCGCCACTGGGACTCCATCAGTCCATCCACCATCTGTCTAATATATATTGTACTAAAGTAATTATATTAATATTGGATTGGGGGGGGGGGGGTGGTGAAGAGCGAGCTACCTTAGTCCTGTACGGTATGTGTATGTGTATGGGTATTGTGGTATGCATGCATACTGTACCCCGTAAGTGTACAGTACCCAGTAGTATGGACATGGACATGGACATGGACACGCCGGAGATAAGCCGATCTATTGCGACGGCCGAGATGATTGATTGCTACACCGTACTGCTACTATTATTATTGGACTGCACTGACTAGCTACTAGTACCTAGGTACATGGAAGATAATGCAGCTGGCTTGGCGGGCGCATACGGAGCTTGCCACTCATTATTCACTCACTTCCATCCATCTTCCCTCTTTGTCGCGCTTTTGTTACCGATCAGTTGGTCGATCGGTTGGTCGATCGGTTAGTCGAGTTATTTCTGTCTTCGTCATGCGACTGCATAACTACCTAGGTAGCGCTGCGCTGCCTAGGGAGGTCTCTACATTGGGATGGCTGCTTCGCTTCCATGCACCCGGAAACCGGAGTGATTGACAGACACGGATGTCCAGCAGGCAGTAAGTAGAGTACTGCAGGGAAAGCCCTCGATGTACGGGGTACCCAGTCGTACCTACCCAGGGCTAGGAGTTGAAGTTGGATCATGCAAGCACGCCGGACAGAACTCCTCTTCCAGGTGCAGGACAGGACACACTGCTAAGCATCTGATCTGAGCCCGACATACCGAGATACAGATTGCAGTCGCTGCCAATTACCCCTTCCTGTGGCATCTCGCAGCCACTGCATGCGGATAAGCTGCAGGTGGCACCCAAGTAGCTTGTTGCATTGTTGCGTCCTGTCTCGAGATCCGGGCTGGGGATTTTGCTTTGCCATGTCTGGGGTACTGGACTGGCATCAGAGCGTTCTTGGGGATTGGGGTTGTGATTGGTTAGAGTTGTTTGCTGTGGTGGAAAAGGGGTGTAGTTTGCACCGGATGTTGGGGAGTCATCGTCTGGATGGTTACTCTTAACATACTATGTACTAGGATTGAGGTTGTACTTTCTTACTATATACCCAGATATAGGCGTTGACGGGCGGACGCAGTTATAGAAATGATATCTATATAGGTATACTATGTATCCAAACTGAACGGAAGTAAGAGAACACGGCCAAGGTACCACTTCGAGACCCCAAACAACATACTGCTTACTGCATTCGATCCATCCCTTCGACTAAGTCAACTGGCAGTCATAGGACTCGTGGCATATCGACATCTGGTATACATGCAGATGAGTGTCTGGAAGAACTGAATGTGTCTTCGCGCTGGAGGTGAGAGGGCGCATATAGTATATATCTTGTGGATGGATTGGGTGTATCGGCGGATGACGGGGAGAATGGGGAGATGGGGGTTATATAGACCGTGGGGATGCGGTTTTTATGATTAGACTTTAACTCTTTCTGTCAGTTATAATACAGCGGGGTCGCACAATTGAACTCGCGATAAGCTGAGTCAGGAGAGGAGAGGAAGTCGGAGATTATAATATGAAGTTGAGCCTATAGCTTCAATTTTTGATGTAACTGTTTCTGGCTGCTACGTGAGAGATTTACAAGAGCAGGAAATTGAAGACGACAATGCTTGAAGCTTCTTACGAGAGATCACGCACGATTGAGGAGCCCGATTCATGGGCAGTGAAACGAGCTTTTGTCAAGGATACCGAGTCGTGGCTCTCTGGCCCAAGGCGTCCTATATATGATATGATCCATAGTTATATTCGACAAGAGATGGAGAATGGACCCTGGGCCCTTGTGATGGAGTGGGCTGCATATTGGAACTGCTGCGGCATCAACAACGGGCAATAAAAAGACATCATTCATTCCCAGCATGCAAGCCATGCAAACCAGACCAAACAGATCTCAAGGCCAATAGTACTCCCCTTCCTCCAACGCCGTCAGCAGATTCGGATAAACCTCCAGGTAACCATCATTCTTCAGCTCAGGAAAGATCTGATCAATCAACGCCGCCACCATGCCTCCAAAGACCTGACTCCCCTCGACATTGATATGCGTATAGTCATCCGCATCCAGATTATACGTATACGCATCCGCCGGCCCAATAGCATTCAGATAATCCGTACTCGCCTTATTCAAATCAATCCACGCCGCATCGGTCCTCTCCGCAGCAACAATCGTCGCGTTGCGCTGATCCTCCAGATTGAGGATAATCGTCGGCGTGCCGGTAGAATTATCATAGTCGCGACGAGACAGCGGTGTCACCAGGATGGGCGTGCCTCCAGCATTCCGAACGTCGTGGACGAACTGCTCCAGGTTGCCCGTGTATTCCGGGACCGTGATATTGGCAGCGGGTTTCTGGTCGTTGTCGCCGAACTGGATGGTCACGAAGGTGCGGTAGTCGGACTTGTATTCTTGCACTTTCTCCAGGACAGTCGCCCAGTAGCCGCCGGAGCGGTAGCTGACTGTGGTTGCGCCGTCGTGGCCGTAGTTGATTCCTCGCGCGCCGTTGAATAGCGTCGTGTTGATGAATCCGTCGCCCCAGCCGCCACCATCCGCGGACTGGGTGGCGGTGGTGCTGTCGCCAGCCAGGAGGAAGAATGGGGGAATGGTGTCATTGCGACGTTGTAGGAGGGAGGATGGAATGGCGAATGTGCCTAATAGAAAGAGAGGGAGGAGACTGAGACTGACTCGCATGGTGACAGTAAGTGAATGGACATGTGCATACAGCTTGGATGTCAATTTTGGGGCATGCTCGTCACTTGCTCTTTATACCCCGTGCCTTGTCATCTTGACGCAAGGCAATATAGTCACCCCACCAACAGGAGGAATACAGGGTCTCTGCCAACAATTGCCTGAATTCATCCTGGACCTTGCCTTGCTGGTGGCGGGTGTTTATCCGGCTGGGTTGGACCTGCAGGTGCTGCTCTGCAGCTAACCCACTTCATCAAGGCATCAACTGCATATGTAGCCTGGCCAAGAGGATCTGCGGATGTCACAGCTGTTAGTCAGAGGAGATCACGTCACTGAATGACTTATATTGGATGATTGAGGCGAACCGCCGGAGTTTCTATGATGGCTGACTCGGCAGGGATCAGTCGGTCTGGCGATGCGGAGAAATCAAACAGATACCCCGAGAAATGGACTGCAATTTTGCCGAGAGAAGAGGAGTAATAGCGGGGAAGAAAGATAATGAAGGCGAGAGTGAGGGGAGAAGGTCTGGGTAAATATAGCAGGTTGCGACTGGCAGGAAGCTTTCGTCAAATCAGAAGCATCCTGTCCGAGATGATGCGAATGCGTGCCGTCATGATGAGCCTGCAATCGCTCCACAGGCGAGACGCGTAGGGAATGAGATGGATGAAGCTGCTAGGAAGTAACTACCGTGAACAAGGCAATGCGGGGGGAGGTGAAGGCCAGGGCACTAGACCCAAACAGGCACTGCTAGGCGCCGACATGGAATATGCTGCCTCTTCTCCCTCCCTTCTTCTTCTTCTTCTTCTTCTTCTTCTTCTTCTTCTTCTTCTTACGCCTCAAGCTGCTTTCCCTTCCACTTAACCAACCAATCTGCCCTCTACACCATGATCATGCCAATGACTGAGATAACCACCCGGGGTTACCGGACTTAAGTGGGTGGGACAAAAACCAACAATCAACCACCCAATCCCTTCCATCCCCCACCTCACTGCAACTCCTCCCAGCCAGATCATAATCCAACATGCCCGCCTCCCATGTCACCGCCATCCAGTCCATATACGACGAGCGGAGTGAAAGCTACGACAACTCCCACCACGGAGTCCTCGCCGAAGCATACATCCGCGCCGCCCAGCCCAAACCTGGCAAAGGCGTTCTCGATCTCGCCTGCGGTGCCGGACTCGTGTCTTTGCTCGCAGAGGAAAAGGTTGGCAAATCTGGCCAGATAGTTGGAATCGATATCAGCAATGGCATGTTGGACGTCGCGCGTCGAAAGGCTCAGCAAGCCGGATCGAAAGCCACCTTCATCCAGCATGATATTTCCGACTTGACGGGCCTGGACATACTTCCGTTGGGATCTGAGGGGTTCGATTTGATTACCTGCGCTGCGGCACTCGTTCTTCTCCCAAACCCTGAGCAAGCTATTAAGCACTGGGCAACGTGGCTGAAGCCAGGCGGGCGGCTCGTCACGGACGTTGCCGCGAAGGATGTCCACGTTCCTAGCCGGATTCTGCGCCGCATCAGTGACACGCTTGGCGTTTCGCTGCAGTGGGATGAGAGCTGGGTGCAGAGTGAACAATCGCTGGCGGATCTCCTGGCCAGGGCGGGCCTGGATGTGAAGAAGGTGTTTTTGACGGAGTCGTTCCAGGAGCGTCGGTATCTGGTTGCTGACGCCGGAGAGGCTTTCGAAAAGGCTGTTGCTAGCCCCATGTTCCGGAACTTTGGGGATCCCGCCATCAAGGACCGGGCAAATCGGTTGTTCGTGGAGAAGTTCGTTGAGGAGGCTGGTTCCGAGGGGGTGTTGCTGGATGAGGCCAAGATGTATATGGGCATTGCATATAAGGTATAAGTGGTGATGTCTGCTTGCTAACTACATCATCGACACGACAGCAGGGGAAGTATATGCTTGAATATATTCTATGAACTATATAACACTCATGGTCTGTCCCTCTGAATGAGCCTGGTTTGGTTGGATTGGTACTAATATTGAGCATAGCCACGTTCCAACTATCTACAATCCTCAGAGACCCTCCGAACCTGTCCAGCCATGTCCGAGCTACCCGGAACTGCCATAATCGGGTATTTCCGGTCCTTCCCTTTTCAAGCCCTACCAACATGGAGATATACCGCCCAGCATGCCGTGAAAGCCATGTTGCTGCTGCTGATATTGGACCCTTGGAATACTACCCCTGGTATCCAAGGATATGATGGATAACGAATTGCGGATATGGCAGCATGGCTTATGCTGGAATACTTCAAACCGGGAAAGGATCGAAAAGGGTTACTTGTCAAGTCTACAGGTTGTCTCAGTTTACATTAGTAATGGAATGCATCTAGTAACCTCATTTCTTTCCCACTGTAGCAGGATCTGTCAGCTGATCACGCATATGTCCAGAAAAAACGAGGGTGGGCATATTAGGTTAGTTTAATTCAGGTACTAGCGGGATATATTCCCCCCCTCTATCTGTTCATTTGACTTGGACGCGTGTGAGGTACTGCGTGGTCAACTCGAGTAGTAGAAAGAAAAAACATAGTATGCCTCGGCCCCAAATTGTTCTGTCTGTGGTTCGAACCCTCGACCAGGGGAACCCATCGAATCCAAATTAGTCGTGGGGCTGCCGTCAGGTCTGGACCGCAACCGCAACCACAACCACAACCACAACACCGAATTTCTCCCAACTTCGCCTACTCAACACCATTGCAGGCAAGCCCCCTTGCAGTTCGATGATAGTGGCTTGGACCTACGCCAAGCTCCTGCGCTTGATTGAATTTTTGTGGTGCATCAGCTGGATGCCGAACGGCACTTTCATGATGGAGCACTTGAGCACTGGGAGAGGAAACTCAGGAGAGCCATCTATGTTGTGCCTCATGAAGCGAATAACATATATGCCACACTCGAAGCAAATACCTTGACGTCATACTCTTGTCAAATGGGTTATTTGTTGTAAGGTGACGGATCAACGGGCCTGATGGATAGAGCATTCGTGGTCCAGAATACCGGTCGTGTTGTCTTCAATACAAACTGTGGGTATGTTCGCATGATGCCTGAGGCTTTACGGCACTAGTCTGAAGGCGATCATGACAGTGCATCCGGATATTGTTCACGATATGATTTTCGCCAAGAGAGGACAGAATATGCTGAATCTGGGCCCCTGGGGTCTCATACACGCACGAAGATTAGAAAGTGGGGGAGACTGAGGTGGCATAGTATCCCAATGTGTCTACTACATAACAGACTCATTCAATGTTACTGGGTCAGATGATTCCGCGGTGGCTACTTCCACTTTAGTCGGGCTCCTTGATAATGTTCTGCAGTTAACTGACAGTTGACTATCAGACTCTACTACTACCTCTGATTGATCGGGGGGCGTCTTGCAGATCATTGCGGTACGATCGCGGGAAAAGACAGTCCCAGAAAATGCTGAGCTGTGTATACTGAGATCCAGGGATGACCTTGATACCCTTTAATTTACCGTGGGCGAAAATGCAGGGTATTGAGCGGGATTAATCCTGTCAACTCTCTGGGGCCCGGCAGCTGACCGCTGCACATCTCAGTGACGCCCCTCGCGATACTGGCTGACAGTTATAAAGTCCGAGTATCTACATCATATAACAGTCATCCGTCCAGTTGCGTTCCAAGTTATGCTTCTTCCATGGTCACAAGCTATCCAGGTGAGCGGACCATCAATATTGCTGGGAATGTTCCATCGAGGCGTTCTCAGGTGGTTGTTCTCGTATTACTTGCTAACCGCCCGCCAGGAATGATCTTTGGCTAGCGACCTCGCGAAAGATGCAAATCTGCCAACATGGATCTGCAAGTATCGAGTCATGGCACCCATGCTCGAGTCCAGAGATCTCCATCACAAAGGCCTGATCAGGAGGGTTTGCTGGACGGTTCCTATACGCACAGGCCGTTGACTACTTCCAACCTCCACTGATATGAATAGTAATGCAACAGGAATGATTGATCGACCGTGGCGCTGGAAAAACAGATTTTCTGGGGTTCGCGACGCGGAGGGCTGTCCTCAGAAAGTCCCTCCTTGCTTACTGGCCTCTACATCTGGGAGATCATCTGCTTGATAGTGGCGTTATCAGCACTCAGAAGAGTGTCCTCACACTTGATCTGTCACAACTCGGCACACCCACCTGCCCCGTACTTCCTGATATGGAGGTATTGACTAGGCCACCGGCTGTACCCTCCTGACAACCACCAAGGAGATACCAATAAGCCACAAAACGCCCAGATAGACATAGCCAGCAGTATTTACTTCTTTACGCAGCGTATCTTTACATTCGTGCAGTTGGAGCAGCTGCAGTTGCACACTGCAGTGATTTTGGAGATGGGTTCATTTAAATAACCATGAGCCACACCAGCATGAAAGCTGTCGCTCCGGGGGGAGTTGTGAGTGACATCCGCTTTGGCGAGACAGGTCATACTGAGACCTCATTTGTGGAACAAGTCAGACCCAGGAATGAGGGCTGAAGTGGGCCTGGACGCAGGAAATATGGAAAATGCACGCCTCTAGCCCGAGGACATGGTTTTCCCGTCCGAAGGATGGATAGGGCACGTTGTTTATTTTGACTTTGACCCATCTGATATGGATGGCGTTCTAGCGCTACGGAAACAGCTACCGGATATGAAGAAGTTGCGGTTCCAGAACATTGACCAAGAGCTGCTAACGCACGAGGCGTGATGGATCATATTTCCGCACCGCTTGAGTTCTTCGTATGTCTTACCCTTCCTCTATCAAGGTGAAATGCTGTTTCTGGTATTTTTTTTTTTTTTGTTTTTCTTTTCTTCCCCCTGTCATGGGTATTCAGCGCCGCAGCGGTCCCTTGCTTGATTACCTTCTGAGCCATGTCACTCTGATCTTTGGTCTACTCAACTCGGCGCACGGCTCATTGATCGTCCAACACAGTCTTGATGGTTGGAAGTTTAAACGATGAATCCTTGAGCCTGACTGCTTTATGAACACATCGGACATACCTCGAGCGGCAACTGTGGCGGGTGAGTGGGCGACGGGGTTAGAGTGAACCTTGAACCAGTGATCCATCCATTCTTTTAACCACTAAATTAAAGCGGTTGCACAGCATAGAAATACGAGTCAACCCTGCACAACTGCAGCCCATCCCAATGGGAGATTCTTTCATATTCAACCAGCAACGAACTGAGTATCCGCATCTCTGTCTCGGAGTGGTGTTTACATTTCGAGACCTTTGACTGCGCCAAAGGCTTTTTTCAAGGGTATGGGCAATGCTTGTGTCACCGGGGAAAGCGACCGGGCGTGGAGGATTGTGGAGGACTCGGTCCGCGGAGATTAAAGTGCATGCTAGAGAGGATAGGGCAGGGTTGGATGCCGGATGAAAGATCCTGGTATGCGACCCATCAGACCCTGACGCGGGAAGGGGGATGTAATTTCCCCTCGCCTCTATGCTGGTTGCTCGATCTGATGCCCCTTGCCGACGACGGGAATTCCGCTAGGGTGGGCATGGGGAGGAACACTTATCCACACAGTCAAGGAGCGTCCTCAATTGGCCAGGACCTTAAAAAAGGTGTGTGGTCATCGATAAAGAAACACAGGTCTTCGACTGGAGCTGGCCCGTAGGCCTACCGCATCGTTGGCCCTGAGAGAGGCGGCTCGAAAAGCCGGCCGGGTTGTACCTGATGGCTAAATCTTGAAGGTTGTGTTGGATCTCTGGTTCATGCGCAAGGAGCCCGGTTAGCATACTTCGTGGGTTTGTGCAAGACCATGACTCGGATTGGGCTCGAGGGCGTGATGACATTCATTGTGCGTCCGGTCGTAGTGTCTGACTCGCATGTGGTAAGACATACTCATAAGATGATACCCGGTCCCCCGTGGACATTCCGGTCCTGGACCCCCGTATGAAAGCCATTTTATTAATTATGTATACAACTAGAACAGCTGCACTGCACCCACGATTCTCTCGCGTTGTAACGCACCTATCTTAGCCGCAGCAGTCGCCCAGGCCCTGCCTACTGTTGGCACTACACTGGGGACCTCACATGTACTTCCCCCCTAATCCCATATCACCCAATGGGTTTCGTCCAACCCTTATGTCTCCGGATGACGGGTCCCTTGCGGAGGAGATTATTATCCCGGAATGTCTGCTCGCGGCAGCCTCTATCAAACAAGCCTGGGATCAAGCACACCAACCTCGTCTTGCTCGACAGCCTGTCGCCTCCGGGCCTCACGTTCCGAAGAAGAGGCCATCTACATCCGGCTATCCGGCCACTGGAGTCGATGCAGGGGAGGATGGGGGTGACGCTCGACGACGGCAAGCCAGTTCCTCGCTCGCTCCGGAAATCGTCCCGGAAGAAGGAATAGAAGCCCTGTACCCGCTCACCGAGGACAATCCAAATATCGAAACTGCATATGATCATCAGCTCACACACCCAGATGCTGTCGAGCTCCCGGACAACCACACAATCACCCCGGAGAATAGCAGTGGTATCGCGCCGATCCTTGAATCCAAGCCCCCGTCCACTACCGAGACAGGAGGCCTGAATCCATTCACCACGCTGTGCTCATCCCCAGTGCGACAGACTGTGCGCAATGTGGTTGAGAAGGCCCGGGAGAGCAGTGTTTTGTCCGTTTACAACAAGGCTAACTTGGTAAACATCAAGCATGAACGCCAATACTGGGTCCAGCTGCTGATCGAGTATGGGGCATACACCCTTTTTGCGGCGTTTGTATACTTCGTGCTGATAGGCGTGCCCTTGTGGAAAGGTGCCGTGTATTGGCTCTACTGGTTAATGGAGCATAAGTTCGTCTTCCAAGGAGGTTGGGCGATTGTCATCAGCTTAGTGACCTTGTAGGTGCCCCCCAACCGGGCGTCGAGCCCCGAAGCCCTCATCTACAGGCATATCGCTCACACATGTCCTGGCAGCTACTCTTTCTCTCCTCTCCTCGCCACCTTTGAACACGACGCTCCCGATTCGGACTTCTACCAGACTCGCCGCATCCAACCAACTGCCCCCGACACAGCTCTTCTCATCCCGTGCTTTCGATCCGCGTCCGTGATCCGCCAAACCATCGAAGCTGCCCTGAAGATCTTTCCACCCTCGCACATCTACGTGATCGCGAACGGCGACTCCATCACCCCTATCGACAACACCGAAGAGATCTGTCGGCCCTACGGCGTCAATCATATCTGGAGTCCGGTCGGCTCGAAAATCGTCGCATTGTTCGTTGGCTGCTACGCCGCCAAGCACTTCCGCTACGTCCTCCTCATCGACGACGACTGCGTCTTGCCCCCCACCTTTCCTGTGGTCATCTCCCGACTCTCCCCTCAAATCCGCTGTATCGGCTACACGATAAAGGTCGTGGCCCCCGACGGCTCTCTTGGATCGTACTGCCAGCAGGCACAGGATCTGGAATACAAGCTGGCCGGGCTGCAGCGCACCTTCGCGGGACGAGTCGGCAGCGCTACTTTCCCGCACGGGGCGATCTCTCTCTGGGAACGTTCATTCCTTCGAGATGCCCTCGAGGACCATCCCGGCTTCTCCATCAGCGAGGACTGGTTCTTAGGGAACAGCTGTCGCCGACTCGGGGGAAGGATCCAGATGTGCAGCTCCGTCTTTGTGGAAACCCGCGCACCACCCGCCTTCCTGTTTCGCGAGGGGAACCAGCGACGAGGCGGATTCGGGGAGATGACCGTGTTCAAACAGCGCTTTATGCGATGGAACTTCTTTGTGGTTAATGGTCTGCGGTATAACATGGCCTATCTTTTTGGGTCCTGGAAGCTGGGCAGGTGGGAGATTGGCGCTAAGCTTTTCGTGATTCAGGAGGTAAGTGGATCTGACCTGAACTAAACCATACTATATATACCTTAACCCTAGATGAACACAGACTAACTTATGGGTCTAGTTATACGAAACCGTCCTCAGCCTGCTCGCCCCCTTCGTCCTCCCCATCTCTCTCATCGTGCGCCCGAAGTTCTGCATCGCCCTTCTACTGAGCACACTGGGTCTGTACCTCCTCAACGCCATCGTCTTTAACGAGATTCACCTCCGACTAAAAAACGAGCGAGTCAGTTTAAAAGTCGTCCTATTCTACTACGTGAGCCACACCCCCTCCCTCCCCATCCCCTCGACATTGGAATTGTCTAACCCAGAGAATCCAACCCAGACCCCCTACAAAATCCTCATCGCCTTCATCAACGTCGGAAGCAACTACTGGTCCCTCTTCAAATACGCAAAATACTTCGCCCAGAGACATCCCAAGCTCGGCGAAGACCACAAAGCTGTTGGCTTGGTTCTTAAACTGGAGGAGAGCGCGCAGGATCAGCACGCGGGATCGAGTGGGCTGGGACGCAGTATGACTGTTCGCTCGGTGGGCGTGCATAATAGGGGGAATGGGAATGCGAGTCACAGGAGTAGTCGCTTGAGCCGGTTAAGTGGGAGGATGAGTGGTGTGCCGGAGATTGTAGATGGGAGGTCGTGTTGATATGATATGGTAGGGTTTGGTTGTGTGGTTGTTTTTCGTCTTGGTTTTTTTTTTTATTTTTTATACCCTGTATCGTGCGATTGAGGCAGTATATAATTGTTTCTTTTTTTTTTTTTTTCCAACCAGGGGCTTTGAGGGGATTGGGTGAGCGAGTGGATTGTTGAGCATTTAATGGTCTATCTGAAAATATATTTTGTGGTTCGCTGATGAGACGATGAACCTTGCCCTATTAGTAATTAGAGATAATCTCTTCTAACTGAGAAACTTGACAGGGGAAAAAAAGAAATAACTCTGCTATACAACCTGTAAAGAAAACAATCACAAAAGCAGAGCTGAATACTGAATAAAGATGAAAACAGGGCTAAGGTGTGGATGTGAAACATGGTGTGGGATTAAAGCCTTTTCTTCTTTCTTCTGGTGTTATATGATATAGCAATATATAACAAAATTATGTTGATGAATCTACCAGAAAGTTTTGCTACTCTTTGAGTGTATATAATTGCAGCTAACCATCCACTATGGTCAAGAATGGTAAGTAATCTGTTACTGCTGTATGATTAAGGGCCTATACAGACTGAAGCTGCGATAAATATAGATAATATAGTATCTACACCCACCCTCAGCAAGGCCGACGGGGAACTGCGCTCTTGCTATTTTCGATCACTAATCTTATTTTTCCTTGTTTTCTTATCTATCTATATTATTCAACTTATTTATCGTTATTAAATACTGTATTCCCCCCTTGAAAAATCCCCCAAAAAAAGAAATGCAGAAAAAAAAAAAAGAAAACCTCCAATCAACAAGTAACCCATGGGAAAGACAAAATATCATCAACAAACTATACCTACCACCCAACTACCTACATAGTAGCAAGCAAAAAAAAAATACCCCACCTTCGCGCACCGACCCATGCATACATACCTCTCCCCTCCTTCTCCCCTCCCCTCCCCTCCCCCTTCCCTTCTCCCCCACTTCACCCCGATCCTGGATTGCAAGTGTAACTGACAACCCAGGAGCAGGAACGACCCGGTCCACTCATTGGCGGGACTTCATCCCGGTCCGAATGCCAGTCTGCATCGCCTGCCCTGGCTGTCACGTCACAGCTGCGGGCTGGATGGATATCTGCTAGTGGTTCGGTGGATCTGTCTGCCACGGTCGTACCCGAGCATTCCTGACTTTCCTATTCCTGCCTTGGGGGAGGAGGGACGGGGAAGGTGGCGAAAGCTGTCTGGATGTGAGGGCTCGCTGGGTGTGGTTATGGTTATGGGTGTTTGGGGGTGTGATGGATGGATATCCTCTGTTGTTGAATGCGCGAGGACCTGGAGGTGAGAATACGCGTCGAGGTTTTGTTATTGTTGTTGTTGTTGTTATAGTGTCTAATGTCGATGTTTAAGCGGTGGTGCGACTTTTGTCTCTCGTGTTAATTTTCATACTCGGTCTGGTGAGCATGTGGTTTTGTTGCCTTTCATTCACTTTACTTTTCTACTTTTTGCCCCGTGTGTCAAGACCCTTTGGCCGCGGTGGTTATCTGTCGCCTTCTTTTCCTTTCTCTTTTCTTTCTTTGTGACATGGCACTGATTTGATGATTGCCCTGTAGGAAGGCCACCGCGGCAAGAGCGGAACCTTGCCAGCATATCGGGCTGATGTTAGGGTTAACCAATTTCCCGCCAGTCGGACATACTCCGATATTCCACTGCTGCTGTGCATCTGCTTATCGGAACCAGAAGGATCCTCCCGTGCTCGTACCGTCCGGTCTAGACGGCTGTCTAGTACCCCGCAGCCCCTTCCCCGCTCAGTATCAACAGAGGAGGACCCTTGACCACTCGCATCTGCAGGTATACGAAGCATCCCCTCACTCGAACCTCTCGGACAAAGAACAACTGCCATATATAATATATCTACCCAGGCATCCCCACACCTCAACCACCAACCGATTTCACACCCACTCATAACACCCGCCCACCACCACCACCACCATCATGCGCCTCCTCGACAAAGTCGCTCTGATCACTGGCTCCTCCTCGGGCATCGGCCGCGCCATCGCCCTCCGCTACGCCCGCGAAGGCGCCAAGATTGCCTGCGCGGACATCACCCCGACCGCCCGCTCCGCCGTCCACAACGAAACCGACATCACCACCCACGACGCCATCATCCAGCAAGGCGGGCAGGCCTTCTTCGTGCAGACCGATGCGGGCGATGAGGCGCAGATGGAGAACGCGGTGCTGCAGACCGTGAAGCAGTTTGGTCGGTTGGATATGTATACATTCCCCCTCCTAATATATCCCTTCATTGGCTTCCCATCATACACAGTGCAAGGAAGACAAAGACCCTGATGGCATCGATCCAGAATGGTCAACAATGCCGGCGTCTCCCTTGAATCGCGCACTCCCGCCCGAATCCACGAAACTAGCAACGAGCTGTTCGATACCACCATGCGAGTCAACACCCGGTCTGTCTTCTTGGGCTCCAAGTACGCGATCACGCAGATGTTGAAGCAGGAGCCCCATTCCTCGGGTGATCGGGGGTGGATTGTGAATTTGTCTTCTATTATGGGTATCGTGGCGGGAACGGAACATCGTATGTTGACATTCTTACACATCTGATGTGAGGGGTGTGGAACTGATTGATGATAGCATCCTACTGCGCCTCCAAAGGCGCCGTCAGCAACCTCACCCGCCAAGTAGCGCTGGATTACGCGAGGGATCGAATCCACGTGAATGCCGTTTGTCCGGGGTGTATGTATCCCACTCTTCTGTTCTTGAATGTGTGGTGTTGTGTTGTGTGGGCGTGCCGAGCTGACGGTTTAGATACCCGAACTGCCATCTACGAGGAGACTACCCAGTATATGCATACCGCGGATGACTTGTACCGCCGTCACCCGTTTAATGGCCCCGGGTTACCGGATGACATCGCCCGCGTGGCGGTGGTGTTGGCGAGTGAGGATGCGAGATGGATGACGGGGGCAGTGGTGCCGGTGGATGGGGGGTATACTGCGCGGTGATATGCTGGTGATTTGGGAGCTACATAATATATCTAGTGTGGCTGGGCTATGTGTTGGTAACTTGGTTGTGGTTGTGTGGGCTATATTCGAGATACATAGGGTTGAGCCTGGTCATGGTCTGTGCTCGAAGGTGAGTGAAATTACTAAACATCTTTTATCCTACCCTGTGAAGATATAGGCCCAGACATAAAATATTATGTACCGAGTTCTCCGAGGGAAGGAAACTTTTTGGTTCTTCCAGAAAAGTCAGCTCAAGGTGGAATTCCACCCGTGGTCCCATTATTATTTCGGGAAGCCGAACAGTCGCGCAGCTAAGTTTTCGCCCACAACGGAGTACATCGCACCGGCATCGGGTCCTCATAGGCCCTCCGCCTGTTTAACTTCGGGGTTTCGGCATGCCACTCGGGAAGAAACTCAATGGGGGTCCGCGGACTGCCACCGCCAAACCAGGTTGTCAACTGTGTACATTCGTATACTCTCAGTAGCGCGTCCTCACCCACTCTACCGCCACGGTGTCCCTGAATCCTGAAGAATTTGCAGCAATCAGAGAGCGACGATTAGGCCAGCAATAAAAATGAGCTAATGATCAGTCATTTGGGGCAGTCATGGGCAGGGATATCAACGAGGCGACTTTCTGGAAAGGGTCGGAATCCCACCGAGCCGCTCCCACCAGCCGCGCCGCACCAATCAGCGCCCGGCGGAAACGCGGCTATCCACGGTGAGCGGGCAAGGCCAAGCCCGGCGGGCCCAATCTGTTACTTAATTTTGACCGCAGACAACGCTGATTGGGCGGTACCTTTGAAAATCTGCAGCCGGGTGGGTCCATCTTGACCAGTGGCCGATCTGTTTTGCAAGCCATCCATACTTGCCTCAAGCCCTCAACGGGAAGCCGCGACTCAACCGAGCTTCGTCGTGTCTCCGCCCTTCTTCTTCTGCTGGCCTTCCGTTTCACGTCCTTCTCATCCTTCCTCTCCCATCCTCGTGCGCGTCTTTCGTCTCTTCCTGCGTACAGGCACCGCCGTGCAGGAGCGCATCCCCCCTTTTCTGTACCGCTTCACAGCTCGACAATCGACTTCGACATCATGCGTTTGGACGGCGTCGCTCCCCCCGCCGAGGTCGCTGAGACCAAGAGTCGCGAAGAGAAGGACTACGATGTGGAGGACCTCAAGGCCGTTGCCAACGTCCCCGAGGACGATCCCTTTGGCAACGAGGCCAACGCGGAGGTCAAGTACAAGACGCTGAAGTGGTGGTACGTATCACGCGTGACGGATGAACCGGACCTGGCTAATCCAACGACTGCAGGCAATGCGGAATGTGTATGTCAATCGGATAAACAACCGAGGAAGTGCGTTACTGACCGTCGCAGTCATGATCGCGGAGTCTGTCTCCCTGGGAGTGTTGTCTCTCCCGGCCACCATGACTTCCCTGGGTCTCGTTCCGTAAGTCTTGCCGCTCCGCTGTGTGTGTCGACCTACTGACCGGTCAGCTCGCTCATTCTTATCGTCGGTCTCGGTATCCTCGCTCTCTACACTGGCCTCGTCATCGGCTGGTTCCGTGAACGTCACCCCTTCATCCACAACCTCGCCGATGCGGGCGAGATCCTCATGGGCCGCTTCGGCCGCGAGCTGTTCGGACTCGGCCAGATCCTGTTCTCCATTTTCATCATGGGCAGCCACATCGTCACCTTCACCGTCATGATGAACACCATCACCGACCACGGAACCTGCTCCATCGTGTTCAGTGTGGTGGCTATGGTCATCTGTCTGGTTCTGTCGCTTCCCCGGACGATCAAGAACTTGACCTATATCTCCACAGCTTGTAGGTGCTTTCCGGTGGGGTGAACGGAGCGACGCTGACGGACATAGCTTTCATCAGTATCTTCACCGCGGTGATGATCACCATGATCGGCGTCGGAGTGCAGTACAAGGGCGGCCAGAACATCAGCATCACCACCGACACCAACCTGTACACGGCCTTCAGCGGCGTGACCCAGATCATGTTCGCCTACTGCGCGCACGTTGCCTTCTTCGGTCTGATCGCCGAGATGGAGGAGCCCAAGGACTTCGCCAAGGCCCTGTGTCTGCTGCAGTGCTTCGAGATTGCGCTCTACGTGACGGCCGCCATCGTCATCTACTACTTCGTGGGTAACGGCGTCGACTCGCCCGCCCTGGGATCGGCTGGACCGGTGTTGAAGAAAGTGGCCTACGGCATTGCCATCCCGACGGTACGTGCAGTCGCGAGTTCACCATGAGCTTGAATCACGGAACACTAATGGGAAAATAGATTATCGGCGCTGGTGTGGTCAACGGACACGTCGGTCTGAAGTACATCTACGTGCGCATCTTCCGGCACTCGGACCGCATGTCCAAGAACGACTTCGTGTCGGTGGGCTCGTGGATCGCCATCGGCGTCAGCTGCTGGGTCGTTGCGTGGATCATCGCCGAGGGTATCCCCTCGTTCAGCAACATCGTCAGTCTGATCAGCTCGCTGTTCGCCAGTTGGTTTAGTTACGGTCTGCCGGGCCTGTACTGGCTGCACATGAACTACGGGCAGCTGTTCTCGTCGCCTAAGAAGATTGCCATGACGATCCTCAACTTTTTGATCCTGTGCATTGGTGCTGCCATGGTGAGTTTACTCTTCCCCCCCCCCCTTTCTCTTTTTCTTAAGCACATGCTAATTGAGCTGGGTAGTGTGGTCTCGGTCTGTACGCCTCCGGAAAGGCGATCCACGACGATGCCTCCAAGAGCAGCTTCTCGTGCGCGAGCAATGCGTTGTAAAAGGGTGGTGCTATGACCGAGATAGATTTAATGTATATACGGCTTGGAATAGATTTGATTTTAATGTTTATCATTGGATGTAGATGTCCATTTACACTAGGTATCTATCTACCTACCTAGCTATCCACTTGTGTAAGATTAACCGAACCATCTCAAAGCGTACGTCGGTAGATGGATAGTCTGAGACTACCTTAGGTTAGCTTAGGTCAAACCAATGGACACCCCTCCTACCCGAAGTGGTTTAGCCCGGTTTGGCTCAGAGAGCTATATATAGTAACTGCTCTACAGTGCTTTATGAACCACGATGCACAAGTTCATAACACCCTGCTTCGTAATGTGGTTCTTATGGTTACTATTTAGTTATAATTGATCATGCAGACAGGCACGACATGCAGCAAAGCGGTGAAGCAATTCCTTCATCTCCCTGTCACTCTTCATTTACTCAATCCGTTTATGGTCATGTATGAATAACAGACCAAACAGACCACTCGACTAAAAAGGTGTCCTGACACCTAAGTAGGTGTGATACTGAATGATACTAGGTTTGACAATGAAAGAGCATGTTAAACCCGAAGCCTTTCGTATGAACTCGGGAAGAGCGTAGCCGGGCCTTGTCCTTCCTTTGTATGGAGTTGTTTTTTTTGGGGTGGGAGGGGTGGGGAGGGGTATAGTGGGGTATAGTTTCTTGAAAGGTGCTTGGAGAAGAGGGGTTCATTATAGGTAGTTGGATCTTGTTTTGGGGTGAGCTGGGTTTGAGCTGGGTTGAGGGTTTACTCTCTTGATGTATGGGAAATAAATCGAGGATGGGTTGGTAGTTATTGGATGAGATGTGAAGGGAATGTTGATTGGCGTTGGTGACTGTTGACTGTTGATTGTTGACTGTTGACTGTTGACTATGGGGATGGAGATGGAGATGGAGGAGGTTGAGAGAGAGAGAGGTGGGGTGGAAAAAAAGAGAGAGAAGTCTGGGTTTCTGGATAGTTAGGAGTTGAAAGGGGATGTATAAGCTGGTAGTTGGAACCAGTCTCAAAAAGTTAGCCTATATCCAACCCAACCCATCCCGACAAGGTCGATTTCACCATCCTTGATATATTAGGTATCCATAACATAAAACCAGATCTAACTCTCTAACTCTAAATCAGAAATCTTCTACTCTATACAGCAACCACCTCATTCAGCTTCGCAAACAACGGGGCCTGGAGCTCGCCCTTGCGCAAAGCCTCATAGATGATCGAGATCCACGAGCCCACCGTCCTCTTGGGCCGGCCATCCAACTCCTCCGACTCCGGGGTGGGATGCTCCACGAAGCCCTGATGGAACGGCACCTTCAGGTCCCTGCGCACCGTGGTATACAGCACCCTGGACCCGGCACCCAGCAACTCCTCGGTATGGGGCTTCTCGAGGAACTCCGCCCTCTTGGCATGGTAAACCTGCTCGACCACCTCCGCGGCCTTGGCCTGCCACTCCCTGACCGCATCCAGACTGACGCTCGCCCCGCCATCCACGAACACCGGCACCGCGGCCTGCACGGCCGTCCGGCACCGCGCGGGGATCCCCAGCCTCGTCGTGGTCGGCCACGCGGCAGCCACCGCATCGACGACCTTCGCGACCAGCGCGGCATCCGCACCCGCCAACGTCCCCCGCGTCACCTCCCCAACCACGCCCCGCACGCCCTCCACCACCCGCAAATGCAACGCCCTCAAATCCACCGCCTGGCAGCACACATACAGATACGCGGCACTCATCAGCCCGACCAACTCAACCGCCTGCATCGTGAACCTGGCCGAAATCAACGCCAGCGAGTTCACCGCCTGATTCCTCATCTCCGCCGTCTGCACGTGCGCGCTGACCGGATGCGCCAGGTACGCCAGCTCCGCCATATACGCGGCCATGCTGATATCCACGCCCTTCATGGTGAACGAGAGGCTGGCGTCATCGGAGACCAGATTCGTCGGCAGCCCGTTGTTGTAGTTCGGGTCCACGAGCTCCGTCGCCTGCGCGAAGATGATCTTGCCCAGCATCTGCAGCGACAGCCGGGTCTTCTCCATCGCGGACGTCACGGCGGCGGCTTGGAAGTTGGCCCCGCAGAAGATGTCCCGGTTCGCGGTGTCGATGAGCGGGTTGTCGCAGCTGGAGTTCAGTTCCGTGGTGATTTGCCGCGTCGCCAGCTGGAGGTCTTCGAGCTGCGGGCCGACCCATTGGGGCACGCTGCGCCATGCGTACCGGTCTTGGATCAGGCCGGTCAGCTTGCGGTCCTTTTCGCGGTTCACGCCGATGGCGAGGTGCGAGCCTTGCAGCAGGGTCAGGATGTTGGCCGCGCATTCGACTTGGCCGGGGTGTGGCCGTGTCGCGTGGATGAATGGGTGGAACGATTCCGCCGTGCCCTGGAGGGCTTCCACGCCCATGGCGGCCAGGGCTTGCGTGGTCACGGCGAGCATGTTCGATTCGTGCATCGCGAGTGTGGCGACGCCCGCCGAGACCGCCGTGCCGTTGACCAGCCCGAGGCCTTCTTTCGGCCCCAGCGTGAGGAGCGGTAGTCCCGCCGCTGTGAGGGCGTCCCGCGCCGTGGTGATCGTCGGCTCGCATGGACGCGCTGCGTCCTGCACCCGCACGTAGATGTCCGGGCTGCCGGTTATGGCGCCCGCGATGTACGACAGCGGCATCAGGTCGCCCGACGCCGACACCGAGCCCCGCACCGGGATGATCGGCGTGATCCCGTGCTTGAGCAGGTTTAGTAGCCCGGTGAGGATCGGCATGGTGACGGCCGAGTGGCCCCGGGCGTTGCTGTTGGCGCGCACGGCGATCGATGCCCGCACCCACGGCGACGGCATGGAGTGCGGCTCCGGGCTCGAGTTTGTTGCTGCGCTGCTGCCGCTTGGGTAGTCTTTGTCGCTGGCCACCAGGATCCCGGCTTGTGTGAGTTGAAGGAGCGCCGCTTGTAGGGCTGTTGCTCGGTCGGTGCGCGAGTCCGCGCTGCCGCCGAAGCCGGTGTTTACGCCTGAGGGGGGGTTAGAGAGAGGGGGAGGCAATGGATGGAGGAGATAGATCAGGCAGGAAAAGGGCTGAGTGTGGATAGATAGTTGCGGATGACAGCGTGGGTGCCAGACAAAACATGCACGGGATCATGTCGGAGACCAGTAGATGCAGGATAGTACGTCATGCGGATGAGTGGGGAAGAGATGGAGAATAATACAGCAGAGTAGACGTGGAAATCCTGCAAGCTGACAATAGAATGCAAGTGGGAGTAGCGGTGAATGGCAGGGGAGAGGGGATGGGTAGAGGCCAGGCAGACCGGCGAGGCAAAAAGAACTCTCGCTCAGGGTTGGCTTCCTCTGGCCGTGTAGTGAAGGGAATAGAAATAGACACCAATGACAAGACAGGATGGAGAAGCAAGGAAAATACAATCAAACATACCATAAACACAGAACCCATTGTCTAGATGATCCATCAACACACGCACGCTGTCAGTGATGCTCCCCAGCACCTCTGGGTCGGACGACAGCTCCGGAATGCAATCATGGCTGATCGGTCAGTATTACACCGTTAAAAAGAAAAAGAATAAAAGACTCACTAGGCAACGGCAACAACCGACGCAATATCCAGGCTATTTCCATCCAGCGCCAGCGATGGGTTGGCCTTGAGCTCCTGCAGACGGGCCCAGGTGCGGTACGTCGTCGACAGATGACTCGGGGGGACGGATGGAAGATGCGGCATGATGAGGACTGGAAGGGGAGGATGATAGGATGATATGATGATGATGATGATGATGATGGAGATGGATCGTAGAACCTCGCGGACGAGGCGGGTTTTATATCCCTCCTGAGACCCGCCAGCAGCTCGGTTAGCGATGGAGGGCGAAAGCTGATCGATCCCCCCGAGCGGCCGACATGGCATGCAGAGCCCATCTGGACCCGCAGAGGGCCTCGTGGATCGATGGACGAACTCAGTCGCGACCTGAAACTCAATGCTTTTCCTGCATGCTGGTTCAGCCGTGCAGATCGGTGGAAGGCGTCCAATGCAGCATGCTACTACCGACCTTACTAGTTACCAACTGGGCTACAAAAGGTACTGTCCGGTGCAGGACTGGGGTCGTGATTATTGTGGGCACCGCACGGGCAGCGACGACGATGATCGAGTGGATGAGACCGGCTGAATCGCTGGAAACAAGTCCACCGGTCCACCGCCGCAGCCCATTCCCCTGACGATCGATTGGTGGGATTCGCTTATCTTCAGCTGGGCCCTACTGAAGGTGCTTGCTTTTTCCGACGCCACCGAGGGTTGGTTGCGTGACACAGGCGCATCCTTGCAAAAAGTGGGCAGCAGCAGAAGAAGAAGAAGACAGATACTATATTTCGATCAGATGAGGTGAGGATGATGTATATATGTATGTATGTATGTATCAAACCCTGCCAGGACGATCAGTGGGCCCCGGCAATGTACTGTGAGAGCGCCTCTAGCATCGTATCAGATCGATCACAGAACCAAGGCACTGGATCGCTCGCCACTGGGGCTGGCCCGTCCGTGCCGTCGCCGACCCAGTTTTGGCTCGCCAATCGATCCGATCGCCCCGACAAATCGAGTGCGTGCAGATCCCCGGACCACATGGGCGAACTCAAGGCTCCGTCCGCTTGCCTGTTGGGGCATGCGACCCTGGCAAGTCCCGACACGGCACGGCTTGCAGATGCTCGCAATCCCGATGAACGGTGGATCGCGCTGGGATCGATCTAGCAGGTTTGGGCTATTGCGATGATCATGGCGATACCGAACGCATTTGCAGTTCTGGGAGGCCCGTCGTTCCGACGCCAGCCGCGATGTTGCACTGAATGCGGATGGCGATGCAAAGTTTGAGGGTTGCAGCCCATAACTACGCTACCATCAGCAATGATATAATACCGATTCGATCCGCCAGCCATATCGTCGTCCACACCACCATCCGTCCGTCCGTCCGTCCGTCATGCTGCAAGTCTCATCCTCTCCGTTCGCTCCGGTCGACATTCCGGACGTCGACCTCTGGACCTTTCTGTTCGAGCGTCCCGACCGGCCCTTTCCCGTGCACCACCGTAAGTGTCTTTGTCTCTCTCTGTCTGTGGTGTTCGCGCTAACCATCGCAGCGCTTTTGACCGACGCGATCACCGGTCGCAGCCTCAGCTTCCAGCAAGTGCGCCGTCGCGCCCTGCATTTCGGCCACGGCCTGCAGACGCACTGGGACTGGCAACCCGGCGACGTGCTGGTGGTCTTCGCCCCGAACTCCATCGACCTCCCGCCGTTGATCTGGGGAACGCTCGCCGTCGGGGGCGTGGTGTGCCCCGTCAACTCCAGCTACCGCGCGGACGAGCTGCTGCATCCGCTGCAGGACGCCCGCGCCCAGGCCATCGTCACAACCAAGGCGCAAGCCAGCATCGTCTACAATGCCGTCGACCGGGCCGGACTGTCGCGCGACCGCGTCATCCTCCTGGACGAGACATCTCCGTCCCCGGCATGGATCGGGACCCAGGGCGAGGCTGTCCCCGACGCCCCGCACGACCCCTTGATCCGGCGCCCGGCCCAGGATCTGGCCTTCCTGGTGTACTCGTCCGGCACGACGGGGCTGCCCAAGGGCGTGATGCTGTCGCATCGCAACCTGGTCGCCAATCTGCTGCAGAACGAGGCCGTCGACCAGGGCCATCTGACCTGGCAGAATGATCGCGCCATCGCCGTGTTGCCCTTCTTCCACATCTACGGTCCTCCCCTCCGCCCGGCCGTTTAGTTTACACTGAAATGGAAGCTAACGGAGCAAAGGAATCACCTACCTTCTCAACTACACCATCTACACCGGCATGACCATCCACGTCATGCCGCGCTTCCAACTGGCCGCCTTCTGCAACACCGTCCAGCGCGCCCGCATCACCTACGCGTACGTCGTGCCCCCCGTCATCCTGGAGCTGGTCTCCAACCCGGGGGTCGCCCAGTACGACCTGAGCTCGCTGCGGATGGCGCTGTCCGCCGCGGCGCCCCTGGCGGTGGAACTGATTCACGCCGCCCGCGACAAGCTGCGCCTCCCCGTGCGCCAAGCCTACGGCATGAGCGAATGTTCGCCTTGCACGCATATCCAGGTATCTCCCCCTCTCCCCCTCTCCCCCCCCCTCCTCCCCTCTTCAACCCCACTAACCCATTCCTTTTATCATCCAAACCAGACCTTCCCCGAAGCAACCACCCACCCCGGCTCCGTCGGGCGGCTCATGCCCAACCTAACCGCGCAATACTCCCCCGTCGAAGGCGAGACCGGCCGCGCCGCCGAACTCTGGGTCCGCGGCCCCAACGTCTTCCCGGGCTACCTGAACAACGCCACCGCGACCACGGACTCCTTTTCCGACGACGGATACTATAAAACCGGCGATGTCGGGTACGAGGACCCGCACGGCCACTTCTACATCACCGATCGCGTCAAGGAGTTGATCAAGTATAATGGCTTTCAGGTCGCGCCGGCGGAGCTCGAGGCCGTCGCGTTGGCCCATCCCCGCGTCAGGGATGTCGCGGTCACGGGCGTGCCGAGTGGGATGGCGGGGTCGGAGTTGCCGAGGGCTTGGGTTGTTGTTGGTGCGCCTGCAGAGGGTGATGTTGGTGGAGGGAGGCTGGAAGAGGATATTGTGAGGTTTGTGGGGGAGAGGGTGATCGGGTATAAGAAGTTGAGAGGCGGCGTGAGGTTCGTGGATAGTATTCCGAGGAATCCGTCGGGGAAGATTCTGAGGAGGGAGTTGAAGAGGTTGGATCGGGGGAGACTGTGAGGTTGTTGTTGTTGTTGTCTGGTGGTATATACTACATGTTATGGAGTATGGAGTGGGTGGCGGTGGCGGTGGCGGATATGTAATGTCAGTGTATGTTATTAGGGTCTGCATGCAGGTCCATACTCATACTACATAAAACAGCAGTAGATTAATTGGTTTGGTCTGCATGGCACAGCTCAAACCAGACAGAAGAATGAGATCGCCATAACCGGATTCCAGCTCGTGTGGACCTGCGAGGCGAGTCTAGCCTGAAAGAGAAACTAGACGGACCGATCGGATGTGGGTTCAAGAATCAACAGGAACAAGAACAGGATCAGGGTCGCTTCCCTGCTCTCTGCCAATGGGGATTGTGGATGTGGAAATGCCAAGACATGGACAGTGCGGTGGATTGGTTGATGGCGTGGTGGGGCACTCACTGTCTTGTCTTGTCTTGAAATGGAGTCTTGGACCTTTGTGCATATAAGCAAGTACCTCGAAGCAGTGAATGTCTGACTCTGGGGTATTTTACATCCTTAATTAATTCTCAAGTCTGAGCAGCGAGAACTGTGATAAACCCGGTTGGCTTCGTCTGGGATAATTATTATCTTTGAATATCCGGTGTTACGGGGGTGGAATATATATCACCAAACAATTGGATCTATATATTGGGTGGATACGAAACACCGGGTACTATGTAGTATGACCACTAGACACAAGAATAATAGAAACTATCATGTCTTGCTGCTTCCAAGTCCGGCAGATCGGTCTGCTATCCGCCGACTGCCGCCGGTGAAGACCTCCTTCCTTCCTTCCTCTTTGGGCCGTTGGTGAGTGAGTGAGTAGTGAAGTGAGTGAGTTCTTATGTAATCCGTCCTCGCGCGGGGTTCTTGTTTGTTTTTCGGTGAGGTGTTCTCGCTCTCTTCCATTTCAACTGGCTTTGGATGGGCGTGGAGTCCATCGAGCCGACCAGATTCATCAAGTCCAGCAGTTTTACTAGTTTTCCGGTTGAATCACTCGTCCCCTATTCAGGCCTACAAGTCGCAAAAGTATCCACACCCCGCACTCCGAGCTACAGATCAGACAGTTGCACCTCGCTGCTTCGCTCTATGCGGCCCAGTTGAAAGTAAAGTACACACAGGTTGCATAGAGGACGGGCCAATGTGGTGAAGTAACACACACCATTATATTGATTTACAATCTACAATCCTGCTGCATGTACCTGTGGCTACAGATGCTGCTGATCTACTATTACCGATGTTTGGTTGTGTAAGAACAGTTTGTAATAAACAACGCTTGTGCATGTGCTAACAACTAATGAGACAGCTAAGGAGACAGAAATAAGACAAAAGAAGAAAAAAGAAATACAATGTCGATATCAACACCAGTTCCAACCAGTTCCCCGCCACTACACATCGGTGTCCATGGCATCCTGTGATCTCGACTCCCTCAATTCGCCGGCTGTGAGTGGGCCGTACTCAATATCCATGTCATCTCGGACCCGCAATTCTTCAGATGTGAGTGCGCCGTACGAACGAAGAAGCTCTCTAGTAGCCTCATCTGCCGCAATATCCACTGCGGTCCTGTCACGTAGATCTGTGACATTGATGTCCACTCCGAATTTGATCATCTTTTCAACTACGATGCGACGGCCATTCTTGACCGCGAGAAGGAAGAATGATTCACCTGCCCTCGTGTCCGCGGCGTTCTCCAGGAGCTCGTCAAGTGTCTGTGCGCCGCGAGCACGCAGGTACTCGATCGCGTCCATATCACCTCTTTCCATCGCGACATCCAACGCCGTTTTCTGATATTTGCTTATTCCGTTGATTGGCACCAACGGAATCAGTTTCTGGAGCATGTTCAAGTCACTAAGCGCTGCTGCCGCATGGAGCAGATTGGGAGCATCTGGCCCTGCCGCGCTGTCGCCGAAATCCGCGCCCTGGTTAAAAAGGAGGCCACAAATTTTCAGGTCCCCCCTTTTGACAGCATGGTCCAAAGGCGTGCAGCCCTCCTCATCTTTAATATTTATTGCCTCCCGTCCGTGGATAGCAAGGAGTTCGGCTGAAGCTACACGCTCATCAGCGGACTCGGCTTCGCCAGCGGACTCAGGTTCATCCACGGATTTAGACTCATCATCCGAGTCATAATCATTCATCAATTGCTGCAAATCGTCCTCCACATCGTTTCCTGGAAAACCAACATGCAACTCATCATCGTGCCCAAGTATAACACGATGTAGGGGGGTCAACCCCTTTTCGTCCGTTGCATCGCACCTGGCACCCGCCACAAGTAGGAGTCTGATATTCTCGAGACTGGAGGCTTGGGCCGATTCATGCAGCGGTGTGCCGTATTTATCCCCCGGCGCCTCGGCCGCCGCCAGATTAGGGTCCGCGCCCCGGTCAAGCAATAGTCGCACGACATCTGATGTCGAATCCTTGGCCGCATAATATAATGCGGTCATCCCTTCGCCATCGGTCCGGTTGATATCGGCCCCCATATCCAGCAGTCGCCTGCATATATCAGGCTGGCCCCAAGATGCTGCGTAGAAGAGGGGTGTTTCTTGATTTCGATTGAGGTATTTTATATCTGCGCCATGGCTAATCAGGAAGTCGAAGGCCTCCATATTGCCCCCCATGATGGAGTAGAAAAGTGTGGTCCGCCAACTGATGTCGCGAGAATGGATATTTGCTCCATGGTCGATCATCAGCTCCATGATCGGGATATTGCCCCTCAGTGCTGCTTGATTGAGGGCGTAGTCGTCCGGTAGCGCATTGCCATCCGGATCATCATCGTCAATATGCTCAAACCCCTCGCGCCTGTTCTCTTTAGGCCAGTACTCGAGTAGCAGCTTGCACATCTCCAGATTCCCCGTATCGGCAGCACCGCCCAGGATGGTCAATCCCGATGAACTAAACCCTCGGTGGATATCCGCTCCATGGTCCAGAAGCACCCGCGCCATCTCGAGGTGTTCGTGTTTTACCGCCCAGAACAGAGGGGTCTTGAAAAATTCACGAGGATGCGACAGGTCCGCGTGCAGGTTTAAGTCTTTGAACGCAAACAGTTCTTTTGCCGCCTCCACCATCCCATTTTTCGCGTAGTGGTGTAGAACCCATCCACCGTGGTATTTGACATTGAGGTACGCGGGGTATCTCTTGAGTCCCTTCCATAGACGCCGAGAGGACCGGATGAAGTGAAGTCGGTCTTCGTTTGTCATGTGAAACGCACACATCTCCAACACTTCGTTGGGGAGATCTTCGATGGTCGGCATGATGGCGATGGGCGCTGGGTACTGGGATGGGTCAGTGAGATAGTTCGAGCAGATGGGATTCAGGGTGGGAAGTTGAGTAATATCGCCGATAGATTGGTTGGTAGTTGGCGATGAGATGGCTTTGATGCCGATGATCTCGCTGACGAGATCGTATCGATATCGCGATTATTGACAGACAGAACAGGGATCTTCCGACTAGAGCAGACGCTGTCGAACACCTTTTAGTCTGTTGCTCAAATCAAGGTCTCCTTTCTGATTGACACTGATAGCGTGACAACTTAAAGGCCAGGGGGTTGAGCCGTTTAAATAATAAACCATCATCGTAGTAAATCTATCCCGACAAAGGGGATCCCCGCCCCGGCTGAGCCATATGCCATATATATATATATCCGGAACGTGACAATGAAAGCCATACAATGCGGGGTGACAAAGACGGGACTACTTTGCCAATCACATTGTTTTTCTTTCGGGGATTCTCGTAAAGAAAGTGCTTGGGTGTTGATTTTGTGGGTGTTTGTCTGGGGTAGGTGAGTTGGGGGTGGGATATTGAGGGGGGGGGAAATTGAAGTTGGAGAGTGTCTTCTGCGGATTGTATGATTGATTATGAGGTTCGGATCAGGATAATGTGGATGGAGAGTGTATGTATGTATAGTCTGATCATTGAGTAGACCGCAGGAAATGACCTAACCAGATATACTAGTTATCTTGGCTCACATATAGTACACCAGCCTAAACGAGGAACATATATAGTATCAGTCTCCAGCCTCATCTACGGGGACAAAGAACCGAAACCCTCCATTCCCCAATTCACTCCCCATGGCACCCATTCACCCCCAGATGCCCAGATGCCCAGATCCCCCCCCCCCCCCCCCCCCCCTCTATCTAAACCCCCAAAACCACCAAACCCTCCTCCACCACCGCCCTCCACGCCTCCACCCTCTTCCCATCCTCACCCCGCGGACAAACCTCCACAATCGCCCTAACATGATTCACCACTCTCTGCAGCACCTCCTGCACCCCAGTGAACGTCATCCCCTCCAACATCCACTCCGCCCCTTTCTCGCGACATACCCCCTCAAACACGCGCTCCATCCGCCCCCGCTCGGCCTTATCCGCCTCCGTGTGGCCTGTATTCCATAGGAACGCCCGCGGAGGATTCCAGCGTCCGGCTGGCACGATCCCGGAGAATTCCCAGTCTAGAATGCCGGTTATGTCGCAGGAGGGGGAACTCGCGTCGCAGGTGATGTTGCCGAAGTGGAGGTCTTTGTGGGCGAGGATGGAGGGGGTGGAGGGGATGGGGAGGGAGAGGGAGACGGTGAGGGTGTGGATGAGGGCGCGGAGGCGCGGGAGGAGAGGGGTGTAGGGGGTTAGGGTTGGGTGGGTGGTGATGGCGTGCATGTAGGATGTTAGGCAGGCGGCCGTGTAGGAGCTGTAGCTGGTATAGCCGCTGGGGTGGAGGGGGTTGAGGGTGTAGATTGTTTCTTTTTGGGAGTTGGTGTTGGTGGTGGTGTTGTTCCAGTACGTGGCTACATCCGGCTCCATCCACAAGGTCTCATCGATCAGCGGGCCCGGTCCCACGACACCACCATCTTTGACCACGAGTCCGCCGATATAGTTCCCCCATGGCCGGGAGTGCAACTTGATCAGGTAATCCGTTAACTGACAAACCAGATTCGTTTTCTGATCGTCTGTCAAAGTGTGATAAATCCGGTCCACACTGACCCCCCGCACCTTCTCGAGAAGTGTGTATTCGTATCCCAGTGCGTTGTCTGTGGTCGCGCTGTAGTGGATTACCTGCGCAATGGGGATCGATGTGTTTTGCCGCACCCACGTCATGATCCCGATCTCGTTGAGGGTTTTTATCTCCGGCAGGTGTCGGCCGGAGACTCGCAGGACGAGGGTTATGCTCCCGTCTGGGGAGCGGGTGGGGTTGTGCGGGATGAGTGGCGCCGCGGATGGGGCGAAGTGGATTAGGTAGATTGTGTGGAAGGCGGCGGTTACTGTCATGGGTTCGATGTGGGTTGGTTCGGGCAGGGAGAGGGAGAGGAGGAGGTTGGTGATGGAGGAGACTGGGAGGGGGGTGGGAGGTGCGTTTGGGGTTCTGGGCTGGCCATTTTGATTTTTTTGGTTGTCTGGTGGATGGTGTGGTGGTGGTTGAGTAAGGGATGATTGATGTGATGTGGCCTGGGTGCGATTTCTTGTGTAAAAAAGACCACTCGGTAAAAAGGTGTGCAGATATACCTAGATAGGTCTGATAGTGCTATATCTGACAGCATTGGAGCGGGTCGTGGTCGTATTAAAGTGTGGTGTGTTGTGTGGCATGCATGCGATAGGTAAGAGACATAATGACTCATGGTGAATCAACCCCTAGCGGATTTCCTAGTCCGGATTCGATGAAGCTAAAGTTGTGCTGACGGGGATTATTGGATTGACCCCTCGGGTTCCCGTCGGGAGGTATTGATTGGAACGAGGGCTTAGCATGATGGCGGAATAGGATTTAGCCCTTTGGTTGACGTAACCCCGAAGACCACCTTATATGATTTCATGACTTCATGTATGCCTTGTTTCTGCCTGATTCTATGTCTATATAGCCCGGCGGCTTGCGCAGCAGTATCGTAGAATCAAGACCTTCTCTGTTTCATCATTCTAGGAGTTGATAGGAGGCTTAGGCTTATCGGGTGTCAGCACAAAGAAGGGATGGGTTTCAAGACTATAAGGACGTGTGAAATTGGTTATTTTAAGCATTCGGGGGGGATAGCAGAAACTCGAAGGGGAAATAAAGAAAATGAGCAAGGGAAAAGTAATTAGCAGAACAGGACTAAAATAAGGGAGGCGCTGCAGGCACACCCCGAGGCTACAGGCACACGGGGATTACTATACATATATGTGTCACGTGACCCTTTTTCCTACTTAGGAAGTTATGCACACAAGACACATATTTATGAATAGATTGAATTTACTACACGCAGGCAGGTTAACTAGTAGATCAGCTACGTGTAGGCAGTGAACTACACACAGCCAGGTTAGCCATGCATAAGGCAGGCAGGCCTGTAATATAATAAAGACGGTGAGATAATACTCCTAATTAGGAAGGTGGACTAGTGATGTAGGGTGTGTGTATAGCATTTCGGGTGTGTCTGTATCGCCTCCCTGAAAGAACCATACAAAAGACTGTCTTCAAGCAATATACCTGCAGCACAAATGAGCCGATCTGTTACTAACAGATCGAAAAGATTACTTGGCAAAAAAGGTGTCTAGATACCAGATAGGTGTGATACAAAATAATGTTAGGTTTAATATCCCCCCTAGGCTAGCAGATAATAATGGTTTTCTAATAGCTTATAACAGCTCTATGATCTATCGTAGAAGTGTATATTCAAATTATTAAAGGATTTCTTTAAGAAATTTTATCTTCTTCGATATAGAATCCTAATCCCAATCTCCTAATATATCCGTGGTTCGAATCTATAGCCTTGGGGTATGCCAAGTCATCAAGTATACTATCTTTGCTCAGGGAAAGCGCGGACCGGTCTTATAAGCAATAGATCAAAAAAGTCACTCGGCTTAAAAGATACCCAGACACCAGCAGAGATATAATACTAGATGATACTAGGTTTGATGGTTAAACTTCTACCCATGGACCAAGTCACCAGGCCGCAGAATCCGACAGATAAACCTGGTAAGACCGAATCCTACTCCCCCGCAACTCAGCCAACTGACACCTCGCGGCCCAATCCACCGTTTTCTGTCCTCCATCTTTGAAGACATACTCCACCGTTCTGTGGATCATGACCACATCTAAACCCCGTCCAAATGGAAATACTTGCAGCGGCCTATGGGTTCGCTTCTCAATCGCATCCCACATGCAGACTAGTAACTGCCGGATCTCTGGTCACGTGAACGTCAGCCCTGGCCCGGATAGCCCTACCTTCTCGTCCCTGGAATTTCCGGGTGCCCAGGATTACGGTCGCGTCGGGGGTGAAGGAGTCCACATAGCCGTCAAAATCGTGTGGGTCGTCGGTGATGTGGTAAAATTCTCGGAGGAAGGCTTTGTGGTTGTGGTTGAAGGGGATATCTGGGTACTCGGGCTCGGGGGAGATATCACCTGGATGGAGTCAGCCATCACAGCCCTCAACAAACTCCGGTACAACTGAGAGAGAGAGAGAGAGAGAGAGAGAGTCTGTGTGTGTGCGCGAGCTAGTGAGAGGAGAGCTGAATACCCTGGACCAACAACATATTCTCCTGTAACGCCTTTTCCTCCCCAAGAACCTTCTCCGCCGTATACGAGTATAGATAGCATCTGACATGGAAAATCTGGTCGTTCTCGTCAAACCGCAAATGCCAGCAGTGGCTCTGGAGATACTCTTGCCCCCCCCCCATCTTGGTCTTGGTATCGGTACAGCTCAACTCTACTACCGCCCAATCACCTCTATCGAAAATCATCTCTGCGTCCACATCAAATCGGGGGCATGGCTCGGCGATGAGGTCAATGACGGGCTGCCAGATTTCCGCCACAAACTCTTCCTTGCATGTCCATCGCCCTGCCAATGGGTGTTGGCCGGTGATTTCCCACCTTTACATGGTCGGAGACATGGTTGAAGAAGGATAGGTATGTATCTGCCTGGTCCGTTGGATAGATGGACTAGAATGGACGGAAATTTCTCGTGAGAAGGGCAAGGCATGATAGATAAGGTTCATATATTCATGTATGATTAGGAGGTTGAGTGTTGAGGGTGGAGAGATGCGAGGAGCACGAAGGCGACTTTGTATCCAGCAGGGGTCACATGATGAGCCCTCGTGCCCAACTGGGTTACTCGGCAAGGACCGATCATTTCCCTGACTTCGTATCGCTTCGTTTTGCTACTGTAGCTACAGTAGGCAGCCTACGGTAAAGTCCGGTGACTAGGCTAGCTCATTGACAGGAGTGCAACAAGGCAACCTCCCCTGAGAAGTTAGGAATTGCCTACTCATGGTTATGTCCCTACTCCATCTTGGAAAGTCTGTTGTAGATGTAGAGTAAGAGGTAGAACAACGCCTTTTTGAGATTACGCGAGGAGGAATAATCCGGTGATACAGGTAGAAATATCAGCAGTTGAAAGGTTGGGACTATATTTCTGCTCTGCAGTTTTGGAAATGCTCTTGTAAATATAGAACAAGAGGTAGGAAAACCCCATTTAACTATGACGCGAGGAGGGGTATTCCGTTGATATAGTCAAAACATCGGCAGTTTGAAGTCTATAAAAGCAGCTCAGATTCCGCTGTAGAACGTAATCTTTCTCTATTAACAGCTCGCGCTTTCTCAGTATCAGTCTCAGTAATCAAGCCTTCAGTCTACACTAACAAATCACTTCAAACTTCGCCTATCTTCCGCGAAAATGACTAACGGATTGACCGCTGAGGACTGGAAGAAGGTGGTGCACTACTACTACCCTAGTTCCGCAGGATTTACGGTGAGTGTCCGAGATAGCCATCCTCACGAAGAGGGCGTTATCACCGAGTTCCGCGTCTCATATCGAGATGGGAGCCAACCCTTTACCCTTCTCTATCTCGATTCCCTCCAGTCGGCCTTGCGCCAACCCCTTTTCACTCCCCGGTTCAGGGAGATGAAGCCGACCGTGCCCGGTGGAAATGAGGGTAGATTTGATGTTCTGGGGATGGCAGCGTCGTCTAGCTCCATGCGTCCTTACATCGATATGAAGTACAGGACAGCCAACGGTGAGGTCGAGATTTCGGCCACAAGACTGCGCGGTGATCCGGAGGTCGGTGAGTTCAGGGCTCTGGAGGAAGTCATTTCGCACAATCTTCGGAAGTTGGGTGTTATGATTGAGCAACCCTGGTATCCTCGGGACCTTCCTGATTCCGTTCGGCTGAGGATGATTCTGGGCGAGGATCAGCCTGTTGCTGATCCTTCGAACGCTCCCCCGGCTGCTCACGGAGAAGCCATGGAGATGCATCCGACCCCACACGCCACTGATAACCAGCAGGCTACTGTTAGACGCCGGCGGAATCGGCCACAGGACCAGGAGCATGATGACGATAAGTCCTGCCGGCGCAGCTTCACTACGCAGTAAGTAATCGGGTCTTAAAGATACATGCACTACACAGTGCCTTCTATGTATCTCCCGCTTCTCATTATCCTAGTAGGTATACTAAAATGAAATATCATTTCATTCATTGATCAATGTCCCTCGATCCAGTAACATCATACAATATATGCAGTACTGTAGTTTTCAGAGGTTTCTCATTTAGTAATGCTGTCAAACCTAGTATCATTCAGTATCACACCTACTTAGGTGTCTGGACACCTTTTTAGTCGAGTGGTCTGTTTTGGTCTGTTAGTTATAAGCCCGGCCTGTCTATTCCTGAGCATAGAAAATATGCAATTAATTATCTTGATATATTCAAAGACTGCAGATTTAAATTATAAATATACTATCGAAGAAGAAAATTAATATCAAGATCATGTACACAAGAAGTCCTTGACAGTTGGAATATATACTGCTGAGATTAAGCCGCGGATAGACTATCAGAAAACTGTCGTTATCTGCTAGCCTAGAAGAGTATATTAAATCTAGTATTATTCAGTATCACACCTACTTAGGTGTCTGGACATCTTTTTAGTCGAGTGGTCTGTTTTGGTCTGGTAAATGCGCTGTGCCAGACAGCAGAATTTTAATCTTATTTTTGACCGCAACTGAGTAAGGTCCCATGATAGTTACTATGATAATCAGACATTAAAGTCTTAGAATTAAAAACAATTAAAAAAGGTTGTTTTTGAATAATTGTGATGGACATGAGTGGAGCTGTGGTGGTTGTTGCAACTTGCTGGTTGGATCGGCGGCCGAGGAGATCCCGGGAATAGCCGCCGCCCGTCATGGGACGGTCACGTGTATCATGTGGCCATGCAATGTGCAGTTTATGCCTGAGGCATGAAGTCTGACGCGCACGCGTCATATTATCAAGTTTGTCACCGCACGCTGCTTTAGTAAGAGTAGAAACGGAGGGTATCATTACTGTGAGTGAGCCCTGCTATCGAAACAGTACATAATTTGATTTTCTGCTAATATTGCCAGAAGCACAAGCTCCAAAACAATCTGATGCTTCTCATGTCATCGTGTAAAATCCATCGAAGTATGTACAAGAATTATCCTGTCCAACGTAATATATCTCTACCAGGTACGGTCAATATTGCCTCCTGGTGGACTACATGTAGGACATATCCAATCTTATCTATCGAATTATAAATAGATAGATAGATAGATAAATGGTGGAGATCGGATCCTGAGATGCGACCAAATCACGGTTTATTCTTCCGGCGATACCGATACAGGTGCCAGTTCTCGGTCACCCACCATTCGGCTACGTGCGCCGCGTCGCGGACCCAGTCGACCACCTCCGAGCCGTACTGCTTGTCGAGGGTTCGAGCGAGGTCGATGAGGCGGAATTCCTTGACCGGGTTGTGTTCCTGGGGGTCCTTTTCGACGTCGGTGAAGCGCCATTCGACGTCATCTACTAGCGGAATGACGAGTCTGTAGGCTGGTTTTGCCGCGGACCGGACTGCGAGCCACGAGCCGCCCGTGTTCATCACGGTGAACTGCCAGTCTTGTCGGCCGTCTTGTTCTTGGACCAGCTCGCGGATCATTGACTGGCCTTCGTAGATGGGGAGGAGGTCCTGCGCCACGCGGGTGCTGTTGGGTCCTAGAGAGGAGGATTGGATGAGGAGGTCGAGGAGAGTGGGTACCACTTGCTGGGTGATGACCGGAGTGGTAATTTCGATTTGGGGGAGGTGGGGATGTGCGAAGAGCATGGGGATGTGGAAGCTGCCGATGTGCGGGTTGTCGTATGGTGTGACGCCGCCGTCGTTGGGGAGGGAGAGGCCGCTGTGGTTTGGTTAGCAAGGTTGTTTATATATGATAGTGTCGGGATACGTACTGGTCGCCCGCCATGACGAGCAATGTCTCATCAACCACGCCCTTCTCCGTCAGAAGCGCGATAAGATCCGCCAGCCACTCATCGATATACCCGACCGTGTTGAGGTATTTATTCACGTCCTCATTGGAATTGGTCCGCTGATTAGATACCATCTGCTCATATGTGCTATTGGGCATGCCCCAGGGATGGTGCGTCGTGCCGGTCAGGTGCGTCAGGAAGAGGCGGTTATGGTTGCGTTCCGCGTCGTCGAGAGCGTCACTCACGTAGTCCCGCAGCACCTTGTCCGGGTAGCCGTAGTAATTGACTTCCTCGGAATACGTTGGGGAGTGCGTTGCATTGGGGTTCTGGAGGGACTCCTTCGTGACCACCTGGTTATAAAATCCCATCTTCGGGGTGAGCAGGTCCTGGTTGTCGTAGGTGGTGGTGACGGACTGCATCCATGAGGCGTTCCAGGGCCAGGTGCGGAAGTTGGACGGATCAGCTTCGGCGTCGTTGGCAGCCACATCGGGTTGGTGGTTGAATGCATCCAGGATGTGTGGCATGCATGGTTGGTAGATGTGGTGATCGTATTCGCGGTTGAAGTCGACGACCAACGGCGTCACACCACAGACCGTGCCCACTAGGCTTTTCAGCGTGTAGGTTCCGGTCGTAAAGGCATTGCGTGCACTGATGCCCCCGTATGACCGTCTTCCGTAGTCATGCACTGTGTCGTGACCGAATCCCGCGTCGAAACCGGTCAGGAACTCGGAGGTTCGGGTGAGGTTCGCAAGAAGCTGCTGAGCCGCGTCGGGAATCTTGTTGTCGGGCCACGTTTGGGCAATGCGTTTCCACATGAACGAGTCCTTGGTGAGGGGGAAAACATCACTGCGGGTGCTTTCAAGTTTGATCAAGATGACATGTTTGATGTTGACCTTTCCGCGAGAGAGAGCCTGCTGTAATGATTCCAGGACTGGATTCTGCAGGTTCGACACGTGAAGGGGATCCATTTCGGGATCGTAATGGGCCCGGTGCTTCACCGTCCTATTCCAGTCTTCAAAGCCGGGAAGTCCATTTTCGGGTAGCCATTCCCAGTTTGGTACTTTGTTCAGCGTCTGTTGACCTTCCAGCCATGCGTAGTCACCGGGTAACCCTCCCGCGCGGACAGGTGAGTGTCTGTGGTGACCGATGAAAGGTGCCAGGGGAAGAGCTTCAGACAGGAACATGTATGCGGGATCCCAGGGTCGGACGAAGCGGAGTAGAAACAGGACCAGAAACGGAAACCAGACTCCCATCTTGATCAGCAGCGAATGTCCCCTTCTAACAGGCGTCACCTCTGCATATGGTTCCATAAAATGGATGGATGAGTCGTCATCACTCTTGTCGTCGAGATAATCATCCACCGCGATCTGCTCGTAGATCTCGGGATCCGGTAAAGGCTGGGACCTCGGACGGAATACCTGGACACAGTTCCAAAGGCATTTGAAGGGTTGCGCCAGGATTGTAAGGATGCCGCCGACGATTCGGTGTAGAGGATTGGCCACGAACCATGCCACGGTGAGGAGGATTCCTTCGACGATCAGGAAGCCGGTCAATCCGGTGAGTAGGGTGCGCATGGCTGCCGCATCGCGATGGAAGGTTGCGGCTTGCCGCCAGTGGATCTCGGCACCGGTTACGACGTAGAAGGAGACGTTCGAGGCGGTCATTCCGGACATGATCAGACTGAGAAGTCAGCCAACTGTCTTGTCCAAGATGTCGGGCCTGCAGACGAGGGGAGCTTACCTGAACGGAACAATGACCAGAGCCGACACGGCCGCCACGGAGCGCCAGTGGAACTTCTGGGTGAAGTATCGGATGAGGAGGGTAAGGACCACATCCTGAAAGAAAAAGGTGATCCCCCAGGTGAAGAACTTGGAGGCCGGGAGAGAGTGGATGTGGGCGTAGAGATGGAGCAGTTTGGCGCCGAAGAGTGCCATGAAGGAGACGGCGAAGAAGTAGCGACGAGTAAATTCCCACGCGTGGTCGAAGACATCGGCTGGAGACGCGCGCAGGCGATGCAGCGCCGGGGAGCAGCGACGCAGAGGATTGAGGAGCTTCATGATGCTGTAGGGAGGTCACAACAGTCTCTCAGCAGCAGATAGGCCACATGGCACCGCCGACAGAGGTCTCACACCCATCGAGGGAGGCGACGTTGGTTGGATGGGGATGGAGGCACCGGGATGCTGGCCCGCGATGATGGGACGAGACGTCAGCACACAGGGATGGAGGAGGGTGAAGGAGGGGCGCAGAGGAGCGGAATATGTAACGGGAGGAGGAAGTCATCATGATGTTTGCCCGCCAGGCAGCGCCGAGAGAGCCGCAGTCGCATTCACATCCAGAAAGGGACCGGGGCCGAAATTGTTCACTGTGTATTGTGTAATATTAATCCATCAGACGGCGAACTCTCCATCTGCAGCCCGGTTGGACCCTGAAAGCCCTGGACCTTGGTGGATCCTGGGGATCCACCTCGTAGAGGATTTCCATTGGTCCGCCTGGCCACGCCGCTTAAATTTAGAAGCATGACTCCTCCGGGGGGCCAATCAGGGGCTGGTGCCAAGCCATCAGGGCCCTGGGACTGGGGTCAGCCTGGGATTGTGAGACAGGGGAAATCTTAACTGCAATGGTCGGACTGGATTTCCTGCCCGCGGGTGCCTCTACGATCTCGAGGTGATTGGAGACATCCATCTTTCGCGTCGTGACAAGTCGTCGAGAGATTGTATCATCAACGGTAAATACTGGTGGCACTCAATACTTTTTCAGGGATATAGATAAATCGCGGCAGGATCACCTGTAACTGACCCAATAACTGACCCAACAAACAACCTGCCAGTCGGGCGTGACCACATGCCCTTTTGGGTGCCACAAGCGGGGTCGTAAATGGTCTCCGCCAATGGCCAGGCGGAAGCCCCGGGCCGACCGCATGTTGATTGGAAGCTTCTCCGTGGATCCCAAGAATTTTCTCTTTCAACCATTTCCCGCCGGGCAATTTTGGTTTTATTGGCTTGTTTCAATTTAGCAAAAGTACTAACAGTACAGTAGGAGTTTGACTGGTCGCAATTGACTCCGTACCATCCCCCCCCAGCCATCTACGGAGCATGGCTACCAGATACTACCTTACAGTGCCAGTCACCGCTTGTCTCACCCCCTGTCTAGCATCGCCACAGGAGTCCTAATCCATTGCTGCTGCGCCCCTGTCCATCTGGTGACCAGTCAAAGGATCCCCGGTTACATCATTGCTGCCCATCTCTACTCCGTACTCAGATCAACAGCCACCGCTTTGTTCGGGATATGTGGCAGTGGCTGCCATACACAGTAAGGATCACTCAGATAGCGCTGACATCAGCAGCACCAGCAACGCCATAGTTAGTGCAATCCAGCCCAATAATGCCATCTACTACCCCGTATTCCTTTGTACAGAGTACAATCCCTTCTGCCTGAGAATAATAATCTCGCCAATCCCTCTTGTCTCACTGTGGATTCCACCCCCACCGATTTACCACCAATGCCAACGAAGTTGATCCATCATAGCAATCCAAGAACGCATGGAAACTAAACGATGTGCTTGGCAGGTAGACATGGTCTCACTGTTGGCCGTCCTTCATATTTCGTGTTGAGCTATTTTCGGCAGCCGTTGGATCTCCGTCGTTCGAGTGGCATAAGGTACTGCCCCGCATTGATCAGACAAGCCTGTACTATTGTGGAAGGCCTTGTCAGTGGCCATACGCACAATCTTCCAGGAACGGGTCATTTCACGACTGGCTAGAAAAGGGCTGACCTGCGGTTGATTTCGTATGTATGGTACGTACTGGCCAACGCGAGTCTTTCCAAGCAGACACGAGGGTTGCACGATGCGGGGTCGTGGTCAATGTCGGTGTTTGTCGTCAAGTCGCACCGCATGAGATCATATCCCCGTTATCTGGCTTCGAAAGTCCTCGGGGATCTGGACTCATTCGAAAGGCAGGCAGTTTGTCCCACGTGGGACGTGCAGCGGGAAGGTGCATGGATGGCTGCAAGGAATGTCAACGTGCAGGGATATCTAGAAGCTGAAGTTGCTGCTTGACAGGAACCTTGTTCCGATCGGGTTGAGGGAACCGTCAGGCCGGTTGGGAATTCCCTGCTGTCTATCTGCTGGTTCGGTGTTCTGTTCGCGTAGCCGGTGGAGAGTCAAATCCTGGAGAAGACGAAGGGAGGCTCTGGTGCGAGTGTCACAACCGGCGGCACCTCGACACCTCGACACCTGACACCTGACACCTGACACTTGCCTAACTTCTTCCCCTCCCCGCGTCGCCACTTCTTACCACCCTCCGGAATCGTTTCCAGACTCCATTCCCAGGGCACCTCCCATCGAAGGGCCCAGAGGGATTATCATCCTGAGAGCCCCTGCGAATAAAGTACCAAAAGGGCGACGACGAGCACATCCTGCATCTACCCATCATCATTTCACATACAGGGATTCTGTGCGAGTTGAATTGAGTTCTGACACAACTCGCAGAGTGGCTAGATTGTCCCACATAATGCCAGCATCAAACGGACAATGTCAGGCCATGTGGGACCTGTCGTGCAACACGGTCATTGGGCAGGGAGGTGAGCCCTTTGATAATTTCATTGGTATCTGTATTAGATAGGGGCTAAGTCGAAGGTTTACAGAAACTACCATCTCCATCCTCTACATGCGCCAAGATAAAGCCCCCAGGATCAAGGCGGCATTGCCCACGGGCATCCAATATAGGTTGGCTTCCTCTTTTGCAGCGCCGCCTGTCCACTTCCCTGGACGTGGTAGTCCGTCCACCGCACCTGTGACATCTCCTTCTGATACTCTAACGCCATCCCCGGCCAATTATTCGTGATGCGACCGTCATCCGCCTTGTACCAGCTGCGGCAACCCAGGTCCGCAAACTTGATCCTTGCTAGTCGCTCCTGGATGCGGTCATCGTACTCTCTTACCACATCCGACCGGGGCTGGAGAGCCAATTTCTGGCCCTTTTGCTTCGCTTGGATCACTGCTCCAACCAATGTACTCAAACATCGAGACTGCGCTTCGATCATCAAGATAACAGATGTGTAGCCTGCCTGGTCAGCCAACTTGCGAGAACACATCATTGCATGGCCAGACTCACCAAGGTTTGTGTTTGGCCCATACAACATCCCAAAATTGGGTGGACTTTCCACTGTAACACCACAATACGCAGTCACACCTTCCTTCCAGATGCTCTCCAACGAGCAGCCGTTGGCGCCATATATCCGGACATGGTGCAGGAACTCCACCGAACAGAACCCGGTAGCCAGGACGATCAGGTCAAAGTCCCGCTGCGCTCCATCCTCCGTTTGGATCCCTGTGCTGGTTACCTGCCGAATTTGCCTAGTCTCCAGGTCTACGTGCTCCGCGTTCAATGCAGGGAAGTAGTCATCCGTTGCCAGCAGGCGCTTGCAGCCGATCGGATAGCCCGGTGTCAGGACTTCCCACAGCTCAGGCTTATCAGTGAACTGTGATTTCATATTTGATTGCGCCCAGCACAGAATCTTCTGGCCTAATTTTGAGTCGCGGTTCATGGCAGCATCATGGAAACATTCAGTAAGTTGCATCAACAGGGCTCGCTTGCACCACTGCACGGGGGGGATGTAACTGAGAAGAAACTTATGTAAAGCAGACACAGTCCGGTCATTCCGTGCAATGATCCAGTTCGGGGTGCGCTGGTATACTGTGAGATTTGAAGCTGTTTTGGCCAACTCAGGGATTACTTGGACTGCCGTGGCACCTGTGTTGCTGTCAATTTCTACGTCATTTTCATAGTAAGGGTCATGTACCATTTCCAATGACGCCTATCCGTTTGTCCTGGAAGTCATACCGCCAATCCCATCTGGCTGAATGCATCATCTCCCCGGAGAAACTTTCGAGGCCGGGGATGTTGGGATAGCTGGGCTCATTGAGCTGTCCGACGGCCGACACAAGGAAGTCAGTCGTGAGCTCGTATTCATCTTGATACTCGCTCTCTTTCGCCCCAACGACGGCTACCTTCACCTTCCACTGCAGATAATGACCATCCCATCGGGCTTCTTTCACGGTTGAGCTGAAACGGATGTACCGGTAAAGGCCGTAGTTTTCAGCGACACCCGTGAGGTATTCCTGAAACGGTCAGACACAACTTACATCTTGGGGGATATCGTTGTGGGGGGCCATTACCAGCAATTCTTCCTGGCCGGGATACTTCCTCGTCCAATCGGGACGCTGTTCAAATGAAAAGCTGTACAAGCCCCTCCACGCTAGCGGGCGATCAGCTGCTTTGGTCTCTATATCGGGAGTGGTCTTACCATCGCAAGCACAGCCTGGGTACCTATTGTCCGACCATGTTCCCCCGACTGCGTTCCCTTTTACCAGGATGACAAAATTGCGAGTTGGCGTGCGACGAATGAGGTCGATCGATCGCCATGCAAACGCCTAGTAGCGTTAGTCAATTCGATACGTCAGATCATAGGATTGCCGGATATTCCAGCCCCGATGATGACGACGGTCGAGCGCGTAAAGTCTCTGTTTCCTATACGCTGAAAGGTATCTGACGCCATACTGAAGTCTATCGCACCGGAGACCTCTTAAGATCCATTCTGTGACAACAAATGGTCTTTAAATTGCCATCAGAAAGGCCAGAACATACCTCGCTAGACGGGGGCCTCGGCTGATGCCCCCCTGCCTCAAGGCTAGGGACGATACAGGCCGCCGTCCGAAAATGGCCAGTAGGCTAGTTTAGCTCTGAACGAAGTCCACCGCAACTACGGATGTAGGGATATTGTCCGGTCAAGTGATCTATGCAAGGGCTGGTAAAGCGATGGAACGAAGTTCAGTGCTACGATATTGCAAGAAATGCAGGCCGTCCAATCAGGCAATAAGAAGGCAAACATGAGGCCGGTAAAGATAGCAAGGTAGGGTGCAACGACAGGGGTACCGGAGTCCGACGGGGAGTAGTAGCGATAAGAGGTAAGTGGCCATGTCATCCGACATACCTATGTCTAAACATGTTGCACGAGGTGAGTATGGGTGGTGGTATGCCCTTTTCTGCATGTCGGGTCGATAGTTCGAGGATCGGCATCCATTCGCCGTCACCGATCGCCAGCAGCAATTCTTCAATTCACCGGCATTGGCAGTTGCATTCAGGGGATAAGTAGCCAGACAGATCATCTCAAACTCCCACTTGCGTCAAATCGCTTTCCGGGCGAAGTTAAATATCAATTGTCTGTCGTCTATTTAGTGTTCATAGCCAAGAACTTGATCGACAACGTTGTCAAAATAAGCACCTCCGAGCCACAAACGACCCAATCAGCCCCTTTGTACTGGCTCTTGGCCATCACCTGACCACTTATTTTGCCGGAGTGTCATAAGCATCAATGGCCGAATCGAACGCATCGTCGACATCCCCCGTTCCCAGGCGGATGGTCTCCTTGTCCGAGCCACTTGCCTTGCTCTGCAGCGCAGCGGAAAGACCATCGGTCTTCATCTTGAGACTGCGCAGGTTGTTCTGCATGGCTTGGCCCACGCCGGCGGCCATGAACTGCTGTCGCTATTGCACCGAGTTAGCACCCTCTCTGGCACACGAGGAAACCTATCGGCAAAGGATAACTCCCTGGCGGCATACCTTGTTGACCAGCGCGGCAATTGAACTCCGCATGACTGGCTCCAAAGTGGTCAGAGTCTCAGTCACGGTAGTGCTGTCAACGGCACTGAAGGGAGCTGTGGCATTGGTGTCCATTGCGGTCTGGTCGATAGCCCGCTCAATGGCAGTTTCCTGGTTCTGGATCTCCAGAGCGGCCGGCATTCCACCGCTATAGCTATAGACGGCTGCACTGAAGGTGTCCAGGTGCGCGGTGAGGGTAGAGAAGTCGCTGAGGACGGTACGAACATCTCTTTTGATGACGTGTGAGGAGGTGAGGGTGAGAAGGGTGAAGATGGTGCTGCTGAAGAAGGTGAGACGCATTTTGATGTCGATGAATCTTAAACGATGCTTAATCCTTTCTCATCCTCGTCATTCGTCCGGCCAAGTGGGCTTATATATAACAACCACCAAGGGGTCCATAGGCATGTCACGATCGGAATTGCATCTGTATCACATCCTCACTTCCGCCTGCATCTCGGGAGAAGTTTGGTTCCGGGAATTAACTCCGTGAATTCAGCATCGCCTATTCGACTTCTCATGAGGCAATTCAGATATCTGTCAACCAGCAACAAGCTTCGGCTACTACGATCTGGTCACACCAGGCAATTATAACCTAGGACATGAGGGTCGGTCTAGCCATACCGCTACGGCTCAAGCGGTCAACAGGATGCACAGGTGTAACATCGGCCTCCAATTTCAATTGCTGGGGTTTCACATCGGAAACAATTCTCGGAGTAAGGAAAGAGAGGCATTTTCAGGTCTGGACCTTCATGTCGTACTGTGGGACGCTAGACGCAGGTCCTTGCCGCCAGTGACTCGCCCGCGGAGATTCAAGCTTTGAGTGTAGCAGGAACATGGGCATCGCAGGGAGCAGACTGCTCACAACATGTGTTGCAGTTATCACTTAGTCGCCGGCCGGTGCCAGGGAATGCTACAGGCAAAGCGAACCGCACCTCCATCAAAGTGCAAAGAATTACAACAGGGAGCAACAAGACGAGAGACACCTTGGAACCATCAGGTAGGTGCCGACTCTCTCATGTCTCGGCAGGTCGCAACCCACTTCGTTCACTGCCGTTGTTCGAAGAGAAGATTCCTCGAGAAAATTCGGCTTCTTGGACCAGGCAACGGTCATATTCGCAAACGGAGTCGGAGCCTACTTTGTATGGAATTCACATCACCGTATGAATGAAAGCCAACGTGGGGTTATTGATGCGGTCAGCTCCACGAGAGCACCACATCATACGGATGATGGCGGGACGGCAACAGTACTCTGCTCTTGACGATGAGCGTCTGATTGTCGGCTATGGTGCGTCATAGGGTCCACGATCTGGAGCCAGCTCCGGCATCGCAGTATGGTCGCATCCGAGACGATCGACCTCCTCCAGAATCCTGAGCCAGACATGGTGGAGCAGACGAGGTTATTGACACGCTCCATGATTATTACCCAGGCGGCGGACGCAGGGGTTGTACGGGGTTGGGCCGTCCGGGGAAAAACTCAAAGCTGGAGATGCAGCCATCTCGGACAAGGTCCGCCAGGCTGAGTGAGCATAGCGAGGGGCACACCCCGCGGTGATGGTGCCATGGATGGAATCTTAGCGAATCAATCGTACCATCTGCTCCAAACTGACTCGACGGTGCAGGGATAGTTGGCGTTTGATTGACCGTGCTCAGACAGTTCAGGCACGCGCATGGTCTCGGACCAGATGCGGGATGACGAGGGGCTAGTCCCGGCCGAGCACGAAGGCACTGTGGATGCAGGATAGGCAGGAGGTGCAGTAGGACCTGGATGTGGTGTGTCACCTTTTTCACTTTTTGAGGGGCAGGGGAGGACTATGGGGAAAGGAAGCCGACGTGGTCGGCACGAGGGGACCGTGAGAGCAAGAAAGAGATCCGATCCATCCTTCTTTCTCCGTGGGGACTGACTGGGTTTGGGGTGGATTATTTAGGCTAAAGGCTTGTCTCGGCTGCGGATGGGGAAGAATTCTTGGGGATGAGGTAAGTCGCCACGAGGGTACGGATTATTAATGGGAATTTTCTCACCGAGGCGTTTGCTGGCAGTGGATGGTGTGGGAATTGTGAATTGGGAATTGGGTAAAAGAAATGCACAGACAAAAGCCCTTATCTCTGCGTCCCCCACGGTGAGAGAAAGAAGGATGAAAAAAAAATTGCACAGGGTTAGGACTGAATCACTCACCGGGAGAAATTCGGACATGCTGGCGATGCTGCAGCAGCAGCCACAGACTTTCAGAGTCAGCACCGTCCGTGGGAGGCGAGGCGTTTGCACGGCAAATGGAACAGCCGGGGAGTCGGCATTCCTGCCCGATGCACCGATAAGCCGGCCAGGGAGAGCCCGTGGGACTGTGTGAGTAACAGGAATGAATCCATTAGGGCACCTCCACGGGGCAGCGCAACGATCGCCTGGAGTGCAGCCAGGCTAAGAGCGGCTAACCACCACTAACCACCACTAACCAGAATCAAGTAATCGGATGCTTATCGGCTCAGCTTCTGGAACCCTCACCGGCACACTCGGCGCCCCAAAGCTTGACCGAGGCTTGATCTGGTGCGCAACGCTTGCCTGCGGCGGTAGCGACCCGACACCGGACGGGCTGAATCAGCGCTGCACCACTCGGCCATGCACCGATCGGCTGGAGGGACGCAGGCATGGATGGAGAAATCTGGAGTCGAAGCTTATGCCGCGTCCCCTCATTGGCAGGCCAGCGCACACCCTCACCGGTGGTGGAGTTCGACATGGCAATTTCCAGACGTCACGCGGGTGGCTGCCCTTGCCTTATAACCTTGCGTCTGCCGGCCTGGTCGGCCTTTCTCCTGCGTGTTGGAACGGTCGGTTTTTGTCTGCGCAGTCGCCCATCTCCATCCGACCCTTCTGTGCACCGTCGCGACCATGACCGAAGAAGAGACTTCTGTTGGCGACCTCGCCTCCAACCCCAAGCAGGAGGTCTCCGATGTCCACCGCGAGAGCCTGCCGCTGGTCGTGTCCGCGGAGGAGGCGCTGGCCCGCGCCAGGAGCCAGCCTGATGAGGCCCTGCCGTTGCGCATCACTTTTGGCCCGCAGGATCGGGACAACCCCCGGTGCTGGGGGTACTGGCGCAAGTGGTACATTACCTTGTTCGTCAGCATGTTGAACGTGATCACGTAGGTTCTCCGTCTGCCTGTCCACCAGCTCCCACTGACACCGTCTAGCACCTGGTCTTGTGGCGCCTTTTCCTCCGGTGCCACCGGCATCGCCGATCATTTCGACGTCTCGAGCGAAGTCACTACCCTCTGTCTGTCCATGTACGTGCTGGGATACGCCATCGGACCCATGCTGCTGGCCCCGCTGTCCGAGTACTACGGCCGCCAACCCGTCTACATCGTGTCTTGGTTCGTCATGACCATCTTCCAGCTGCCTCTGGCTCTGGCCCCCAACATCGGCACCATCATCGTCTGCCGCTTCATCGCCGGATTCGCCGGCGGTGCGCCTCTGACCAACACCGGCGGCACCATCAGTGATATCTGGGAGCGGAACGACAGCGGGGGTCCCATGTCGTTCTACGGTCTCAGCAGCACGTTCGGCCCCCCGACGGCGCTGGTCATGAGCGGCTACATCGGTCTCAACCTGAACTGGCACTGGATCTTCTGGATCATCATGGCCATCACCGGCGGCTTCTGGATCGTCCTCACCCTCACTATCCCCGAGACCCGCCACAGCATCATCCTGCAGCGCAAGGCCGACCGCGTCCGCAAGCAGATGCGCCTCGAGGGCCTCCGGTCCGCCGAGACCACCACCGACATCCACGCCGAGGACCGCGCGGGTCTGCACCAGCTCTTCGGCATCACCCTCACCCGCCCCATCCGCTTCCTGTTCACCGAGCCCATCACCACCTTCTCCGCCATCTACAACGGCTTCCTCTACGGCCTGGTCTACCTCTTCAACGAATCCTTCCCCCTCGTCTTCGGCGAACCCAACGGCCACGGCTTCAACGTCGGCCAGCAGGGGCTCTGCTTCCTGGGCATCGCCATCGGCGCGCTCCTTGCATTCTGCTGCTCCCCCCTCCAGGAGCGGTACTACCTGCGCCGCGTCAGCGAACACGAGGGCCGCAGCGTGCCGGAGGCGCGCATGTGGATGGCGCGCGGCGGCGCCGTGCTCATCCCCATCAGTCTGTTCTGGTTCGGCTGGACGAGCTACCAGTCGATCCACTGGATCGTGCCGATCATCGCGTCCGTGTTCTTCGGCGCGGGCCTGTACATCGTCATCCTCAGTATCCTCAACTATGTCGTCGACAGCTACCAGACGTACTCGGCCTCGGCGCTCGCCGGCGTCATCCTCGTCCGCAACGTCGTCGGAGCCGGCTTCCCGCTCTTCGCGACCCAGATGTACGAGAAGCTGGGCTACGAGTGGGCGTCTTCTCTGCTCGGCTTCATTGCCATCCTCCTTGTGCCCATCCCCTTCATCTTCTTCTATAAGGGTCGCGCGATCCGCCTGCGGAGTCCGTGGGCCCGCGAGCACTTCGACTCCAACGAGGATGCGCCGCACTGACGGCGTCATTGGTGTTGAGATTTGATTTGTATCTATTGAAAACACACCGCATGATTGATGATGAGCGAGTGTTTACTGTTTTGTTTTTGTTTGCACTTCTTTTTTTTTTTTTTTTTTTTTTCATACCCAAGACTAGCATGTGAATACATTGTCTTAGCTTTCTCTACTTTATCTTCTTCTTCTTTTTTTCGTAAACTAACGTCTTAGTGAGAGCAGGCATGGGACGAGTGGAAAATCATTCCATTTGCCACTCATTTTCATTTCCCTTGATGGTAGTAGCGTACGCCACCGCTGTTTGCGAGGGTGATGAGGTCATTCTCTGGACTAGTTATATTCGGTTAGCGTGGATTGCACTGGTTACGTCAGCGCGTCTGATACCCGCTAGGCCCGATTGGGAAGACGTGATGCGGTGATGTGATGGATGCCTGAGGTGGTACTGGGCATCATCTTTGTCAAGATAATGGGTTGGACTGGATTTTGCATCTGTGGTGGTGTCTGCGTGGACTTTCATTGTCGTGCATCTGCTGGTGAAGAGGTGAAAAAGATCGTTGAGTGGGTGTCGGGTGATGCCTCATCGTATATATATCTGGTCAGGGGTTACCGGAGGCCATGGGAAAATATTCGAGGAGGAAAAGAGTTGGTGTTGTGTCGTTACACATTGATTGGATGAATTGGGCGTTTGTTGTCTACCACCTCGCTGCGAGGATTGCTCAAGGGGAGAACCCTATTCGCACGTCCCAACCTCGTATCGACCGCCATCCATGGATAATAGTTAGGGTTGCCGTTGCTGCTGACCATCAACCCCACCTCCAAGCTCAACTCCCGAATATCCATCGCCAACCACCACCTTTGATCTCATTCCATCCCCCTCCTATGTGACGAAACAAATCACCTCCATGGCCTTCTACCCGGCCGGTCGGCGGTCACACCCCAGCATCCACGACCCGGCGATCCGCTCGCTGCGGCTGGGGGTCCTCAAAGCAGCCGTCATCAACTTTATCATCCTCCAGATCCTCTTCCTCGGGCTGTTCTGCTACCTGTTCGGCTCCCTGTTCCAAGAGACCACGCACATCCACAACCTCAACGTCGTCTTCGTCGATTACGACACCGGCGGCACCATCGGCCAGGCCATCCGCACCGCCTACAACCACCTCCAAGGCCCCGGCTTCCCGACCCTCACCGAACACCCTCCCTCCCAGTATCCCACCCCCGAATCCATCCGCCACGCCGTCTGCAACATCCAATACTGGGGCGGTCTCTACATCACCGCGAACGCGTCTGCCCTCCTCGCCGCGGCCTTCACCGGCACCACCTACAACCCAAACAACGTCCTCACCCTGATCTGGAACGGAGCGCGCTACCCAACCGTGATCGACTCAGCCATCGGCACCAACATGGCTCTCCTCTCCACCGCCGCCCAGAAAGCCTACATCCTCGCCAACGGCGCCACCATCTTCTCCGCCCCAAACACCACCACCACCACAAGCCCTCCTTCCTCACCACCCTCACCACCCCCTGGACCCTCACCTCCAACAACATCCAACCCACCCCCCAAGGCTCCCGCCTCATCTACAACACCCTGGTGATCATCCTGATCCTGATCCAAGAATTCTTCTACCTGGGCTACCTCAACACCGTGTACACCCAATTCCATCTATACACGAGCGTATCGTCGCACCGGATCGCCACCATCCGCCAACTCATCTCGGCGACCTACACGCTCATCGGCTCCCTCTGCACCACGGCCGCCATCTGGGCCTTCAAGCACGGCTGGTCCATCAACACCGCCCAGTTCTTCCTCTCCTGGGCCACGCTGTGGCTGTTCGCGCATCTCAATTTCTTGGTCCTGGATGTCTTCACCGTTTGGTTGCCGTTGCCCGTTGTCCCCATGGCCTTGATTAGTTGGATCGTCGTCAATGTCACCAGTATTCTGCTGCCGTTTGAGTTGCAGCCGATGTTTTATAAGGGCGGGTATGCCCTCCCGGCTCATGCGGCGTTTCAGGTCCTCGTTGATGTTTGGTCCGGGGGTTGTAATCCACTGCTTGGGTATGCGGTGCCTGTTATGCTGGCGTATGAGGTGTTGGGCGTGCTGGGGAGTGTGGTGGGGGTTTATAGGAGGGCGCATTTTGCGGTGTTGGCGGAGACGGAGAGGGAGGGGAAGGAGAGAGAGAAAGAGAAGGAGACGGTGGTTGATGGTGGTGCTGGGGTTAATGCGGAGAGGAAGGGGGGAGAGGGAGTGGGAGATGGAGAAGGCGAGGATGAAGCTAGGAGAGAAAGTGAAGGGCCCAGTGAGGAGACGGCCAGGGAGAGAGAGAGTATGCGCGAGAGACAGACGCAGGAGAGCGCGGATCTGGAAAGGCGCAGGACGGCTACACTGCCTGAAGAAGGCCTCGGGGAGAGGATCTTGCAGGAGATGTCCAGGGTCGAGACGAGTAGTCGCCAGAGCGTGGGGCCGTGTCTTGATTTGCCGTTCAAGGAGTAGCTAGCTGGCTTTGCTCTGATGTGAGGGGCTTATGTATATGGGAGGTTAACGTCATCAATAGTTATGATTATGATTGAATGTGATATGAATGTGTCTGCAAGTGTGTTAGCGGGGATGTATAGTTAGATGGGATTGATAGTGCTGCACAGCTTGCTCTGAAAGGACAGCGAGGCTTATTCTCGACTGAGCTGTATCGGATGCTAATAACAGACGTGTGTTAGGGGAATGATTGAATTATGCTAATCCAATGATTGACTGTTGATATTATGAGGTGCGGTCACGTGGCCCCGGAGCGGCCACCGCCAACACATACTCTTACCTATATGGGTGTCTAATGCCATTCGAGTCGAGTGGTTCGTAAATATCAAGAAATAAACCCAATAGAGACTGCCACCTTTGCATATGATCTGCTTCCACTCTAAGAAACTATCAGCCACTCCGTTCACAGATAAAACCCAGATAGAACACTCAAAAATCAAATAGAACACTTCCCAAACCTACCTTCCATCCTACCTCCCCCCGCCCTATAAAGCTCCCCAAACACCGACCCCCTCCGTCCCAACAACACCCCCGGGGCATCGAATTCCACGATCCCCCCGGCTTCTACAACGGCAACCCTGTCAAAATCAAGCAGCGTATTCACCCGATGCGCAACCGCAACAACCGTACAACCCTCGAACTCTGTCCGAATGATCCGCTGCATTAGCTCATCCGTCTCCCCATCCACCCGACTCGTCGCCTCGTCCAGCAGCAGAATCCTCGATTTCATAATAATTGCCCGTGCGAGACAGACGAGCTGTCGCTGACCAGCGGAAAGAGGCAGATCATCGATCTTCGCATCAAGACCACCATGACGAAGCACGTGAGCCTGTAGATGAACCTTTTCAAGGGCGAGCAGAACCTCGTCATCATCGACTGCCGTGAATGCAGTGATGTTATCACGCACACTTCCCCGAAATAACACCGGCTCCTGGGGTATCACGGTGACTTTGTTCCGGATTATGTCACGAGGATAGAATTTTAGACTGACACCGTCAATAGTTATGTCTCCATTCTGGATCTCAGTCATTCGCAGCAGGGTTAGTAGCAGGGAGCTCTTCCCGCTGCCAGTGCGGCCGCAGATGCCGAGTTTGGTGCCGGCGGGGATGGTGAGGGTGATGTTGCGGAGGATGGGTGGTGAGCTTGCATCGTAACTTGCGGACAGGTCATGAAACGCGATTTGGCCTTGGGATGGCCAGTTGGGAGAGGGTGTTTGATCTTCACCGGTAAGGTTTTCGGACGGGACCTGTTGAAAGCTGCGGATGCGGCTGACGGCGCCGATGCTGGTTTCCATCGAGGTCCAGAAGTTGATCAGTTCGGAGAGTTGCTGGTTGAATGTGATCAGAGAGATGAGAGAGACGCCGATTGGGCCTATACCAGGAACGAGTACGGCAAATATGACCAGCAGCGTTGCGATGGCCGCGACGAAGAGGTCCAGGACAAGAGTCAGCCACCGCTGAATGACAAAGAGGATATAGTAAGGCCGTTGCGACTGTTGGAGCAGCTCTTGGTGCTCCTGTTGAAAGTTTCTCTGCCAGCCAAATGCACGGACAGTCATGAGGCCGCTGAGAGTTTCCGTGAATTGAGTATAGAGAGGTGACTTTGTTTCCAGATCTAAATGACGGAGCTGCCGCGACGTACGAAGATAGAACTTCTGGATCCAATATATCATGAAAACGGAAAGTGGAATCAGCGGGGCCATGTATTTCGCTCCAACAGATATAAAGACCGCGCTCATGATACATTGGGTGAAATTGTTAGTCGTTTTCAGAAAGTCAGCTGGTAGTGACCTGTCCACCAAGGTCATGTCCTGACTGAACCGATTGAGAGTCACTCCGCTGTCAGTAGAGGTGAGCCAGTGTAGAGGCGCTTTCTTAACAGTCGTCACAAGGTACTCGTGGAGCCGACTCGAAGACCTGGGCACAATCCGGCAAAAGACCAGCCACATACAAGATGCCCACAAGCCAGCAGCAAGTACTGCCAGTACGGCGTAAACACTGATGTAAAGTACGAGCTTTCCATAGGGCGTCCGTGCATTCTGTTCCGCCCACCATTGAACCCAGAGATCTATACAAGGTGTTAGCTAATTTCGCACGGGAATCCGGGTTACGTACTGGGAAACTGTGAGCAGAAAACCCCGACGACTAGGGCTGCAAAGTATAGTAGTACTTGCCCAAGCCCCGCTGTCCGAAGGTAGTAAATGTAGATAGTGAGGTCTCCCAGCTTTCTGTTTACTTCCTCGTGCTTGTCATTTTCTGTGCTTGAGGCTGAATGGCTACCATGTGCTTCGACTTGGGTCTCAACTTGATCCACCGTTAAGGTTATTTCATCTGAGAGGTATCGTCTCCACTCTTGAAGCTCTCGGGGTGGTCCTTGCTCCATAACCTTCCCATTTTGAAGAACTACCGCATGATTGGCGAACGCCATGAATTTCCGGGCATGTGTCGCTAGGATAACAGCGGCTCCTTGCTGGCGCAAGATGCCTTGCTCCCCGAAAATACCCATAAAGATCTGCTCCGACGTTTTCGCATCCAAGGCGCTGAAAACATCATCGAAGATGGCCACCCGCTTCCGGGCATAGACTGCACGGGCAATGGTAATCCGCTGACGTTGTCCGCCACTTGTTGCCATCCCATTGCTGCCAATGAGGGTGAGGTCTTTCTGGGGAAGGTTTTGAATGTCATGATCTAGGGCAGTCAGGCGAAGCACAGTCTGGTACCATTGTTCATCGTATTGAAGCGGCAGGCAAATGTTGTCACGGATTGAGCGGTTGCGGATCCAGGGTTTGGTATCGCAAAAAGCAAGATCGGATACTTTTGTATGGATGAAACCTTTTAAGCAAGGAACCTCACCGAGAATTGCTTTGAGGAGGGTACTTTTGCCTGAACCGACTGGTCCGGTGATTATGGTGAGAGACGAACCAGAGCATCGGAGATCAATGCTTGATATTGTTGCTGGCAAGTTGCGATCCCAGCCGAATTCAGCCTGGTGGATATGCACCAGATCGGCTTCAGATGGTAGGGAATGATTTATAAGCGCTCGCGCATCGGCTTTTGGGGGCTGAAGCTCTATGGTCTCAGGTTCTTCAGCGCTCCAGTGACTTGAAGTCGCAGGTGCAGAAGCATGTTGAGCAGCAATCACTCTGTCATCGAGTTTAGGTCTTGCCACTAGATATGCCTGAATTCTTTGAAAGCATTCCAAAGCTGCAGTGGCCTTTGGGCTAGAATATACCAGGTTTGACAGGGGGGCGCTAAGCAAAGAAATGATAGAAAGCGACGAAAAGGTTTGTGACACCGTTAATGGGCTTCGCCCGGCGTGAAGTGCGATGCCAGTATAGAGACTCAGAGTGAGAACAGGACTAAGATTTGACGTTATGCCGGCTTCAATAATCAGTAAAATCTCCCAAATAAGGATTGATTAGGCTGACTTACCAAGGAGATTCATCCTCACCATCAAATGACGGAATTTCTTTTGCATTTTCAGTTCGTGAATCCGGAACTGTTGTAGAAGAGTAGAAAACTGGCCGCTGAGACCAAGCATCTTGATTGTTGCACTAGCATCCAGATAACTTGACGTAAATGTCACTCTTTCCCGAACAGCCTGCATCCAAATCTTCTGTCTCCTGGGCGCAGACTTGGATAGGAAGTGTGTAAAGAAGAAGACAGCAAATGAGAGTACTGCCGGGATTGCAGCTGCCCAAGAGACCTCACGCTGCAGGAGATATAAGGCAATGGCCACTTCTACCAGACTTGCCCAAACCTCATGAAGGTTTTGAACCCCTGATGCAATGTTGTCTATATCATTGCTCATTAGAGTGAGTGCAGCAGAGTCGCTGTACTCCTCAAACTTCAGGTCTAGAGTCTTTTCGTAGATCATGGATACAATAGCTCCTCGGATTTGTGTTATAAGGCGAAAAGTATGATGTTCGTAGAGACAGTTAAATACCTGTATGGCAAATAGTAAATATCAATCAGAGAGAGAGAGAGAAGAGGTCATTTCAAACGTACTGCTTTGAGTATGAAGACGAGTGCAAAGGCGCCAATCAAGCCATATCCATGATTTTTGTTAGTGCTGTTTCCTCCCACGTATTCTGTTAAGCTTGTGATCAGGAATGGTTGTGAGTAATTCAAGCCGATCATAACCAGTCTCGCTAGAAATGAGTACAGAATGGAAATTTTGAAAGTGTAGACGGTAGATAGCGCCAAAGAGTTTTTACGCGACTTTGAGGCTGCTATAAACGTTAGATGGAACCAACCAAACTCGGACCTAGTATACAGGTTACGGTGAGGTACTAACCTCGAGCCCAACACGTAGCCAGAGCGTGGTGGAGTACGTCCACTGATAAACTTTTGTCCAACCGTGGAAGGTCGTCCACCACCAGTGTTGTTTTGAACCCGAGAAAGAACAAAGGGTTGATCCACCAGAAAAAAGCGCGGTTATAGAAGCCATGGACTTCTTCATCGCCGTAACGTTCTCTCCGATCGACAAAGAATGCCTGCTTAGATTTGGCCTCGAGGCAAAACCAGGCGATCTTCAGGGAAAGACTGGCTGTGTAAATCGCGCCAAGGACGGTGTAAGAAGCCAGCCATAAGCTCCGCACACGCACGGCATCGAACAAAATCGACAGTGACAGGAATACATTGAGAATGGAGGAGGGATAAACTGAATAAATATGTTCAAGGTGTGACAGGAATAGTATCCCCACCGATGTCAAAAAGGCCAAAACGGCAGCCGCTAGAGAGATTCGTGTTCGTGGTGCATGGGGAAGGAACCACACGATCAGGAGCGCCAGTTGTGATGCTGCAAATGCATATCCAAGTATCTAGTAGGGGGGCATTTAAAATCAGGAATACCTGGGTAGAGGGGCTGAGGGGATGGCTTACCAACTTGCCCCAGTAGACGGCATTCTTGGTGACCCTGGGGATTCGCTTCAGCCAAAGTTGCTTGTATCGGAAGAGAAGGGCGACGAGGAAGAGGGCTGAAGGTACGATGGAGAGGAAGCACTCCTCGAACAGCAGGGTGAAGTCAAAGTCACCACGACAGTGTTTCACCTGGGGTCCAAACAGATTGTCCCCACATGAGTGAATGTTCTCCATCTGCGCTATACGAACAATTGATTCATTCGACGAAGCAGCTGGGAGCGACAGGCTATCCAGAAAATAGCCGGGGCTCGATGAGAGGAAAGAATGGCGGACCAAGTCAGGCTACATCTTGGAGGCCCCGGGCCTCGGAGGGTTACATCGTCCGAGGTTCCGCCAGTAGATAGATAGTAGGTACTAGACAGTACGGAGTACTAGCTGGAACACTCCCACGTACCTTTTCGGTTTGCGGTGGCGAATGATGGACGGATATGCGCCTTCCACTTGTTTGTCCCTGGTGTGCATCTGAAGGCGAGCTAAGAGATCAAAAAGACCACTCGACTAAAAAGGTGTCCCAGACTCCTAGATAGGTGTGATACTTAATGATGATACGCCGTCGGGCCCCGGTGGCCGAAAGCAAAGCTCGATTGCTCTGCTGGTACTTTGGTTGGGCGCGGTCGGATCGGTCCAACCCGGCCAAAGGCATCCAGGAAAACTTCCAATGACAGCGAAGCGATAATGGATTATGATGCCCGCTGACCCCTGATAGTGGGCCCTACCTACCATACCTATCTAGTGCTCAATACCTGGTGTGGTAGATCTTGTTGGACACCCATATTCCAGTCTGTGCCTCGGCAGCTACTGCTCGCCTCGAGCCCTACATGGTACTGGTACTGTAAGCCCTGGTACAACGTACTTCGTTAGTGCCAGTTATCTACGGAGTACATACCTGCTATACATACCTGCGGAGTAGATAGGTAACACTTCTTAGCATTACTCCGTAGGTACATACTCTAGGCATCTATTTTAGGTAGCAGTTAGAACTATCAGTGTCCACTAAATACAGAGAACCGGGTGCTCGGCTTGGTCAGGGGTCTGTATTGAACTAAGGACCCTACCAACCATCGTGTTCTCGACTGTCCTCGTGTATCGGTCTAGACCTGTTGATTAATTAGAGGCTGAGCCTGTGGATCCAAGGAAGCTTGGGAAGTGAATGTGCGCTAAAGCACGCACGTGAATGGTGCTGGCTGTAGCTGCTTCATAGAAAGCCCTCCAGTAGTTCTTCTTTCGCCACGACGGTTTTCCACAGGTAGATCTCACCTTATGTGAAGGTGCTTGATGATGACCGCTCTTACCGGTCATTAAAGCTCCCAACAAGTCCCGACATGCAATAAACAGCAATGATAACCGTCCTTTGTCAGTCGTGACTCCTAACCTTTCTGGCTTTTGATGTGTTCGAGAGACCATTATTGAGAGAGACAAAGAAAAGCGGAGAAAAGGGAAACTGAAGATGGCGATCTGTTAGGTAAAAGGGGTAGGACTGCGATCTCATAAGTTAGAAGAATATGCCAAGTCGAGCCTACGATTCCAAGAGCAGTCAGTAGCTACCCTATGCGTCAGTCAAGCAGCAATTGAAATCCATGTCGGGAATAGCGTACGTGGATGAGCGTTTATGGACTTTCCTGCTGCCCCTCTTCCACGATGACATTCTACCCGAGGTGGAGCAATTTCAGTCAACAGGTCTTCCGTCACTCAAAGAAGCTATTCCAAAACTGCGACATTCTCCCTCGGACTGGAACCGGGGTCATCTCCTCATAATCGTCAATCTCCTTCTTCAGTCCTCCAAGCTGTAGATCCGCAGTCCCAGGCCAATTATAGCTCGTTCTCCTGAAAACCTTCCAAAACAGATATGCGACAATGAAAAAGCCGATCATTGTGTAGTCCAAGAAGAAGTTTGAGATGTCCCATTGTCCATCAATAAACAGGTTGTATCCCAGGATCAGTGTCATGATCCCGGTTCCGAAGACAGCATACCACGCTGCGTACGGCTGCAGATATCCTTTGTAAGGGAGACTGTCACGACTGACTCCCTGCCGACGCATCGCTGCATAGAAATGAAGGTATGTTATGCAAGTTCCGAAGTAGTTCAGCAGGTACGACGCTGTGATAACCCCCACGAGCCAGTTGAGAACGGTAGCCGAGCTGTTGCTGACTTGCAAAAAGCCCAGCGGACAGAAAGCCATGGCTGCTGCGACAGCAAAATATGGAAGACCTTGTCGGTTACAGCGAGCAAAGAAGGCCGGTGCCTTGCCCTCTAAGGCCATGCCGTGTAGAGTCCGAGCGGCAGAAAAGACGAGGTTATTACCAGCGGAGAAGACGGACGTCATGATCAAGGCGTTGACAATGTCGGGAAGCGCTTGGATGCCGAAGTGGTCCATGGAGATTACATACGGAGACCTATCACCGAATACCGGTTAGAAGAATCTTTCACCTCGCGGCTGGACTCACGCAGCTCCGGTCCCGCTTCCCTTCCTCGTCCCGGCCAGAGTGGCAGCGAGAACGGGGTCATTGTATGGGATGACTATGCCGATTGCCAAGGCACCCAGGATGAAGAAAAGCATCAGACGCCAGACGAATGAGGCGTAGGCCTTGCGCATAACGCGACGCGGCCGTTCTGCTTCTGCAGCTGCCATGGAGATGTATTCCGGACCGACCATTCTGCTCAATTAGTACTGAGGGTATCAATGGACTGGTAGGCCTTACGTGAAAGAGGCTTGGACCATACACGCGAGGACGCCACAGAATCGACCGACACCTCCTGGGACAATGTATGATACGAATGCACCCTGTTCGCTGTCAGCCTCAACACCCCATTGTCGAATGAACACTCACCGGATCGTTCCAATATCGAAAACCGTACGCGTCGTGGCGAGGATTGCCTCCGACCATCGTAATGAAAGCGTACAGGATCAGACCCACCATGAGTATGATCTTGAAGAAGGAAAGATAGAATTCGGAGACTCCAAAGTATCGAACGGTCAAGATATTCAGCACCCTGCTCTGCGTCAGCCGTCTGGAATACCGGAAGATCTGCAAAACCCTACGCGTAAAGCACCATGACAATGACAACCACCGCGGCTACGGGAACACGATCAGTCCAGTATGTGAGCAGCACGTTCAGCGCGACAATCTCATATGGAATCCCGAGAGCTGAGCAAGAAGATTAGTATCGTAATGAATGAATCTTGAGCATAAGATCTACCCATCGTGAGGAAGAAGTTCCAGCCCATAGCGAAGCTCAACGCATCATCTACCCAGTGGCCGGCGAGGCGAACGAACGGCGAGGGAATGGGCAGGTAGCAGACCATTTCCGCTGGATTTCTTGGAGTTAGCAGGAATCGACGATTTGAATCGACTACTCACCAAAGCACTGATTGACAGCCAGCATGATCGTTCCATACGCGACAAACCCGATCAAAAGGCCGGCGGGACCACCTTTGGGCAGCACGGCACCCATCTGTACAAAGAGGGCTATTCTCGGTCAGCATTGCCGTTCGGCCTGATCGCGGGTTGCCGAAACATACACGTCCCAATGGCCCCTCCGACCGCAAAAAGCTGGACCTCCTTTCCTCGCAGCTTGCGGTGCAGATGCTGCGAGCCGGATGAAGTGACTGGCATCTCCTGGGCTTCATGGTCGCTGGTTTTGGCGGTGCTGGATTCCGTCAGGGAGGGGTTCTGCGACCCCATGGTTGGCATCTTCGAGAAACATATTCCTGGAGGAAAAAATCTTGCCTTTAAGGCCAGCGATACCGGATGACCCCCACGTTGCGACGGCTGCAGACGCTTCAGGCGGGGTTCGGCCTATGAGGGGAGGGAGGCGACACGAGATGCAGTAGTCGCGCCCCCATCGTCTGCGCGGCGCGCCACGAAGAGCTGCCATTGTCCCGATTGCTATCGCATCCACCCGGCCATCGGAGTGTGCAGGTTGTCAGGCAGATGCGATCAGATCCAGAGGAGGGTAGATTGCCGATTCATCGAGCGGATGCATCATTGCCAAATGAGTCCTCCCTCCTCATTGTGAAGACATATCCTCAGCCATTTTCCATCTCCATTGGATCCTGAGCCGTCAATCAATCGCGTGACTTATCTCATGATCAGAAGTCCAGATCGAGCTCTGTGTTTTGATTTGTTGTTAGAAAAAGAATAGACATGGGACGACAGCCTCGATGGCAAATATTCAAGACTTTGGGGTGACACACTTACAAGAGAGAAGCATCAGGTGGGACAGTCCATCCCAGTGATTCAAATGGCTTTCATGGCTATATTTCTTCTCTAATCGCGATTGGAGCCATCGAATCATGATTACGTGCTCGCGTGAAAAAGAAGACAATGATGGTCGCGAGATTCGAAAGGTTGGTCAACGTGAGGTGGGGGAGGGAGAAACAAGGCCTTCACTTCGCTGGACTGGGGGGGACAACAGTCACCTGACGGACACGCTACACAGCTGGAAGTGGAAGACGCGACAAAATTTTATCGTTCTATCATTCTATCATTTATCCCATGTATATACCAGGACCAGCCTGGGTCTATATCTCAACCAACCAATATATCCAAGCACACTACCAAACCAACCCCCGCCGAGTCATCCTCTTCTAAAGACAGTACCAGTCGAGTTACTCCCCAAAGGGCATTCCAACCCAGCCAGAATCCTCCTCCGAAGGCTCCTCCGCGGTACATCGATCACACCTGCATACGAACCGGAACAGATTCTGCAGATGATCTCGTCGGTCTTTCAACTCAACACACTTGGTCAGATCGAAGTAGGATATACAGCACTCTTCTCCAGCTGCGATATCTCTCGACGCCGTGAAGATCATCCGACCTTGGCTATCCGGCTTATGCATGACCTAAAAATCATCAGACAAAACTCCATCAACAAGAACAAGATCCACTCACATTCGGCGAACAGGAATGGTTCGCAATCGCGGCTCTCGGATACACCGCCGCGCCATACTGCTCTCCCCGATCCACCGGGGGATCCGGGATGGGAAAGACGCCAGTTCCTCTCGGATACATGCCAAACGAGTTTGCCTCCTCCCTGCAGATAAGCGCCACGACATCATCGACACTCAGGTCGTGCGGCAACGCCGGACCCCCTCGAAGATACCTCTTGACCAATGCGGTCCAAGACCGGACCTGGGCGTGTGACCAACTCTCCGTCGAGCCACAGAAATCCTGGATGGCTCCCCAGCCACCCTTGAAGCGACCATTCGCTTCGCCGTCCCTATCCCTCAAGAGATCTTGGCCCTCGAGCTGCCGCGAGGCAAGAACCCGCACGATCAACCACAACATCCCAAAGTCATACTCCCCCCATTTCGAGCGTATCGAGGCACCATATCTCTGCAGCCAGGTACACTCGAACTCATGGCGCAGCGCATCCGCATCCTGACAGGTCGAGTTACACCACACGACATCGACCAGACAATTCCTCGGGCATTTTATCCGCCGATCGCTCTGCGTCTGTCGCCCACAGGCCGAGTTACTGCACAGCAGACTATCGCTGGTCTCCGGTTCATCAACAACCGGGATAAACCCATAGGGCACATCAACCAGAAGCCGCTCGCCCTGTCGAATGCATTTCGAGGCCCGGAGTTGTCGGCCCTTGATCGGCACCACGCCCTGCTCTAGATGCGGGTGCACCCACGGTTCTCGCGAGTGGCCGCTATTTATTCCCCCGGCCAGATGCTCTGTTGTCGCGAGCAGTCGTTCTTCAACGAGACATGGCGGTGGATTCATGATCAGAATGGCCGGTTGTGGTTGTGGTTGTGGTTGTGGTTGTGGTTGGGGTCGGACTGGACTGGCCTGGGAAAAGCCTGGGCTGGGGCAACGGTTTCGTTTCCGGGACGCCAGTTTTTTGCTGGTTTCTTTTCTCTTTCTCAGCAGTACTCTAGTTTCCGGGGGTTCTGGCCCTGGCGGCGGGCTTATCGTCAACGGATCCGCTGGAGCGAGTCTGAATGGCCAGTCGGTTTGCCATTGGCAGGGGGGGGGCCAATTATAGGGGCGGATGGATGGAACCGCGACCCCCGGTGGATACCGCGCCCATGGGAGGAATGATGCATCGTGCACGAGTCAACCGGTTAGTGCACTTCTGAAAGAGAGGTGGGATTCAATGGAATTGAGCATATGGATCTGTCTACGGAGTATCTAATACCATCGGAGACAGTTGAGCGTTGAAATCCCTGTGAGTGTTGCGCTGCTCCTTTGCATTCCGAGCGAATTGGCCTTCGAAAGGAAACCTCCGAGGTTAAGGAGGATTCTATTTTCTCATAATCCAGAAACAGAACACATTATGGCATGCATACCCTCTGTTAAATGTTCTCCACGAAACGTCGTACAGCGTGGCAGACAACAATGAAAATTGTCCGATATCCTCATGCCTAAGGCAGCAAGTCGTCGCCCTCCATAGCTCGCCTCTGATTGGCTCAAAATAGCCTCCCGCAGAATCTGCGCCGAGCACGCGTTGCACTACTACTAGTAAGTCCGGAAAGACTCATCCCAGGCGCGGGAGAAAAGAGCAATGTTTTTGTCTACAGAGTACAGATCCGGTGTGAGTGGTTTTTTTTTCTGAGAGAAAAGACGATGACAATAAACAAAACCATCGAACAAAGAACTCCCCTGAGTACAGGGATGCATGCATACCCATGCATACAGCCGCATAACCTGAGTCAGCCAACCTCAGCCCCCCCTCGTGTATAACTGTATAACCTACCCCGCCTTCCTTATGCAACGTTATCCATAGTTCAATCGGCAGAATATGGCGAAACGCGGGCGGTCAGCGAATTTTATGAGAGTGGTGTCCGCTCCTCTCATCGATTGGCCGACACGCTCACCGCCCTGTGTTGCGTGGGCAGGGAGAGAAGAAAGAAAGTGTTTGGGATTTAGTTGAGGGAGGTCCCATGAATTTGGTCTGGGAAGTATTGGAAATCGTTGCGAATGCTATAAAAAATATAAGTCTCATGGGACAGTGAAGAAAGACGGGGCAAATTGGTTGGAGAAAAGGCCGGTCATGGGGTGCGGTCGACCGTGGCTACTATATAGTATGTTGAGCGGAACGTTAGATGATTCGCGGCATCTAATTACTCCATACTATATCCTGTCTGTATGCAGGAAAACATCTCCATCCTGGGAGTGAGCATGACAGGTGTTCTTTGATCGGACCTACGATGTAAGACAGCACAGCGACTCAAGGTCCAGTTTCACGAGTTTTTAGTCCTACTAGTTACGAAGTACATCCTCGACCTATTTCAAAAACACGAATCTCAAAACAAACATAACCATACCCGAAGGACCAGACTAATAGCAATAATCACAAAAGAATAGCCACGAGATGGTAACGGCGTTCTCGGTTTTCCAAGTTTTCCCATCCCCAAAACGTTAAGATCAGAACCGAAGCGACGAGTCAATAGCAATAATTTCGAAAAAAAAAAAAAGACCACAAGATAATAGATCAAAGAGTGACCAGTTTCCTCAAGCAAACCGAACCCCGAAAGATACAAACCAGAAGGCGAGCACCGAAGGAATGACTGGACAAATGACCACCCCGAAACAAAAGCAAAACAACAACAACCCAAGAAACAAACCACGATCACGAGCAGAGAGATTTCCCGAACCACACATCATAGCGTACCGTATGTCGAACCTCATCCATCAAGTGTAAAGATAGAGAAACGGAGCATAGTGATCCTTATGAACAAAGGCCTCAAGATCCAAGCCCACCACATAGACGCGAGCTCGACTAGTAATGACCGAATACTCGCTGTCCTTGCACTTGTGACATTCCATCTGCGTGATGGCCATGTCACCGACAGCACGATCGATATGACACCAGCGAGGCGAGCGGAATTTGTTGATGCGGTTGATGAGCGACGCGTGGCTGAACTTCTCATACGGCTTCTTCAGGTCCGTCGCGAGGACAGCCATGTTGTGTTCGATACATCCGGCCATCATGCTGGAGCATTCGTAGCAGCATCCTAGCTCGTGGGTCACGTATTTGTCGCGGGTCTCCCAGACAAGGTCGATGAGGTCGGAGATGGCGGCTTGTCTTTTGGAGTCGATGGCCGCTGGATGGGGTGAGTCAGTGAGTTGGCTGGATGGGGAGGGATGGGGAGGGATCATACCGAGGATGTGGGAGGGGAGGGGAAGTCCCAGGGCATTGATTCGACCCTTACCCCGGGTCATGGCAGCTGAGGTGGCCCATCTGAAATGCTCGGTCAGTTGGTAGAAATAGCTGATCCAGACCCACAGGAGGAGTTCACGGTAAGTCGTTGTGGGGGGGAAGGTCTTGGGAAGTTGCACCAGCCAGGGGATTGCGGCCGTTCTCATCGCGTCCTGGCATCCGTAGAAGTCGGCAATCACGGCGACCTTGCCCAGGAGATCGACGTCGAAGAACTTGGTCATCTTGTGGTGCTGGCAGTGAAGGACCTGCATCACAATGGTGAATGCATCGACGTCCCACCCTTCCGCCTGGACCTCGATGAATCCCTTCTCTTGGAATTCCTTGGACTCTTTCCACCCCCCCGTGAGCAGTTTCCGGAAGAAAGGGGATGACAGAATGAGGTGAGATGAGGACAGATGGAATTGATGAACCTGCTTGGTGGGGTCGGTATTGTCTGCAGCCGTCGCAGAGTTGCTGAAGAGGAGGGTCTTGTCGAAGACAGAGTCATCAGCATCGAGCATGGAATCAGGGCTGTCCGCGTCATCGTCCATATCGTCGTGATTGTCATAGCTAGGGCCGGACTCAGCATAATCCCCACCATTACCACCAGCACCACCATCCGCATCCTCACTGCCAGCACCACCAGCACCACTTCCATCACCACCGTCACGATCACCAACCGAGACGTCCTCCGACTCAGTCTCCTCGGCAGAGTCAAACGCACGAGGAGGGCGAAACACCGACCGCTCGACGCGCCATTCAGCATCACAATACTTCTTCTCGGGCAGCACAATAGGGAGATAAGCAGGCATGGGTCTCTGGTCAGTGTTGAGACAACCGGCTTCCTCTCTATCATATCCCTCCTTATATCGCATATGGTCCTCGTGACTGAGTCTCGGAAAGAAATCGGGGAAGGTGCGATCCTCCAGCTCCCACGCCCATCTTCTGGGTTTGTCAAACTCATTCGAAGAGATTTCCTGCACGGGGTTGGTGAGGGTCACGATCACGTCGCCGTCGGGGACGATCTCGTGGACTTTGGCACCGTCCGTCACGGGCAGAGGCTTCTTCGCGGTGGACATGTCCACATACAGAGGTGAGAAATATGTTGGATAAGAGTTAAACAGTGACTTCAGGAAAGGATATAAAATCAGATAAAAGGAGTATGGGGAAGGGGCATATAGAGAGTGGTGAGATGGAGAGAAAGGGCGCAGGAGGGGCAAGGCAAAGATCTCTTAATATACCTGCCTGTTGGAGGATTCACTGCGCGCTATTAACAGTGAGAAGCAGACAGGCCGTGACAGATCAAATCAGGCTGTTGCTTAAAGATGATTTCTGATACCCTGATCTGTCCTGGGTGCTTGGGGGGTGCCCGATAAGGTGCTCGGCTTCCATGACGGGATGGGATATATGATCATAGATAGCATCAAAGACCGCCAGGAGGCTGAAGCATTGTATCAATCAGCACCAAACATATACGGAGTAGTTCAACTGACTGAAGCCACAAGAATGTCTATGATCTTGATACATAGCGAATCTATGACGCCTGCGTAAAAAGTACATATCTATAAACAAAACCGTGAATATGCCTCACATGCCAAAGCCCTGGTAGAACAGCGGGATGAAAGACTGGTTAGGGGCTGAATAGATCCCGCATTGTAAGCTTCAAGGCCTCCGTGAATGCAAGCAAGGTCAGCTGCCAGCAAAGAATGGAAGACATTATACTGCATGGGAAGAGCAATGCAGCTCTAGAAGCAAGAGTTTGCTCACAGGTTCACGCCATAAGATAGAAATTATTGACCATGTATGGAATGCCCTTGTTTGACATCATACTTTTTGTATACCTTCACCACGGCGAATGCATCAGATCTCCGAAGGATATAAGAGCGTCAGGGATATGAACAAGTCAACAACATCAATTGGCAGACATCCCTCGATATGAAAAAAATTCGTGTCCGCAAAAGCCGCACATTCGGCTGTAGTCACCGAATATCTGGCATTCTTTCGGCGAAAAGGTATTATCTGGTTCCCTAGAGCTGCTGGAAAGCTCGCATGTATATTCCCCGAGGCGGATATGCTTGATCAGACGACCAAGCCACACAGTCTGCCTACCATCCCGAACATTCAAGTGATCGTTGCCCGCCATTCGTCGGAAATGGTCTGGCTGGTCCACCGGTGAAGTGCTGTTTCTGCTGGCAGGTCGTCAGGCCGGGAACGAAAAGCTGGCTCGACCAGAATGGGGTGGTTTCTTCGGTCTGGATAGGGGCTTTGCTGGCGCGCTTGCAGATGTCGGACCTAGTATGGATCGTCAATATGAGCAAGTATTTTGTCATCCCAGGTCGACGCTCTTCCATTATCCCTTAGTGAGTGGTCATACGACACGCGGCCGAGGGGAAAGACTTTGGAGAGAAAAGACCAGGCTGGGAAAGGGTTGGATGGGGTCCCTTCTAACGCGGTCGATTCACCAAACGTCAATAGTCCTGTTAGTGCAGGGTGGGATCCACTTGAAGCAGCCTGCCATGTCATACTTCCACTGCTTATCTTTCGAAGGATGCGGACCAGGATTCGGAGCTTTTACGGAGTACACCATCTATCTATCTCTCGATCTATGCAGAGCTTCCTTTGCATAAATCATAGGCCATTCTCATATCGATATAATCCACTTCCGATGCTTAGCTGCAGCTTCAATCCGATGCCGAGCTGGCATGATATGTAGTAGAACAGTATGACCTTTTTCAAACCTCACCACCAACCCGATCGCCCCGTATGTCTCACGTCTAACTTGACCGAGGACCCTATTTTCCACCGTACTCGTCATTCAACCCTTCCCTTCGGGATGCTGATCCTGGAAACGGTGGGCAGATCGGTTAATTGTGTCCTGGTAGGAGCGGTCCAGAGCGGGGTATGCATTAACCCGGCACCGCAGGAACAGGAACGGGAAGAGGGTCGGAAGCAGGAGCAGGAGCAGGAACAGGAACATAAGCACCAGCAGCCTAGTCCACCTCCGGGCCTCCACCTTCTTCACACGACGCACGGTGACGTTGGAGTGGTGGGAATTATCCGATCTGCAGGGTTAGCGCCCGGTGGGTTGATACGGACGAACTTCCGCCCTCCGGCTTCCCGTCCCCCGCACGGTGCACCGTACCACAGTTCCATCCCTAAAGGGTTCTTTTCGTGACTGCGAGGTCTGATGGAATAGAGGTGACCAACCTTTTCTATTGTATGCACAGCAACTGAGCAGGAGATGTGTCAATGAAGTAAACCAAGCAAGCTTTGCACAGCCACCATCCCCAAATCCAAGCAGCCCAGTGCATATCGAGTTTGGTGCATGTTCGTTCATGGGCCCGGGCAGGGAAGAGGAGAAACCCTAGTCCCCACCCCCCCCACTGGACGGATAATTCACAGCCACGACCATCACCCAGGCACTGCCTGTCAGGACTCGGAGCTTGGGACGCGTGTTAAGCCTGCCAAGCACATCCTTCGGCCGCATTTCCCCGCTCGAAGAACACGATGTCCGAGCAGCGTCCACGAATCGCGCGCCAGCATTGCGACGATCGCCTTTCAATCTAGTATAGGGCCTGCATGTTCGACTCAATATTGGCCGTGATCATGCGCTCATCGTCAGGGGTATCCGACTCCCGCATATCTGAATTCTCTGCAGAGACATGGTCAGATGGATGGTTGGGTTGGTAGTTAGTGGTACGGCGATGGTATAAGAAGGGCTGATGGCTTCCCTTCATCACTGCATGCTATGGTGTGTTCGACAGCAGCTCAAACAGCAACAACAACAACGCGATGTATCTCCGCAACGCCATCAAGTTGCTCGCGCTGGCAGCCCCGGGACTCGTTGCGTCCATTTCCTCTGCTCCCCTCTCTACCTCCGGTCGCTGGATCGTCGACTCCGACGGGAACAATGTCACCTACGCGGGCGCGAACTGGCCCGGTGCGGCCGAGGCCATGTTGCCTGAGGGCCTGCAGTACCAGTCCATCGAGTACATCGTCGGCAAGCTCAAAGAGCTGGGCATGAACGTGATCCGTCTGACCTACGCGATCGAGATGATCGATGACATCTACGAGACCGGAGCGGACGTGTCCATCAAAACCTCGCTCATCACGGCGCTGGGCGAGACGAACGGAACTGCCATCTTTGAGGATATCATCAAGAACAATCCGACCTTCAGCGAGAACACCACCAGACTCGAGGTATGGGTCCCTCTCTCTCTCCCCATCCTCATCGTTCACCGCAGGCAGCGACTGACACAGGCAAGGTCTACGACGCCGTCGCCACGGAATGCTACAACCAGGGCATCTACGTGCACCTGGACAACCACGTCTCCAAGGCCGAGTGGTGCTGCTCCACCACCGACGGCAACGCCTGGTTCGGAGACACCTACTTCAATGTGACCAACTGGCATCGCGGATGGAGATACATGGCTGAACACGTATAGCCCCCCAAAAACACCCATCCCGTCCCCTTCAGTTCACCAACACTAACCACACCCAGGTCAAATCCCTCCCGGGAGTCAAGAGCATCGGAATGCGCAACGAACTGCGCAGTCCCGACGACGACACTGCCCTCGCCGACGCCACCTACAACTGGGACACCTGGTACACCAACATGGTCGAGAACGCCAACCAAGTGCACGCCGTCAACCCGGACCTCCTCCTCTTCTTCTCGGGTCTCAACTACGACACCACGCTGTCCCCGATCCCGACAGCCTCCGACCTCGGCAACGGCACCACCTTCAAGAAAACCGACTTCGCTTTCTCCGACAAGATCGTCCTCGAGATCCACAACTACGATAACTCCGCCACCAGCTGCAGCAGCCTGGAGTCCAGTCTGGTGAGCGACGGCTTCGATGCCCTCGAGACCGATGACTCCGACATCGTGAATGTCTTGCCCGTCGTCATGACCGAGTTCGGCTATCTGATGGATAATACCACCCATACTGAGGTGTATCCGACTTGCTTGAAGGAGTATCTGCCCAGTGTGCATGCCGGGTGGATGATCTGGGTCCTGGCGGGGAGTTATTATATTCGTCAGGGAACCCAGGATTATGATGAGACTTGGGGTAGGTTTTTCTCATCCCCCCCCCTTTTTCTTTCTGTTTATGAAAACAAACATGTGGGATGGCGACGGCTGACGAACTTCATCTAGGACTGCTGGACCATACCTGGGAGAACTGGCGGTCGGTGGACGCGATCGATAACGGGATCATCCCCATGGTGGAGGCGAGCCTGGGTTGAAGTTGAAAGTGAGGCGGCAACGTAATGGCGGTATTATGCGGAGGATATGTTGGACTTGGAATGGGTGTATATATGTATAGTCCAGAAGTAACCCTATATATGGGCTGAATAATGAAAGTGGTCAAATTATAACAGATCCATCCATCCATATAAGGCGATAAGCGTCCCTCCAAATGCGATCTCATCGCGGCAACACTCAACAAAATCACCCACCCACCCACCCACCCACAACACAACACAACACACATCTAGACACAAAAGAAGTAAAAACACAAAACACAAGAAAGGAAAGAAAAAACATCGGTGGGAGAGAAAAAAAAGAAAGAAAGGGGAAAAAAACATGAGCCCAGCCCGAATCGAACGGACAACCTTACGATCTGGAGTCGTACGCGCTACCAATTGCGCCATAGGCCCATGGTTGAAGAAACGGGCAAGGTTGAAGCTATAGGAGCAGAGTGTTAAGCACATTGCGATATTTTGCTGGACCATGGACTAAAGTACGTGGTATATATATACCAAGTTTGCACAAACAATGATTCCATATATATAACTAATCAAACGGTTCCATGGCCCCTCCTTAATTGGAATTGATATGATACTGCCATGTCCCCACTACCTCGGGGAATCCCATCGCTCCATCATCACGCTGATTGACGTGCCGTGGACGTTCGTTCACTTCTCCGCGGCCCTAGTCGCCCCCAGCCCAGTGGCATAAATGGTCAAATACCTCGCCATATTCTTGTCTAGAGCGAAGGTCAGCATTGCACCCCTCATGGATGGAAGGTGTCAGCCAAACACATACAAACATCATTACCCTTGTTAAGCGCCTCCTCCAAGTGTCCCGGGAGAGGGAGAATCTGCAGACCGGATCAGTAAGAAGGATACTTGCCACCAAACACAGACACAACACAAAGAGCGAGCGATCTTACTATTCCCAGCTTACTGGACTCCAAGTGCTCTCTGATCGTGATAGCGTCCACGGAGACAAGGTTCCAAACGTTCTTGAGCAAGTCGACATTGTCCCCGAATCGGAAGAGGTGGTCGTTTCCCATCAGCTCGAGGTTCTCGCGCGCTTTGCGGATCTGTTCGATCTGCTGCTCCAGGGTCTGGATCTCGCGCTCCTTGTTTGCAATCTGGCTTTTCTTGACTGTGTCGGTGGTGAGAGGTGGCGATTAGCAAACGAAGAGCGAAAGCAACAAGATTAACTTGGACATGGGTATGACATACTGTCTCGGGCGATGGTGAGTCCAATGATTGCCGCCGCGGAGACTCCCAGAGCGAACATCCCGCCCACCTAAGAAAGAGCATCTGCGTCAGTGAATGTTCCTGGTCCGGAGGAGAACAGGAACTTACCGCAAGGAAGAAGGCAAGCGGCCCGGTGAAGGCAGAGATACCCAGCATCAGGATCCCAATCGCACTCACTCCTCCAAAGGCAGCAATGGAGATGTTCAGCGCAACCAGCTGCTCGTTCAACCGGATCAGTTCCTCCTTCGCCGCCTCGACCTGCGTGGTTAGCTCGCCTTCCCTCTCCTTGGCCCAGTCGCCGAACCGTCCGACGAGTCCGGCGAATTCGGACTTCAAGGACTCGAATCGAACTTCGATGCCGCGAGCGTCGGCATGCACTCCTTCGATTCTCTGAGATGTGCGGCTGGTCAGTCCGGAGGATTGCAATCGCCACGCGGGGAAATGCACCAACTCACCCCAATGTACCAGTCGACGCCGATCAGCTTCTCGTCGGCAGTGAGGGTTTCGTTTGAAACCATGTTCAGAATGACATCGTCGAACTCTGTAGATTGTGGGACGTAGCATCAGCATCCTGCACTGCGGTCCTGGAAAGCCGGAGTGAAGATTCCATGCTTACGGTTCGTTTGGGCAGAAAGCGCCGCCGCGACGTCCCTGCTGTCCGAAAGCACCTTGTCGTAGTTCTAAAAGGTCATGGAGATGGGGTCAGTGAGTGTTCAACAGAGAGCATATCCAACGACCTCGTCACTCACCTCTTTGACCTTCCTCAAGTCATCACTAAACCCCGAATGATGAATAGCATCAACTCTCGCGATCTCGGCCTGAAGACTCAGAAAGCCTCGATCGATGTCCCGAGCCGCGGCAACGGCATCATGTGCTGCCTGCTCCAGGATATCCTCGGCCTCCTTGGAGCCCAAGGAATGGGCAGCGCCCTCGGTGTACTTCGTGCGCTGGGCTTCATTCTTGATGGGGTTGTGCGATGGGGCACCGTCCACGAGAACGGCAAGCTCCTCGTTCGTGAGCTGGTCCTGGACCGCCCAGTATTTATCGGGGGTAGGGTTGTCGCCGACAATGCGGTCGACTTTGGCGGCTACCTCGTCGAAGGTGGGGGAGGTTCGGGGGGCAAGACTCGGGGGAATAGCGACGGCGGCCATTTTTCAAAAGCAGTTCAATTTGGAGAACAGGAGGAGGATGATGATGGCTGGGGATGCTTTCTAAGGTTGGGGAATCTGGGAAAGCTGGGTGGTTAGACTCGACACTGTGCAGCAGTTGAGGGGATATTTATACGCTTTAGGATATCCCTGGGAGGCAGCGACGACTTTCGACCCTCAGCTTTCGCCATTTGCCATCCGGAGATTACAAGATCCAATATGCAGCATGTATCACGACACTGCATACTGCATGTAGCTGTCGAATGATGACTTCACGCTGCGAAGTACATAGTACCTCCGAGGTGCGGGGCTCGGGGCTGGGCGCTGGGCGCTGATTAGGGTTACACCTCCACTGCATGGTCAGAAAATGCGCAGGAAGCGCCCGAGAAATAACACCATCTGCCGTTCTCATTGGCTCTAGGCATAGTACGGGTAGCAAGCATTAATCTGCACTTAGATGTGGCTGGCTGCGTGAATGTTAACCATGAAACTTGCCACCCACGCGCACTGACAATTTATTGATTCTGCAAGCTAGAGAATCCCTGCCGGTGCGGTTCAGCTCATGCACCCTAAACTAATCAAGCAACAGGCATTCAACTCCCCCAGTAATAGACGGCTGGGCTGACGTCGCTCAGAACTCGAAGTCCTCCCCCCAGATGTCGTGTATCAAGGCTTGGATTTCACGGGCGTAAGGGATCAGGTATGCCGCAATCTCCGCATCTGTCAGCTGTTAGTCAAAGCGCTTTCTACTAGTATCGATCAAGACTACGTACAACTGTCTGCTGCGTTCTGGAGACTTGTATTCATGAGAGGCGGGTGGAACTAGTGATGTATTAGCGTTCGCCTCAGCCAAAACAGTGAAATACTTACCGTAAGAGCCAGCGCAGCATCCAGATAACTCTGAATCTTGATCGCTTCAAATCGGGTAATCGCCCAGACACGGTCCATTATTTCGATTTTATCACTTATGTCCACGAAAACCGCATCGAAGGCCTGTGGTGTCTGGCGGACCGAGTAGTAAGCTGATTTCTCCGGAACGGCGGATCGTTCGATCTAAAGTCAGACAGCGTCAGTATCACAATCTAAACTGGGGGACAGATGAAATCGGGTGTACCATGCAGACCCCCTCCACGGGCTTGAGTAGGGCTCCAATGGCATCCATGGCAGACATTCCACATAGCGCCTCGAGCTCTTTCAGCAAGGCATCCGGACTAGCCGTGTCCGTCACTTGAGCGACACGCTGCTCAACAACATGGAAGACTCGGAACCAGAGGTCAAGGAACTCCGTTAGAATGGCCCTGTGTCGCTGGGTTATGACGCGAGCGCTCTCCGCTTGAGAAACAGCCATCTGCAAGATGCTTAGAATGGAACGGATTACGTAGGTGTGTGGAGGAGCAGCCATACCTGCATCTGGCTGTTAATCCACGCCTCTCGATCCGCAATCGAGAGGGTGGAGTCAGCCATCATCCTCAGATGTGCATCACGGAACCCTGAATAACCAAATGTAAGCATGGGGGTGGCAACGGGGCTGTGGTGCTCGACTAACCATTGGCCTCGGCAGAGGTCTTTTTTGCGAGCTCAATGCTATCTAGCAGCACGTAGACTAAATCCTGCCCATGAGGTAATTAGCACAAAGGATTGTATTTGAAGAGGCTGAACATACCTCCATAATATCCCCCATCTCCCACGAGAAGTGGGTGCCGTATTGAAAATCAAAGAAGGCCAAAAAGATGGCATTACCTATGATGATCATAAGGACATCGAAGCTGGCATCGTAGGCATCCCTTGCAGTTTGCTCGTAGACCGAGGTCCTCGCCTGGGGTGGTTCCGTTTTCTCGGCCGCGCCCCGCTGCGCAGCGAACCGGAAGACTTGGTTGAGCTTCCCTGACAGCGGACTCTTTTCCGCCAAAGGCCGAGATGGAGAAGTTCCGGCCATGTTCAGCTCTCCACAACAAACAGGGGTAGAGGTCGAGACGGACGAAGGGATGTCGCAGCGTGGTAATCTATCTGGTGGCAATGTCGAGCAGTTGATGATGAGGGGTTGTAGCACCTGAGAATCGTCGGCTTTAAATAGAGAGCGATCATGTTTTAGCGCTGAAATCCCTGTCGTGGCGAGACTGGTCTTGCGGCATGCATGACGGAGTGCCCGAGCTGAGCGCCGGCCCTAATGCAGCCCGGGATGTCGAGATGAGGGGGTGCGGTGCGCGCGTCCCACTTCCTCGTCGAGTAATTTGAAAACATGGAGGGTGTTGCGTTGCTCACGCAGTTTAAAAGAAGCCCATCTCCGGTTCCGATGAAATAGTAGTAGGCCCATCGTTCGTGGAATTCCCCCCTCCAACATCCGCTTGTATCCCATATCCACCATGACTGTGCTACCCTCGTATACCGCCGATGTGGCGCCTCCGTCGTATGACGAGGTTGCTCACAAGCTCGAGAATCTGGTTGGCGGTAACCCTACCCCGGACAAGGTTCTTGACGCGGCCGAGCAGCTCTCCGAAGAGGAGATCAATGTGCTTGTCAACGGGGTGGATTCCCACTGGCCCCTGGAGACCGAAAAGCAGAAGGAAGAATTCACCATCGGGACGGGTCAGACTCTGTCCTCTGCCGAGGGGAAGGACCAACTTCAGGCGACTGCCATCACGGTCACTCAGGCCACCAGGGAAATCGACAGGATCTTTTTCGCCTTGGAGGTGAAGCTGGCTCAGATTGATGGGATTCACAAGTCCAACTTTCACCCGGAAATCACCCGACTGAAAGAGGTAGGTCTTCCTGTTTCATAGAAATCTTGTTGTGATATGAAATTGACGTGAGGCAGACATACCAACAAATTCTCGCCGATAGCCGGGACCTCGCAGCCGGAATCCGTGTGCGGTTAGAAGGTACATTCACTGCCTGTGCATTCCACTTCGCGATGTCGCTAACGAGAAACCCTTGCAGTCTTTGACAGCGTCATCATCCGACTCTGCGCGGAGCCCTCTATCTCCGTGGATATCCGAACACGGGAGCTGAACAACTTCCTCGAGGTCTGATATATACCTGTCCCCGGCCCAACCTCTCCTCAACCTGAGTATTTCCAAATAACTAACCATGGCCTATTCCCCTAGACCTCCGCAAGCTCCGAACGAGATGTCATCGCCATCGAAGGCCGCTTCAACGACCTCTCCACCTCCTTCGCCAAGTTTGTCGGCACGTTCTCCGACTGGGCGAAGGACAGGGAAGGCCAGATAACCGAGCAGATCCGAGTCGTGCAGCACGAGCTCGACGAGCTGAACAAAACCCTGTCCGCGTTGAATGCGTCCATGACCGCCTTCAAGGCTGTCTGTGGAGCGACGTGGCCTTTTACCAAAGCCCTGGCGAAGTTGATGCCGAAGTTCGCGCCGTTTATCATGGTAGGACCTTGCTTGCTGCCCCCCCTTCATCATTTTCGGTTTTTGTCCTGAGGAGGAGAGATATGGCCATTCCTTGCACATGAGTTTTCTGTTGGGAATCTGTGTCCAGAACTAACGGATATGGGATAGATCGGAGGGCTCATCACCGCGGGTGTCTCTGTGGCAGCGATTGCCGGCCTGGCTATTGCCATCAGTAGTGAGTCTTCCCACCATGCATCGGAATTTTCTTTTTTACCCTACATATTTCTAACAAATTGCCTCAAATGCAGTCACCGAACAGAGAATCATCACCAAGACCAGAGAAAAGACAAACCTACAAGAACAACTCGAACAGATCCGACAGACGCGCTCCGAGCTGGAAGACTTCGGGAACGCCTCTCTGGTGGATTTCGCGGATGCCATCAGCATTCTCGCTGGATCATGGGAAAGCACGGCTGAAGATGCGCAGAGAATCAAAGTCTGGCTGGGAGAGGGGGCGGTTGAGGGGGTAAGTCACAGCTAACCTCGATTTCTCTTCTGTGGATCACTGGATACTGATGTTCCACGCAGAAACAACCGGAGTATATGAGGCTTAACACGAGGTATAATGTGAGGAAGTGTGAGTTCATCCCCTCGTCATCCTATGTTTAAGTCACGGGTACTGACTACCGTTACAGATGATGCTATTTCTGCGTACCTGCAGTACTACGCGAGGGGGATTGTCTCCTAAGCTGTCAGAATCAAGGTTTTTGCAGCAAGTTTCATTCTATCTATCTAAGGGGTAGTCTAGTGGCTACACGATGAATATTAGTCAAGACGCCCTGACACCACTTCTCAAATATAGCAAACCAAGATACTCCATTCAAAATACTCCGTGATCCAATAGCAAACAGTACTCCATGGCTAAATAGCTAAAACAAAAACCCCCATCGCACTCTAGTCTCTAGCTGCCTTGTCAATCGCTTCTATCATATACCCTATGCCCACGACGAAGAGAATAAAAGCCACGAAACCTGCAGCTAGTCCCAGTATGGCAATCGTCACTATGCTGGTATAGCAGGAGCATTCGCGCATGCACTTCTTATTGTTCCGGGTAGTCGCAGTAGTCTGCCCGCTGGGTGTGGTTTGCCCGCGTCGGTTATTGTTGGAGGATGTTGCCGGCGCAGGGAGAGAGGGTTCGGTTTCGGTTACAGGATTTTGGCTTTTGCCCCCAAGATTCCACCAGGGCTTGCTGGTTCGTGCCCCTCCGGACGCGAAGTCTGCCATGAGGATATTGGTGGCCTGTGGGGCTGTAAGTGAGTGGCTCTGCGGGATGAAGGATCCACGTCGGGGTCCTCTGGGGAAGAAGGGACATACAGAGTCGTAAGTCGGAGCGGGATCGTCTGCGTTGGAGAACGTCATGTTGAATGATCGTTTGAACGACTTCGATTGCGGATGTATGGGGAGATAGGTAGGGTTTTGCGAAGCGGCGGAAGAGACACGGGGGAAGGAAGGGCTGTGGTGGGGATGGGAGGTGAAAATTCTATCTTGCCGAGAAAAGGAAAGACATTCCTGCCATTACCTCACGACGAGATAATTCTGGCTTGGCATCAGGGTCCTCATGATGAGGGTATCCAAGGCTCCAAGCCTAGGCATCGGCATCTTGTATCTAGATTCCGTCCTTGACGGCAAGACCCGTGGGCTGGTGGGGCGCACCCACGCGTCGATCGCCCACCCACTAGCCGCAAGGGGATAGGAACTTGGCCAAGAAGATGCGTAGTTCGTGCACTGCCCAGTAGATACTGTGTAGTAGACCTGTAAGCGAGCGTGCTTTCCACGTGACGCATGCGGAGAGACAAGCCCCGTCGTCACTCGCCTTCCGATATAAGATCCCATCCGAGCTTCCCCGTCCGAGCTTCTCTCTCTAGTTTTCAGTCTCCACCCATCCCTTTGCCCCCTCTGAACCATGATGGATGCAGATGCGCAAAGTCTCTTCCATCGACGGCGGAGGGCCGGAACTTCCAGATCACGCAAAGGCTGCATCACCTGCCGGTGAGTGAGGCTCCTCGTCCTCGACTGGCTGACTAGCCGCTAATCCCCCGCGGCAGGTATCGACACATCAAATGCGATGAACAAAAGCCCGGCTGTCGTCGGTATGATCCTCTTCTTCCGGGGTTTCAGAGCCGCAGAGCAGGGCAACTGACCGCCCGGGTGCAGATGCACCAGCACAGGGAGACGATGTGACGGCTACATGCCCATGCCGTATTCGTTGAACATCGCAAAGCAGCTGGCCCAGGTGAGCGCCTCGGTGCCTCCAGCCGAGTCTCGCGCGTTGGAGTTCTTCTTCCGCCGGTCGGCCTCGCACCTGGCGGGCTACTTTGGCGCTGTGTTCTGGAGCGGCACCGTCCTGCAACTCAGTCTGTCCGAACCGACAATCCGCCACGCGGTTGCTGCCATCGGCATCCTACACGAGGCCCACAGCACCGCCACGGTCGCTGGCCCGCAGCAGACCTCCCAGGAGAATCTATCGCTGGCCCTGTACAACCGAGCCATCCGAAACACGATTGAAAAGACCCCCGTGGGCATCGACGCCATGCCAGTGGAGATGGTGACGCGGATCCTGTTCGCATCACTTGAGTGTTTCCGCCTGAATGCCTCTGCCGCCTCCTTGCATGTCATGGATGGCCTCAACCTCGTACGAGCCTGGCGCCGGCAGGGCACATCTCGGATCTCCTGGGTGGAGCTGGAACTGGTTCCGATCTTGGTGTCGCTTTCCATGACCACATACGAACGCGCCGCGTTCAAGCATGTGGCCCGCCCACCCAGCGACAAGGTCTATTTCAACCCCCTGGATGACGTCGGTCGGCTCGTGCTCAACCACCAGTTCATGACGCCCCAGGAGGCTCGCGTCGCCCTCCTCGATACAACCGTCTACTCGATCGGCGCGTTCCAGGACTGGGAGGAGATCACCAGGCAGGCGGGATTCCCGTGTGCTGCCGCTCAGAGTCGCGTGCTGTGGGTGGCACAGGCGACTGAACGCTGGAAAGTCACCTTCGAAGACCTCGTCCGACGGAAGGAGTCGACCTGGAATCGAGCAGAGAGAAACGCCTGTGATGCCATCCGCCTGCTATGGCACTCGGTCCGAATCGGGACAGACCGGCACCGCGTGGGGACCGAGTCCGGGTGGGACACGTTTCGCGCGAACTATGAGGATATCCTGGAGATTGTCGAGCGGCTGGTCGGGGAGACGGGGATCTATCACGATGAAATATCGCGGACGCTCACTCTGGATACATGGGTGATGTACCCCCTGCAGACGGTCGCGTGGAAGTGTCGCTGGCCGCATCTTCGACGTCGGGCCTTGGATCTGCTGCTGCGGATTCCGAAGCACGAGTTCATCTTCTATGTCCCCCACTACCACACCATCTGTTCGCGCATCATTGAGATCGAGGAGGCTTGTCTCAACTTGTCTCCGGGGACGGTCCCCAGCGAAGACCAGCTCATCCCCGATACCGCCCGCGTGTACGATTTCTCCGTGGCTGCAAGTCCCACCATGACGGATGAGCATCCGCTCTACTCCATCACGTTCATGACTCTTCCGCATGGCACGGAAGGGGCGCCGGTCTACCACACCGAGCCGCTGTGGCTTCCTCCTCCCCCCGCCGGGGCGTCGATGACACCCTTCAATCTGATGACTCGGCGGGAGTGGTCCCAAGTAGGGCGAACCAACCGGTACGCCGTCGAGTCGCTCAGCGGTGTCTGGGTCTGAATGACGGTCTTCCGTCTGCTTTTGGAGGAAGAGGAAGCTCTCGATGGTGATTGATGCTGTGCACGTCCCTGTCTTTAAATGTCATACCCCTAATAGAACCACGTTAGACGAATGATTATCCCAGTCGCACAGGGGATCACCTGACGTCCAGTCCACCGTCGCACCGCTGTTCCGGTCAAACCCCAGGGCAAGGCCAACAACTCCCCGATTATTCGCGCCCACATCACGACCTTGAAAACCAACAAGCTAGCCTGCCCGAGTAGCCTCATGACTCACGGTCACAACCGCAACCCAGGACTCTGTCCGAGTCCGAGCAGCCCAAGCGTCCAATCTCAGCTCATAAACCCGGCCCCCATCTCGCCCCTAAGCCTCCCAAACCCTCTCCGTCCACTAGCGGGATGTCTAGCGCGCTGCCCGTCCATATCGAAGCATATCGGGGAGCGTTTTGGGTACTTTGGTCCCTCCGGGCCCGCCCCGAGGTGAGACCTCTCCAATCGTATCCCAGCACTTCTCCCTTAGCGCCGGACCCCTGTCCGTCCCGGGCCAATCCGAATGGCCCCCGCGGATGTTGGAATGTCCGGCGCCTTCAGGACCCTTTGTCTTTGTTCGCTTGCCCTGACCGAGGCTCTGGACTGAGGGTGACATCTGATGGTGATGGTGATGGGTGATTGGTGATTGATGCCTAGTAGTAGTTAGTTTGTGTTGCTTAAATTCACGCTTGTGCCCTCTGCCTTTGCCCCTCTCTCTTTCTTTTTCTGAGTCTCTCTTCAGGTAGTGTTACACAGCTCAATCCCCTGTAGCCACCACCACCAGAACCATCACCCCCAACTCCAACTCCAACATCCAAAATGCAACTCACCCTCCCCCTCCTCCCCCTCCTCACCCTCCTCACCACCCTCACCACTCTCACCACCGCCACCACCACCTCCACCATCGTCGGCGTGCTCATCCCCGACTGGTCCGTGACCATCCCCAGCTACACCTCGACCGGCGCCACCGTCGTCAGCATCAACGCGCTCGAAACGACCTACAAAGTCAGCTGCCTCAGCGGCGCCGCCACCTCGCTCTGCCACATCGACCACCCCTGGACCATGATCCAGGGCGAAACCACCGCCAGCTTCACCGGCGTCTACACGGCCTGGAGCTCCGGCAGCGACGCCGTCACCGCCACCCGCGACTGGGCCTGTTCGTTCACCTCCCTCACCGAGTCCGTCTCGTGTTCCCTGAGCTATCAGGCGACCGGCACCTATGATGGCTCTACCTATGCCACGTCCACCTCCACCAAGGCCAAGTTTGCGACCGATAAGGTCCAGTATGATGAGTTGTTGGTCACCGGGGGGGTCAATTCGTTCACGGCGCCCGCGGCTACGGAAACCCCGGGGGTTGCTGCGGGGGGTGTCGTGGGGCCCGCCAGGGCGATGGTTACGGCTGCGGTGGTGGCGGTTGCGGCGGCGGTTATTTAGGTTGGATATATAGTATAAGTAGGATGATGGGGTTGGGGATGTGAGGAGGTGGGATGAGGTGGAGTTTTGATACCCTTTTTTGTTGTGTGTGGAGATGATACTTGATTGATGTCGCTTATGTGCGGAATGAATGGCTGAGATGAAATGATGTTTATTTACCCTTACTTTTGTTCTTGTTCTTGTTCTTGTTTTTGTCTATGTATGGTGTGGTGTGGTTCGTAGGTCATCTTGTAGATTGGGACTGTGTGAGTTCAACAGGAGCAAAAGAAAACAAAAAAGTCAATTTTTGCCAGATATGATGTGAAAATGCCGGGAATCCAATCCTGGCAGGATCCAGGATTCATAATTCGGAAATGGGAATACCTTTTATGAAGCAAGCCCTGGGCGGAGATTTTTCCGCCACTACGGAGTAGATATTCCCTCATTGGGCGAAAAGTAAATCCTATTCCTACCTAGCTATCTAGTGGCGTTAGCTTACCCTGCTTACTTATTTCGCCCTGGACTTTGTGGGTTCCAATTTTTGTATGCTGTGGTGGGTGATGAGAGGAATTAAATATTCCGGACTTTCCATTCGATAGAAAATACGGACAGAACCCAGAGAGAGATATTTACACTGGCTGTTCGGGCATCCCGGATAAAGATAGTTACTTAGTTCTCTTTCTCGAGTTGAATCGGTGTTACTATCGGGTCGTTCGCCTGGGGTTCCCGGCTTGGGACGTCGGCTATCGACCAGCTTATTGTCGAATGAACGCACTTTCTCCGATCGGTTGAAAAAAGTTTAAATTGGACAAAGATGCTAAATATATCTATCAGACATTGTACAAATACAGACAGTGGGCTATGGAAATGTATGGTTGCTGTGCGACACTGAATATTCACATTTGAGGAAATATATAATGCTTCACTGAGGTGGGTATACTAACACCCAGTGAAGTCATATCATGATGATAGAGAACTTCCAAATGAGGTTTATCGCAGACCCGATCCTGGTGGGGGTTTGCAAGCCTAGAATTGTCAGTCTGTGGTGAGGATGTACTCTGATGGATAGGCGGGGTGTCATGAGGGGACTGGACAGAATAATGAAAATCGGAAATTCGTTGTTAAGCCGAAGCGGACAAGCGATGATTCGGGCCCGGGAGCAGTGAATATGTCGGCCTAATTACTCTTTGCCGATACCTGGACCGAGGTAGATTGTATGGTGTGTTGTTAATACAAATATTTGGGTCTTCAGGCAATACGACTGACACGTTCTTGACTTCCCCGCGTAATATGGAGGATGCATGGTTGGTGTGTGATGACGATGACCAGGTACATGGAACACCCAAAATTGCAGGCGAATATAAGCGGGAGCCTGAAGACAGGGATCCCAATCTTATCGAGTAGCCCCGAGGCTACCTCCCGAGGCAGCACACTAACTACTACTCTTCCTGTCGCTCTGTCTCGTCCGCGCCCCTCCACCACAGCCAGGCCATGGCAATCATCCCCTTCAAGACCACCGCCGTCCACAATGCGCCCGGCAGCCCGACCGCGCTCTTGGCCCACGATCCCCCCAGCAGAGTTCCCAGCAGCAGTCCCAGCACGGCTCCCACCCGCCTCCACTCATCGGGATCCTTGATGGCATTCGTCGACATGAGCTCCGGATACGAGAACAGGTCACAGTAGATACTGGTGAGGACCACACTGGTCAGACTACTAAACCTGAGGACGCGACTGGTGACGGCCTGCCCGCTACTCTGGAACGCGACCAGCGCCAGCGGCACGGCGATCTTCCACGACAGCAGGTCATCCCTACCGGTCTGCTTCAGGGTGACGATGGTCGCGGCGACGGCGACACAGACCGTCTGCAGGGTGAATGACAGGGCGAGGGCGGCGCGCTGGCGCGGCGAGCGGAAGAGGCGGTGAAACCAGGCAAAGGCGAAGGAGCCGACGCAGAAACTGCCGATGGAGATCAGCGACTTCAGCCAGCGCTGCGTCTCGTCCAGTCCGGCCAGCCCCAGCCCAAAGTACACCGTGTTGCCCGTCTGCATGCTCACAAACGAGCCCCAGATGAACACCGCCGCGCTGTCCAACAGTCCCGTGATCACGTAGCAGCAGATGAGGAGAAGGTCGCCCCTGCGGGGATTGACCTCCGTGCGGAGATGTCGGCGGAGTCGGCTGAGGGGCGAGTCTTTGGCCCCGTATCTGGGCCCCAGCAGGGGATCGCTCTCCTGCGCGGGAAAGGGCTGGTAGCGGGGGGTTTCGCGCGCCATCGTGGTCGTTGCTGGATTCTGGCGAGGGGAGTTGAGGGGAGAGGGGCCAGAAGGGGTCTGTGAGGCCGGACGGGGGCTGGAGTGGTTGCACACGTCCAGGGGTGCGTGTAGGCAGCAATTATCGTACGGATGACCCCTGTGCTCTGTCTCTTGGTGGCAGAGGTGGACGCGACGGCGAGCGGGGACTTATAGAGTGCCCACGGGTAAGACGGATGGGGGGAAATGAGAGGGAGAAAATGTTTGTCTTGTCTCCATCCCCAACCCGCCCGTGACGCACCATGACGTGTGCCCGGCCCTGTAGGGCTGACCACTCCACCAATGCCTCCCCCCTTCCCCAAACAAGCATACCAAGCTTTACTTGGGTGAAATTCGCGCAGCGAAGCCCCACTGTCTGTCCGGCTGTGAGCTTCTTGGGTACTCCTCACTGGCCGTTCGGAACAGTCGGAAGACTAGATGATGGAGTGTCTCCCACAAGGCACAGAGAGTATAAATATGGCCAGCGTGTAGGGCTGAGAGGACACCCACCAAGTTCTCCGACCTCGACTCCTCCCAACCATGCACATACCCCTTTCCTCCCACCTCCTGCTGACGGTCGCGACCGTGGCGGCCCTCGTCGGCCAGGGCCAGGGCAACCCGGTCCCCAATGACGCATACCAGCAATTGTTGCGGGTGCCCGCCTCGTCCCCATCCGTCTTCTTCCAAGAGCAACCCCCCTTCACCCCAGACCATCACGATCCCTATGACCACAAGATCGACTCGGTCGGAGAGGACCGCGAACCCCTCCCCTGGCGCATGGGCGATGGGGCCACCATCATGGGGCCGCGGAACAAGGACCGTGAGCGCCAGAACCCCGACATGGTGCGTCCCCCCAGCACCGACCACGGCAACATGCCCAACATGCGCTGGAGTTTCGCCGACTCCCACATCCGCATCGAGGTAGGTAACCATTCCCCCATTCCTCCATCTCCACATGCAGTGTGATGGTGCTAAACCCCCCGCAGGAGGGCGGATGGACGCGTCAGACCACCGTCCGCGAGCTCGGCACTAGCAAGGAGCTTGCAGGGGTCAACATGCGTCTCGACGAGGGTGTCATTCGCGAGCTGCACTGGCACCGCGAAGCCGAGTGGGCGTACGTGCTGGCCGGGCGCGTGCGAGTGACCGGTCTGGACCTGGAGGGCGCCAGTTTCATCGACGACCTCGAGGAGGGTGATCTGTGGTACTTCCCTTCGGGCCATCCCCATTCCCTGCAGGGTCTCAGTCCCAACGGAACCGAGTTCCTGCTCATCTTTGACGATGGGAACTTCTCCGAGGAGTCGACCTTCCTGCTAACCGACTGGATGGGTACGTCCTTCTTCCTTCCCTTCCCCAACACTCACCAAACAATCCCACCCACATTAACCAACCCCTCCAGCCCACACCCCCAAGTCGGTGCTCGCCGAAAACTTCCGCATGCGCCCGCAGACCTTCAAGAACATCCCCACGGCCGAGAAATACATCTTCCAAGGCTCCGTCCCGACTCCATCCCCAAAGAGCTCCCCCGCAACTTCAAGGCCTCCAAGCAACGCTTCACCCACAAGATGCTCGCCCAGGAACCCGAACGCACCACCGGCGGCGACGTCCGCATCACCGACTCCGCCAACTTCCCCATCTCCAAGACCGTCGCCGCTGCCCACCTGACCATCCACCCCGGCGCCATCCGCGAGATGCACTGGCACCCCAACGCCGACGAATGGTCGTACTTCAAACGGGGCCGCGCCCGCGTCACCATCTTCGCCGCCGAGGGCACCGCGCGCACCTTCGACTATGTCGCTGGGGACGTCGGCATCGTGCCCAAGAACATGGGCCATTTCATTGAGAATCTCAGTGACGAGGAGGAGGTCGAGGTGCTGGAGATTTTCCGTGCCGATCGGTTCCGCGATTTCTCGTTGTTCCAGTGGTTGGGCGAGACGCCGCGCAGGATGGTCGCGGAGCACGTGTTTGCGGATGATCCCGAGGCCGCGAGGGACTTTTTGAGTAAGATCGAGGGCGCCGAGAAGGATCCGATCCGTAGTCCGGGGAGGGGTTGAGGGTGATGCTTTTAGTAACTGATCAGCGTGTGTATATGTGGAGTAGTTGGTGTTGAATACGAGTACGAGGAGATTGTCTATTTTTTTTTTGTGAAATCTACAGTCGACTGTCTTTGATTGGCCATGTGCGAGCTTTATGGTCTGGTGGTTTGGCTGAGGCGATTCGTTTACTCATTAATGGTGAATGGGAACACCTGGAACATCAGCAACGTCATTGTGCCGATCAGCTTAACTCTCCGATGCACGCCCTGCAATGATTCAACCTCGTGCGCGGATAGAAGTATTCTGGCTGCCTATTATTGGGGTGGCAGAGCAGCATATGCTGAAGAACCACTGGAGCGTTGACCATGACACAGCCTCATCCTGACTCGGGAGATGCCAACCCATTCTTCGGCTCTTCAGCCAACAGCCGGTGAATGTGGATGCCTGCTGTTCGAGGCACTCGTCCAGACCCCCGCGCTAGACCGCAACGGGCAAGGATTGCGACATCCCGAAGGCTTAGCGGGTCGGATTGTTGATGCCTGTTGATGCCTGTTGATGCCTTCGCTCCCCTACGTCAGTCTCCCCTTTCCTCTTAAACCGCCGGTCTGCCCCTCCTCTTCATTCTGTCTTGTTTGGACATCCAACGTTCTCCTGAAAGAGCAACACCCTCCAGCAACCCCTTCACAGTTTACGACAACCACCGCTTCCTAACAAACCGACCCACCACCTCTCACCCCTCACTCCACAATTTGTACCAACCACCATGTCTCAACCCCCCACCACCCACAACACAATGTGGGACAAAACAAAAGTGTACAGCAAAAAGGGCTTCGACAAAGCCTGGGACGCCCTCGACAAACTAGGCGGCCCCGTCAACCGGCTCAGCAACAAACTCGGCTCCGAGGCCTTCTGGCCCATGACCCTCGACAAGGAGAGCGAGAAGGTCGCCCGCATCCTGCGCAGCTTCTGCAAGGATGGCGTGTATGTCGACGAGCCGGCCACTCAGACTGCGCCCGCGGTCAGTGGGGCTGAGGCGGGGAAACAACAACAGCAGCAGAACCAGAAGCATAAGAAGGAGAAGGAGAAGATCGATGGGCCGAAGGGGAAACAGAAGGTGTTGAAGAAGATCCCGTCGGAGGTTATTCGCGATGCGAAGGGGTTGGTGATTTTCACGGCCATGAGGACCGGCTTGTGGTTTAGTGGGGCCGGAGGTAGTGGTGTTTTGTTGGCCAGGGTGCCGGAGACGGGAGAGTGGAGTGCCCCCTCGGGCATTTTGTTGCATACTGCGGGTTTGGGGTTTTTGGTCGGCGCAGATATTTATGATTGTGTGATGGTGATAAATACCTATGAGGCGCTGGAGGCGTTCACCAAGGTGAGAGTCACACTGGGCAGTGAGATCACTGTTGCGGCGGGGCCGATTGGAATGGGTGGCGTCATTGAGTCGGAGGTGCATAAGCGCAGGGCCCCGATCTGGTGCTATGTCAAGAGTCGTGGGTTCTATGCTGGAGTGCAGATTGATGGCACGATTGTGATTGAGCGGTCCGATGAGAATGAGCGGTTCTATGGCAGGAAGATTGCCGCCAAGGAGATCCTGGCTGGTCAGGCCAGGACCAGGAATCCGTCTGTCGGCATGTTGACCCATACCATTCGTTCCGCGCAGGGTGATGCCAGCTTCGATCATGCCCCTGCCGGTGTGCAGGCCCCGACGGGCCCGAGTCCTAGTGATTATGCGGCTGAGGACCTTTCGAATACGAATATGATGCAGACGGGAGCGCCGTCTGGACAGTATCCTCCCGGCCAAGCGCAGCAATATTCTCCTGGTCAAGGGCCTCAACATAACCCTTACCAGGGTCCGCCACTACCTCCCAGGCCGGGTGCACAATTTCCCTCCGACCAGGGCGCACAATACCACTCCGAGCAGGCAGCTCCCTACCAACCCCCCCAGGGAGCACCATACCACCCAAGCCAAGACCCAGAATACCAACCCTATCCTCCTGGCGAGGGACCGCAATTCCACCAGGACCAAGCCCCGCAAAATCCCGCTGCCGAGGGGACGCATTATCATCCATACCATCCGGGCCAGGAAGCGCAACACCCGCCCGCAGAGGGGGCGCAGTATCAGCCATACAGCCCTGCTGAGGGATCGGGAGCGCAACATCAATATGGACAGGAGGCACAGCATCATGTGCCCCAGGAGGCCCCTTATTATTCTCCAACTGGAACTCAGGAGAACCCGAAGTATTAAAGATTGGTGATTTGGATCTAGTTGTCATGTCTTTCTTGGGCGAGTTCGCTTCATGTGTATTTAGCTTATAGATTTGGTTTGATGGGTATGATTTCTGATTTTATGGATGCTTTTTCGCTGCGGCATAATGCAAGACACTACTACTAGTACTTTACCCAGTTCAGTCATTGCCAGCCTACTTACTTCCTAATTAGGCAGCTGCTGCTGTCAGGTGATGTGGTGTAACAAACACGGCCTCGCCTGTTGGCGTTACTCACACTCGAAGAACTCTTCCTCTTGGTCAACCTTTCAGACACCAGGCTGACAGACAAAGCCTTGCCAATACATCGCCTCCGACATCTATGAAAAGCTTGCCCTCCCCGTCCACTTGATAACGCCCTACTGCCCCCAATGAGCTGCAGCTCTAAAAGACCCGCCGATGCGTCGTTGGATCGCTGGAGCAAGCGACGATCGCTCTCCTCATTCCGCGAGACGCCCATTTCTGCCAACGCTTGTTCCTCGGTGTGGGAGGGGCTTGACACAGTCAATTCCAAGCTTGACTCATTAATTGAAGGTAAGACAACACCGAGCTTATGGGACCATACTGAAGCAGTTCACACAGTTACAAGAACATCAAGGTATTTTCTCACCTCTCCCTTCTAGATGACCTCTCTGACAATATTGATGTAGTGAGAACACAACCCGTACTGAACGGTCGCAAGATGAATCACTGTCGCAGCTCCGGGGTATAGAAAACAAAATCAAGGAGTTGGCTGATCGGATCAAAGAGTGCCGCATGGCCTCCATCCCTCGAGAAATAGAGTACAACTGGACGGGAGGGTTGGCCCCTGCCGATCTACCAATTCTTCTTCTCGATGCCAGTCGGGCTGCGCGGAGTATTTACATACCGCGAGTTTTCTGCAACTCCTTGGAGGTTAGAAAAACTCGCCTCAGATTCCCGACCTATACACTGATGTTCCTACAGGACTTTCATGATATCCTCAAAATCCTGTTCAGAAACCTACCAGGCTTTGCAAAAGTAGGTCGGCGGGAATATCAATTACAAGACCATGCTGAGGGGACTGCTGTGGGAATCGACGACTGGCACCGAATCATGATGCCAGGGGCAAAAATTATGATGAGTATGACATTCAAGCGCGCAACAGCTATGTCGGAGCATAGTTGTCCTCGATGTCATGCAATACACAATGAAATGTTATCAGAGAAAAAGTGGGTAACTTGGTGAGTAAAGCACCGTTGAAGTCTGACGCATGTTGCTAATTAGAAACAACGAGTAGTTATAATTGCTCTCTGGACTTCAATATTCAAGAGACAGCCCGTGTTCTTGAACTAGCTGATGAAATTGAACTTGATGTACCACAGAGTGCTGATGGTAGTATTCCTCCCGATAACGTGCCTCGATCACCTCTGATGAACGAGGAAGAGGCATTTTCACGAATACGCTACATGCATCAGAAAGTCATGCCTCGAGCGAGAGCTCCATCCCCTTTGGCTTCGAATGATCTTCAGCTGGATCAAATGGCGCATCGTCGCTGGGACAGTCCCGCCTACATAGAGGATTGTTATGCATATGGTCAGTCTAAAGCTAACCCTCTGAATGTCAAGGACATGATCTCTAAAGTGGCTTTTGGTGGCACAGAATCTATGGAACTTGATGAGATTTCCAATGAGTCTCTCTCGGAGGTGTACCAGGACGAAGTGTTTGGCTCTGAACACAATATGGTGGACACGGATATGGATGGCGATATCGCCCCTCCCTCTGAACCGGGATTTGTCTATGATGAGAGAGCGCCTCCACGCCAGTTCCAACTCCCACCATATGCACTCCATCTCCACGATCCAAGAACATCGAGCAGGTCATACAGTCGGGACTGGGGAGCATGGCAGAATGCTCTTGCTTCCGAGGAAGCATCTCAGCAAGAGCCAGATACTATAGCGCCCATGGATTCGATTTCGAATTACGATGACGATTCAGATACCAGTCTCCAATGGGGGAGGGTCAGCGATACCGGTTCTGCCTTGTAACTTTTGGCTCCTGTGGTCAATCCGTTCACCGACTCAATTCAGTATTATCAATGCCACCGGCAAGCACTTTGGTATGGAAAGGACCTTTGATAACAGCGAAGTGTTTCCTAACAGGAGTCGCGAGGTGGTAAATTGTGGGCATCACCTCCTGATTGGATTCTCAATGTTGCAGGGCTTAGCCCCGCTATCCCCGGTGTCTCCGAGGGTATCAGCGCTTTATATCTCACCACCTCCGCAGACCAACTCATGAAGAGGAACTACCCAGAGAAACTCATAATCTTCGACGATGAAAGTCATCCTCACCGGCAGCACTGGCTTCATCGGCCGGGAAATCCTAGCCCACTGCCTGCAAAGCCCGACCATCAGCTCGATCGTCGCTCTCTCCCGCCGCCCCCTTCCCGCGACCGTCTCCGCCCACCCCAAGCTTACCGTCCGGATCCTGGACGACTTCCTCACGTACCCGGAGTCGCTCCTGAATGATCTCAGGGGTGCGGAAGCATGTATCTGGTAAGTCTTCTTTCTTGCGAGTCTTATTTTCTTCGCTGGAGATATAATGTCAAGCTAACACAAAATCCACTGCAGGGCCCTCGGCCAGAACCGCGCCCCGGACAACGAAACCGGCCGGAAGATAAACATCGAATACACCCTTTCTGCTATTCGTGCATTTGACCAGTCCCGCGATGCTACTTCGCCCACTGGCAAATTCCGCTTTGTGTATTTGAGTGGTGGGATGTCGGAGCGGGATCAGTCGAAATCGTTGTGGGTTGCAGGGGACACAAGGAAGATCCGGGTATGCTCTCATTCTGGTTTTGCGATCGGTGATGAATGAAGGTGACAGCTAACACGATATGGGTCGCACAGGGACAAGTCGAGACCGAGCTTACCGCGTACGAGCAAACTCGGAACGACAACGTCGAGGTGTACATTGCGCGCCCGGCGATGGTACTCGCACGGGGCGCGAGTCTACGGACGCTGGTCTTTGGGATGGGACCATCTATCTGGGTGGATGACCTGGCCAGAGTGCTGGTGGATGTTGCAACACAGGGGTCCAGGAAGAAGGTATTAGAGAATAAGACGATGCTTGAATGGATGCAATGAGTATATTCGTTCTATCTATCGAGTATTCTTCTATTTCAGATATAACAGTATAATAAGTTTCCGCGACTTTTAGGGTAACAGTTGTGGTCTGGAAATAACATCCTAGCGAAGGTATTAGCTAGAGTCACTTGATGAACTGCATCGAATGAGTCGAGTCAGGTTCAAAAGAGCATTGCGTGTCAGAGACCCGTCTTGAAAGGTAACACGTTTCACCATAGATTGTGATAGAACTTGTTAAGAGGCAAAATAGGTACGATCATCATCGCAAGGCAAGAGCAACAGCAACAGGGGCAGGGCAGAACAAGAACGGTGGCAAGGAGCAATCAACGTACCAAACCAGTCCAGTCGGAGGGATTCCTTGGGATCCCTGCTGAGCTTAACAGGGCTGTTATAGTTAGTATTGCATCATCATAATCTTCAGATCATGATCGAAATATCTGAATGCTGATCATATAACTGCCTACAGAACAGTCCAATCAAGACAGACAGCTATCTGGAGACAATTTCGTCGAAGAACGGATGATATCAGAAAACCAGACAATGTCCTGAGATTCAGTGTAGAAGCAAGTCCAGAATTTTCGGTCGCAGCTTTATTTATACCTCACAGTGATGGGGGGGTAGGGCCACGGCCCTATCCCTGTTTTCATTGTTTTCATTGTTTTCACCTGCAATGACGCATTCTTCGCGGCGCATTATAAATCGGGTACCACCCTGTCGTCTTGCATCTCCACCTCCTGTACCTGGACCACCCTGGCCGTGATCATGGCTACAATAACGCTTGCAGAAATGATAATGAGCCACGGCCACCACCACGGAATGGTTTTCCGGCCCACATGGATTGGGAGGTGTCTGTGGACTTGTGCATATGCATGTGTTTGTGCATTTGTTGGGTGGGATGTGGTTGGTGGGTCGTGGTAGTATTCTGAGAGAAGCACTTTTGCGCAGACTGCTGCTCTCAGGGCTGCGTGATTTTGCCAGGCTTTGGTTTTGTGGCTGTCGGCATGGTTATGGACTCCGTGGATGGCAATACATGATGGAAACACGCCCCATGCGCCTGGACTAGATTAATTCCTTCGGTGTCGAATCCGATTACTGACTGCTTCAGGTTGATGCTATCGCGGTCTTCCCGCGATGTCAATGCGGCGTCGCCGGAGGCGATCAGTCCGATGTGGATCGATGGTGCATTAGCCGGGCTTTCTGTCGGATGCGATTGCTTTCGATTAATCTGTGACTGGTCTCGCAGGTCTTGCGACTGCTCAGATGTAGACCCAACATGTGTGCCATCTTCTGGCTTTGTACTGCAAAGGCCATCCATACCTCCTCGACTCAACACATCTTCCACCCGACGATCCCCAGACCCACGTAACCAATCCACCAACAGTCTGGCTTCCTCCCCTTGTCTGTCCAGAAAGGGCTTCCTTAGCTCCCTCTTTATGCGCCAATTGTCATGGCTTGCTAGCCGCCAGCCTTCCGTCTATTCTGGCTGAGTATGCGTATAGATTTCCGTCTTAGTCGTTCAGGGCACGGTTTCAGGCGTTCTCTGTTCTGCTGTTTTCCATTGCCAAATGAATTTGAATCTCGATTAACTGGAGACCAAGAAAGATCATATTCCCCAGTTTTCTCTTAGCCATTCTGCACGCGCGACAGGATTATATACAGAGCCTGTAATCTCATAGGCCACCTTACAACAAGCAATCCAATGAAGTCACAATAAGATTTGGTCTATATGAAGAGGTCTATAGCGAACATCCAAAAACGCGCAATCATGTAATCTCCGACCATGAAAGCCTCCTGCCAATCCCCTCTGCTATCCCGCTAGCGTCTCACAGGTTCTCCTTGTACGTCTGCCGTATCAAAGATGCCAACTGCTCGACCTCCTCCTTCACCCACGGCATCGCATGGTGATAATCGATCTCATATAGTATCCTCGACTCCGAATCGTAAAATGTGTCGTATTGGTGCCGACTCAGCGGCAGCACTATATCCTTCGTTCCGTGGACATGCACTGTCGGAATCTTAACGACCTCGTTTTCGAAATTGATGTCTGCCCTCGTCAGCATCTCATCACACGTAGCAATAGCGGGGGGAAGAAAAAGGAAGGACGAAATGAAGGAAAAAAGAAAAAAAGCAGACATACGATTCGCAATCTCCGACTCCATCGGCGCCCCGCTCCCGTTACACAACACCCCAAACCTCAACTTCGCCCGCACCTTCTCCCCCTCCCACGCCGTTTCCATCCTCCGCTGCTGATCCAGCAACAACCCCCCCACCATCCTCGTCCCCTGACTGAATCCCATCGCCGCCACCCACGGCCCAACCGCCCTGCCCTGCGCCGCCTGCTGCCGATCCTCCTCCTCCATCATCTTCCAGACCCGCTCGACCCCGTCCCGGCCCGTGGTGTCGTACCCGCTTCCGTCGCCTAGCTCCGTCCCGGTGTCGTCCTTCGTGAACCACGATTTGTAGGGCTCCTGGCCGCGGAACGCGGGGAGGATGCCCGGTCCGGCGTCGCGTGTGAACGGACCGTCGAAGAAGATCAGTTGGAAGTCGTTCTCGAGGAGCTTGGAGAGGTGCGCGCATTGCACTTGGTAGATGGTGGATTTGGAGCCGCCGCCGTGGAAACATGCGATGCGGGGGAGGGGTGGGGTGGGCATTTTGGTGGTGAGGCGGTTGGTTGTAGGTGAGGTGAAGAAGTGACGGTGAAAATGAAGATGAAGGTGAAGGTGAAGGTGAGATGCGACCGGCAACCGACTAGTACTACTAGTAATGAAGGGATGCATGCCTCAGTCATGTGAGGGGCTTGTCAGACTCGAGCTTGGGGGCCCTCATTGGTGCGCGCACACAATCCTCGTCATACTATTTAGTCCAGTACTACGTAATATTGCATCAGTTCGGGGTGTGGAATTGATGCTTCAATCAGTTTGGTTTGAAAAGAATATAGGTACCGTCTCGTAGTATCAAACAAAATGGTGCCTGATGGCCGTAAACCAACAGTGACCCCGCCACCCCGCCACCCCGCACCTCCATCTCCAACTGCCACCTTCCCACCTTCCCATAATCCCCATGTTCAAGCGCATCATCGTCGTCGCCGGCGAAACATTGTCGGTCCACGCATCGTCTTCCAACTCCTCTCCCAGAATTACGCATTCTTCAAGAGCGAAGCCCGTGCCAATACCCCTGAGCGACCACGTCCACCTGAAGAGTCGACCTTACCGAAGGAGCCCCTCCACCTTCATCCATGCATATCGCCAATGACGCTCTCAACATGATCGTCCCAGACGACAATACCCTCCACAGGAACCTCGTGCTCTGATACAGCATGCTTGAGGCATCGAGACAAACAGGGATCCAGAGAATCACCCCCCGATATTGTTGTGTGCGTGCGGGGTCGCGTTCACGGAGGGTCATCGAGAACCCGTTCTTTCAGGTTGCTGGAGCTCGATACGGATCCGATGTACGCGAATGGTCTATTGAAGGAGTGCTGGGAACAATCCGTGCAGGGATGCGCCAGAAAGGTCAGGGATCATGCCGATGTGGTGCGACTCGGGCGATTTAAGCGCCGCGGGGGCGGGGGGGATTCTTGGACGCCCTAAGGCGCGTGCGGACAGGCCAGTAGGAGTTCAGAGCTCATGGATGGGCGAGTACAGATATTGAGGTGTCGTTTCCGAGGTATACCGTGGATGAGGACAGGCTCAATGTTGCTCCGATTGATGCTGCGCACAGCGCAACTATGCCCGAGAGATATATTCCCCAGCCGTGGGCCGACTTCGGTGCTTAAACTACTCTTAATATGCTCTGTACCACCGGACCATTGAAGCCACCTAACAAGGAACAGGACAAATAAGGTTTTCTGACAGCCAACTTAATTTCCACGGCGATGCACATCTCCAAGGCAAGCCTGACTCGGACCAGGGACCGGGCTGGCATGACGCTATTTTCAATGAAAATATGGCTCGGGTGGGGATGGGCTAAAATAGTCGTCCACTCGGGTGCGGTCGGACCCGCGGTCTGGGGTGGTTGGCCGGGTAAGGAATGATCCCGAGTGCACAGATATGAAGAGAGACGATCCCAGCATTCAGCCTCAGCAACGGAGAAGCCAGGACAGGCTTGGATAGAGGCCAGGAGGCTGCCGGCAATGCCGCGATGCCGCGATGCTGCGATGCTGCGATGGACTCGTCCCAATCGGGCCAAGGGCCAACGTGACGTGGAGGCGCCCGGGCCGATGACTAAGCGGCAGGCTTTTCTGGCGGTCTCTCGTGTGTGTCATTTCGTGTCATTCTCTGGGACTGCGCGCAATCATCCTGTTCCTGGTGGCATGCAAGGTGAAGGTGCCAACGCCATCGCTACTAGTCTAGAACTACCCCGGCCTTAATTCCCAGACTGGTCTATCCCCGTCGACCATGCAGGGAGGCCCCGCGGCCAGCCCTACCCCCGAGGGGGACCGTTACACCTACACCCCCCTCCGCCGCACCGCCAGGGCCTGTGACTCGTGCCATCGGAGGAAGGTAGGTTGCACCGTCGCACCTCCTGCAGTCGGGTTGCCAATTGACCCGATCCTCCGGAACAGATCCAATGCGATACATCCATCCCGTGTAATTGGTGCCGCCACCACAACCTCGACTGCACCTTCGACCGCCCTATCGGGGGCTCCAAGCGGAGGAAGGCCAGTCACCCTCGTCCGCCCCCGCCCCCGAATCCTAATCCAAATCCAAATCCAAATTCCAATCCAAATCCGAATCCGAATCCGAATCCGAGTCCCAATCCCAATCCCAATCCCACGTAGGTTCTGCGGTCTCATCCACCTATCCCCGCTGACCATCTAGGCCCTCCACCTCCCAGCGCTCCTCTCGGTCGAATGAGGAGCTCGAGGATAGAGTTGAGAGGCTGGAGCAGCTGCTAATGCAGTCCATCTCGACCAACGATCACCCAAAGCATTGTTTCTCCTTGCTATCCAAGGGCTGTCTCGACACGGGACATGGGCCCGGCACGGCTAGCCCGCTGTCAAGTGAGACATCGACTCCGAATTGGGTTCCACATCCAAGCAGTGGCTTGTGCTTCGGCAAGCTGCATTTCGCCGGGCGCTATGTCGGCGACTTTAGCTCCTACAGCGGCATCCCATGCTTCTCCCATGACGGTCACGAATGGGTGCGATCTCGCACCGGGGAAGATGACACGTTCGAGGGAATCTTTACCTTCAAGTTCCCAAAGGAAGCCCCGCTGTTCATGAGTCCCGATGCGAATATGCAAGTCTTTCCGGGTGGACCGGAGCTTCCGGACCGATCGGTGGTCGATCAGTACACGACCCACTACTTTTCGACCGGTGTTCGCATTGTGTTTCCGATAATAGATAAATTGCTTTTCCAGGATACGATTAACATGGCGTACCAACCACCCCGGGGATCTCCGTCGGTCGAGCAAACCAGTGCCCGGATGTGTGTCCTGGCGTTCCTCGCATTTGTCGATGAAATCGAGCCCTCCGCGGACCTTCCCCCCATAAACTCGGACCTGTGTGCCGCTAAGGCGCAGAGCCTTCTCCCGTTTATCCTCCACGACATCAGCTTGCAGACGCTTCAGGGCATGATCCTGCAGGTAAGACTCTCGGGAGACGAGTGTTAGAAGAGACTAACCCATCTTAAAGTCTGCGTATCGAACTTTCACCGGGGAGCTGCTAGTGGCCAACCAGTTCCACTCCATGGCATGCCGGATCATGTTCACCCTCGGCGGTCAGACCCTGGCTCCGGAACGGCCGGCCGCTGGTAGGCTGACAGAAACCGAAGAACGGACATGGCAGTTTCAGAAAACCCTCCGGAGGCTGTTTTGGCTGTGCTACGGGTACGACAAAGAAATTTGTTTCCGGACTGGTCAGCCACCGGTCATCGACGATGATCACTGCGATCTCAACCTCCCGGAGCACTACAGCAATATGCAGTACCCGGAGCCAGACCAGGATCCCGATCTCTACGATGAGGTGACCATCCCCCTCTTCCCTGGTGACCTGCGACTCACCATGCTCAAATCCAAAACCTACCGCACCCTGTATTCGTCCTCCGCATTGCGCAAATCCGATGCCCAGTTGTTGCAGACCATCCGTGAATTGGATGACGAGCTGGAACAATGGCGACTGAGTGTTCCCGTCCCCCATCGCCCTTCACTGGGCCCTTTGTTCGAAACCCACTCGAACCCCCTTCTCCGCATGCAGGGGATTGTCGTCCGTTTAGAGTATCACTATATGATGGTCACGATCCATCGCTCTAGCGGACGCTGCCAGGCGTGGAAAAATACGGAGATGGGCGAGATGGAGGGCGTGAACTCAAGCATGGTTCTAGCAGTGGAGGCCAGTCGGTCCACGCTGAATTACCTGCGTTCGGTGATTGGATTCATCCGTGCCGAAACCTTCTGGTGAGTCTACATTTTCTGGCAGGAAGGCTTTGCTGACGTCCCAGGATGATCATCTTCTACCCCATGTCCGCCATCCTCACCATCTTCTGCAACATCCTGATGAACCCGCTTGATCCCCGCGCCGAGGAAGACCTCACACTGCTGAGCGTCGTTCCGGTATTCATCAAAGACGTTCGTCTTCGGCGTATCACTAACAACGAGATTTCGCATATGAAAATGGTCGGTAACTTTGTCGCGGAGCTGACTCGTCTTGGGCACTGCGCTATTGACAAGGCCCGTCGTAACTTGCGGTAAATATAGCACATGTCACTTTCGCCTCTTATTGTGCTTTGCCTTCTGCTTTATTCCATATTGATATTCCCATCCTTTTGGGATTTTAGATACCCAACCGACGTTGTGTCGATGTTTCCATGTACTTTCCTTTGTGGCCATACTGCTGATTTGTTCATCCATCTCTTCTGATCTATACAGTGTATATCTGCATGACAAAACCATGTCCTGTTTCATAATATTATTTTCCCCTGTGCTTATGGAGATCATACTTGATGCTCATACCGTACTTTATTGTTTATATTCCCCCTACCTAATTTGTGAAAATGTTTGGATTGGATATATACGACCGGAGCACAAAATCCATCAATCCTTCCGGAATGTTTGTACCTAGGTACGTGGAGACTAAATGGCAAAAACAAAGAAAAGAAAAGCAAGACCGTGTCCGCGGGGTATCTGGCTAATTTCAATCACAACGCCTATTTCGCCCGAACCTGAACCAACCCCCATAGATGCATGCATGCAAGGCCATTTCCATTTATCCCATCCGATCAATCCCAAACCCATCTGATCCCCAAACTCCCCGAACATTATGTGAAGCCCACCTTCCCCTTTCTTTATCCCCACTCCCATTGTCTCTCCCACCCCAACTCTCCCTAATTCCTCCCCCTCATCGCCATACTAGCAATAACCACCGAACCCAAATGACTCCCCGTCGCCGCAAACACCCCCTGGCCCTTCTGCCCACCCGCATCACCATTATCCTCCCCCCCTCCACGACCACGACCACGACCCAGACCCAGACCCTCCCGAGGCTCCACCACCAAACTCCGCTCATACATCCCCATCTCGCCCATCTCCCCCGCCTTGTGGATCTCAGCGATCAGGAAATCCTGGATCTCGCCCACCGGCCGCAGATTGTACGGCATGCTCTGGTACCCGCGCATCTCGTGCAGGATCCTGGCGAGCAGAGCGCGTTTCTGGAAGTTTATCATTGACGATGATGCGGGCGTGTGGTCGGGGTTGCCGTCTGTTATGAAGGTTAGGTCCGTGAGGTGGATTCCTGTTTAACCGGTCCCGGGGGGCCGTTTTGTTAGTTGGGTGGGTATACATGGATTTAGATTGGGGATGGCTTAGGGATGGGGATGGTACCGAGAAAAGGCACACAAGGAGGCTGTGCGATGCGTAGTCGTTCACGGTACCGGGTGAAGTTCCTCTCTGTGCACATCATCGTGCGCATTGTTTCGAGCTGCGTGCGGATTCGGATGTGCACTTGTGCCCAGGTGCGTTGGAGGCGGAAGACTGGGGATACACCCAGGCCGGAGATTATGGAGAGAAGGGTTGCGAAGTTGTTGAGTGTGTTGCAGTTCTGTGGGTGGGGTTGTTAGGTGCTGGTGTATTGATTTAGGGGGATGGAGGGAAGGTGGAGGGAAACATGAAGGGAAATACGGAGAGAAGTGGGGAGAGACGTATGAAGTAGAACATGAAGAGGTAAGGAACAGAAGACATACATCTGCAATGCTAACAAAGTGCTTAATCAAGGCCACCCGCTTCTTCGTCTCGTCCTGCGACAGTATTGACTCGGCCACCCAGTTGGCAATCTGGTTGGAGTGCGCGATCATCGCGTTGACGCCGCTGTAGTTGGGGTCTGGGCTGATAGCAGTGCTGGCGTGGCTGCGGTATGGTTCTACACTGCTGGCTGTGGTGCAGCTACCAGCGGTGCGACTGTCGGCGGTACAGACGCTCTCGCGGTTCTGGATGCTCTCACGGTTGTGTATGCGGTTGGGAACGTGGATCTCCTTCTTGTGCCAGTCCTTGTTGAGACACTCTGAGGATTTGATACGCGCGTAGAACTGCGACTCGATGATGGTCAGCTGGCGGGCGATCTCCGTGGCGTCGAGGTCCAGAAACTGAAACTTGAGCTTCTTCATGTTCCGCGGGAGTATAGACTTGGGGATGGTGGGGTCGATTGGGGAGACGAGGCGACGGAGGATGTCCCGACCGCTCAGACGGTGTTCAATGATGGTCAGGAGAGACGCGCAGGTCGGGAGACCCTCTGGTCCTGCGGCGGCTCGGACGGTGGATTCGATGTAGCGGAGCAGGTCCATTGTTGCTTCGGTGGGGGGCTCGACCCAGTAGCGCTCGATCCAGGCTTTGAGGATGTTCACGGTGCGAATCCGGATGGGGTCTTGTTTCTCTTGAAGCCAGTCTTCGTATTCGTCGTCGTTGAGGTCTGGGGGGATGGGCAGGTCGAGGCGCTGGAGGAGGTGTTCCACGAGTTCGGCCGCGCAGGTGAAGGTCGGGTACGTGAGGAGAAAAGTCTCGTTGTAGAGGATATCGAGCCGGTCGTGGCGCGTGAGTTGTTCCACCAATGCCACAAACGTGCCAGCTTTCACAGAGCGACCTGCGTTGTAGATCACCTCATCTTCATGATCCAGTTTCAGGTACGCCGGCTGGTTGGGGTTGGGCGGGACAGCCGCCCAGGTACGGGCGAGCTCCATGTTAGAGATGGCTGGAGACCAGCATTAGGGTTGATTCTTGTCCATTCACACGGTCTGCAGGGAGATGGCGCGGGGAATGGTGATGGGCCAGCCAGCCAAAGTGAGGGCAAGTGAGGTTGCGGAACAGGATCCCGATGGCCGGGGAGTAATGAGATCAGCGTATAGTGGCGGACGCAGGTCCCGGTCGCCCACATGGTCGCGCCGTTGTGCGCCTTGGCCAGACAGTGACACAAGGCCTAACACTCAGCTGGAGCTGGTCCAGAGTAACACAGTCGACCTTCACTTCACTGGCAGGGTCCAGCGTTGGTCCGATATCGCTGGCTGGATCTTCCCCTTCTTCGCCGATTCGAGCTTTGCCTTCAGGTGGGCTGCTTTTGCATACTAGTAGTGTGTTCTCAGCAACAGTTAGCTGGCTATGCGGGCTATGTGGGCTTAGTCTCTTCATTGGCTCTTTCTTTTCTCGTCTTCCTAAGCTCGCGGCAATTGGCAGGGATGATGATGATGATGGGAGCACGGCTCGAACTCGCATACACTTGCTCGCATGGGTGACGAATTGGCGTCAGTATGGTTTCATCCCTAGACTGCTTGGGTGTCCGGTCGAGAGTATGCCACTGACAATTCTGGAATATAGCAATTATGGACCACGCGGTCAGATACAGCTCCCCCAGGTATATACTCGAAAAAAGAACTTCTCAACGTGCACCTCTCATCATTTCTCTTTTGTTCGGCGGCTCCTCCAATGTGAAACCCTTCCACATGGCTACACAGGGAATCTCCATTGCCATCGCCGCCACCGCCGCAATGCACCCAGACTCGAGAACGGTCCGATCAAGGACAACATCACGGGCACTCCCTCCCGGTCCGAGGCGGCCATGATCGCCATATCCTCTCCGATCACCAGTGTCCCGCCCCCGAAGGCAATAAATATTTGACACATGGCGATATACCCGATGTTCCCGCAGGGGTTCGGAAGTGAATCATCAGTCCCGCTCCGAGCAGAATCAGGGGCAGCCCAAAGCCCAAGCATGAGTACTTGAACTGCTTGGTTACGTAGACGCTGATCCCAAATACGGCGGACCAGAAACACGACCCCACGTTGTAGATCTGTCCGCCGTACCCGGTCATGCTGATGCTCAGGCCGTTGACTACCATGGGGAAGTTGTAGAAGTAAAGTTCCCACGCGTAATGGCTGAAGAAGAGGAATGCCGATAGCCCACACGCCCCTACTACCGTCGGCTGCTTGAAGACCTGCCACTGGATGAAGTGGCTATGTGCTCCGTATCGCTCCCATAGGCCAAAGGCAATGAATAAGAAGAACCCGATCACGATCATCGAAATGAATATTGCACTTTTGTACTGGGCGATTCCGTAGGGTGTGAGACTAAATGGGAGGAGAAGGAGGAGGAATGCTGCTGTGAGTAAGAAACCGCCAACAACTAGAAGGATTAGTGGGCGTCAAATGGAGAGTCTGGGACCGAGGGGCTTACTGTCAAATTCATTGACATAATAGACGATCGACTCCATGGCGCTACGGCCACTTGATTCCCGACCGTAGATGTACATTCTCTCCGCCTTGCCCTGGTAGATTTTGAATATGACGGCGAGCGGGAGAAAGACGAATGGCATAATCATTGCAAATGCCCCGTATGCCCAGCGCCAAGAGGCGGTTGTGATAAATGACTGCGCTGCAAGAGGCCCGGTGAATGCCGTGCAGATGAAAGGGGTGCTGGCGAACCCAAAGGCAAATGCCCGGTTGCGCCGTCCAGACGTGTCGGCGATGAACACATCAAGGATCAGATAGACTGCGTCGTATCCCACCTAGTACAGGACATATCCTGCGGCATACGAACTGGGGCTGTTGCAGGCGGCGAGGATAATCAGACCGAGCAGGTAAATACCCACAAAAAGAAGTAATCCTTCCGTTCTTCCCCACACATTCAAGACAAAACAACGAAGCCGGATGGCGTTCACATTTTGATGAGGTAGACGGAGAGCGAAAATCAGAGAATCGACGCAGCAGTGGTCAAGCTACTTTGCTGCTACATGTCTCCAGATGCCGATCTTCAATGCAGTCGAGAAAGATTGGGCACGTTGGTGTGGGATCAGACAAGCAGTCTAGTGAATTGGCTCAACCACCACATCCTCCCGAGAAGATGAAGATTGGCCATGAATATACTCGACTGGGTAAGACCCGTATGACGGAACCCTTGGCTGCATAGCAATCTAGGGCCGTGACTAACGCTCTCGTTGATCTGACATCTCAGTGGCTTGAGCTAGCCATGTATCCACTCAGGGACGGGATGTCATATTTCAAAGGTCGCGACCAGCTACTTCCAGTCTTCATAGGTTGTCAGGTTCAGCATGCCGATCAGCCTGCAGGAAAAGCCGAAACCCAGCAACAATGAGCGTAGACACATGACTTTCTGTATGCCAGAGTCTCTCTCCAGGCATCGTCAAACACCTGGAGATGAAGAGATGTCTAGCGTTTGACTGCCCCCTAATGAGCGACAGGAGCGCAGTAGGATTAGGCTTAGGGGGTTGGAAAGGCGACCACCTCGGGTCGTTCGTCGTCCCCTGCAGCCCCCTGCAGCGGCATACCTGATCGATCAGAGAGAGCCCGAGCGCCCCAGCCAGGGTTCGAAAAGACCTGTAGTGTCTGACAGTTTACTCCGTATCCCAAAATAATTGTGTCTGGCATTGACGAATTACCCATCGACAGCCAAGTCCTGTTTGTCTTCTGACGTCGTCTGCGCACAGGGAGTATCTAGATTCCGCGCGCGGCATGGTTTTCAAGGAGTGAGTCTGTTCAACTTCAAGTTCGTGATTGTTCCTCGGAAACTGGCATAGAATGCAGGTAACTGTCATTAAGTCGTACAGTAAAGAATGGGGCGGTTCGTGGGTAGTATATATTTTTGGTCAGGATGTCAGTGCATGCATCAGTGTGGCGGCACATCAGGCATATCAGACCAAACAAGAACAGTGGAAGATGCCCGCGTTGGAGGAGTCGTCCACATCGCCTGTGATGGGTGGTGGTGAGAAGGTGTTCTCGAGAAGTCGAGCGTCGAGAGGAACGACGACCGAATGCCGGGTTGAGGCCTGGGTGCCTTGGGGCCTTGGGCAGCATGCCTCGGCCTGGGCACGTGCCGCAGCGGCCCGACACGGTCACCTGACCGCTGACATAAGCCGCCACCGCGGAAGTTTCCCCTCCCCCGCGGGCGAGGAAGTGATTCATTCAGGCAGTCCGTCCTTTATCTCGATTCTTTCCTTGACTCACGCGACCTCTCCTTGAAGCTCCACCTCCACCTCCCAGCAATCACCATGGCTGACGCCCTCGCGGAAGCCACCGCGAAGCTCCACCTCGATGAGGAGACCGGCGAGATGGTCTCCAAGGGCGAGCTGAAGAAGCGCATGCAGAAGCGCGCCAAGAAGGCTGCCAGAGCCGCCGCGCCCCCCAAGCCTGCCGCCCCCCCCAAGCCCCAGGGCAATGCTCCTGCTCCGAAGCAGGAAGAGGCTCCTGTCGATCCCGATGCCATGTTCAAGCAGGGATTCTGCGGCGCCGTCTGGAACGAACGCCAGGTCACCCCCATCACCCGATTCCCCCCCGAGCCCAACGGCTACCTGCACCTCGGCCACTCCAAGGCGATCGCGATCAACTTTGGCTTCGCCAAGTACCACGGAGGAAAGACCATCCTGCGATTCGACGACACCAACCCCGAGGCGGAGGAGGAGAAATACTTTGTGGCGATTGAGGATATCATCCAGTGGCTGGGCTTCAAGCCCCATGCCATCACGCACTCGAGTGATCACTTCGACAAGCTGTACGAGATGGCCGAGAAGATGATCAACCTGGGCAAGGCCTACGTCTGTCACTGCAGTGACACGGAGATCAAGTTGCAGCGTGGTGGAGAGAAGAACGGGCCGAGATACCGCTGCAAGCACGCCGAGCAGGACGTCGAGACCAACCTCCGCGAGTTCCGCGATATGAGAGACGGCAAATATGAACCCCAGTCCGCATTCCTGAGAATGTTCCAGGATATCACGAACCCCAACCCCCAGCATTGGGATCTTGCCGCATACCGGGTGCTGAAGAAGGACCACCACCGCACGAAGGACCAGTGGAAGATCTACCCGACATACGACTTCGCCCACTGCCTGTGTGATAGCTTCGAGGAGATCACCCACAGTCTGTGCACCACCGAATTCGTCCTTTCGCGCGAGAGCTACGAGTGGCTCAACAAGACGCTGGGCGTCTACGAGCCCATCCAGCGGGAGTACAGCCGCATGGATGTGAGCGGGACGGTCATGAGCAAGAGAAAGTTGAAGAAGCTGGTGGATGCGGGCTACGTGCGCGGCTGGGATGACCCCCGGTTGTACACCCTGATTGCCCTGCGCCGTCGTGGTGTTCCCCCGGAGGCCATTCTCTCCTTCATCAACGAACTGGGTGTGACCACGGCCAAGTCCGTCATCCAGATCTCTCGCTTCGAGCAGTCGGTCCGGACGTACCTGGAGAGCCGTGTGCCGCGGTTGATGCTGGTGCTTGACCCTGTCCCGGTTGTGATCGAGGACTTCGAGTCCCTCGATGCCAAGGAGCTGGACCTCGACATTCCCTTCTCTCCGAAGGACCCCAACATGGGCTCGCACGAGCTGAAGTTGACCAAGACTGTCTACATTGACCGGTCTGATTTCCGCGAGGAGGACAGCAAGGGGTACTTCCGCCTGGCTCCGGGCAAGAGCGTCGGTCTCTGGAAGGTGCCTTACCCCATCCAGGCCACCACATTCTCCAAGGATGCCGACGGCAAGGTCACGGAGGTCCGGGCGGTGCTGGACAAGAGCAACGCGAAGCCCAAGACGTACATCCACTGGGTGCCGGATAACTCGCGCAAGGTGGAGGTCCGGATCCACGACCCCCTCTTCAAGTCGGACGACCCCGGCTCCGTGGAGGGTGGCTTCCTCAATGACATCAACCCCAACAGCGAGACCATCCACACGGAGGCCTTGATCGAGGGCGGCTTCGACGAGGTGCGCCGTCGGGCCCCCTGGCCGGCAGCCGCTGGCGAGAAGGGCAAGAGTGGACCGGAGAGTGTCCGGTTCCAGGCGATGCGTGTTGCGTATTTCGTGAGTGTCCCTCCCTCTATCGAGTATAATTTCCGCTGCTAACCATCATATCAGGCGGTGGATGCCGACTCGACGGATGACCGGGTGGTACTGAACCGGATTGTGTCGCTGAAGCAGGACGGCGGGAAGAGCAACTGAAATGTACCATCTGCAATGTACAGGGGGTAATTTCCGGTGCACGAATGACGTGTGCTGGTTCGGGAGCGTGACAGCTCGGATACAGTAGCGGTGCTGCGGGAGCCAGCCTGGCTGCATCGATCGGGGGGTTAGAAGTGAGGGGCCTGGAAGGGTAATGAGCAATGTCCTTTGGTTGTTGATAGCGTGGATACATGATAGCCGGGGTTAATAGATGCCTATTGCTGACGGACGCCTCGGCTAGAGATGAGGATGGGGTCGGGTATGAGTTGAACCCGAATCCTGCACGCCTGCCAGAGACTTCATCCGTAGTACTACTCAGAACTAGTAGTCGTAGTGCCTGACGCCAATGCAGCCAACCCCGTTCTTCAGGCATCACGGAACGTGGGCGCCGATAGCCGCTGTCAGTGGCTGTTGGGGCCTGCAGCATAGTAGGTACAGTGTAGAGAGGAGTACTGGTAGCACCGTCCTGTGATTGCACATGGCCTGACCTCAACATCCAAAGGTCCATCTCCCCTGTCCCCTCATGGCACCCAGCATATAAGGGCAGCTTCTTCTCGCGTTTGTGTCTCCTCATCTGTCACATTCTCGCACTCACCATATCCCCATCATGCGCGTGTTCACCTGCCTGGGCGCGGTCGCATTGCTCGTGCAGACCGGGTTGGCGGTGACCATCAGCGAGATCAACGGCGACCGCTACATCTCCCCCTACAAAGGCGAACACGTCTCGGGTCTGAAGGGCCTCGTGACAGCCAAGGGCAAGAGTGGTTTCTACCTTCGCTCCACGGATGTCTCCTCCTCCTCCTCCTCCTCCTCCTCCTCCAACAGTCACACCTCCAACTCCGTCTACGTCTACGGTTCCCAGGGCGTGTCCAAGGTCGCGGTCGGGGATATCGTCACGCTGAGTGGAAAGGTGTCCGAGTACCGATCGTCCTCCTCCTACGTCTACTCCACCGAGATCGAGTCTCCCTCCGACATCAATGTCCTCTCCAGCGGGAACACCGTCACCCCCATTGTCATCGGACAGGACGGTCGCAACCCCCCCACGGAGCAGTACTCGTCGCTAGACAACGGGGATGTCTTCAGCCTGCCGGGAGATTCCAGCCAGCTGTCCAATGCCAACCCCGTTCTCCGACCGACTGACTTCGGCATGGACTTCTGGCAGAGTCTCAGCGGCGAGTTGGCCACCTTGACGGGTCTCGTGTCGATAAGCAAGGCCGACTCGTATGGCGATACCTGGGTGACGGGCAACTGGCCGGTGACGGGGCGCAACGGTCGGGGAGGCTTGACCATGCGCGCGAAGGGTTGGCCCCATACCATTGTGAGGTCGAGATTTTCAACTGACACGCTCTCGCACACACAGATGCCAACCCCGAATCGATCGTCATCGGCTCGCCGCTCGACGGAACCAAAAACCCGACCAACAGAAAACTGGGGGACACGCTCGAGGACATCACGGGGATCATCACGCAGGCATACGGCTACTATGCGCTGCTTCCGCTGACTGCCATCAAGCAGACGGGGTCCAACTCGACGGAAGCGACCGCGACAACCCTCGTCTCGGATGGGACCTGCCGCGCCATCACCGTCGGGGATTACAACGTGGACAACTTCTCGCCGGATACAACCAGGATGAGCGGGATCGCCGAGCACATTGCCAAGTACATGAACAGCCCGACCGTGGTGTTCCTGCAGGAGATTCAGGACAACAGCGGGTCGAAGGATGACGGCGGTATGGAGTCGATGGACACCCCTCCCCCCCCTCCTTCCGATTGACATGATCTTATCACTGACGATCGCGGGACGATGGGATTTATCTAGTCGTGTCGGCCAGCCTAACCCTGTCGCGACTGGCCAGTGCGATTCAGGCGCAGGGCGGAGTCGCGTATAATTACACGGACATCGACCCAATCAATGACACGAACGGCGGAGAACACGGCGGTAATATCCGGGTGGCCTATCTCTACGACCCGTCAGTGGTTCGGCTGCGAGATTACAGCCCCGGTTCCAGCACCGACGCAACCCAGGTCTTGTCGGGCGGCGCCCTGAGCCACAACCCTGGGCTGATCGATCCAGGAAACGAGGCCTGGGACGACAGTCGCAAGCCCCTCGTCGCTGAGTGGGAGACGCTGGACGGGCAGAACAGCTTCTACACCATCAACGTGCACTTCACCTCCAAGTACGACAGTACGGGGCTGGAGGGCGACGAGCGACCGCCAGTCAACGGATGGGTGGAGAACCGCGTGGAGCAGGCTCGAATCGTTGCTGTGAGTGTGCCGCGCCAGCCCTAGTCGCTTCCCGCGTGGGTTTCGCATCTCATTCTAGAACACGTTCTAACCGGGGGGGTCTGTGCAGAAATTTGTAACCGCCCTCCTAGCTGAGAAGTCTGAAGCGAAAATTCTCACGGGCGGGGATTTCAACGAGTACGCGTTCGTCGAGCCGCTCGAGGTGTTCGCCTCCGAATCGAAGCTGTTGGATTTGGAGGAGGTGACGGGCATCCCCGCCACGGAGCGGTACACCTACCTCTACAACCAGAACTGCGAATCGCTGGACCACATGTACGTGAGCTCGGCCTTGGCTGCGGGAGCCCAGATGGAACACATCCATGTCAACACCTGGGTGTCCAGGGCCGACGAGCTGTCGGATCACGATCCTACAGTGGCGTTGTTCGACGTGTGTCAGTAGACAGACAGACAGACAGACAGACAGGGGGAAGAAGAGAATAATACTCCGTACCATCCGAACTTCCGCGCTGGAACTTCCGGGCGTTGCTGCCAATGTGCCACTAACGTTTCGATTTGATAATGAATCGAGGACTCCACACTTGGTATTCCCCACTCATCATTTGGAGTCGTAAGATCGAGCCGTGCACTGGCAGGGTTCGCGGCAATTTTGACCCCATCTGTCCGATGTATCCGCGGCGCAGCCGAACGGGAGCCTGGCCGGGAGCCTGGCCAGTTGGGAAAAAAAATATCATGTATCATGTAGACAGATGGGTGGTCAACAGGAACAAGATAGTTGCTGGTAGCGACTGGCGACTAGCAAACTAGCGACAACTAGTCGCGAAGGGGGCACCACGTGGCGGAGACTTCACGAGGGTGCCAGATCTCGTAACGCTTTTCCCGCATGCCATTGCCCTATGAGCGCCTGCCATCGCCTATTCTGCTGCGATGGGCGGGGCCCTCAGGCACCCGAGCGCAGGGCCGCATCGCATTAGGCCAATCGTCCGAGGGACCCTTTCCATGGTTGCCTCCAACCCTAACGCCGCGTCGGAACCGATGGAATCCCCCCCCCGGGCTTCCATCCTGAATCTGGTACGTCATGCGCAGCGCAGCTTGGTTCGCTTACAGTTTCTGGAAATCCTCGTTTCATCTCCTCGACCGTCGTCTGCTTTTTTCTGTCTGTCGTTCGTCCGCCCGTCCGTCTCCTTCCCCTGGCGGCCAGCTCTCACCACCAAAATGGCGACGGATCGAAGCCTGGAGGTGCGCGCCGTCGCGGCCGTCTTCCTCACTTTGGCCGCCGTGACGACTATTCTGCGATGCTATGTGCGCCTGGTCATTGTGAAGGCGTTCGGGTGGGACGATACCATCATGGTCGTCGCGATGGTGCGATCATCCCCTGGGACGGATACAATCCCTTGCAGCTGACAATCGCATAGCTCTTCTACGCCATGTTCTGCGGCTGCATGATCGGAGGCAGTATCTACGGCACGGGAAAGCATCTGATCGACCTCTCTAACGAGCAGCGAACAACGGCAATGGAGGTACGTCCCCATTCCCTCCCCATTCCCCCATTCCCGGATCCTATTAACCCGGTCATTATATCCAGTACTGGTTCCTCTGCGACATCGGCTACGCCCTCGCCTCGATCCTGTGCAAAGTCTCCGTCAGCATCTTCATCCTGCGCGTGACCATCAACCGCATCCACCAGATCGTCATCGGCATCGTGGGCGGCATCGTCATCGCCGCCGGCTTCACCTTCTTCATCATGCTCCTCGTCCAATGCCACCCGCTCTCCTACTTCTGGACCAGACTCGCCTCCAACCCCAACACCGGAACCTGCATCAACATCGACATCGTCATCGGGGGGCTGTATGCCTTCAGCGCCGCCTCCGCGCTGTTCGACCTCACCATCGGCATTCTCCCCATCATGCTCGTGCGGAAGCTGAAGATGCGTCGCGACGTGAAAATCGCGGTCGCGGGCCTGTTGAGTATGGCTTGCGTGTATGTTTCTCCTCTCTAAATCAACGAGTTATCGCCGGAGCCAGCTCACTTACCTATAACCCAAACAGCGCATCCATCGCCGTCATCGTCCGAATCCCGTACATCAACACCCTCCACAGCAAAGACTTCCTCTGTACGCCTCCTCTTCCCCCCGTGGCATTCTTCCCTTTCCCGTCCGATCCCCCAAACTACACCAAATAACCCCCACTAACCCCAAATTCCCTTGATAACAACAGACGCAACAACCCCCATAGCCGTCTGGTCCAACATCGAAACCGGCCTGGGCATCTTCGCCGGCAGCCTGGCCACCCTCCGCCCTCTCCTCCGCCAATTCCACCCCTCCACCGGCCCGGGCTACCCCTCTCCCTGGCCCAGCTCGCGCGGCGGCGGCAAACGCAGTCGCTCCATGCCGCTGCATTCTCTCGAGACGCCCATCCACGATGCCAGTCGACTGCATACCGACGAGAGACTCTACAACACCACGATATACAGCGTTGAGCCCGGGGAGAGGCGCGAGTCCGGCGAGGACTCGGCGGACCAGTCGCCTATTTTGCCGAAGTGGGGTGGGATGGCGGGGAGGGAGGATGTCGAGAGGGGTGGGGGTGCGGGTGGGATCAATGTTGTGAGGGAGGTGGTTGTTGTTAGGGGGGAATAGATGGATTTTGGTCTGTGGGAGGGCTCTTCTTGGTTTGGCTGGAGTATATAGAGATTGGTTGGCTTGGACTGGGTATATAGCATTTGGCTTTATGTTATGGGTTATGGTAATGAATGAATACATTAATCGTCTTTACTTCTCTTCATTGGCAGTGTTTCCAAACCCTACACGTCTGTCAACACGTAACTCTCATCTACCCTATGTATCCGGGCACCCTTTTGGTCATGTACGATGTATCTCTGCTTCGCAACCACCACCCACTACCCACAACCCACCCCCCCTTCCCCCCTTCCCCCCCGGCAAAAAAGAAGATAGAAGGGAAAAAAAAAAAAGAAAAAAATTTAAATTACCGACTCACGGATCTCCCGATCATCCAACCTCGGTTCCGACCGCGAGGATCCTACCGCTTTCTGCTCTGCTCTCCGCGGGGATCATCTGCCGAGGTCGGACCGGTCGCTTTCGGGATCGACGCCCGTTTCCGGGGCGGGGAGGAACCGCGGATGGGGAAAGTTTATTGTCTGTATTGTGGAAGTTGGTTCAGGGGATGGTCTTTCTGTTTTCTTGTTTGGGTGAGGGGTGTGTTTGTGGGTGGCGAGAGGGAGAGAGTGGAAAGTAGGAAGCAGGCCAGCGAGGCATGGTATAGCGTGTCGAAGGGAGGGGAAGGGGGTCGCCAAGTTCATAAACTGAGTAAACTATCTTGACTCCGAATACCCTGAATATATGGAGTACAAGAAGTGGCTTGGGAGGGAGAAGGTGAAGGACAGATACAAACAATGGAAAAGGGGTGGATAAAAAAAAAGGTGTGCGGTGATGATCCAGACAGACATACGTCTTGTAAATGAAGGGGGGGGAGTACCAGGACACGGCACTCGTCCAAGGAAGCGAAAGACCACACCGCAACAAACCACTCAGTTGCTTCTCTGGCTGACCACCTCATTATATTTTCGACCTAGGGATGTTGGCGCCAAACGACCGCAGAATATCCTTCATCCAGGGACTGCCCCTCCGTCGCGCGCCATTTCTGGCTCGGAGTTGTCCGGAGTATCTAAGCCGCAATTCCCACCCCAGCGCTACGCTAAACCAGACAGGACGATGTTCTGCCGGCTTAATATACGAGTGGAGACTAGATAGGTATAGTATAGTATAGTATAGTATATACTACCTTAGTACTCCGTACTAGCACGTTGGTGGCGCCGAGTGAAATGATCGTCTATCCGCGGCCCCTGTCTGCCGCAGCCGGACCCCGCAGGTCGCACGGATTACCGCAAATTGTTCGCCGCGACGACATCAGCAACATCCTCCCCGACAATATCGATGCGGAGTTGCATCTCCCCTTGACCCGGCTCGGAGTGGACTCGCTGGAGTGGCCGTGGAGTTGTGTGATTGGATTGGGAGGGAGTTGGCCCATGATGGTTGGGCATGAGCAGTTGAGTGGTGGTGGATATGTTTCTCGTTTTAGTAGAGCGAAGCTGTATCTAGTGCTCTCCATGTCTGTAATCGTGGGGGCAGGCTTACTACAATATAACTGGCCAGCTGCAGGCAGAGCACCATAACGTCTACAAAGCAAACCTCGTCTATTCGGGAGCGTAGGGGAACGGGGTCTACAATTGAGGAAATGCTGTTACTTTCAACGCATCATCCACCTTGAATCCATGTAGTATTCTATCTGTAATTGTAGCATCTAGTCGGAATGTGCCGAGTCGCGGAATCAAGGTGTTGTTGATATCTGAAGGCTCCTCATCTGCGGGCTGTCAGACAAGCGAGAGTAACCTAGAAGTTCCCAATATCGGGTGACCATAGCCAACCACCCCGAACCTCAATGAAGGGGTTGTCTCTGAACGTCCACGGGGCCAGCAGGGCCTGCAGTCCGTAATATCCCAGCAGCAGCTCGGGGTCTCGGTCGGGGAAGGGGTCGTCTATCCACTCGGGCCGGAAGTCGTTCTCCAGTCTTCTGGCGCGGAACAAGAACAACTCGCGGTTGAAACACTCGATCCTGTGGCCTTGTCCGTTTGGGAGCTCTCCGCTCCGCTTGAGCCTGTAAAACAGGCGGTGTATCATCTTGAACCCACGGTAATCCTTACACTCGATCCTGTCGCCGTACTCGGGATTCTGCACTCGGCGCAGATACTCGTGGAATGGCTCCTCCAGTTCGTCCCATGTCAATTGGGGCCGAGCTTCCTTGACTAGGAGCTGATGCACCATCCTGACCACGGTCTGTGCCCAGTAGGAAAAGGTCGCGTACCCGGCGAAGTCTCGGATCATGAGCAGCACGGTGCCTTCCAGGTACTTGGCGGGCCGGACGACCATCACCGGATACTCCTTGTCGTCGATCTGGTAGTCCTCGGCTGGCATAGCGCCCAGTGCTTCGTCCGTTGCCGACATGTAGAAGTCCTGTCGAATGAGGTTGTAGTCCAGCTTCGGGAACGACCAGAATATCAGCGACTGGCGGTACAATCCCACCTGCACCGGGCCTGGCATGACGGGTGGGAAGGACATATACCATTCGGCCCGTGGTGGGATAACCTCCCCTGTAGCCGGCGGCGGGAGGTCTTGGGGTGGGATGGCCTCTTCGGGCTGCGCGAATCGGCCGCTGTCGAGGAGGGCGAAGATGGCAGGGAGGAGCAGATCATCGTCGATGACCCAGCTGGATTCCTGTACTTCGTTAGTTCTGGCTCTCTCGGGAATAGGAGGGTTCGATGTATACGTACCTTGATCTTGTGGGTTGTTCCATACACGGCAACGGCTGGCTATTACGCATGTCAGTAACAAGGTCATATCGGAAGGGCATATCAGGATGGAGTTACTCACCTCTCCCCAGAGAAAGGCGGGGATGTCGGCCTCCTTGAGAACCCTGGCGACCACATGGTCGACTGGGGTCAAGCGGTAAGGAAAGGGCAGGGGTGACATGTTGATGGTAAAGTCACCTCTGCTTAGACAATTGCTACTGTGAAAAGAATAAAAGAAATCTGCTAACACGATGGGTTCCGCAACAAGGAGATCATCTCTGGGACTCTGTTCTTATATACTCCGGCTGCCGCCATGCCGTCGGAGCTTTCCATCCAGGGTTCTAGTACTGGATGCTTTCTGGATGAAGGACATCGTCGACATCAGACTGGTAAGTGCTATGGTGTCGAATGTTTTATCGGAGATCTCCATGTGTCTGATCTGAAATTTCCGTGGAGAAGCAGGAAGACTCCTGCCCTGCCTCCCCCCAGGGCTTGCTAGGAACTCCAGACAAAGAGTGTTCCTATCATGTTGATGGGCTCTTGAGGGCCATGTAGAACAGTGGAGCCAATGATAACCGTCAACCTGCTGCTGTCTTGGCTAGGTATATCGACTGTAGGATTACACAAATAAGCAGATAGTGGGAGGCACCCCATTCAGGTCTGGAGAATCCCGACAACGAGCAATGACGATGTCGAAATTAGGGCACGGATCTGTCTGGATAGGGAGGCGATACAGCCACACCCGCCGACTGGCCAACAGCGGCGGTTGACGACGGTGAGAGCAGTACCAATCCCAGCTTTATGGATCACCCGAAGCAGCGCTGTTCCGCCCTCTTCTTTCTTCCAATGTGAACGAAAAGGCCAATGATGCACCTCGAGTTGGGAGGTCAGAATTTAGCTTCCACAGCCCCGGATAGCGCTCTGGCTGGCCCCTCAGCGGGGCGCAGCTGCTCGATCTCACGGATTTCTCGCGCGTATCCATCGTGACCTTCTTATCCCTGTCATTTCCTAGGTACTCTTTTAACAATGCCTTCCAGCACGAACAGCAACGTTGCTGTGGTCATCCTCCATGGCTCCTACCACAGCCCGGCTCCGTTCCAGCTCCTGATCCGCCAGTTCGCCTCCCGTGGCATCGAGGCCCATTGCCCACACCTTCCGACCTGGAATCTCAGCAGGCTCGACGTAGGGGATGTCAACAACCCCGATTTCGATCGGGCGCCTCCTGTCGGCGGCTATCCGAGTGACAGTGAGGATGTGGATGTAGTGATTTGGGCCTTGGACAAACTCATCAAGCAGGAGGGCAAACGAGTCCTTCTCGCAGCGCATTCCTCAGGCGGCTGGGTTGCGACTCAAGCCCCCATCCCAGAGCTACAACTCAAATCTCGTCAGGTCGCAGGAAAGCCCGATGGTCTGCTTGGACTCTTCTTCCTCGGGGCTTTTGTCATTCCTATCGGCGAGTCCGTCAATACCTTCTCCCAGCCCGAGGATGGAACCCAGGTTACCCCGCCGTTTATGAGATTCTACGTAGGTCGTGGGATGGAAGGAGGTGCGCAGATGAGAACTGACACCAAAGACATAGCGACGTTTCTTAGAGCAAGCGCATACCATAGACCTCACCTACAGATACCAAATGACAAAAAAGGGCATCCACAGCCAATATCTAGCAGTCTACTCCAGAGTGGGCTGAAACCCACAAGAATCTATAATAAGTACTACCAGGCGTACAGCACTGGGTTCCTGCTTTCCTGCAGAAGCGCCTACATAGATAGCACAATTGGTGGGATGGGCTGGACTACGCTAATATTACCTTAATTGAATTGGATCATCTGTTACGACATGGAGAGGAGGCTCTGTGATCATGTAGGAGATTGAATTCGATCTGAAAAATAAATACCCGGTACATAATCAAGTTGTAATTATGGTGCGCAGGAAGGCTAGTTTAGCCTAGTCGAACCAACTGATGGCCTGTGGCTCGACCCACGTACCATCCATCCCCTCCTCACCTTTCATCAGCTTTTCTTTAATTTGCCGGCTACAAAGAAGCAAAATCAATGCGCGGTGGTGCAGAAAGGCGTGCGGGTGTGGGTGTCGGTTGGAGGATTTAACACCAGTCATGCTGTCTTCATCTTCCACCTGAAGCCTTTGGAATAGAACCTCCAAAGGCTCGGTGGCAAGACGCTCAGCATCAGGTGCGCTAGAACCCGGTAGTGGAAGCAGTAACATTTTCTTTAGTGTCTGGTGAAAGGCCTTCAGATATCGCAAGGTCCTGAGCCGGACACCATCCCGTTGAAGAGTGGAATCCGACCTCGCGTCCCGAATCTGGAGGATCACCTTGTCGAAGATATCTTGATAGTCGATCTGTGACATGCGCGGTTGCCACCTCCAAAGACCGTCAGCAATGTCAAATACAGCTCGCTTTGCCCAGTTAGATTCCTCCGGCAACGGGAGGTCTCGGAGGAGCAGCAAGACCATGGCCTCAAAGTACTTTTCCCAGTGGGGGACCTTGACCTTGACCACGGGCTTTGAAGGAGACGGGTTATTCGGCCCCAGTCTGGAGTACAGGAAGGGCTTCGCCTGATGCCGCTGCAGGAAGAATGGTTCTTCCACATTGCACCTGTCCTGGAACGAGGAGTCGACGATATAGGGATGCGGGTGATACCCATCGTCAGGCAGGGGAGATGAGCAGATAAAATCGATGCTGTTCTCAACGGGGTACGTAGGAACCAGGAAGATTGGCCGATCTCGAACATTGTCTGAGAATCTCCAATAAAACCGGACATCGGAGGTCACCGTGTAGAAGTCGTCGTAGGGCTCAGGAGGGCCAACCGGGGGATCTGGGAAGGTCCAGAACAGGCGGGACTTCCGGTCCAGGGCGACGGGCAATCGCCTGGGCAAGTCAATCTCCGCCGGGATCTCAAACTGATAATCGGGGGCAGGTGCCAGATCAGAATCCTGCTGCAGAACAAAGCCGGCGCTCACTAATGCTTCGCCAGCCTGGTTGATGTAGGCGTCGGGAATAACCCAGCGCAAGCTCTGCTGTTGGTTAGCTTTGGGCATGTGGGTGGTCCGTCGTTCGCTTACCTGGACCGAGTCCTGCAAGTCGTAGATATCCATCGCCCGATCGCCCCAGATGAAGCTGGGGACTCCAGCCTTGTCAAGAATCCCAGCCACGTGGGATTCGAGCCAAGAGATCGGGTGAAGGTAGGGAGTATCCGAGGCCATACTCGATAGTATCTTCCCGGTAGGGATGAATGTTGTGGAGTTTGATTTAAAAAAAAAGACAAACAAGATGGTGATACACTCTGGCTTTGGGACGGGAGAGAGATAATTGTGATTCTCCAAAAGAAAGGGAGGATGAAGAGGGGTTTTATATTCCTCAATCTCACGCGATGTCGGAAGACCGCTGCGGCAAACGGAGGACTCCCTTTCTGGCCTCCCAAGAAGGGACCAAACAGGTCCTGACACAACATCACTTGGATACAAGGCGGACTTCTCCCATGTTTGGCTGCCCTTACTGGACAATTGTGGCTTTCCGGGACAGTGGAGGCATTCGAATATCGATTGGTTTCTTTCCAGTGTTTAATCGGAACATATCATCTGCATATAGCCTGCGTGTTGAATTCCATCAGGAGAATACCCCTATTCACAGACGGCCAAATACTAAACAGAAAAGCAAAGTCCGGAAATTCCCTACTCCGGATAGCATGCTCTCGCCTGAAATCTAGGAGAGATTATTCCTTGAAACTGTCGGGTCAAGGCGTCTGTATATTGGAGGAGAAGACAAATTGGTCAAGATATTTAGAGTAGGTTGTGGTGTTGGATGAAAACCTATTGTTACGAGACACACACCGTCGTTTCCAGAAGGAGAGCTAAACTGTGTGTCTGGTCGGTTGCAGTGATAGCAAACAAGGCAGGTTCAAAGGCCATTGTGGGTTTTCTCTTTCATGACTTCTGTCTACATTCGCACCCCCAGAAAGGGGTGCGATTGTATGGCTGGATACATAGACGGGTGATGAACAAAGAGATGAGAGCAAATTAGTCAAAGAAGCCGCCACTTTCAAATCATAGTTCAAATGCATGATAAAGGAGCTACAAAACCAAGTCAGATGCAAAGCCTTGCAAGATATGTGCTTATCTGGTTGGTAAGGAGCGTTCACAGTTCGAGTCAGGTGTATAAAGGGCTGCGTTCTTTTCTTCCGATGCCCAATTGCCGCGCCCGTGGACTGAAGTGGCACAGACCAATTTAGAGCAGGCAAGGCAAGGTTCTGTCGCTCGCCATAACTAACACTGCCTGGAATAGACTGCGCCACAAATGTTCAAGTACCGCGGGAAGAGTAGACGGCTCCTCTCTCCGTATCAGACTATGACAATATTCACATGACTATGCGAATGCAGCGGAAATGCACTGCTGGGTCCCGGAAGCCCGAATCATCCAATTCTCCTATCGGACGTAGCAGTCACGCTTTGACAGGCGGCACATCCTGCCCGAGCACCTCAATCAGCTGCTCTGCCGTCAAATGATCGCTGACAGTTTCCATCCTGTGTGCATAGACACACCGTCGTCCTCGAAACACCCACTCGCCCCCATTCTGTCTCCAAGAGCCTCCGTTGAAGACTCGCAGTCCGCTCCGAAGCATATCCTTGAACACCAGTCTCAGAGATCCAAAGAACGATGCTTTTGCGTATGACGGGGGTCGAGTAACGCCGCTGAGGCTTTTCTTCATCCGCAGAGTTTTGTAGATTCTGCCCGTCGGGTCCGTGTAGATCGGAAACGGAGTGTTGGTTTCAGCCACGTACGGGACGATTCGCCGCGGGTCACCACATCCGATGATGATTAACTGTGATGGGCCGGTGGGGTTGGGGAGGGTCTCGAGCACAGATTCAGTCAGATGCTGGGACACTTTGCGAACGTAGTCTTGGTCGTATTTGCAGAAGAAGTGGCGTACTGGTGGCAGAATGATGATTTAGAACCTTTCAAACGGGTTTGCAAGCCACCAGGGGTTAGTGACTTACTGAATATCACCACTGTGGTGATATGGCTCCCTTTCCCCGCGACTAGCTCTCCAAACCGGACGCGCTTCCCGCATGCTGATTGAAGTTCGAGTTCGTAGGCATCGCATAGCGCCGCTTCGTTCGGGACAGTGTGCTCACATCGTGTGATTGCCGGATCAGCCATTACCCAATGGATGGTAATGAAGAAGTGGTCGATTGGACCTTCATGTGGGTCCAGAATGTGCGAATATATACTTCGTGCCGGGATAAACAATGAACGGGCCAAGACTTCGACCAGCCATTCGAGGAACTTTCTGGATCTTTGATGACAGCCAGCAGGGGGGGCAAGTCGTGATGTCACCGCCACCCGATGTTTACCGTTGGACAGCTCCGCGGGGCGTGGTGCAAACGATGATAAGATCGTCAGGTGGTGATGCCTCAATGTCTGTGCACGTGGGCTCGAGGCTGGGACAAAGCTAATCCACACGACCTGCTAGGAACAAAGACCTATCCATTCCAATCATGCCAAGCCAAGGGTTCTGGAAAACGCGGGGATCCTCGCAGGCTTTCGGCTTCCACATCGGACCAGACACTGAACTCACCTCGTTCCAGGAGTCGTCTCAGATGCTATGTTTCTGATATTTTCCGGAGACATATTGGGGCATCAAAGTAAAAAAAAAAAAAAAAAAAAAAAAAAAAAAAAAAAAAAAAAAGAAGGAGCTTCCAAGGGGTGTCAGTTTCGACAACATCCAAGGTCATGCGATCGGGCAGTTATAAATACGATACTATTCCCGATGGTACAGCTTTGCGCCGTGATCAGCCAAGACAAAGAGCCTGGCCAAGAAATGCCATTTTATTTCGCCAAGGGGCCAATCCTTTGTTCAGAGTCCGTCGCCCTCCAAGGCTTCGATCCCCTTCGCTGCCTTTTCCTTCCAGTCCGACCGCCACCGCGTCAACGCCGGCCGGCCATGAATCATGTCCCCATATCCCCACGCGATGCGCCGCTGATCCAGTTCCTCGGTCACCTCGTTATCGGGACATAGGATGTAGAACGCGCCCTGGGCCATCTTCCCCTCCATGTAGTCGATGACTTGCTCGGGGGTCCACGCGCCATCCGGCTTCGACGGGAAGTAGCGCGCAACCAGACCGGTGTAAGTGAAGCCGGGTACGAGCAGGTGGACGCTGACATTGGGGTGGGACTCGTGTAGGGTGAAAGATAGATGCTCGGCGATGGTCTTCACGGCACTCTTCGAGGCATTATAGGCGGGGTTGCCAGGGGGGTTCGTGATGCCCTGCTTGGAACCGGTCAACACGATGGCCCGGGGATGGTCTTTGTTCTTCGTGACGGCGTCGAGAAACGCGGCGATGCCGTTGGTGTACCCGAAGGTGTTGACGGCGAATGTTTTCTGGAAATAGTCCGGGTCCGTCCAGGGCGTCTTGTCGGCGGCGGGACGGTGGCTGGCGCCCGCGTTGAGCATGAGGAAATCGACGCCACCGGGGTAGGTGGAGGCGACTTCCTCCTGGAGACGCTGCCAGTCTGCGAGGTTGGAGACGTCGATGCGGACGGAGGATATTTTCAGATGGGGGGTTGAAGGGAGGTCTGCCGTGGCGGCCGCGAGAGCCTGTTCGTCGACGTCGGCCAGGATCAGGTTCATGCCAGCGCGGTGGCAGAGCTTGGCTGCAGCCAGGCCAATGCCAGAGGCTGCGCCTGTGATGAGCGCGACGGCGCCGGGATGGAAGACAGGATGCATTGTTATGGTTGTTCGTTTTGGTGGAACCGAACCGGGTGGTTGTTGTGGTTGTTGTTGTTGTTGTCTGTTGCTGGCCGTCTCTCCGGCAGTGAGGGGTAATCAATGCTGGAATACACTTATACACGGTCTCACCTGTGTATTGCGTAACTTTGATGCCATCTCCACCAATCAGCTCGCATGGCTCAGTTGGTAGAGCGCATGACTAGTAATCATGAGGTCCTCGGTTCGAATCCGAGTGTGAGCATCTCTGCTTTCTTTTTTATGTTTTTTCATGTTTTCTACTCCGTACTGTCTGTCCCTCTCCTCTTTCTTTCTTTTCCTCTCCCTCCTCAACCAACCCAATCAGTCTCTTGTGCTCGTCCAACTCTAGAGCATGGATGTTTTTTTCTTTTTTCTTTTTTCTTTTCAACCGAAGGAGCTCTTTGCCTTACCTGCATCACTAATATGTGTCCCAGCTTTGATGTAGTGTCTTTCCAGCGCTCAACATATATTTATTTACCCGGTCTTACCGCAGCCAGTGAACAGCAACATGCGGGTGGGATGAGACCAGTCGAACTTGAAGTGAATGATTCAAACTGAACCCGTGACTCAGCCCCTGACAGGCCAGCAGCCCAGAACACGACCATATTCCTCCGACCTCCACTCGGATCCTTCGACCCCGCGTACCCGATGCGAGGCCGCCAACTGCATGGCTGCCATCATCCACCCCACCCCACCCCATCCGGATTTCTTCCGCCCCGGATCACCATACACCTCAGATCCCTCCCCAACCTGGCCCGTCCTCCAACGGTCGTGCCACCATTGAAGATACGCGGCTCTCCCCCCCCGATGATGTGCGGACGGACGACTCATCGAGTCTGATCCACCGTGGGCTACTTAAGCCCATCAACAACCCGACATGATCCCCCGTCATCCCATCGCACAATGGCGCCTTTGAAAACTCTCATCTGTGGAGGGGGCTGCGCGGGCCCGGCCCTGGCCTTCTGGCTCGCTCGCATCGGCCATCGCGTCGTCGTCGTCGAGCGCTTCCCGGCTCTCCGGGCCACCGGGGCCCAGATCGATCTGCGCGCCCAGGGCATCGAGGTCGCCAAGCGCATGGGACTGCTGGATGCCATCCGCCGCAAGCGCGTCCACGAGGAGGGATTCTGTCTGGTCGACTCGGACGGTCGGGTCAAGGCGACCGTGAAGCCCAACACGTCCGGACACGGCGCGCAGTCGGTGACTTCCGAGTACGAGATCATGCGTGGGGACCTCGTGCGAATCCTTCACGATGCGACCAAGGATGACGTGGAGTATAGGTTCGGCAAGACTGTGGATCGGTACGAGCAAGTCGACAACCGCGTGGTCGCTCACTTTTCCGATGGTTCGTCGGATACGTTTGATCTACTGGTCGGGGCGGATGGCCAGGGTTCTCGCATACGAGGTGGGATCTTACCCGCGGACGCCCCGGACCCCTACTGGCGAATGGGCATGCACATGGCCTATTGGTTCATTCCCAGGACGGAGACCGACGCCAACTTCTTCACCTGGTATCATGCGCCTGGTGGACGACTGGTCATCCGCAGAAGCCACAGTCCCACGCAATCTCAGGCGTACTTCGTTCTTCGAGACAACTCGGAAGACCTGTCGCATCTTTTCAAGGCGTCAGTGGAAAAGCAGAAGGAGTTCTGGACTCAGCGATACCGCGACGCGGGATGGGAGGTCGACCGGTTCATCGAGGGAATGCAACACGCGGACAATTTCTATTCGCATGAGAATCTCCAGGTCCGGATAGATACGTGGTCCAAGGGGCGGGTGGTCTTGCTGGGGGATGCAGCTCACTGTCCGGCTGTTTTCACTGGCATGGGGACCACAGGCAGTCTGGTCGGAGCGTATGTGCTGGCTGGAGAGCTGAGTCGATATCCGCACGACATCGCGAAGGCTCTTGAGAACTATGATACAACACTGCGGCCGTTTGTGAAGGAGATCCAGAAAACAGGTCCGTCCTGGTTGATGCGATTGGGCATCCCCGAGACGAAATGGGGAATTTCTGTGCTCCGCGCCGTTGCGACGATGCTTTGTGTCCTTCGTGTTCCGGATCTCATCGCACGTTTTTCAGGCGAGGACAGAGGGGGCTGGAAGCTGCCGGATTATCCTAAACTGACGCCGCACTCCAAGCCTCGGTCATGATCGGAAGAAGGATGATCTTCATGCTCAATTCAAGGTCCTGTTAATATCAGAATGCATGCAGCGAGGTCGATTCGACCCTGCTGGGGTGTCCGGATATCCTCTTCTTCGAGGGATTCTTCATTTGACAGTTATTTATAGCATAGACCATGCCGAGTTTGACACTGAAAACATATCTCCAAGCTGCCTTCCCCCATTTATTACTGGTCTTTACAAATCCCGATGCCCATCGCCATGGGTCATGGAATCCTCGATGGTTGTGTCGCCGTTCGCGCCCGGGCGATTGTTCCAACTTGGTGGTGTCGACCTCCGCGGAGGCCTCGTAAGAAGCATACTCGGCTGTGAATCATCTGTTGTATTGCAGACTCCCTAGATTCTGCTGTTACATCACCGAAATATAATTATTTGTGATGGGTCAAATACCTCCTCTACCGGTGATCTACCGACCGCAGATCAAGCTCCATCGCATCGTATCCAGCAACGATCGAACTTCGAATCGACAGACACACGACAGGAACCCATGGTGCGATTGCAAACGTGGGCGGATATTATACATGCATGCAGCAAAGTCATTCTCTAGATCTAATTCACAGCAACGCAACGATGTGCGGATTTGGAACCAAAACCCACTACGCCGTCTTCGCCCCAGGAAACATCCCCAATCGAAAGAAACCCTCAACCCTTAACCCCAGGCCACCTAATATAAGACCCTTTCCCAAAGCTCAACCCCCCGCCTTCGCAAACGGCAATCGGCGTGGTTTCCCCCACGTACAGCACGGCAAAAACCGCCAGGCGCCCGAATGTTTGCGCGCCAACACATAGAAGACCAGCCACTCCGCCAGCGGCGGGAGACACGGCCACTTGTTGCCGCCCTCGAACGTGACATCGCGCAGACCGAGCACCATCGGGGGGATGACATGCTGTCACCAGTTAGCTGCCTCCATCCCAGACACATCGATCATCGTGATTTACTTACCTTATCCTGCTTCCCCGCCTCGGCCTCACACTCGCGAAACACCCCCAACAACGCCTCCCCATCATATTCATACGGCTCCATGGACAGCAAACTGTCAATCTCATGGCTCAGATGCTCCCTGAACGGCGGCGCCAACTCCTCAATCAACCCTCTCACGACCGACGCATCATACCGCTCCGGCACCGTATACCGCCCGTACTGCAGTAGCTGCTGCAACGCCGGCTCGAACGTCTGGTGCTGGCCCACGTTGTCGCCGAGGAAATTGTGGATCCCGATCACTCGCTCGTACCCCGGGAACATCTTCTCTTCTTCCAGTGTGTGGTGGTGCGATACCCAGCTGGCCCAGGAGGCAATAAAGAACAGGAAGTCGCAGATGTCTTGTCGCTTGGTGATTTGCGCGGCCTGCAGGTAAATGCTGTTCAGGCCGCGGAGCATGCTGTTGTGGGCGAAGGCCATCTCGTTGGCGATGTAGATGGCGGGGTGTTTGGTCTGGTCTGGGGTGTTAGATGCGTGGGTTCCGGTGGTGATGGTATTGGGGTTGGGGTTGGGGCTTACGACGTCTTTGGTTTTGGAGGGGGTCTCGATCAGTGGCCATGGGCCGTCAGCCCATGGGTGGCGGCGGGTCATGATGGGGCGATGTGGCTGGTGCTGGAACTGGAGAGGTTTATCGGATCGGACATCAGGATGGGATGAGGTCGAGATGTTAAGGAAGGGCGAGGCTGTGGGCTGATCAGACCGCTGGAAGGAGGACCCTGGCGCGAGGATCGAGGCATATGGGAGGGGGGTCCGGACAAAGGATCCATGAGCTAGAAAGCCACTACGGCGAGGCTGAACTGGTGTGTTGGTTCAGATGCAGCCTGACCAACGGGGAAAAGGTGATCGATTCTAAAATGGGGCGCAATCGATCTTTGGCAGCCACATGTTGGTTTGGAAGGATATCGACCCAGAACCAACACTGGATTGGGTTGCCACAATAAAAGGGGGATTCGCGTGGGGGTTGGGTAAGCCGAACCCCGAAAGCACCTGGTCTTGATCTGCCTGTTAGCTTGGGGCTTCTAGTGCGGTGTTTAATTGATGTGTTCATCTTCCAGAACAAAGAAAGTCGCATCCATGAAAAGTGACTGCCCACTCAGGGGGCTTCTACGTCCATCAACCCCATCTCTCTCGATCGCTGACCACGGGTTCGTCAGAACTGACGTATGCCCTGGATTGGAAATATCTCTGGAAATGCTCTCCTTTGTCGTTGGATAGGGGCACCGAAACGCACCATTCTAATATTTCCCGACCAAACAGAAGAATTCCAATTTGCCTGACCTATCCCGCCCCCTACGTGGAAAAGACGACGAATTATCGCACGAGCCAATCGCAACCTACAGCCACCCTTCTGGAATATAGCCATGCACGCCCCAACATCTGAACAGACTTCCACCACCCACTCCAATACAACCCTTTCACCATAGAAACACCCCCCAACCCATTTATATAGCCGAATGTCCATGCGTCTCAAACGGCAACCCGAAACAAAACACCCCGACAGCCACCCACAGCGCCGCACTCGCGTAAATCGGCGCCGTCGTGAACCCCGTATGCGACGCGATGAGACTCGCGCAGAGACCCCCGAATCGGAGGAGTGATGCCGCGGTGCCTGTGCCTGTCCCGCGATGCGGCGCGGGGAAGGATTCGGGCGTGAAGGCGTACATGATTGCGTATTCTACTTGGTTAGTACCTGGCTTGATGGGTTCGGTGGGCAGAGGACGCAAGGGGAGGGGGATGGGTGGAGACACACCGAAGTTCCCGAGTATACCCGTGACACAAGCGAACGCCAGACTGGAGGTTGGGTTGCTGACGCCGACGTAGGCGAAGAGGAAGACTCCTGTCACGATGGACGAGATGCCCATCATCCAGCGCCGGCCGAGGAAGGTGGTGACGGCGTAGGCGGCGGAGATGGGGCCCACGATGCCGACCGCCGACTCAATACAGTAGTTCCGGTAGGTCAGGTCGAGGGAGGAGTCCGAGGTGAACTTCTTGGCCAGGTACGAGGGGAGGAAGTTGAAGTATAGGGGGTAGGCGATTCCTGGGACTGTGAGTGGTGATTTTTTTATTGGGGATGGAGGAGGGAGGAGAGTACCGATGGTCAGCCAGATGAACCAGATCATCGCGGTGTGGATGCCCAGTTTGCGGGTGGCGAAGAGGGCCTGGTAGTGCGTCGAGCGGAAGTCCTTCATGTTCTCTTTGAGGATTTCTTTCGTCGATAGCCCCGTGCCCTGGGTGGGAGATTCGCCCGCTGCGAGGCCCAGGCGCGCGTCGATCTCCTGGAACATCCCGATGCTCAACGGCTCGGGCTTGCCGTTCTGGCGGGCGACGTAGTTGACTGCGTCCACGGCGGCCTGGTCTTGTCCCTTGGAGAGCAGGTAGCGGGGTGTTTCGGGGAGCTTGAAGACGAAGACTCGGATGAAGGTGAATGCGAGGGATAGGGCACCGAGGGTGATGAGGGTGTATCTCCTGTCGGGGGTCAGTGGGAGGCAGGAGAGAGAAGGGGGGGGGGGGGGGGGGGGATGCATACCATCCCATGTTCTCGCTGCGATGACAGGTCGCGGGCGTTGAATCCGTCGGGCAGCTGAAGTTGGCCAGGAAGACCCAGGCGAGCAGCGAGACAATCAACTGGCCCAGGTTCCACCACGCGGAGAGGGCAGTGAGCAGGTATTGGTGGCTGAGACGATGAGCACTCCTATCCACCATGCAGGACCAAGCAACTCCACTCACCTCCCCGGCACAAACTCCAGGAATATCATCGAATCCACTGGGACATTCCCGCCCGCTGCTGTCCCAATGACCGCCCACATGGCACTGAAGGCCACGAAGTTCATCGTCCCGGCCGCACCGCACAGGAAGATGCCCGCGATCAGCAGGGTGAAGTTGAACGCGGGCTTCCGTCCGATCAAATCACTGGATATTCCCCAAAATGACGCCCCGAGAATCAGTCCGGTATAGTATGCCACGGAGCTGTAGCTGACTTGCACGATGCCGGGGAATTCGAGCTCGATCGGGGGCTGCACACTGCTGATGCCCTGCGAGGCGAACTGGCCGGTCAGTGTGTTGACCAGAAACCGACGAGGCAGCTCACATTATCCACAATCCATCCAAACCCAGTCACGACGAACAGCTTCCATTGGAACCTGTCCACATCAGTATCCCTCTATCTGACCAGAGAGGAAGGCATACCGTCCCATCCCGATCTCCTCCATGCACTGTCCCACCAACTCCGACTTGAGCCGGTACGCCTGCGTAGTCGACGTGCCATAGAACTGCTGGGTATCGACATCGTCCAGGATGACCCCCTTCGTCTCCTCCCCTGACACACTGAGGGTGTCATTCTGCACCGGATCGCTCTTCTGCTCGTGCTCGATGCCGTCCATTCTGATGACTGCTTTGATCCGCCGAGCACTACCCAGAACCAGGCCTACATCAAATAGGAGCCAACTTAGGGCTTTGCGGGCAGGCGCATGGGCCAGCGAATGGCTTGCTTGCGCAGCGATAGAGCTCGACAGGCTGGCTTATCGATTGTCAAGGGTGGGGGATCGCTTGATAGCATGGGATGGCCAGACCTCCACTTCCGATGCGTCCCGTTGCGTCCTATCGTGGGAGATATGTACTCTGATGCAGAGGAACCGAGTGGCCCACTGGCAATAGTTATATGGCCACGCTTTATCAAACAGGGATCTGCGGTCGCGCAGGATATCATTACCGGAATAGTCAGGTTACCGGGGTGATGGCTGTCGTACAACCGAATACTATTGGAAAAACTATCATCACCTGCATACACAACGCACCCATCATATCAAATCCCATCGCATCACGCACCCACCGCCGCCGTAGCCGCCCTTGCCACCGTCTCGATCTTCATCTTGCCCTGCTCCTCCATCTCCCTTTTATACTTCTCGGCCCGTCCATAACTCTCTTTATACGACGCCGTCACCATCTCCTCCACCGTGATGGGCGGATACTTGGGCGCCTCGTCCGCCGCACGGCAATTCGGCAGGCACTCGCACAGGTAGTCTGGATTTCCGCTGAAGAAGAACGGGATCGAGTATCGCTCGCGCCCGGACTTGTTGATCACCCGGTGGATGTTCGATTTGTAGCGGTCGTTGGCCATTCGCATGAATAGGTTGCCCAGGTTGACTACGTAGGCGCCGGGGACTGGTTGGACCTAGGTAACTCGCTCGTCAGCGTGATGCAATCTGATCGGGGAGCTTGCTGGGAGCTTGCTGGGAGGTTACTGTGCTGTGCTGTACTTACATCCAACCATTCGCCGCTAGGCACATCCAAGACCTGCAGCCCGTCCACCTCGTCTTGCAGCAGCAGCGTGATGCATCCGAAATCCGTGTGGGCGCCGATGCCCCGGTTCAGCTTGTCGTCCCCGTCTTTGGGCTGCGCCGGGTAGTGCAGCATTCGCATCGTGGCGACGGCGCCGTTGGTCAGTGGGTCGAAGTAGTCCTCGCCGACGTGCAGGGTCAGGGCCAGCAGAGCGAGCACGTCCTTGGCCAGGTCGAACACGGCGTTATAGTATTCCATTGAGGTCCGCTGGAACTCCTCCTTGTCTTCGACGTTGGGGGGCCATTGGTTCGGGCCGCTGTTCAGCTTCTTCTGCAGGTAGTAGGGGTGGTCTTCTGGGATCTCTTGGCCGATGTACAGTCCCTCTTTTAGTTCCGGGCCTGTGCCGACTTCGAGCATCTGCGAGCGGAGGAGTTCGTAGCCGCGGTTGAAGGAGTTGAGGTCTAGGAAGAATGGTTGTTAGTGATGGGGAGGTAATGGGGGGGGGGGGGGGGGAAGGGTATGCGCACTCTTGTCGATCTTCATCTTCTCTTCCAGCGGCTGGTCGAAGAACCGTCGGGCGCAGCCCATCACCCGACGCTGTAGTTCCAGAGGGACGCGGTGGCCGGTGATCTGGAAGAAGCCATTGTAGAGGCAGCTGTTGCGGATGGTCTCGACCAGCCGGGCTTTGGCCGCGCTGTCGCCGCCGTAGAAGGGCGAGAAGTCGAGAATCGGGGGTGCGGTGGGCGACATGGCGTTGCGGGGTGGAGTGTGGATGCTGGTGCCCTTGGCCTTGCTGTGTCGGTGTTGAGGAGAGCCATTATCAATGCCCTCGCTGCTATGATCGAGGGAGGCGATCGGCCAGAACGCCGAGGAGGACTTCTCCTCCATCTTCGGCAGGGGCGATAACACCAAGAGTGGGGGCAAGAATGGGGACGCGGCCAGGCCCTCCCGTCAGATAGGAAATGCGGAGAAGCTCAGGCCCGACACCGGACGAGGCTTGTCTATCGGGGGTTGACAGGTCCTGGAGATATCATGGTTGCTCGCGAGTGGCGATGACCCCCAGATGGTCCCGGGTTGCCCGATCGGGAAGACTGTATGACCGGCGCAGAGGATGGAGGTCGCACTGCAGATGCAAGGGGGTGGATGGGTATATCAGGCGGCCGCTGGGACCTGAGCTCACCGCATCTGGGATTCATCCTGTGTCGTTCTATCGCTGCCATGTCGTCCACCGACAATGATACTGTCGAGAAAGGGGGGTTTGTTCCGGCCGAGCCGGAGATGAAGACGGAGGGCAGCAACATCCTCATCGATCGCGACGCGGAACGGTCCTACGGTAAGGTGCCTGGATAGGGTGACCCCTGCTTCCGAGCCCAGCTGACTCGTACAGTCCGCAAGGTGGATTTCTGTGTCCTGCCCTTACTGTGCCTGGTGGGTTGCCGTCCGGGAATGACAACGTGGGTTGGGGCTGACGGGCCAGATGTATTTCTTCGACTGCATGGACCGGGTATGTATAGTTAGCCCCGTCTGATGTTACCGGCTGGGGTTAATGGCAGCAGAGCAACCTGGCCAACGCGAAGACCGATGGTCTGGACGAGGACATCCACCTGGTCGGCAACGACTACTCGCTGATCGTCCTGCTGTTCTACATCCCGTTTGGCCTGTGCGACCTGCCATGGAACCTGCTCCTGAAGCGCTACGGGGGGCGCATCACCCTATCCTTCAGTGGGTTGCCCCCATCGCCCATCCCACCGATACGATGCATGCTGACCCCGCAGTGACCGTCGTCTGGGGAATACTGGCGCTGTGCCAATGCGCCGTCAAGGACTTTGGCGGCATGATCGCTGTCCGGATGATCCTGGGGTAGGTCCTGAGCTCGCTTGCGTGCGACGACACGACGATGGAGGATGCTAATCTCCACAGCGTCTTCGAGGCAGGCTTCTTCGCGGGCGCGACCTTCTACCTGACGCTGTTCTACACGCGCGGCGAGATGGGCTTCCGGCTGGCGATCATCCAGTCGTTCGCGGTGCTGGCGTCGGCCTTCAGCGGGCTGGTCTCGTTCGGGGTGTTCCAGATCCACGACCCGGCGGTGCAGGGCTGGCAGTGGCTCTTCATCATCGAGGGCTCCATGACCTTCCTGACGGGGGTGATCTCCTTCTTCTGGCTGCCGGGCAACCCGCGCACGGCCTGGTTCCTGAATGAGCGAGAGCGCGCCGCGGCGACCGCACGACTGCTGCGCGACACCTCGTCGGAGGTGGACACAGGGCTGGACCTGAAGGCTGCCTTTGAGACGTGGAAGGACTGGAAGTTCCCCGTGTGGTGTGTCATCACCTTCACGTACCCGGTCGCGTATGCCACCGCGATGAACTTCTTCCCTCTGGTCTGTAGTTCCCGATTCTCTTCTCCCCTCGTCATCCATGATCTTTCCGCTCCCGACATTACTGACGGAATAGATCGTCGAACGACTGGGCTTCTCGACAGTCAAGACGAACCTGTGGACGGTGGCCCCCAACCTGGTCGGGGCGGTGGTGCTGCTCTGCGTGGCCAAGTCGTCCGACTACTTCCGCGAGCGCGCCTTCCACATCGTCTTCTCGCTGGTGGTGTCGCTAGTGGGGATGGTGATCCTGGCGACGATCGATGTCCTCGACAACAAGGGGGTCGCGTACTTTGCGTGCTTCCTGATGGCTGCCGGGGCGTACATCCCGTCGTGCCTGGTCCACGCATGGCACAACAACAACAACGTGCACGAGAACTCGCGGGCGGCCAACACGGGCTTCTTTGTGGGGCTGGGCAACCTGGCGGGGGTGTTGAGCGCGGCGACGTTCCGGACGGAATATGCTCCCAAGTAGGTGATCTGTCTTCATCAGTGGACCCGTCCGAAATGGAGATGGGAGGCTGACCACGGCAGGTACATTCCCACGCTGGTGGCAACGTGCTGCTGCAACGGGGTGAGCATTGTGTTCGTGACGGGCTTAGGGCTGTGGATGCGGCGGGAGAACGCGCGACGGGATGCGCGCGAGGGAAAAGTGCGACCCGGCGAGAGGGACACGCGCCAGTTGGCCGAGGGCGAGGACAGCCCCGGGTGGCGGTATTTCCTGTAGGCTGCAGATCGAGATCGAGGCACAAAAGAAGCCTGGCCATAATAGCAAGGCCATTAAGCTGGCTGAGACCCGGAAGATAAAGCGCTTTCCCCGCGCGCCGTCATTCGCGGACGCCCTTATCATTTGACAGTCGCGCCAGCCGATCCTCGGCCGGGGGTTGTTGGTTGTACTTAATTACCCTGTCACCTCCTGTTTCGCATCTCTGGCCGTGTAGATGGATACCGATCTGATAAACATCCCCCAATGCCCCCGAAATCCCACGCCTGCCACTGGCCCACCTGCGGCAAGACCTTCACGCGCGCCGAGCACCTGCGTCGCCATGCCCTAAACCACGAGACCGGTCGCGATGGCTACACCTGCGAGCGCTGCTCCGTGCATTTCAGCCGCCCGGATCTGCTGAGTGTGTTCCTCTGGATGCAGAATAGGCGGGGACTGACTTTTGCATACTCCAGACCGCCACATGTCACGACACACCAAGCGCGACGAGGAGGCCGGGGGACCAGGGCTGGGGGTGCTGGAGACCCGCAAACGCACCCGCCGCGCGGGCGATGGCTCCATCGTCACTCGCCCCCCCAAGCGCCAGAGTCAGAGTCAGACTCAGAGTCAGAGCCAGAGCCAGAGCCAGAGTCATCCTCGTCTCCCCAATCCTTCCACTTCATCCGCCTCTTCTTCCTGCTCGATCTCCGTCACCAGCTCCCAGGACTATGACCACCACCACCTCTCCCACGGGGCACCCGTCTCCCCACCCACCTCGGCCAGCGACCCGGCCTCGCTGGCCCTGGACGACCCCGACCCTGACCCCGACCCCGACCCGCTGCTGGCCCCGATGATGCCCAGCGGTCCCTTCGAGCCCTATGTCGAGCCCATCCCCGGCCAGTTTGACGCAGCAGATGGCTCGTGGAGTCTGGGACTCGACAACATGGGCGACATGGTCAGTCTGGACACGGCCACCGACTTCAACATGCCGTTTGCCGCCACGCACAACTACCACTGGCTGTTCGACGTCGCCGTCCTCGACGATGCCTTCCCCCCCTTCGACCTGCCCCTTGGCCCGGACATGATCCCCTTCGACGACTCCATCCCCAGCTTCAACCGTGACGGCTCCTCCGTCCTCCTCCAAGCGGCCTCGTACGTCGAGCGTGCCGATCTCTCCACGCCGCCTCTGCTCGACCCTCTCCCGGATCCTCTCCCCCCCGTGGACTGGATGGACCGTGACCCCCTCCTCCCTCCGGCCCCCAAACCCACCTCCCCATCCTCCCCGCCGCCTCCCGCCACGGCATCCTCGCCCTGATCGCCCTCTCCCCTCCCCTGGGGATAGACGGCCACCCGACCCCCCGACCTCCCCTCTGCTCTCGCTCCCCTCCCTCCAGTCCTACGCCGACCTCTTCTTCACCCGCTTCAACACCACGTACCCCCTCCTCCACCAGCCCTCCTTCTGCCCCGTCTCCGCGCCCCCGTCCTCCTCGCCGCCATCCTCTCCATGGGCGCCACCTACAGCAGCCGCGAGGCCCACCAGCTGGCCGTGGGCATCCATGACGCCCTCCGGAACCACCTCTTCTGCCACCCCGACTTCTCCCCGCAGCCGCCCCTCTGGGTCCTGCAGGCCATGCTCCTGATCGACTGCTTCGGGAAGATGCGCGCCGGGCCGAAGCAGCGCGAGCGCGCGCAGCTGTTCCACTGCGTGCTGATCAAGTTGATCCGGAGGAGCGGTTGCTGCGCGATTCGATCGGGGGATACCTTCCCGGACGGTGGGACCGCGGGTGGGGATGAGGACATCCAGGCCCTCTGGCACGCCGCCATGCAAGCCGAACAGCGCAAGCGACTCGCCATGCACTGCTTCATGTGGGACACCCAGCACGCGGTGCTCTTCTCGCAGTCGCTGTGCATGTCCGCCTTCGAGATCCGCTCCGCCCTGCCCTGCAGTTCCGCGACATGGGAAGCCCCCTCGGCGCGTGAATGGGCGCGGCTGGCGGCCATGGAATCCCCCTCGCCCTCTGACCGGGGCTTTCTCTCCGTGCTGAAGGGGTATATCACCCCGGGGGCGGTGGCTCGACCACGGGATCTGAATGTCCTGGCGCGCACGGTCGTGCTGCATGGGCTGATGTCGGTGTCGGCGGATCTGAAGCGGAGGGATCAGACGACGCTGCGATGCGAGGGGCCGGATCGCGTCGGGGCGTGGACGAGGCGCATGGGGCGGGCGTATGATCTGTGGAAGGTCGACTTCGACGCCGATTGTCTGGCCATGAAGCTGGCGCAGTCGGGCGATCTGCCGCGCTTCACGGGGTTGAAGACGGCGGCGAATGCCTTGTATCGCGCGGCGCATGTGGCGCTGCAGGTCGAGGTGCTGGATCTCCAGATCGCGGCGGGCGCGGGCCGCATTCTGGGTCGGGGAGTCACGGCGCAGGATGGCGAGAGGTCGCGCCGGGTCTTGCGTCGCTGGCTGCAGGGCGAGGCCGGGGCGGCGGCCGTGGCTGCGAGGCATGCGGCGGCGTTGTTGCAGGACGCGGTGCTCAGTCTGCACGATTGGGAGCAGATGGACGCGTTTCACTTCCCCTGGTGTCTGTATCTGGCCACGCTGGTGTGCTGGGCCTTTCACCGGGGCGGCGTCCGGGAGGAGGGCCAGGCCGGCCGCATTTCCACGGATCTGGCGAGTCTGATTGTCGCCATGACGACGTGTCCCAGTCTGGCTGAACTGGCCGCCCTCGGGGGCAAGTATGATACTCGGGGTCTGGTCAGGGCCATGGCCCAGCAGCTGGCTACGGTGCGGTGGGCGGTGGTGCACGATGCCATGAAGGTCTTGCTGAATTTAGCAGATTGATTGATTGATTGTTCTTGTTTCTGCTCTGCTGAGCTGCTATGTCTCTATGTATGTATCTATGCGAGTTATCTGACGTGGTGATATGGCTGATACCTTATGTACACGTTCTTCCCTCCAACAATGCATATCCATCACACCTATCATGGTGCCCAGACACCTTTCCAGTCGGCTGGGTTCCTCCTTCACACCCCTCTACTCGTAGAACGAGTAATCCGTGTATCCCTTCTCCGCCGGATCGGCCCCGTAGAACGTCGTGCGATCATACTTGGCCAGCGACACGCCCTCCATCAGCCGTCTCGGCAGGTCGGGGTTCGCAATGAACCAGCGTCCGAAGGCAATCGCATCCGCCTTGTCCTCGTCCAGCTTGGGTCTCGAGTTCTCCGGTCCGAAGTTGCCGGCTGCAATCAATGCAATCCCCCCAGCCTTCAACGGCGCCCGGAAGATATCCAGCGTGGGCTTGACGCTGCCCGTCGGGAGGGACTGCATCTTGGCCGCCTCGTCCAACACCTCGTCGAATCGCGGCTCGATCATGTGCGCGTATACCGGTCGGACAGACTCGGGCAGCGCGGCGAGGAGCCGGCAGATCTCGACCCAGTGCGCCTGCGGGTCCGAGTCGCGGGTGTCCTGGAAGAAGTTGTAGGGTGATAGTCGGATGCCGACGTGGTCGGCCCCGATGGCGCCGCTGACGGCTTTGATGGTCTCGATGACGATGCGCGCCCGGTTGGCCACGCTGCCGCCGTACTCGTCGGTGCGCGTGTTGACGTTGTCGTGCAGGAACTGGTCCAGCAGGTAGCCGTTCGCTGCGTGGATCTCTACCCCGTCGAACCCGGCTTCGCGGGCGCGTTGGGCCGCCGCGGCGTAGTCCTGCACGGTGTCTTGGATCTCGGTGATGGTCATCGGACGTGGAGGCGAGGATGCGTAGGTGGTCCCGTCCATGGCGTCGCCGCTGATGGGGATGTCGCTGGCGGCCAGGGCTTGTCGGCCGCCCAGGAAGGAGGGCACCGTCGCGCGCCCGACGTGCCACAGCTGGCACACCATGAGACCCCCCTTGGCGTGCACCGCGTCTGTCACGGCCTTCCAGCCGGCGATCTGGGAGGGAGTGAAGATGCCGGGCACCCCGGGGTAGCCGGCTGCCTGTGGGGGGGGGGTGTTAGAGATTTGATCCAGACATGGGTCAGGGGCAAAGAAAGGACAGACGTAGCGACTAATGGGGGTGGCTTCAGTGACCAGCAGACCCCCCGACGAGGCGCGCTGGGCGTAGTACTCGACCATCAGCGCATTGGGGACAAACACCCCGTCGGATTCCTTGGTCGCACGCATCCGGGTGCAAGGGGCCTGGATGACCCGGTGGGAGAGGGCCAGGGCCCCCAGGCGGAGGGGCTGGAAGAGCGCGTCAGTGGTGGTGATGGAGCCCATACTGAATGTTTCCGGTTAGGGTTCGGGTTGAGGGATGGCTCTGGCTGGGAGGGATATTTGTAGTCGGCCCCGATTGGATCGACGGGCGATATTTCCCCTCGGTATGGCGTCCTCCATGTCCATCCATGTCCATCCACTTTTGTCGGTCGAGAGTTGGGCACGATGGGTTTTGGGGGGGGAGGAATGTGCATGTGCATCTGCAGGCGATCGGGGCTCGGAATGGAATCGTCGATAATCGTGACGGTCGGCCCCTCCGTTATCACCGACATCCCCCCCACCCTTGGACCACCTCCACTCCTGAAGAGGGGAAAGCTCTGGGCAGCATCATTGTTCGATCACCCCTCATCCCTCACCCCTGTGTTCCACAGCATGCAACGCCAGGTCATGATGCATAGTATGGCTGCCGTATCATTCGCGGTGCAGGCAGCCTCACGTGCTGCCAGCGCATCGGGCGATGCCCTCATCCCCATCCCCATTCTTCCCTGGCTGTCGACTCTTTGTCTCTTCTTCCGACTCTTTCCTCCTCACCAGCATGCTCTGCCATCCCCTCTAAGCACCCATCATGGCCCTCCCACCCCCCCTGCAGGAGCTGCTCTCCACCTCCCCGACCACCGCCACCCTCTCGTTCTACCTCAACGGCACCCCCATCGCTCTGGCCAGCCCCAACCCCCACTGGACCCTGCTGGACTTCATCCGCTCGCAGCATGGGCTGAAGGGGACCAAGCTGGGCTGCGGCGAGGGGGGCTGCGGCGCCTGCACCGTCGTGCTGCAGACCCAGGCCGCCCGCGATGGCCGCAACCGGCGGCTTTGCCACCGCGCCGTCAACGCCTGTCTCTATCCGCTCATCGGAGGTTCGTCCGTTCTTCGACCCATGGAACGCCTGCAACTGACAGCTGCCAGTGGCCGGGAAGCATGTCATCACCGTCGAAGGCCTCGGCAATGTGGACCACCCCCATCCGCTGCAGGAACGCCTGGGGAAGCTTCATGGCTCGCAGTATGATTGATCCCTCCTGACCTGTCTGGGTGGCAGGTGGCTAACGGGATAGATGCGGCTTCTGCACCCCCGGCATCGTCATGTCGCTGTACGCCCTCATCCGCAATGCCTACGATCCCACCACCGACCGGTTCCACCTGTCCGAGGAGGACATCGAGATGAAGGGACACCTGGACGGGAATCTGTGTCGGTGCACCGGATACAAGCCCATCCTGCAGGCAGCCAAGACGTTTGTCCAGGAGGACCTGCAGGCGCGTCTCGCCGTGCGAACACGGACACACATGCAGACCCCGACCGACAAGAGTGAAGAAGTCCCGGTCGAGTCGGAATCGGACTCGTCTCGTCCCCAATCGTGTGGCCGTGCGGGAGGGTGCTGTCGCGACACCCCCGGGGGGGGGTCATCCTGCTCCTCCGACAGGGACAGTTCGCGCACGAGTCTGTCGACCCCCGAGTCCGAGCCCGACCAAGCCCTAAATCCGGTCCCCCAGTTCGACTTCCTCCCCTACGTGCCCACCACCGAACTCATCTACCCCCCCGGTCTGGCCACGAGGAGCCCACCGGCCCAGCTGCTCTGCTACACCGACGAGCGCAAGGCCTGGCTGCGCCCCGTCAGCGTCGAGCAGACCCTCGACATCCTGGCGCGCTGCCCGTCGGCCACGCTGGTCGGGGGCGCCAGCGAAGTGCAGGTCGACATCCGCTTCAAGGGCGCCGACTTCGCCGTCTCCGTCTTCGTGGGCGACCTGGCCGAGCTGGCTCAGATCCGGCCGGTCGAGACGAACGGCGTGCTGACCGAGCTGGTCATCGGGGGCAACGCCTCGCTCAGCGACATCGAGGCCGAATGCCACCGCCTCATCCCCACCCTGGGTCCCCGGGGATCCGTGCTGTCCGCCGCCGCCAAAGTGCTGCGGTACTTCGCGGGCCGCCAGATCCGCAACGCGGCGTCGCTGGCGGGCAACATCGCGACGGCGTCGCCCCTCTCCGACATGAACCCTCTGCTGCTCGCCGTCAACGCCACCGTCGTCGCCCGCACGGCCACCGAGGAGACCCTCCTGCCCATGGCCACCCTGTTCCGGGGCTACCGCCAGACGGCCCTCCCCGCCGGCAGCCTCATCACCGAGATCCACCTCCCCCTGACGCCCCCGGGCGTGCGCGAGCTCACCAGGTCCTACAAGCAATCCAAGCGCAAGGACGACGACATGGCCATCGTCACCGCCGCCTTCCGCGTGCGTCTGGCCGCCGACAACACCGTGCGTGCCATCGCCCTGGCATACGGCGGCATGGCCCCCGTCAGCCTGCTGGCCCGCCACGCCGGGGCCGCCCTCCTGCACCAGCGATGGGGCACGCAGGCCGTCCTCGACGCCACCTTCGACGCCCTGCTGCGGGACTTCGCCCTCCCCTTCTCCGTCCCCGGGGGCATGGCCACCTACCGCCGCACCCTCGCCCTGTCCCTCTTCTTCCGCTTCTGGAACGAGGTCCTGGCCGAGTTCCATCTCGCCCCCGTCGCCCCCGACCTGACGGGGGAGATCCACCGGCGCATCTCCCACGGGGCCCGCGACAACCACAACCCCAACGAGCAGCGCGTCGTCGGCAAGCAACTGCCCCATCTCTCCGGGCTGAAGCACGCCACCGGCGAGGCCGAATACATCGACGACATGCCCCCGCAGCACGGCGAGCTGTTCGGCGCCATGGTGCTCTCGCAGCGCGCCCACGCCACGCTCGTCGCCGTCGACTGGGCCCCCGCCCTGCAACCCGGTCTGGCCAAGGGGTTCATCGACCACACCAGCATCCCGATCGAGAAGAACCTCTGGGGGTCCGTCGTGCACGACGAGCCCTTCTTCGCGGTCGACGAGGTCCTCGCCCACGGCCAGCCCATTGGACTCGTATATGCCGAGACAGCCCTGCAGGCCCAGGCGGCAGCTCGTGCGGTCAAGGTCGTCTACGAGGACCGCCCTGCCATCCTGACCATCGACGAGGCCATCGCGGCGAAGAGCTTCTACCCGCACGGCAAGGAGCTGCGCAAGGGCGCCCCGCCAGAGAAAATGGATGACGTGTTTGCGCGATGCGACCGCGTCTTCACCGGCACCAGTCGCATCGGCGGCCAGGAGCATTTCTATCTCGAGACGAACGCCGCGTTGGTCGTCCCTCACCCGGAGGACGGGAGTATGGATGTGTGGTCGTCCACCCAGAATACGTATGTCCCCCTTCCCCCTCCCTGTCCCTTCTTCAGCCCTAACACCCTCCCTCCTCCTCCTCCTCCCCCCAACCCAATTTCCCCCGTGCCGCCACGATACTAACCTCCATTCTAACAGCATGGAAACCCAAGCCTTCGTCAGCCAAGTCACCTCCGTCCCAGCGAACCGGATCAACGCGCGGGTCAAACGCATGGGCGGCGCCTTCGGGGGCAAAGAGTCGCGCAGCGTCCAGCTGGCCGCTCTCCTGGCCATCGCGGCCAAGAAGACCCGCCGGCCCATGCGCGCCATGCTCAACCGCGACGAGGATATGATGACCAGCGGCCAGCGACACCCGATCCAATGCCGGTGGAAGGTCGGGGTGATGAACGACGGCACCCTCGTCGCGCTGGACGCGGACTGCTACAATAACGCGGGCTTCTCGCTGGATATGAGTGGCGCGGTGATGGATCGGTGCTGTACCCATTTGGATAACTGTTATCATTTCCCCAATGTGCATGTCCGCGCGTGGGTGTGTCGGACCAATACGCATAGTAATACGGCATTTCGAGGGTTTGGGGGGCCGCAGGCGATGTTTGTGGCGGAGAGCTATATGAATGCGGTTGCGGAGGGGCTGGGGATGGATGTCGATGAGTTGCGGTGGAGGAATCTGTACCGACAGGGACAGAGGACCCCGTTTTTGCAGCCCATCGATCAGGATTGGCATGTGCCGATGTTGCTGGAGCAGGTGCGGCGCGAGGCCAGGTATGACGAGCGGAGGGCCGACGTCGGCAGGTTCAATCAGTCCCATCGCTGGCGGAAGAGGGGCATTTGTCTCGTGCCGACCAAGTTCGGGATCTCGTTTGCGACTGCCGTCCATCTGAATCAGGCCGCCGCGTCGCTGAAGATCTACACCGATGGGTCGGTGCTGCTGAATCATGGCGGGACGGAGATGGGCCAGGGCCTCTATACGAAGATGGTGCAGGTCGCGGCGCAGGAGCTGGGCGTGGCCCCCGAGAGTATCTATACGCAAGATACCTCGTCGTATCAGACGGCGAATGCGTCGCCCACGGCCGCCTCGTCGGGAAGTGATCTCAACGGCATGGCGATCAAGGATGCCTGCGACCAGATCAATGAGCGGCTAAAGCCGTATCGTGAGAGGTTCGGGGAAGATGCCTCCATGGCGACGCTTGCGCACGCCGCGTATCGCGATCGGGTCAACCTGGCCGCCAGCGGGTTCTGGAAGATGCCCAAGGTCGGGTACCAGTGGGGGAACTATGACCCGGAGACGGTCAAGCCGATGTACTATTATTTCACGCAGGTGTGTATGGGATCCTGTCATCCTGGATGATGGGAGGGAAACGCTGACAGAATGAAATAGGGCGTGGCCTGCACGGAGGTCGAGCTCGACCTGCTGACGGGCGACCACACGGTGCTGCGGACGGACATCAAGATGGACATCGGCCGGTCGATCAACCCGGCCATCGACTACGGGCAGATCGAGGGGGCGTTCGTGCAGGGCCAGGGGCTGTTCACGATGGAGGAGAGTCTGTGGACGCGTGGGGGCCAGCTGGCCACGCGGGGGCCCGGCAATTACAAGATCCCGGGGTTTAGTGACATCCCCCAGGAGTTCAACGTGAGCTTTCTGCGGGGTGTCTCGTGGAGCCATCTGCGGTCCATCCAGAGCAGCAAGGGCGTTGGCGAGCCGCCGCTGTTTCTGGGGGCGACGGTGCTGTTTGCCCTGCGTGATGCGCTGCGCAGTGCCCGCGAGGATCACCGTGTGGTTGAGCCGTTGGTGTTGGACAGTCCGGCCACCGCGGAGAGGCTGCGGCTGGCGGTCGGGGATGACCTGCTCAGGAAGAGTCGCGTCGAGGCGAAGGAGGGAGAGACGAATTTCTTTGTCGCGGTGGCATCGTGAATGGTGGTGGTGGAAGGCGAGTCGGGGAGGAGCAATGAACAGCACTCGAGATTTTTCAGAGTCATAGCCTGCCGATTAACACTCATCATGCGAGTAGAACGGCTTTGGGACGGTGAGCCAATGTCAATAGAAGAGTGTAGTTCCCGTCGAGCACAGCCTATACAGATAGAGACCAACTTTCATCCATTTATATTCTCGTATCAGCATGTATGTATGCTATTCTTCTCCTGGAAGCCACCCATCACGATACGATTAGTATATGATATACATATATATCCACAGTCAAGCCATTCATCACCCACTCCTCCCTTCTCCCAACCCACAACACCTCAAGTCAAGAACGAGAAATACTCCCTCACCCCTTCCGCTGCCTTGTCCCCCTGCTCGACCGCCCAAGTCTCACTCCATCCGACATACCCATCCGGCCGCACCACCACGACGCCCGCCCGCCCGCCATCCAACCCGCCCATCCACCTCTGCGTACAGCCACAGCCCTTCGCTTCCCCCTCCACATCATCATCCAGATACACGGACCAGCGACTGCGCTGCAACACCTCCGGCAGATCCGCCAGCTCGAACGCCCTCTTCTCCGACCGCGTCACCAGCGCATACGTGACCACCGGCGAGACGGCCGTATACCTCTCCGGCTGGACGTAGACATCGGCCTCCGCAGATCCCCTGGGCTGCTCGTCATACGAGGCCGTGGCCGACCGTCCCAGCCCGGCAGCGCCCTCGCAGAACGCCCCCAGAAACGCCCTGCCGCTCCCCACGTCCGGCACGAACAGATAGACCCGGAACTGGCCCAGCATGGGGATGTCCAGCTGCACGTCGACCGGGTTGGCGTCGATATACCGCGTCACTTTGGCGGGAGGCATCAATGAGCCGGCCTTCGCCCCGTCCGTCCGGCTCGAGGAAGGCCGGGTCAACAGCCCGGGTGGGTATTCGGCTCCCACGCCGGAGATGAACCGGATGTTCTCGTCGAAGTTTTTCGCCAGCGCGGCCTCGCCCTGCGCAAAGGCCGCGACATGGCCCGCGTCGAAAGCGATCAGGTCGGTGGCGATCTTGCGGCGCTCGTCGGTGTAGCTCCCCAGCAGGGACGCATCGGCGAGTCCTCGCGCCACGAGGTTGATCTTCCAGGCCAGGTTGAGGCTGTCGTGCATGCTGGTGTTGGCGCCCTGGGCCGCCAGGGCCGAGTGGCAGTGTCCGGCCTGGAACCACGATCGTCAGCATCGTCCCTACCACACCCCCATCATCCAATCTCCGAAGAGAGAGAGACACACATCACCCGCAATGAAGACCCGGTTCTCCGGATCGGAGAAGTTGCGCGCCACGCGCTGTCCGACGACGTAGTTGCCGAACCATTCTTCCGTCGTTAGCATACCCATACCCATGCCCATCTGCCGCTCTATATGGAAAAGAGAGCACGTACCGATGGTCTTCCACTCCAGCCGGAACGGAGTCATCGCCTCGCGCGCCCTCGCCATCACGTACTCGGGGGTGGCTTTGGCCTTGTCGACGCGCTCGCCGTCGGTGGCGCTCAGCTCGACGTACAGCCGAGTCAGGTTGCGCTCGCGCGGAATCCACAGGATCGAGCCGGCCGTGTGCGATCGCACGGCCGTCTTGCTCCACAGGTCGGGGAAGTCGGTGTCGATGACGCCTTTCGCCAATCAATCAGTGATACGTTTGGGGAGGAAGGGAAATACCATCCAACACCCCCCACGACGCATTCGTCATCTCGCCCTCCAACTGCGCGTCCGGGATGAAGGTCCGCACCCTCGAGCGCGCCCCATCGCATCCGACCAGGTATCTCGTGTGGATGGTCCGCGTCGTCTGCGTCGTCCGGTCCTCGTAGGTGACCTGCAGGTCCTGATGCCCCCCTGGGGTGCGAGCGACCGAGACGAACGGGCTGTTGCGCTGGATGCGACCGCCGCGGGCTTCGATGTCGGCGATCAGCACCTCCTCCAGCATGCCCTGATGCGCCAGCAGGATGTAGGGGTCTGAGGCGCCGACCAGGTGGTCGGGGTAGTGAATCTGACGGCCGGTGCGGCGGAGGGGGGTCGAGGGAGTGGAGTCCTACGATTTATCTTCCGTATTAGTTGGGATGGGAAAGACGATATTGTGGTGATATAGATGTGGTGCAAAGGGGGGGATGTACCCAGAAGCAGATGTCGTAGACTTTGACCCCGTCGCGGAGCAGCGCATCGGCCAGGCGCAGCTGCTTCAGCGTCTCGATCGTTTTGGGTTGCAGCCCGTCGGCCTTGCCGGTGGAGGTCTTGTCGGGACGATCATCCAGGAGGATGACGGGGGTTCCGTAGCGGAGAAGATTCGAGCTGAGGGAGTGGTGTTGGGGTTAGTGGAGGGGGAAATCAAAATGGGAGGGGAGGAGAAGCAAAACGCACGCCAGCATCAACCCCGACGGACCGGCGCCCACCACCACCACTGTGGTCGACTGCGACGCGGTCGGGAAGCCCTCATTGTCAGCACTGGGAGCCATCGTGCGGAAAGTTTGGGTTCGGTCTGTTGGATCGGACGATGGCTCCATGGTGCCTGGTGGGTGTGTGTTATAGCGAGGAGTCGGCCAGATCATCGTGCAGGACCCCCCACTCTTGACTATTTGGCTCTCTCTCGGGGAGAAGTGCGGAGAACGATACGGGGGGAGATAATCGAGGAATGATTGAGTGAGAGAAAAAAAAAATCATGGTAGTAGTTACTATTCCTAGTAACTCTGTCTGTATGTAATCTAGCTAGGATCGATCACCACTTGGTCACCCCCCCATCCACGACCACATCCTGGCCCGTCATGTAGCTGCTCGCGTCGCTGGCCAGGAAGACACACGCCCCCATGATGTCCTCCGGCTCTGCGATGCGCCCGTTCATCGCCGCTGCCTTCCACTCTTCGATCAGATGGGGGAACTGCCATTCTATCATTAGTCTTTTTCTTTTTTTTTTTTTTTTTCTCGCAGATTTCATAGCGAAAGGAGAGGGATAGGGGACAACCCACCCCCGCCGTCATCTCCGTTCGCACATAGCCCGGCGAGATCGAGTTGACGCGGATGCCCTATCTTCATCAGCATCATGACGGACGTTCCCACCAGGACCACCGAATCTCACATGCTCCGCCAGCTCCTTCGCGATGGCCGGACACATGGCCCTCACGGCCCCCTTGGAGCCACAGTAGGCGCTGCACAGCTGGCTGCGCACGGCGACGTGGCTGGCCATGCTCGCCACCAGCACGATGCTGCCGTGGCGCGTCTGGTTGGCGATCATCTGGCGGGCCGCCCGCTGGGCCGTGTGGAACAGGCCCAGCACGTTGACGGCCAGCAGCTGCTGGTGATCGGCGAAGTCGAAGTCGAGGAAGGGCTGGTGCTGGTTGATGCCGGCGCAGGGGACGCAGATGTCCAGCGCGTGGTGGAACTCGGCCTGGAAGGAGGCGAACCCGGCGGCGAGGGAGGACGGGGAGGAGACATCCACCCTGGTTGTATATAAGTATTGCATTCATTCATTCATTCATTCATTCATTCCCCAAGATTTCAGTGACAGCATACCGGTAATAGGCCGTCTTCACCCGGTACTCCTTCTGGATGGCATGGAACCCCTCCTCCGGCTCGACCAGGTCGAAGATGGCCACGTCCGCCCCAGCCTCGGCCAGCCCGCGCGCAAACGCCAGCCCGCAGCCTCGGGCGCCGCCCGTCACCAGGGCTGTGCGGCCTTTCAGCGAGAACTGCATTTCCCCCGTCAATCAGCCTGGTCCCATCAACCGATCAGAACAGAAACGTCCCACTTACTCGAGACATGTCGTGAGATAGATCGATGGCGTGGTGGTTGTTCTTCTTCTTCTTCAGCCTGTTTCCCCCACCCCCTCTTTATTCTTCTCCCCCGACCGATAAGATCCGAGGTGGAACCCAATAACTAACCCTCCTGCCCTCAACCCCCATTCTTGACCCTTGCATCCCCATCCCACCTTATCGCGTGACAGCTGGATGGGGTTGGGGTGTCTCACTGCACCCGAGCTGCACTTATATCTGTCGGACAGCAGAGCTGGTCTGCTCTGACAATCGGATAGACACTCCCCCCCCCCCATGGCTCCTCCCTCGTTCCCCATCCAACAGAAACAGTCCCGGCCAGATGAGTCTCGCATGCAGGTATATCCTCCCTGCCCTGCCTCTCCTCGTGTCCTCTCATTCCAACCCTCACTGACGAATAGATCCTCATCATCGGCGCCGGGCTGGCCGGTCTCGGGACCAGCATCGCCTGCCTCCTGGCCGGCCACGACGTGCACCTGCTGGAAGCCACCCACGAGATCCGCGAGGTGGGCGCGGGCATCCAGGTGCTGCCCAACAGCTCGCGCGTGCTGCAGCACTGGGGCCTCGCCCACGCCCTGACCCCCCACATGACCGTCCCCCGCCAGTGCAACTTCCTCACCTGGAAGGGCCACCGCATCTCCAGTCTCGATTTCGCCGACTCGGAGCGCCAGTTCCCCGGGACCTGGTATCGGGATTTCCACCGCGCGGATCTGCAGCGGTGCTTGCTGGATCGCGCGGTCGAGCTGGGGGCCGAGGTGACGTGCGCGGCGAGGGTTGTGGATATTGTGGTGTCGCAGGAGGGGAGCCGGGCGACGGCCGTGGCGAGTGACGGGCGGCGGTGGACGGCCGATCTGGTCGTCAGTGCCGACGGCGTCTTTGGGAAGCTGACCGAGGTCATGCTCGGGCGTCCCGATCCGCCCATCAGGACGGGCGATCTGGCGTATCGGCTGCTGCTGTCGACGGAGGAGATGCGCAAGGATCCCGAGCTGCGGCCCTTCGTGACGGACCCTCAGGTGAATTACTGGCTGGGGCCGGATCAACATGCCGGTGAGTCGGTCTGGGGTTTCGGCAGGATGGGGGACTGGTGGCTGACGGCGACAGTGAATTACGTCCTGCGCAATGGCGAGCTGTTCAATATGGTGCTGCTGGTGCCCGACGATATCCCCGAGGAGTCGCTGGCCTCGACGGTCGAGGGGAACGTCGAGGAGATGTGTGCGCTGTTTGAGGGCTGGGATCCGCGGTGAGCATTCTCTCTCGGATCCGCTATGTGGTTGGTGTCTGTAGTCTGTATTCTGACAGCTGCAGGATCCAAAAACTCCTCAGACTCTGTCAATCTGTCCACAAGTGGCGTCTCTGCATCCGATTCGGGGACTACGACTGGACGCATCCCTCGGGGGCGTGGGTCATGCTGGGCGACGCGGTGCACGCCACCCTGCCCTACCTGGCCTCCGGGTGGGTTTCCCTCCCCCCTCCCACCAACTGTCGGTCTCGATGATACTGACGAGTTAGCGCGGGTATGTCCTTCGAAGACGGCGCCGTGCTCGGGGAATGTCTCTCTCGCCTGCCGACCGATATCTCCAAAACCTGCCCCGACTTCCTCTCCGCCAAGCGACACGCCCTGGCCGTGTTCGAGCAGTGCCGCAAGCAGCGCACCCAGATGGTCGTCGAGCGCGGCAACCTGCAGCAGCATTACTATCATCTGCATGACGGGGAGGAACAGCAGGAGCGCGACCGGAAGATGCAGATGGTCCCGACCCCCGAGGGCGAGGCCCTGGCCTGGCGCGATCCGGGGCTGGCTCCGAAGCTGCTGGGATATGATCATGTGGCGGATGTAGGTGCTTTCTTTCGGATTATGGCATAGCTGATGCTGACGGGTATAGGTGGATGCGAATTGGGATACGGTCGGGGAGAAGTTGGCGAGGTTGTAGGGCCTGGACAGGGTCTCGGTTGGAGAGAGTCTGGATCACTGGATATCTGGAATATAATCCGCTGGTTGCGTCTTCCATCACAAGTATGCCATCGACCTGGATGTCTTGCAGAAGACAAAGAGGATCATGCTTCTTCCATATCTAATTCAAAAGAAATCATGGTGAAGAGTGTGTCTCAAACAGAAAGACACCTTTATGTCTATATACTACGGCGTGATTTTGCATCCTGTGGTGTCTTCACCTGTCGCTGAAATCGTTTGGCCCCCCTATCACGAAAGAACTGAGGGGGTTGGAGAGAGATGACTGATCCGGCATCTAGGCTAGTTACAGCGACAGCGCAGTCTTCTGGCTGGTGGCTGGGAACTTGGCCTGGACTGACACGTCAGGATGGAGTGATATACTGTCTCCGTACTCCGTAACTGGAGCACTTTCTCGCTCTCTCACCCTCTCACCCTCTCACCCCAGACAGTACTTACCGACCGAATACGACCTCGATCGATCCTCTGCCGTGCCCTCCCCCGTCCATCTCCACCCGACAGCAATCCCCCCGGTCGCATCCCCCCAGAAACCCCCTATGATGATTCACCGTCTCCAGGGACCCAATATGACAGCTCTGAATACGAGGATTCTCTTCCCACCCGGAAGCCCCACATCCGTGCCGTCCGCGTTGCAGTCGCCCGGCTTATCTGCAGTCCAGCTGGATCTGGATCCTATCAGGGTTGGGGGAAGTTGGAGATTCAGGGGGGGGGGCTTATCTTGCTCGCTGGAATACATCCAGGCCTGGAGGGAGGAGTGACATTCGTAAGTCACCGGCAGGAACCACCACATCACACCACACCAATCTAGACTGGACCAGGAGACACAGACAATAACATACATATATTTGAAAATACTACGGGAGTTTCCATGAGTTCATAATAGCCATCCTACTTGACACCCCCCTTTAACTCAACACCGTCTCCAACACCTTGGACGCATACTTCTTCACCCCCGTCTTCGCCGGCTTGGCCTCCTCGTCGCTGGTCTCCGCATAGAACCGCCGCAACCTGTCCAGGTCGATGGTGCTGGTGTCCACCCACCACGGCCCGCGGTAGTAGATGCGCGCCCCGAGATACAGCACCACGATGGCCACCACCGACACGTAGTTGGCGAAGAAGTTCTTCGCGTTGGGGTTGCCGCCCAGCGGCCACAGGCTCAGGTAGAACTCCGCGATGATCAGCAGGATGCACCAGAACAGGCCCCAGATCGCCCCGTAGGGGTATGTCCACGACCGCCACGGCAGGTCCTCCACCGACCGTCCCTGCACCTTCCACGCGTGCCGCATCCGCAGGTGCGACAGGCAGATCGTGCCCCATCCGAACAGCGTGAACAGGGAGGTCAGGTTCGAGAACCAGGTGAACACGTTGGCGCCGCTGTTGCTGACGTTCAGGTACGCCAGGCCACCGCCGATGATCAGGGTGATGGCCAGTCCGGCGACCGGGCGACCGGAACTGTCAGCCTTGCCGAAGATCTGTACCCAGACGAAAGGGGGGGGTGTGTGTGAGTGGGGAGGCATTCCTGGCAGAGAGAGGGAGGGAAAGGGCCGGTCTCACTAACCTTGGGAGCCATGCGCAGGTGCGTCAACCCCATCAGGGTGCGCGAGCCTCCGTAGGCCGAGATACTGCCCGTCGACAGCACCGAGATGAAGATGACCGCGTTCATGATGTGCGCCAACGGGGCCAGACCAGCGTTGCGGTAGGCGATCACAAAGGGCGAGGCGTTGACCCCCGTGCCTCCGAACAGGTTGGGGTCCTTGGGGGACACGGTGATGGTGATCATCAGCGAGCCCAGGATGTAGAACAGCGACAGACGCAGCCAGATGGAGCTGACGGCCCGCGGCACGGCCTTGCGCGGGTTGTCTGTCTCTGCAGCCACCAGGGCCGAGTTCTCCGAGCCGGACATGGCGAAGATACACGTCGGCATCACCGACAGGAAGCCCTTGAAGCCGTTCGTGAAGGGCATCGAGTTCCAGTACCGGAACCCAATCGGGCCTTCCTTGGGGGCACCCCCGGCCGAGACCACTATACCGGAACATGAGCAGGATTCTTCCACCAGGCTCGAACAAGGGGGACGCACCGATCAGAGAGATGATCACGATGAAGATCCAGCCGAACTTGATGGACGAGGCCACCACCTCGACCTCCCCGAAGAATTTGACCGCAAACACGTTGATGAAGATGATCACAATCCAGAAGATCGTGATCCACGCCGCCGTCGGCACCTTGTCTGTCCAGAAGTTGAGCACCGTCACGATCCCCTAACCCGTCCCCCATCATCCCCCCCCGTCAGCAGAGCCCACCGCATCGCGGAGAAGGAAGTCGCCGTACCTGTAGCTCGTTCGCGATGGTGATGAAGTAAGAAAACCAGTACGCCCAGCCCAGGGCAAAGGCCGCCGACCGGTCGATGAACATCTCCGTCCACTGCGTGAAGGCCGAGGGCAGCGGGTACATGACCGCCATCTCCCCGATGGAGTGGCTGACCGACCAGATCATGGTGCCACTCAGCAGGTAGCCGATGAAGATAGCCGCAGGACCGCCGTTCTCGAGGGATTCACCACTGCCCAGCCACAGGCCCATGCCGATGGACGAGCCCAGCGCGATCATGGTCAAGTGCCGCGTGGACAGGCTGCGCTTCAGGTCGGTCTCCGCTCCATAGTCGACGTCCACCGAGGACCAGCCCGTGGCTGGCTCGCCTTTCTTCTCCTCATGGGGGCTCCGGTTACTGGAGGTCTCGTAGGCCGCCGTGGCGGAATCTTCAGCCATCGTTTGGGGGGGGGAGGGGGAGGAGGTAGAATGTGGTGAGGTGGGAAACAGAGGGCACCGGAAGAGGCGAGAGAGACGAACCCTCTGGACCGGGGAGGGGGGGGATCAGGGGAGATTATATGTATGGAAGGCCCTCGAGGGCCGCTGTACCACCGTGAATCTGATTCCGAGTTGCAGATAAGAGGTCGTCGTGTATCAGACCATTCCTACTAGTGGGCTTGGCCGTCACCGACCAGAGATAAACCCTATAGATAGGCAGTGCGAATCGCCACCCAGCGCGTCAGTTCATCCGGGCAGAACAGTGTTCTGGAAGGCAAGAAGGAGCGATGATCCCTGTTGCGAGCGCTGATAACCAAGTCTCCGGCCGCCCAATTGCGGCCGTCCCAGGCCCTGTGTTATCACGCCTCCCTGATGGTCGTCTCACCTGATATGCATCCTCCTGGGTTCCCTTGGCTCGCCGCAAATAGGACTCGTCCCACGGCGCCTCGTGGGTGGCCTCGGGGCGCACAGGGTTACATCACGGCTGGCCAGCCCCCGGAATGCGCCAGAAACGGGCTGGCAAGAGGAGGAGTGGAAGGTGAATACTAGGCGAGACGGCTGCGGTCTGTCACCCACCCCCGCGCGGGTGCCCCCTATCCATGGTCCATCCCTTGCATCCTGGACAGCTGGACGATCGGCGACGCAGGATGGATTGACACCTGGGGAAACGCGGATTAGCTCGCGGCCTAGTTGCACCAGGCGGAGTGCCTGGATGCACGTCGGGCCATCATCCATCCATGGGGATTGGCGATTCAGGAGGGCCGAGGCGGGTCCGGCTATCAGTGCGCGAGCAGGAAAGGGCCAGCCAGCCAGAGGCCGAGGCAGTTATCTCTGGGCACGACTTGAGGGCATTGGCTTATCTTTGCGAATCTGACACGGACGGATCCAATCACCCAGCAATGAGGGCAATCAGGGCAATCAGGGCAATCAAGTGGCTTGGCCTCGAGCTAATTTTGGCCCGCCTATGGGGGCCGACCAGATTAAGCTATCGGCCTAGTAGTTGTTGCCCTCCAGTCTCTGCAGGCTGCCTCAGGCGACCTTTTCCGATGTCACTTGCTCATTGTCACCACCGTTGGCGTCAGACTCAGACTCCGACTCAAACTTTTGTCTCTCTCTCTCTCTCTCTCTCTCTCTCTCTCTCTCTCTCTCTCGAAGGAACGGGTGCGGTTACTGTCGGATCGGGCCATCGCTGCGGAGTGCTGACCAGTTGCCCTATTTCTTCAGGTCTGGCCCAATGCCGAGGAATGCAACCCTTGCGTCCGGCTCTGCCACACGTGGCCCAGCGGTCGAGACGCCTCTGGATGCAACACAACCTGGTCATCTCCGTCCCGCCGATCCGTGGGACTAGCCCTTCCCCACGGTCGCATTCTTGCGGGGTTTCTCTATCTGGGACATGTCTCTGGCAGGGAATGACAGGGAGGCAAGCTGAACCGTTCGGTGGCGGAATCCCGAGTTGGGGTTGGGTGGGCCATGATGATTCCCAGTGGCTCTCCCCGGATTCCCTCCCCCCTGAGAGCCCTGAGAAGAACCCGGTCTTCACCGCCACTCCGAGTGCATCTCAAGGTGCGTCGCCTTCAGCTCGCCCGGGATACCGGCCAGGGTCGTCCCTTGCGTCGCCTCGTGTTCGGGCTTGACATGTCGATGGGCCGGAGAGCTCACCGCCGCCACTGCAGATATTGAACAGAGGGCCTGTCAGGAGGGCTTTTTGCGAGTTTGGCGGTACAGGAGAAGGTGAATCATGGACTGTATGGAATCCGGGTAAGACGATGCAAGGGGAATGCAGGGGTGAATTGGGTGGCAGTATGACAGGGCAGAATCGCTGCAGCAATATATATAATAATGGCTTCCGTTTCCGTTTGCTTCCTGAGAATCAAGTCCTCGGGGTGTTGGTCAAAAAGACATGTACCCGGAACTGAAGTAGCAAAGAAACTACTATTGCTAGGACAAGAAGGGGGACAGTCAACAGTGTTGCTATCAGAAGGTAGAAAAAAGAAGACCCCCCTCCCCCCTTGCCAGTGAATGATAGACATAAATCACATGAAGATAGATAGCCACCACAACACGCCCTACGGAGTACACCCCCCCCCCAAAAAAAAGAAAGAGATGCTCACACTCGGATTCGAACCGAGGACCTCATGATTACTAGTCATGCGCTCTACCAACTGAGCCATGCGAGCTGATTGGATGCTTTGGTGATCAAAGGATTGTATTATAATGCCGTCACAATGGAATTAATACCCCCCTGATTCCAGCCCAACAAAGACTGCAGCATTTCTTTTGTTGATGTCGGCTGTTGATGGTTGATTTCTTGCCCGGAGACTCCAGTCTATCGTGCTATCTACCAATGACCCCACCCTTTGGCCAGAGCAAAGTCTCAGGAGGAGTTGTGTGGCGATTGACCCCCTTATGAAGTATTGACAATGATCCGAGGACACCAGCAAAGTTTCCAACTATCATGCTTCTCTTTGGCCTGAGCAAATGTCTGTCCAGTCTCCCTCAGTGCATCCATAGCCAACCTGTGTCTCTTCCCCCTCGATCATCGCCGGCGAGAGCTAACCCAGAACACCGTACCAGTAGACTATACGTCCTAGGCGGCACGGATCGACTCCTTTCTCCTGTTGACTGATATAGCTCCTAGAAGCCATGGAACCTCACGAACGCGCCAGAGCCGGCTCTTACCGTCCCTCCGCCCCCCTTCCCTTCCACATCTACAACCAGGATCCGGACACCCGGCTGAACGATTGCGTCATCACAAAGAGGGTCGGGACGCGGTGCCATATATGATAAAACGCGTGGGTATGATGTTGCTTCCATTTTCGCTCTTGACGATATCAAGCCGCTGCGCGACGCGTTGTTGGGTGATATGCCACACGGTTGTAGCCCAGCATTCAAGAGCAACACTCGACAGCAGTGGACGTACCCACTAGATGCCAATGCCATCCACGGACTGAACTCGCTAGAAGGGCTTATACCGGGAGCCAAAAATCAAGCCTACTAGCTGAGTGTCGGCCAGAACACCATGTTGTTTGTGAGCCAACCCAAACACCGTCGGATACAAGTAGGAGGTTGATGCCATCGGTGTCTCCGAAGACGGCTTTCAGTTCGAGCATCATCCCCCACAGAGGGAGGTATTTCCGACAAGAAACGATCGTACTTTCACCCCCTGCCGATATTTGGTAGCAGTATTAGGCCGCACGACCAGCCTCGAGTCGGACCAACAGAACGTATCGTGGACAAAATACCGGTAGTCATATCCAGAAAACGTCCCACGCGATGCCAGATGCCCCATGGTACGGCAGCATCGGTAAAGACTGGGTTGCGTTCCGAGAGTCTGAGAACCTTGGATCCAGCACACGGCACGTACCGTCGGATTGATAATGAGTCAACGACTCGATCCGCCATTGACTTCCAATACTTCCGGCGGAAGAGTAGGGCAGGGTTGACAAGGAGGGCAGTTGGGCTTCTGTGCTTTGGGCGACGGTTGAGGCGTCACCGCTGCGACGGCCACCCGGATCGGATCATACGGCCGTGGAAGATAATTAGACCAAGCCACCGAACAGCAAGGGCGTCCTAATCTGGCGGCTACCATGAGGATTTGGCAGCTTTGGCGAAGACTCGACCTGGCATGCAGGCCGGATTAGGTCTTCCCAGCGCCTCTCCCGGCCTCGGACGCCATCCCGACGGGGGCGGGCTGGAGAGCATCGGGTGAATCCCTATCCCTCCCCGCTGGTCTGGAGAAGGGCAGCTGTCACTCCCTTAGTCTCCGTCGAAAGACGATGACGATGCGGCAGAATTATGACGTCGAAGACAGGTCCTCCACAGAACCTCCACAGGACCTCCACGAGGTCTCCGCATGGCAACTCCTCCGGCCTCTCCAGGATTGCAGCCCCCGCCTCCCCGGCCAGGGCCCCCAGGGCAAGCAATATACCCGACATCGGTTAAAAAAGCCATTCACCCGGCCAGGGCCACGAACTGGGAAAATCTCCGAGGCAGAATCAACCGACTGGATCCGGGGCCCAATAGCCTTCCCCACTTGGGATGCGGAGGGCTGCGAGGGCTGCCTACCCCCCCCCCCCCCCCCCCCGGATCCTGTGATTCGCGCACCCGCCTTGAATCCCCGGACCTCCGCATTGCTAGCATCCCTTGGGGGCGATGATCCCTTCTCGTTCCAGCCCCAGGCCACTTTAGCCCCATGCGTGTCTCGCACCACCCAGCTGCCACCACTGCATCTCCTCCGGGAGTGACGCCACGGCTTGGATGCTGGATGCTAGAGGCCAGCCGTGCCAGCCCGGCCGGGTACCTCTTCGGCAGCGAGCCTGCCCTGCTCTCTATATAACCTCCCCCGGACCCGAGTCGAGTCGGTTCTCCGCATCTCCATCCGAGTGCAGTCCAGCCATCGCGGGCAATTAATTCTTTTTTGTGGACACCATGTATCGGATTACAAACATCTACCGTATGTCAAGAGTCTTTCCTACCCGGCTCCTGTGGCCCTCCAACTGACAGCCAGCCTGACCAGTTCTTGCCGCCTTCGGCACCATCGGCGGTGCCCTGTTCGGCTTCGATGTCAGCTCCATGAGTGCCTGGATTGGCACGGAGCAGTACCTGGAATACTTCCACCATCCGGACTCGGACTTGCAGGGTGGTGTAAGTGGCCTGGCTTTGGTAGACCGCCGCACGGGACCCGTTGACGCTGATACGATCGGCTCTAGATCACGGCCTCCATGTCTGCGGGCTCGTTTGCCGGTGCCCTCGGGGCTGGCTTCCTGTCCGATCGCCTCGGTCGTCGTCGTGCGCTCATGATCGCCTGTGTGGTCTGGGTCATCGGCGCAGCCATCCAATGCAGCACGAAGACTGTGGCCCAACTGGTCGCTGGTCGAGTCGTCAGCGGTCTGGCAGGTACGTGCTCGGGCTCTGCCATGGTCAACCCCCCCCCGTCGCGTCTAACCCCCTCGGCAGTCGGCGTTACCTCTTCGCAGGTTTGTGTGTATCTGGCCGAGCTGGCTCCGGCGCGCATCCGAGGCCGCATCGTCGGGATCCAGCAGTGGGCCGTGGAATGGGGCATGCTCATCATGTACCTGATCTGCTATGGCTGCGGCAAAGGTCTCGCGGGGGCGGCGTCCTTCCGGGTCTCCTGGGGCATCCAGGGGGTCCCAGCCCTGGTTCTTCTCGCAGCGCTGCCGTTCTTCCCCGAGTCGCCGCGTTGGCTGGCCGGTCAGGAGCGTTGGGAGGAGGCCCTGGACACCTTGGCGCTTCTTCACGCCAGGGGGGACCGCAACGACCCCGTCGTCCAGGTGGAGTTCGAGGAGGTGCAGGAGGCCGTGCGGATTGCCCGTGAGGCCCAGGACGTGACCCTCCTGTCGCTCTTTGGCCCCAAGATGTGGAAGCGGACCGCCTGCGGTCTCAGTGCCCAGGTCTGGCAACAGCTGCTGGGAGGCAATGTCGCCATGTACTACGTCGTCTACATCTTCAACATGGCGGGAATGGTAAGTCTGACTGTCCTTGATCTGGGCGTCCGAGTCTGACCTGGCGCAGTCCGGCAACACCACCCTGTACTCGTCGGCCATCCAGTATGTCATCTTCCTCATCACCACCGGCATCATCTTGCCCTACGTCGACCGCATCGGGCGGCGGCTGTTGCTGCTCACCGGGTCGATCCTGTGCATGGCCATGCACTTTGCCATTGCCGGTCTGATGGCCTCGCGCGGTCACCACGTGGACGAGGTGGACGGCAATTCCAACCTGCGATGGGAGATCGACGGGGCTCCCGGCAAGGGAGTCATCGCCTGCTCGTACATCTTCGTCGCCGTCTATGGCTTTACCTGGGTATGCGCCCCTCCCCCATCAACCCCCTCAGCTGGCACATCAAGACTCATGGAACTGTACATCTAGGCCCCAGTCGCGTGGATCTACGCGTCGGAGGTGTTCCCCCTCAAGTACCGCGCCAAGGGCGTCGGTCTCTCGGCCGCAGGCAACTGGATCTTCAACTTCGCGCTGGCCTACTTCGTGGCGCCGGCCTTCACCAACATCCAGTGGAAGACGTACATCATCTTCGGGGTGTTCTGCACCGTCATGACCGTCCACGTGTTCTTCTTCTACCCGGAGACGGCGCAGCGGTCCCTCGAAGACATCGACATGATCTTCGAGACGAACATGAAGCCCTGGAAGACCTCCCACATCCCCGACCGGTTCGGCGAGGAGCTCGAGCGACACCGCCAGAAGAGCGTGGTGGACCCGGAGAAGGGGGCGGACACGACGCACGATGAGATGGCATAGATTTTATAGGATGAGACCTGGTCGGGAGGGGGATCGGTCCGGGGTCGCGCGAGAACGATTGTTCCGAAGTTATAGAATATGACAGACAGATCTCACGGTTGATACACCGCATGGCGAATGGGGCTACAGCCACTGTAGATTCTCGAATCCCCGGAATTGGGGTTTGTTGTTTCGGGCCGCGTGGTAGGGCCACGTATTTCTCCCGATTGGTGGAAAATGTGTTCCGTCTCGGGGACGCCGTGCAGCTGCGGTACTTAAGGACTTACGAGCAGTAAAGTAGTAGTAGTAGTAGTAGTAGTAGTACTTTAGTAGTAATTTAATAGTACTCATGTCGACGGTTTTGTCAAACTCGGAAGGAATGCCGCATGGCCGACTCGCTAACTGCATCGTGTCTGGAGGCTGGATACATCATCTCCTACCGCCAACCCACAGGTGACTTTCTCGATTTTCACCCAAACAATTCTGATTAGATTCACTTTTACCTATGCTTCAGTCACGTCGATTGGGCGATGTTTTTTTTTTTTTCTTTTTTAGAGTGCAGCGATAATTTATACTGTATGCGGGAGGTAAATGACGTCATGATCGGCTCTCCACGTGTGCCGACCAGATCCAACCCTGGATGAGCCATCCATCTTGCATCAGTTCTACACTTTAACACTGTGATACAGAGTGGTATCAGCGCATACGTCATGGTCTCCCGCCAGCCACGGCCCGCCCTTTTATACCCGCCCCAGACGTGGCAGACTTCATCGCAACCGACTCTCACCATCACCGATCTTCCCTCGCAAGAATATCTATCCACCATGGACACCATCAAGCAGGCCCTCGGAACCCCCTCCGCCCACACCGAGGAACAGCAGCGCCACATCTACGACAACCTCCCCGCCGAACAGCGCGAGAAGCAGTCCTACGCCGACTGGGTCAAGGAGGTCTACAACGACCAGTACGAGAAGTGGATGCCCTGGCTGGAGGACCAGTACCTGAAGTGGTTCGGGAACGGGGACAATAAGGCGTCGTATGCCACCAAGGGTGAGTCGAGTCTAGTCGGCCTCTGTCTTGGGGCCTCCTTCCTAAACCCAACGGGGCGCATCGCTGACCCCATCCAGACAGCCTCTCCAAGACAAAGATCACGGGCAGCAAGCAAGTCGATCAGATCCAGGACGATGTGAACAACCTCATCGGGAACCAGGTCGGCGAGAATGGGCTTCTGGCCCCCTTGGGCAACATGGCGTCGAAAGAAGGCATCAACCGGGCTGAGCGCGGTGGCAAGGATGACCAGGGCTCCTATGGAGGACCGATGGCGGGCATCACCGACCCCGTGGACGAGACGTCGCAGCGTGCTGGCCAGGGCCTGTCGTCGGGGATCCAGTCGGCGGGTTCTTCTCTTGCCAGCGGAGCCCAGAATGTGGGGAGTGTCCTCCCGGGATTCGGCAGCAAGTGAGCCTTCGTAAGGTTGCCATTCGTCTGTTAGCCAGTTCGCGCGCCATCATCTGAGCATCGCATGTTTTTTATATCCATCTTGACTGTGTACTATTGAATTATTATTCCCATCCGCTCAAGCGAACATGCAACATGCAATGAACCACACTTTCATGCCACCATTCTATCAATCCAAACATGATCATCCCAAATCCGCCCCATATTCCCTCATCCAACCGTACGGCGTGAAACATCACTATCCTCCCTCACCTGTCCCCCCCCCTCCCCCATCTACAGGTCAACACGAGACGGCGCCACCTTCCACACCCTCAAGATCCCATCCATTCTCCCGTCCGGATCAAATCGTCCAAACCACCCGGCGGCATAATCATTGTAGCTCTCTTCGTTGTCGGCCATAAAGTGTTCAACGGCCCGCTCGATCGCCCCCTTCACGGAGGACCTGCAACACGGGAACTCTTTGGATGGCTCGTATCGGTACTTCAACCCACCGATCGTGTCCGCGATGGTGGGACACACATCGTACTGCTCGGGGCTCTGTGTCAGCCGCTCGTAAAGCGACGTGGCGAATGAGGGGATGGGGATGCCGTAGAAGGAGGGCGCGCTCTGAAGGTCGCGTTCCTCGCCCCAGGCCTTGTCGAGCTCCGTTTGGAACCCGTCGCGCAGGTACTCTCGGTAGCTGGCTTGGAGCTCGCGGTCGCAGAGCGGCTTGACGATCACATCTTCCGGGATGACAGCGCACTGCTCGGCCTTGGAGCTAGCTAGGACAGGCGCGGCGGAGAGGCTGGTGAGAGCCAGAAGGGCGGTTGCGATGCGCATGGCGATGGGAACCAGTGATTTTGAGAGACAGAGGAGGAAGGTGGGAGGAGAAATTCAACGGGTTGTTGTTGGGTTGGAGATGTTGACAGCGACATCATATTTATAGACGAGTGTTGCCTTGGGCCCACTGCGAGTCATCAACACAGATGCTAGCTGCACTGCCCGGCTCCTAGCTTGGCCCTAGAGAGTGCTAGGCCCATGGTTCTTCCACCGTCCCAGATACTGGACTCATGACTGGTAGATCCAGGGCAGCAGCGGATGCCCTTCCAACCAACTCTCCGTATGACCCATCCTCAGCAGGCTGGTCCTACTGGTCTGGAGGGACCGTTTTGATCCACCTCTCTCCCAGTCCATTGAGGCTTAGGAACTGTGATAGCCTGCCAGTGTGGGCCATCAGGTCCACCCGGGAGCTCATTGGCTGTACGACTGATGCCTGAATATGTAGGCAGGCATACAGATAGCACGTGACGCACAACTCCAACATTCGTAAGCCTGGCACAACACTGCATAACGCATTCCGGCATAACCCTTGACGTCACCCTCAAGAGATGGATGGCCTACTTCCCTTGGCAGCCTCATCCTGAGGGCGGGCCAAACCTCGTATCCAGGAATTCGGGGCTTTTCAAGCAGTGGAGCCGACTGGTAGCGGGTAGAATATAGGTCGATCCGAGTGCTGCTTCGGATGATGTGCAGGATGCAGGGGATGCGCAGGATAGTGGGGCGCAAATCAGCTACTGGGGGCAGCAACCGACACCATGTGGCACAGGGCTGAGTTTAGCATATCGGACGAGAATTGTCCCGGTCGGCGGTAGGGTGCTGCTGTTCATTCTTGGAGATCAGGGATGCTCGGGCTGGGGAGGTAGGATTATACTCCTACTGGCTATCGCCCCGTCGCTCTGCCTATTTGAAACAACAAGCATCTGAGCCAGCACGCCTGATCCATCGTGGGATGCACACACCATGCCCGATACGAGCCAGATGCAGGTAGCCCCGCAGAGCCAACGTTCCGCCTGGTACCACCACCAGTAGAATCGTGGGATAGAAGGGCCCTATGTTACTGGCTTATGAGAGGGCTTGTCCGACCCCATGAGACGCGGATTACTGCACCTGCAGGGAGAGACAGAGGGACTGCAAAACCGAGACTCAGGATGTGTACAGCTTCTGGTTGCGTTGCATTCTTCAGGAGGGCACGACACTCACCCACCTGTGAGAGCTGAGGTTGACCTCCAAGGCACACCCGAGATGGAGGGATGGAATACGAGATCCTCGGCCGACGGGCCTTGTATAAGACGAACCCACATCTCCGTTCAGAATGCCATATTGAGCTTCAGTATATCCCAATCCAAGGAAGAACACCTTTTTCGTATATTCGACAGACCATGTCATCATTGACCACAATGGACTTCGGCAGTTGTGGAACAAGCATCCTGCCCGCGTACAAGCCGGCTCCCCCAACCAACCTGCCACTGGATGCTGTTAACAAGGAGATCATCACCCAGGATAGCGACCAGGAAGCATGGTGGGAGAAGACTGGCCCCCTCCTTGCTAAAGTGCTTGCATCGGCTCGCTATAGCCCCGCCCAGCAGATCAAATACCTGACCTTCTACCGTAACACGTTCATTCCCCGGCTCGGGCCCTATCCCCACCGATTCCGCTGCGCCATCTCCCTGGGCGGTCTGCCCCTCGAGTTCAGTGTGAACTACCAGCAACATGGCAGCCCTCACCCCGTCGCCCGGATCGGGTTCGAGCCGCTCAGCCCGTTGTCGGGCACAGAGCGGGACCCGTACAACCGTCTCACGATGCAAGAGTTCGTCGGGGAACTGGAAAGGCTCCAGATCCCTGGATTCGATACCCGTCTGCTGGAGCGGTTTTGGGCCCTCCACGCGCTGACCCCGGACGAACAGGATAGCCTGAAAGGCGCCGCCCCGGAGTACAGTGACCGCCGCTCGCAAGGCATGTTCGGGTTCGACGTCAGGGACGACGCCATTTCCGTCAAGGGGTACACGCTCCCGATGCCGAAGTGCCAGGTGACCGGGCAGAGCGTCGCCAGCTTACACCGGGAGTCCATCCGGCAGCTGGGCTCGATGCTGGACTACTACTCGGCCGCCTTCCCCCTCATGGACGCGTACATGGAGGAGACGGGCGGGTACGAGCGGTCGGCATTCTTCTCGTGGGACTGCACGGCGCCGGCCCAGTCTCGGCTCAAGTTCTATGGCTATGAGATCGAGGTGACCTGGGCCAAGATGGAGGAGCTGTGGACCCTGGGTGGCCGCGTACAGTCTCCGACACGGGCTCGCGGGCTCGAGTATCTCCAGGAGCTGTGGGAGGTGATGGAGCTGCCGTCGGGGCCCCGGCCGGTGACCGAGGATTTCAACGCCGGGGCGACCCCGCGTCGGACGCCAATCGTGTATAACCATGAGATCCGGGCGGGGGACCCGGTGCCCATCACCAAGCTGTACCTGCCTGTGCACGGCGAGAATGACGGGCGGGTGGTGCGAGCCGTGGCACGGTTCCTGCAGCGAATCGGGCTGGAGGAGTATGGCGCGGGGCTGGAGCAGACGGTGGAGGATTTCTAGTGAGACAGACCACCCCTTCGATGACCCCCTTGAGCCCCCGGGGGTGGAATTGGGTTGCCACTGACTGGATGTGCTATCCTTAGCCCCGAACGCGACCTGGGCAAGACGTCGTGCCTGACGTCGTGGATCTCGTTCGCGTACAGCGAGAAGACGGGGGTGTATTTGAGCGTGTATTATCACGCGTCATCGGACTATCCATGGACCAAGTATGAGGATGGGGATGGAGCGTAGAGGACCGGTTGGGGGGGATTGGTGGGGAACACGGAGATTCTGGAATCACTTGACGCGACTCTCGTATCGGTTTGGTTGTTGGGCCAAGAATGCAGCTGTCTTTGGTGGTGATTGCATTACCCGGATTACCAGTACAGTACGAGATACGTAAAGTAGAGGTCAATCCTCAGGCAGCCCGGGTGAGGCGCGGCTAGTCCCGACGCGGCAAGTGCGGTGCCTGATGCCGCCTTATCAGCTGACTGGGGGTTGTTATCTTGTTTCCTGTTTGGAGAAGTCCGGAGTCCTACTTGACCATCCTCATCCCTCTCTCTCCCTTCCTTTCCCTCTCCTCACCTCACCTCTTCTCCTCTCTTCTCTTCCCTCCATTCCTCTCCCTCCAACTTCAATCCCTCCCCCCCCCAACTGCATCTTTTATCCTCCACCATGCGCGTCGACTCCAAGGCGCTCCCCCTGGTCCCACTGCTGCTGGGCCCGGTCGGGGCCCTCCAGCTGCCCCTGTACCAGACCCACGACCCCATCGCCGCCGACAAGCCCCTCATCAGCTCCCCATTGCTGCAGGAGCAGGTCAAGGCCGAAAACCTGCTGCACCGCGCTCGTCAGCTCTACAAGATCGCCGAGTTGGGCCAGGAGGAGTATAACCACCCCACCCGCGTCATCGGCAGCAAAGGTAACCAACCAGCCGTCCTGTCCTGTCCTGTCCTGCCCATCCCCGCACCACTGACGCCTCCCCCCTCCAGGACACCTCGGCACCCTCGACTACATCTACTCCACCCTCACCGACCTCGGCGACTACTACACCGTCTCCAACCAGTCCTTCCCCGCCGTCACCGGCAATGTCTTCGAGTCCCGTCTCGTCCTGGGCCACACCGTCCCCGAGTCCGCCACCGCCATGGGCTTGACCCCCCCGACCAAACACAAGGAGCCCGTCTACGGCCAGCTCGTCGCCGTCGCCAACCACGGCTGTGAGGCCTCCGACTACCCGTCCGACCTCGCCGGCGCTGTGGCCCTCATCAGTCGAGGCACTTGTCCCTTTGGAACCAAGTCGGACTTGGCCGGCAGGGCGGGCGCCGTCGCCGCCGTCGTCTACAACAACGAGCAGGGCGACCTCAGCGGCACGCTGGGCACCCCGACCCCGGATCATGTCTCCACGTTCGGCATCTCCGACACCGATGCCGCCCCGTTCCTCGAGAAGCTGCACCGGGGCGAGAAGGTCGATGCCATCGCCTACATCGACGCCATCGTCGAGACCATCCACACCACCAACATCATCGCCCAGACCACGGGCGGCGATCCGGACAACTGTGTCATGCTGGGTGGGCACAGCGACAGTGTCGGGGAGGGCCCCGGCATCAACGATGACGGCTCCGGCAGTTTGACCCTGCTGGAGCTGGCCACCCTGCTCACCCAGTACAGCGTCAACAACTGCGTGCGGTTTGCCTGGTGGGCCGCCGAGGAGGAGGGTCTGCTCGGCTCCGACTACTACGTCTCGGTCCTCACCCCGGCGGAGAACCAAAAGATTCGCCTCTTCATGGACTACGACATGCTTGCCTCCCCCAACTTTGCATACCAGGTGTACAACGCCACCAACGCGGTCAACCCGGTGGGCTCGGAGGAGCTGCGCGACCTGTACACCGAGTTCTACGACGACCACGGCCTGAACTACACCTTCATTCCCTTCGATGGCCGGAGCGACTACGATGCCTTCATCCGTCACGGCATTCCGGGCGGTGGCATCGCCACCGGTGCGGAGGGGGTCAAGACCGTGGAGGAGCAGGCCATGTTTGGGGGCGTCACCGGTGAGTGGTACGATCCGTGCTACCACCAGCTCTGCGACACCGTCGCCAACTTGAACCTGACCGCCTGGGAGTGGAACACCAAGGTAGGACCGTCCGCAACGTGTGATCCCCGTGCGACAGCTGGCTAACCCATCTCTCTTCCGGCAGCTGGTCGCCCACTCCATTGCGACCTACGCCAAGTCGTTCGACGGTTTCCCGGAGCGGACTGAGGAGACCAGTGTCTCTTCCATGGAGGAGCCGAAGTACCACGGTCCCTCCTTGAGACAGTGATCGTACTCCAGCTCCCATCCAGCTCGGGCTAGCGTCGTATTATTAGACATTGGATTTTCGGATGAGCATTTTTCAGCGCGTTGGACGAGAATTTTGGGTAGTACAGGCATATTTATACCACTAATATCAATAAGGCCAGACCAGTTCTTGGCGTACCACCTAAGCCCCTTGTCATTCTTGTCCCTTTCCCGTATGCACTCTCGCGGACTATCTATCAACTGCCGAGTAACCCTCGGTCCTTTCGGACGATCGGTCTGCATAACTATGGTCGACGCCCACTGACCCCCCAGTCTCCAACGATGGAAAGTCCCCGGTTGGATATCATCCGGTTTAGGCACGGGGGTTTCCTTTTGGGGTTGAGCCGAGGAAGGCATTACGTGACAGACTCCCGATCAGGAAGAGCGACCTTAGCCCCTGAGGATTAGTAGTGCCTTGGTATGGCTGCTGACAGCTCTTCAGACTGGTAGATGATCCAAAGACATTCACCCCGCAGCTCAAACCTGATTCGCGTGGGAACAGGGCGATGCTATACTTAGCTCTGCAGTGATTTCTATTGACACGGGGTTCATTTCATCATCTTCCCCGATCAGTCGATGGATCAGCAACCCGGAGGCCCGGTTGAAACGTTGGTGGGCCGGGGAGTGTCGGGGATTGACACTAGGCCCGGCCTTGCGACCACCCTAGACGCTCTCAGGGTCCGGATCGAGGACGGACGTGAAACAGCTGCCCCAAACGACCTGCGGTAAAATATCTGCAGAATGCAGACATGGACTATGTCCGGCTCTGGTGCCCCCTGGACAAGGCCGTTCGCGGTGGAGACATCTTCGGTTTGAAGATTTTAACGGCACGGAAAGGACCTCTGCCGTTTGGGTTCCGGTCTATAAAGTGACGGGGACCCAAGCTGAAGAGAGTCAAGTTGCTTCAAACATCTAGTTTTTCCTTTCTCGGCCCTATCCGAACTACCATCACCATGCGCGGAGTCGAAGCCCTTGCGTTCCTCGCCACTGTCGGCGCTGCCTACGGCCAGAGCACGGTCGGATTCGGCCCCTACTTCTCCCTGGGCCCGACCCAGTCGTGGATCCGCGAGGCCAACACGACGCTGGTGCTGCCGGAAGCTCCCAGCCCCCAGAAGGACCGTCTGGCCCTCTGGCCCGGCATGGGCACCAGTGGCGGTGACCTGATCCAGGCTCTGGCCGTCTCCTTCTCCGACCCCAATGCGTAAGTTCTCAACAGACATGATGGATGCACTGGAAACTGTTGCTGAATAATGTTTGCAGCAACTGCGGCGCGAGTGCCGGGCAATGGTGTACCTGGGCCAGCACGCTCGAGGGCACCCAGTTGGGCGGCAAGGAAGTCCCGGCCTCGGCGGGCGACAGGATCACCATGCACTGTAAGGATTTTACCTCTTCAAAGAGCCTTTGCTGTTACAGCCTGCTCACCCATCCCAGACAAGTACAACGACAGCACCAGCAAGTACGACCAGACGGTCTCGATCAACGGCGAGGTGGTGTCCACTCTGTCGACCAGTAAGTCCATGAGGCGATGCCTTCCCCTTGTGTCTATAGACTAACACCAGCAAGGCTCCGGCCAGGCCCAGGGCTGGGGTACGGCGGTCGAATGCCAGGACGATGCATGCCAGAGCACCACTGCCGCTCACGGTAAGTTTCCAACCCTCATTGTCCGAGAGATGACAGGAATAACGGGGTTGCACAGAGTACCTGGACACCACCATCATCCTCAACGCGGCGGACACCTCGTTCGGCGACACGCTGTCCATCAACGAGGCCACCTCGTCCGGCCTGAAGACCACGGATGATGGTACGACCTGGGAGGTGTCGACCATCAAGATCGAGTCCCACACCTACGATCTATGAGGGATGGGCTATCCTGGATCAGATGCCGTCCATGGCCACGTACACAGTAAATTGAATTATCCATATCGCACCCTACCGAGCATGGTGAATGATGGGATTCTCTTCTTCCTGGCTATCTCAACCTGGTTTGAACACCCGGTCTACCACAGGCTATATATATATTGCAGGTGCGTGGTGAACTGGGCCCAGATACGCCTGCGATCGTGCTTCCTGTAACCGTAGGACCAGTATTCTGTGTGTGTTTGTCCCTTGGTCATCTCATCACCATACCATCTTGTACCGGTCAGCCAGCTGGTCAGCCAGCCTTGAATACGCAATAATCCTGCAGGCCATGACGGCATCAAGGGTTCCCCTGCCTGACCGGGAAAGTTACCCGCGGGGTTTGCTCGGTTGGGCCTAGCGCGAGGGAAGGGTCCCGAACGGGACTAGCGGGAGGCTGCCACGGGACGCGATTGGTGCGGATGATGAATCAGCCCCCCGGATGCCGGGCAGCCCCGAACAGGGCCAGCCGGGCCAATGGCGGGCGCGGGCCAGGCCCCATTCTTCTTCCCCCGAATTTCGTTTCCCCCACGTTCCGTTCGGTTGTTTGTTTTCTGCATCAAAACGCATCTTTGCAGTTTCGACCCCACAAACCCAGTGGCGCACAATACCTACACACCAGCCCACCAGCCCACCACAGACTTTTTATCTGATGGACGGGAGGCTCTGTTGATCTTCATCCATCTCCGTCTGTTCTGCTCGGCTGAAAAGATCTCCCCCCCCGCGGTTTGTTTGACACCCATCTCCTGCATCCCCGACACCCAGTCAGCATGTGGACACTCCTGACGGGCTTACGGGATTGGCACGAAGCCGGCTATCCCGATGACGGAGAAATTTCGCTCGACTTGCAGCCCTCACTCCCCACAAACCTTACCGGCGCGTAAGGTATATTCCGTGGCCAATATCACCGGCTTGGGGCCGACTGAGCGATCCCGGGGATGCCCTCTCTGACAGGGCACACAACCACCCAAGACCCTCCCCATTCATGGGCCTCGGACGGCGGCGCCTGCTGGAACCTCTCCATCAGGTGACACGTCCCGAGCGTGTGTGCCCAATCCTCCATCGGTCCCGTGTCCCATCGCAGTCGATTGGCTCTGAACCGGTGCACCGGTCGAGTCTATTCCCCGCATGGACTGGACTATGGGGCCCCGCTGCTGGTTACTATCCCCAACGCGTATAAGCCCTGCGCGAGGAGACCCCATCGGATGACGACACCCTCGTCCGGTCGAGTGGGCTAGCTCCAGATCCTGCACGACTCCCTCAGGCAATGGCTACGTCAAGCCGCACTGGCGGTGTCGGGACCGGGAAAAAGAGAAAAGCTGGAGATGAAAACTCGAGAGCTTGATCGGAGACGAGCCACGCCGGAGGATCTATAAAAGGGCCATTGGCACCCGCGGGATCAAGGTGCTTTGCAGGACAATCAGACACAGACACCATGGGATTCACATCCAGGGCACTTGCCCTCGCTCTTCTCGTGCCGGGCCTCCTCGCCGCACAATGCTCGAATTCATCTCTCGCGGACGGTCTGACTGTCCAGACTCGCACCGGAGTCTACACGGGTGTGATCGAGGAGGAGAATCCGAACACACGCATCTTCAAGTCCATCGCCTTCGCCCAACCCCCCGTGGCCTCCCGGAGATGGCTGCCCCCTGCTAAGCTGGCCAACTCCACCACCCATCACACGACCTACCACTACCCCCCCTCCTGCCCGCAGTATGTGTCCTCGGCGACCTCCCTGTGGAACCAGTACCTGGGAGAGGGTGACATGATCTACAACGGAAACCAGGGCTACAGTTCCGGTCTCGTGGGCGAGGCCACGTCCGAAGACTGCCTGTACCTGGCCGTCTGGACGCCTGCCAATGCGACGGCGGCGTCCAAGCTCCCCGTCCTGTTCTTCATGACGGGCGGGGCCTTCACCACCGGCGGCATCGATATCAACTGGCAGAAGCCCACCAGCTGGGTGGAGCGGACCCAGGAGCACATCGTGGTGACCATCAACTACCGCGTGAACATCTTCGGGTGGCCCAACGCGCGGGGGCTCCAGGACCAGAACCTGGGCATCATGGACCAGCGCGCCGCCCTGGAATGGGTGTCCGAGAACATCGGCCAGTTCGGTGGGGATCCCGCGCGGATCGTGCAATGGGGCCAGTCGGCCGGCTCCCAGAGCGCCGACTTCCACTCGTACGCCTACCACGACAAGCCGCTGGTGAGCGGATACTTCATGCAGTCCGGCACGGCCCTCAAGTCGCTGGGCTTCTCCGACTACGACCAGACCAACTTCACCTTCGTGGCGCAGCAGTTCGGCTGCGACTTCCCGTGTGACGCCCAGGCGGAGCTGGAGTGCATGCGCCAGGTGCCGTTCGCGGAGATCTCCAACTTCGTCGGCCAGTACGCCGACAACGGCACCGAGCCCGCGCTGAGCTTCAGCGTCGTGCCCGACGAGCGGCTGATCTTCAGCGACTATCCCACGCGCGCGGCGGCGGGCCAGATCGCCCACCGACCGGTCATCATCTCCAACTGCGCCAATGAGTACGCGGCCCTGATCACGTACCCGGTCAACAACCTGACAGCCGGGCCGGACCCGGCTGCGGTGCTGGAGGGCGACATGACCGACTGGATGTGTCCCACGGCCAACACCACGATGCTGCGCCTCCACCAGAACATCCCGGTGTACCGCTACCAGAATGGCGGGCAGTACCCGAACCTGAACCCCTTCCGGTGGCTCGGGGCCTACCACGCCAGCGACCTGCCGATGAACTTTGGCACGTACCCGATCCAGGAGTACCTGGGCAACAGCACCGCGCTGGAGGCGCACGTGAGCCTGGCCATGCAGGACCACATCCTGGCCTTCCTGCAGGACCCCTGGACCGGACCGCAGTCGCTGGGCTGGGAGCCCGTCAACGGGTCGACCGGGTCGGGGGGGCAGGTGGTCCGGTTTGGGGCGGATGGCAAGGCGGTTCAGCAGGTGGATCGCATGGAGATCGATGGGCCCTGTTGGGGGATTGGGAAGTATGATCAGTTCCCGTAAGAAAGATGAAAGATGTGACCATGTAGCTACCTACCTACCTGTATACTAGAGATTAGAACTACGATAGCCGATGCTGACGGGGGATGACCAAAATTCCACGTGATGATGACTGAACCATATGTATACGAACGATTGATCCATGTCCAACGCATAGGGCCATTGCTCCCTCCCTCTGGGATATATGGTGTGTTCGGAGTTCCGCGATCCCGAACGCCGAAGTCTTGAAGAAAGAAAGAAAGTCTTCTGCCTGCTTCCTCTCTTCTCCTTCCTCTCTCTCCCAGCCACCTCAGCCTGCGGGCTGTCGACATCCACATGAATACCCGGCGTCGGAATGGCAAGCCGGCCTCCTGCGAGCCCTGCCGCAAGGACAAAGTGCGCTGCGACCATCGCCTGCCCGTGTGCACCCGCTGCCAGCGCCGCAGCATCCCCGCGCGCTGCTTCTACCACCCCGCCCCCTTGACCAGAACGAGCGATCGGTCGGCATCTCCACAATCTTCCCCCCTGCGCATGAAACCCCCGGGCACTGCTCACCTCCTGTCTGGATAGGCCATCCCGAATCGAACCGTCCGGCAGCGCCGTCTTATTAATATCTTGAAGTCGCAGTGCCACTCGCGAACTCTCGCCCCACGGCACATCCGTTCACTCCAAGGGGATCCAAGGAATCAAAGGAATCGACGAGTCTCTCCCATCCTACTGGGTCGGCAAAGCAGTCGAAGTGCTGGGCGCGCTTCGCGATCTTCTTATTATCTGGAAATTGGTTCGGGAATACTACAACCTTAGCCAGGCCGTCGCGATTCCCGCTCCGTTCATCCTCCAGGCCCTGGACCAGATGCCGGCCAACGGGCCCCAGCTGCGCGAGATCTCGGTCATGTCCGTGCTGCAGAACACATCCCGTCCGCTGAAAGTCGCCCCGGACTGGGAGGGGAAGACTTTTCACGAGCTATATACCGGACCTCACCTGCGTCTGGAGATCATCGGCATCCTCTGCGCGCTTGCGGGAAAGGCCAGTTGCTTTGCGCTGGCGCAGGACCAGTTCCCCAGGGACACCGAGGCCGTCCGTCGCGTGCCGTTTCCGAAGCGGATGATGATGATCAGTGAATCGGTGCTGCAGATCTGCAACCTACTGACCCCGACCAACGATCTAACGGTCTGGGCGTTGCATCAGAACCTGCTTCTTTCGACCATGGTGTACGGCGATTCCAGTATGTAGTAGATCCCCCCCTCAGTGCGAGTATCGGAACCCTTTCAAAAGGGCTCGGGCGAGGCATAGGTCTGCTGACGCATATGCAGGCTCCGAGGCATGGCACTGTCTGGGGGAGCTATCCACGAGTATCTTTGAGCTCGGGATCCACCGCGACTCGGGCAATCTTCCCCCCTTCCTACGGGAAAGCCGACGGAGGTCGTTTGCGTCGGTTTATCAACTGGACAAGGGCCTTGCCACATTTCTGGGACGGCCGCCACGGATCTGCCAGCGTCATTCGGACTGCAAGCCACCCCTTGACCTTGGTGAGGACTGTCTGGCGGCGGACAGCGCCCACCTGCAGCTCGCCGTGAACGCCCTCGACGAGGATGGATGGAACCCCCATCTGCATGGGACTTATCAGTGATCGTCGTGGATCCGACTCCGGTTCATGATCAGCCAATTTCGCGAGGAGATTCTGGAGTGGGCGCTCAAAGATCCAAGCCCTGAGACAGCTCGTCACTTGAGGTAGGGTCGGAGGGCCTAATCCTGTCATCCTAAATCCAGATGCACTAACACGACTGAATCAGGGATATCGCCATTAGATGTCGCCGGGTATGGGAATCACTGCCCACGCATTTGCACTTCCGCCCAAGCTGCTGGACAAAAGATTTACCCGTAAGCGTGTCTCTGATGCTGACCGTGTCCTACCTGGCATACCTCTACAACGACTTCCTGATCCAGAGGCTGCTTCTCAAGCAGGACCCAAGCGCGGAAGGATCACTGTTTAATGCCAGCGCGACAATCCTGTCGACCGTGCTGATCATGGGAAGACACCGGGAGCCTACGGTCGATATTCGACAGGACTTCCTGTTCTCGGTGCGACTGCCCTTGAAGCCATTCTAAACCGACTTACAGCTAATGGTATCGCAGATCCTCTTATACTGGTTTCCCAGCGCTAGTGTTCTTGTCAAAGCCCTCCAGGAACACACCCGGAACGGCCAGCCACTTCCCTTCACGGGGTCGCGGGCAGCGATCATCCGTGACTTAACCGTCTTCACTGCGCACCTGGACACCATCGCCGAGTCTGACTACGTCCATGCGGAACTGCTCACCCGCGCGAGTAAGGTCTTCTTGAGGATCATTGACGAGGTGATAGACCCCCGGGCTGCGATCGCTCCCCTCCCTCCTGGAATCGATGATCTGCCGGAAATTTCCATCGATGGCTTTGGGATTTCGGACGACATGGGAGTTGTCTTTGACCAGTGGATATTCTGATCACCAGGCAATATCCCCGGAACCCCCCCTGATTTCCAGCATTCGAGCGGCGAAGGCGCCTGGTAATTGGGCTAGGAAAACATGCTCAGGCTAAAGTAGGATATGTAGTGGCCCACTGTTTGGTGTAGCATGCCTGACATGACAGCAATGCACGTGGAAAACCTGCAGAATATGAGGCCCCAGAAAGACCCGTTGCAAAATGCAATTATCCATCGCAGCCTGAAGAGTCTTCCGCACGGGCCAGACTGGTACGTATTCCCAGCTACCGAGGCCCACGCCGCGGCCAGCCTGGTCTCCACCGGTGGTATCTCCACTCTGGGTTCCGCATCCGGGTGGCTTGCGTTGAAGCACGCCCCCCAATTATGTCGCTCGTCGTTGTCATATCGTGTGTTTACCCGTCGAAAACGGGCCGGTCAGCGGAAATGGTGTCACCGTTTCTTCATGTCAGACTTAAGTGCCATCATTTATGTGTCGTGGTGGCATGGTACGGAGTATACAGTCAATGGCTTATCGAGTCCGATCGAAGGGATGGGTTTCACAATTCCCAGCCCTGCCTCTGGCGGACACGGCAGGCCAATCTCGGTCTGGTTAGGGGTCCAGTGACCCAGTACGAGTGGGACTCGGATATGAGAGCTGGAGAAGGCGCTGGACGCTCGGTCTATCTAACCGTCCTAGGCAACACACCTGTCCTTCAACCGCGGGATTTAATCAATCATCTGGATGCGGTAAGAGTGGTGTGGCTCACCTAAACTCCGTCAAAGAAACATGGTGATCCGACCTATGAGCGACCAGACCCCCCCCGTGATGGTAGATGGAGAGCCTGGAGGTGGCCACCGACTCGGAGCAACTCAGGCGGGCTCGTGTTTCAAACCCCTTGATCGCCGGGATGAACGTGTTCGGAGCCTATCAACTCCGGAGGGGATCTTGCTGGGGGCGATAGATGCCAGGAACATGTTTGATGGCCCGTCGTGGGACATGATATTCCTAAGCGACCGGGAATTCCTGATCGGGGGATACACTAGCGGCGCCATCCATGGCCTTGACAGGCTGGCATTTGAGTCAGGAAACGATGGCTGAATCCCGGTGTGACAAAAGTCTCTTGGCAGGTCTCTCCGAGTGGCCAGAACCAGGCCGATCCCTTGTCCTTGGTGCGTTGAGGGGATAAAAATACCCCCGAAAAGGCCAGCTGAAAGCTGAAGAGATAGCCGGGTCGCTCCACCCGCAAGGGGGGGACGCCAGAGGTGACGGTGCACTGGCGGGGATTCTCGGCCAGGGGTTCACGTGGGATCTCATCACGAGGGAATTATGATGACGAACTATCTATGAAGCTGGTGAAGATGATGAAGGCTCTGCACGTTGTCCGACGCAGTAGCGTTGCATCGACTTTTGGCCCCCAAGGCTCATATATAAGGTGGGGGGACTGATTGGTGGAGTCGAGGGCTGCGAGGGAGAATCGTTGCCCTGAAGAGAATCGACTCCGCGAGACTGTTTAACTAGTCTTCTCCACCCACGCGGTCTTGGCCACATTCCCCCCCACTCCTGACTACAGTGTAGATATCCCATCTTTCCAGCCTATGCTGATTCCATCCTAGCCCTGTCAGGCGTCAGCACCGGCGCGCCCCACGGCGGTTCCGCTGAGCCTATCGCAGCGCCATATCCTGCCGCTAAAGCCCAAGTTAATTGATCCAGGGCCCCGAGGAGCCTATCGCTCCTCCATAGTCCATCAGGGTCGTCCATATTCGCTTATGCCTCTCTCCCTCCCACGCGTCGTCGTGCAGCGCATCCCTGTCGGGGCGTGCGCACTGCCTCCGTTGCAACCCCTTGCTCAGGGACCCTTCCTGCGGGATCATTACAGTACTACCTATCCTGTCCAGCGCTGCGCGAAAACGGTTGAGATGGTCGTTTGCTTTTGTGCCCCGTTGGCGACAGTGTGTTGCTGGTTGTCGTTAACATTGTCTTGTGTTTCAGCCTTTTTTTTACCTCGCGGGTCTACTCCACAGTTCCTCTGGATTAAGGTCCCTACCATCTGCTGCAGCATGCCAATCCTCATAATGATAAGCCCATACTTGGACTATTCTGGGCAGGGAAATACTCCGGCTGTATGCAGCTCGGCTGACCACCACCCCTCTAGCACCCCATCTGGACCGCCGAATCCACATACCTCATCCCCTACATCTGCACCAATGACTGACAGGCAAGCCATCAGAATCCTCTCCCGGCAGGGGTTCATTAACCACAACCCCCGCCCCCCGAATCCCGCGCAAGGGGGGATGGTTGTGATCTGACCCCTCCAGATATCTTCTGTTCATCTGCTACACTTGCCGTAGTGGCAAGACAGACCACCTACCTTCAGAGCGTCATACGTCTTTATCATGGCGCCGATTCCCGATACAGAAGTGACTGGCTGGGTGGACGGCCCCAACGACCGCGGCACGATCGATATCATCTGGGGCTGCTGTTTGGTTCTTTCCACCGCTCTATGGACGGTGCTACATCTGAACATTCCCGGGTCGGACGATACCACGATGACTGTCCTTTGGCGCAAGATCCGCTGGGGCACCTTTGCCATTCTGGCCCCCGACATGCTCGTCGGGTTCTCGGCCATGCAGTGGCAGTCGGCCCAGGAGTCTGTCACCCAGATGCATAGTCTTGGCTACAAGGAGTGGACCCTGAAGCACGCCTTCTATGCTAACAGCGGGGGTTTCCTCCTGCGCTCGACCGACTACCCCCCCTTTCCTGTCACCGCCACCTCCATCCATTATCTGCTCGAAACCGAGCATATCGACTGCCCCACCATAACTGCCGATGAGATCTGGGATAAGAGCAAGGCTGATACCTTTGCCAAGTGCGTGGCCTTGGTGCAGGGCGTCTGGCTGGTGGTTCAGTCCATCGCCAGGGCGGTGGAGGGCCTCGCCGTCAGTCCCCTGGAGCTGTTCACCATTGCATTCGTTCTCTCCACCATCACAACCTACTACTTCTGGATGAACAAGCCGCAGAACGTTGGCGTGCCCACCTTCATCGACCTCAAGACCGGGTCCGTCAACAACTTAGTCAACAGTGCCGGCCACTTCAACCTAGAGCCCTTCCGGGAAACCCCGCTAGATTTCGTGGAGAAGCCGATGCAACGGTGGCAACGTCGGCCCACACTCGAGCAGTTCCGTCCCCAGGACCAGCCTCTGCGGCGCATGCCGGACGACAAGATCGTGTTCAACGGGCTCTGCCAGAGTGCCTGGGCCCTGGTTTGCTTCCAAGCCATGGTGCATCCTGCGCTTCATCTCCTGTGCTGGAACCACGTGTTCCCGACCAAGACTGAACAGACACTGTGGCGAGTGATGAGTGTGTTTCTGGCTTCGGGTCTGCCCCTGTCGAGCGGCCTCCGGATTCTCCTCACGGCCTGCGGCTTCCACGGTCACCAGTCCCTCACCTGGATCTGGGTCCAGCCGGGATCCAAGGAGGAACGAGGGTGGCGTGAGTGGGTGTTGGACGTGATCATGTCGTTCATCAGTGCTTGCCTGGTACCTGCCCGGTTGTACATTATCATTGAAGCCTTTATTAGTCTACGACGACTCCCAGCCAGCTCGTACGTGACAGTCGAGTGGACCAATTTCATTCCGCATGTATGACAGAAGAGAAGACAAGAAAAGAGAGTAATTTATGGTTATCACCACATACCTTGACACTTCCTACTGGTACTTGATCTGTGTTTAAAGCAAGAAGTACGGACTTTCTGTGCAGGGCAACCAATGACTGCAAGATCACGTCGCCGTTTTGATCGCCTTGCCAACCAATGAAGTGTACAACACTTTCAAGATCGCTCATGCCTTTCCAGGCCTGAGGCATGAGTGCGACATGGTACGATTGGCTACTAGTTACTGCGTCCGATAGCTGGCTGCCCCGGGTACAATAGATGGAGCGAAAACTGGCCAATGTTTGCTCCAATTGCAGGACTCACCCTCGGACTTTCCAGCCATCGGAGAATGGAGTGACATCATCACCGACCCCAGAAATCGCCCTCTTGCTAAACTCGACCTCTCCCTGCCACCGACGATGCACGGACAAGCCTGGCCATGGCATGATCACCGGCTAGCCCCGGCATTCCCCCGCGCTCTTCCGCATGTCTATCGGGGGCACATGTCTGGGGGAGGGTGCCACGGTATGAAGCGAGCCAATGACACTCGGATCATCGCGACCGGCGTGCATGAGGACGTGGGGGCGGTCTTGATGCTATCCTGAGACCTGGGGACATGCCCATCATCACTACATCCTCGACCACGGCAGGAATTCGTTTAAATGCCTTTGTTGACCCCCCTTGCACTTGCGTCGAGTTCGTTATGCTCTTCTCACCAGGCAGGTAATGCCCTTTCTGCACACCCCTGGCCAAAATGCTTGGATTCGACCTGGAATTCGGCCGTCACCGATGGGCCCTCATGTATTGCTCCATCTCTGCCATCGGAGCCCTTGTATTCGCCTATGACAACACCTACTACAGCGGCATCTTGGGTATGCAGTAGTTCAAGAATGACTTCAACGACCACTACAGCGATGGGGAGAAAGCATTGGCCACCAGTTTCACCTCCTTAACTACATCCAACATCTACATCGGGGATATGGTTGGAGCGTTGATCTCTGGTCCCCTCAACGATCGCTTCGGTCGCAAGACCGTTCTCTGGATTGCGTCGCTCTTCGTGCTTGCGGGCGGAATTACGCAGGTGGCGGACACAGACATCGAGGGTATCATCGTCCTGGGTCAAGTGCTATATTCAGTTCTGAACCTGGCACTGCCTTCGTTGGATGGGGTGGTAGACTCGGGACCTGATATGTTCAACTACGGGGGAAGCTCGGTCACAGGGGCTACTGCTATCCAGGCTGCAAAATTGTAGGGTTGCATCCGATTACGAATGGGTTATGACGCTGACGAAGCCCGCTCAAGGTCCTGCTGCCGAGTGTTCACAGCCTGCTCCTCGAACAACTTTGCCCTCGTCCAATCCCGAGGCCCGGACCACTGGCTTGACTACAATGCATCTGACTGACAAGTTAAGTAGGTAACAAGAACCTCTATCAGGTACATTGTGGACTGTGTCGGGACTGAAGAGTCCAGTGCTTTTTGCAGTCAAGTACTCTCATTTTCTGGGGGTATTATCATTCCGTTAAAGCTCCGTTGCCATCTACGTTGAAGGAATTCAGACCCGAGGAAAATCTCACTGCGACTACGGCCCTGGCATACACCATTTTTGGCGAATCCTTCGAGTTGCGCGGGGGGGGGGGGGGGGGGGGGTAGGTATGTCCCGCTGACGGGGAGCAGGAATACCTCGCCAAGAAATGGGCAACTGTCGTCGACGTGTCAGTCTTGAGGAATCAGATCAAGTCACATCGGATAGATACTCGATCGGGGGGGGGGCCTGGGAGGGCATGATAACATTGCAGAACTGGAATGACCAAACCCCGAGGCGGAGGAAAATCGTGTATTCCATTTCGGGAGTAGAATGCTTCCTCCCACCATGGACACGAGTCGATTCATTGGAGATACCGTTTTGCCAGGACGGATAAATTAAATTAATGTTCAAAACTGACAATGTCACATTCTCGGAGCGATCTGTTAAGTATATCAATCTAGATGAACAGCCGGCTTCATGTTGAATCAAGCCAGCTCAAGGAGACATTCCATCCAACCCCCACAACAAAAGATCGTGTTTCCTATCTAGTCCCGAAAGCTGCCGATCCAACAACAAGCAGCCCATTATCCCCAACGAAACTTCCAACATCCACCCAAAATACTTGTCCCCGATCAGTGGCTACATCAGCAGTTGAAGACCAAACTCCAACCAATAGGCTGGCTCCCCCCGATGGAATTCTGGAAGTCGACGTGTCCCTCAGTGGTCTGCCATGTTGACAGCCGTGCCAGGAAGCTCATCGTGGACGAGCAAGAGTTAGACGCTAAGACCGTATGGAAGGGGCTCGAGGTTTGGCCTGTGGGGAAGATAAAGGTGCTGACCATGGCCTGGAGAGTCGGCTGGTTGTTCCAGGTGGGAAGGGAGCTGGAGTCCCAGGGACTGGTGGTCCAGATGTCGGCCTGGGAGCTTCCCTCGGCAATCTCGTTATTCTCCGTCAGGACTGGGATGTCGATCTCGAGCATGCAGCCCGTGGCACCCGCGGGGATGTTGTTGAAGGTGAATGCAGATACTCGAGTGTTGGCGCTCGCGCTGCGAGCCAGGGACAAGTCCTCTCCAGGCCTTGCTGTGTTTGGGGTCGAGCTATCCAGGACATCGATGATGGTGGGCGCAATGGTGGTGCAGGCCCGCGCAACCAGGGGGGCTGCTGGAGTGGGGGTGGCCACGACCAGCGATGCCAGAGCAGCGAATGCAGCGGGGATGGTGGTTTTCATCTTGGATGGGATGGGAAGAACAACGAATTTGAATGACTGGACTGGGTGAGCGTTATGAATGGAAAATATATCGAAGAGGAGGGAGATGATCTGCTGAAAGAGATGCTCTTATTTATATTTATCTCCCACCATGATGTCTCGGATAGCCAGAACGGAGGCCTTGACTGTTCCTCAGCGATGATTGCCGCGAGGTCCTATCACCATGCCCTTTTCATGAAGAGAGACGGCATGTGGCGCCAAGACAGCCACGCAATACGAAGGTCAAGAGGCTCTGCCTTACCCTACGCCATGGCAGGCCCGGAATCCGAGACCCTCGAGCTCTGAGTCAACACCCACCGAAACGTGACCGTCAGGAAAGACATTGGCTCGCCTTGGATGCCTAAGGTGACCACTTAGGTTCAGTGCCTCATACCGAAGTCCCGGATAACGTAGAAGACTAAGTGCTCGCAGGTTACACAACAGGGAACGAGGGGGGGGTGCTACACGAGAGCCTTGGGCGCATGGCATTGTGGGCTACACAAGGGGAAAGTGGTTCGAGAGCTATCGGCTACAAGCTGTGTCTTAAGTCGCTAGCATGCACATTCGTTCGGGAGGTTGCAGCCATGCTAGACGTTCGACCCATGATAACCAGTGTTGGGGGTTTGGCGCAGGAGCGCATAAGCCCACAAAAACGGGAGTAAGATCCGTGCTATACGAGGTTTGGTCCTGGTGATAGCGAGAAACCTTCTCACAGGGATGCCTAACCCATGGCGCCGGGCAGTCTGCAATCCAAATTTCGTCACGGATTCAATGCTGGGAGATTTAAAGTTTGCATTAGCGCTCGATCTGGCGGGAATTTGCACTGCTTGAAGTGTAAGTGCTCTCCCTGGGAATAAGCACGTAGTGCATCTTACCAGTAGCCTGTTTTCAAATATCCTAAGACGTTTTCTCTTGACCGTTGTCCAGTCAACCGCTGTTGCGAGTTGCTTCTCGTGATCATTTTACTCTGCACCATCCTTCGGTTGAATTTCTAGTCCATCCAGTCGCGAGGGATTGGGCTACAGAATCCTATGGGTGCCAGTCACGGGGCATCTCATTATTTTTCTCAAGGCCTTCGACGGTTTTTTCCCGAGGACAGATTAGGGAAAGTTTGAGCCATTACGAGAGAGAAATTCACCATCACAGGAATGGTCAACGTCGACGTGTGTTGGAAGAGCTCGTGTTTTGGGTCAGTGTGTTGGGCATTATCAGGTCCTGTTCAGGTGGTGAAAATGCCGCAACAGAGAAGCCTTTTGTGGTTTCTGGGTGATCAATGATTCGTGAACTGCCGTGGCTATTAGCGGGCAGCGAATGTTGCTCCTGACCCGGTATTGCTGTAGGCTATGTTTCTTACTGTAGGCATACATAGTTTCCATAGCGTACGTCAATTCCGGGAGAGAGGGATTGAACCTGGCACCGCATGCTACACCTCTGTAGCATGATGCTACCTGAGATGGGTGTAGACTAAGGCACTCAACAAGGGATTCCAGTATGGCACAGCCTGTCGGATGCAGAGAGACAGGGAAACGACTGTCCGCGGGGAAGTACTGCGTCATTGGTAGCTGGACCGAGTCGCCGAATAGCGGGTTTGGGTGAGCAGGCCAAGTTCAGAAGCGTTGAAACAAAAGAGAGGCTGTCGTTGGCCAGACTGGCGAGTGTCTCAGGCTAGGCAATGGTTCCCTGTATGTTGACCGCGACTGGGGAAAGTCAAATTGGCCTTTGTTGCTTGCCTGAAGGCCCCGAGAGAAAGTAAATTAAGCCCTCAGAGACCCCCGTTCCATGATGTTATCACGGTGCAGCGAATCGGATCCGAATACGGTGGCAGCGGAGGGAAGAGAAGAAAGAGTCGAAGAGGACCGGAGGGAAACCAGAGGCCCTCGAGGGGCGACGGAAGATGAATGATGGAAACCAAGTTAAGAGGGGCGGGGGCAGAAGGCATGTGACCGTCAACGTAGCCCTAGACTCCCCAACACCCCCACTGCACACACACCACGTGATATATAGGACAGGGAGACATTTTGAGTCAACTACTACGGATATACGATCACTTCGTATAAGCAGAGAGTTTAAATTACATATGCGGAGGAGGTTGGTTAGCCACGCGCAGGCAGTGTAAGACCCCAACCTAGGGGAGTTGTTGCCACTGAGCCAAAAGGCCAACATTACCCGCAGTTACTATACCTGCGGACCCCTAGAATCCTATATATCATGATATACTCAAGTACACCCGGGAGGAGGTGGGCTTCACCCTTGTAAGTATGAATATCCCGCGGATATCATCCCTTACAGGCAGGCAGGGAGCTAGAATAAATTAATAACATAATGTATGACTTAGTAGCCATAATTCTCAGGTGTCTGATTATCCTTTCCAAAAGGCGGTGGGCGAATACGATCAGTGTGACAGGAGCCTGGCCGGTGTGGCTGTCGGGGCCCCCGTATAATAACCAGGGTAGAATCATAATCCTACATGGGAAGGCGGAATGGTGGACTGAGTGTGCATGTTGCCAAAGCTAGACGTCTAGTACAGAAACCAACAGACTATTATTTCACTCGAGAAATATCACATCCTTAAAAGACAGACTGGCAGGGGTGTGAAGATAGCAGATATCGTCGGCGGAAGGGGCTTGCTTTAGTGTCAAAGTCACCTTCATGGCTGCATGATGCTCGAATATTGCCTTTTGATAATATTGATAGAAGTGAAGACTTGGCATATCGAGGAAGCGTTGTTAGGCATACGGGGGTATCGACCAGTTGCTCGGCATTTCTGCCCTATAATGAAGGGGGGGGGGGGAAGTGCTTGCCACAACCACGGGGGCTTATCAGACCACTTGCCGTCGGGGCTCCGTGTATGGTATGTATCCCAAGCGCTTATCTTGCTATATTCAAGAGCTATCACCAGCTTTGAAAACACTTTCCACTAACAACGCGACCATCCCTGTCTTCTCTATAAACACGGAGTACTAGGGAGTATAATAATGATAGACACTGGCAGCACTGGCAGCACTATAAGCACTATAAGCAATACATGGACAACACCGGGGGTAGCGACTCCACTGAAGCTGGGGATATCTCACGGTTGCCGATAGCTGGGTACCAGAGAGCGTTACTCTTTCGGGCATTTGATATCATGGCTTCAGCCATATGCACGTCGTGGAAGAATAGGGCGTCCACAGGGCTACATACAGCGCTTTCGGGTCCGCCTTCACTCTATGATAAAGACATATAAAGCTCAGTCAAGCCTCCCTATAGCGATCTTACGGACAGCCACCCACAGTGACTATAATCACATTCATACTCATCTCTCTATCCGAGCAATTTGATCAGGGAACTCTATTCTATCCACCATCAATAATGGCTGCCTCCGCTGTATTGCAACCTCACCATGCGATGCAGTATGATCATCGCGCGTTTGACGCCTTAATGGACGTTGACGAATCCGCTCAATATTTTGAGTCGCTTACCGGCTATGAGCATTTGCGCTCCGGGCTCAGGTATATGCCCCTGTGTATGAATGTTACATGGACCCGGCAATAGTAACCTAAAAGCAGAGATATCTTCATGCGCCATGGTGTGAATGACGAGCTCGCGGTCGCGCTGCTCCATCGGCACTTCGAGATGGCCGCGAACGAGAAACTCGTGGAACTCGGACCTGTGTCTTCACCATGGCCAATCGCTGCCCACGAGGATTCTGTAGTGGGCGGACATATCCTCCCGCACACCTGGCGCGTATTTGAGAATGAACTCCAAGATGCCCAGAAAGTTCAATTCTCGCTGGCTTTCTTCAAGGACTTTCACCAATACGTGAAAAAAAATGGTCTCGAAAATGTCATTGGCATAACCCACATTGATCATGGGAGAGACGCAAGCGAAAGTGATGTTCAGCTAATGGAAATCACCCATGGCCGAAATTCGATCATGGTTCCCACCATTCCAACAAGCGAGCTTCCCGGTCCCGTCTTTCAAACCATATGGTCATTTGTGGAGAAGCGAGAGTCGAGATCGGATGACAATGGCGTCCAGGTGCGGCATGGGGTCTGCTGGGGAGGCAAGTCCACGGATGCCTAAACTCGGTATCAGTGAGAGCTTGGGGCAGAAATCATCAGCATGTCTGCCACATAGCCCTTTTATGTGGTGGAGCAAGTGCCTCTGTTCACTTGATCTCTTCAGTTTTGTTTGTATGACGGGCAGAGATCTCGCTATATAGATGACATGGCACTGTGTATTGCATTTTCTCTTACCAAGCGTTCCACCACATTGTTTTGCAGAAGAATATTGCGGCTGTACCTGGTAAATAAATGAAGGGGCCAGCAAAGTTGAATTAGGCTTTTGATTATGGCCTACTTTCAAGACACCGACCCTTATGCACACTTAGAATAAATAACAGTTTGACAGACGTTTGCTGTTGTGTAACACACACAAATCTAGTGTTCAGTTTGTTTTTTTAAAACAATCTTCTCAACGGACAGTGGGTGTATCGCCTTTCCTTTAATTGACCCTGGGCATCAAAACAGGGGCAGTTCTAATGCGCGTGCTCTTGTTATTTCTGCAGTATTTATTATCATCGTCGAATTTGCTTCTTATTTCCGAATTATGCCCACCAATCATGTACTTGGACAGTCTGTGTGTCGGTCTTTTCATCAGTTTGTTGACCCTTCACGCATAGCCCCTAGTGGTAGTGTCTTGGAAAGGACCTGCAAGATACATGAGATTCAAAGAGAAGTTACTGTTCTGACAGATTATTTAGGGCTCGCACAGGCACTTCCGGGTATGCCAAACGCGGAAACTGCATTTTCTTCCCTTCTTTCTGTTCAAGAAGCTCAAAAATATAGGCAGGTGACTAGTATCAGGGTTACTGCTCGCCATAACCTACAAGATTCTAGCCCAACTATATAGGCGAAGACTTGTGGCAAGGGTGAGGCTCAGTGATGAGATTCTAACAGCTATCTAGCTTTGGTTTGCTTGTGAGATTTGCAACCTGACTAGCTGTTGCGATCATTATGTTTCTGACGACATAGGCCACTGTTGTCAACAGTTCTCTGGTTGGGCTATCACCGTTTTCGGTGGCATTCCGTTTATCGGAGGAGGATCCCCTGTGATTTTGACGATGATATTTGCATTAGTCTCATTGCTTGCAAGGCTGAAGCATGGCGGGTGTGGCTGTATCGCCTCTCAATTAAAATGGAGTTCACGAGTACTGGAGGAGCCGGAGAAGGCTCTCCGTTACGCGGTGTTGCTTCGACTCTCAACATATTGCATAGTGAAATGAGCGAGGAAAGACAATATACGGCAGCAAAGGGGGGGGGGCCATTAAAGCTAAGGATAGGCCGATTGAACATACTGAGTTCACATCCAGAGACGGAAGGCAACAAGCATTGCAGGGATAGTACGGACTCCGCCGGGCAATAGCTTGTCCATCCAATGGGATTATGCGCCCGCTTATCTCTCCATCCCTTGCTTACGGTGTGAAGCTATTGGTTTCTACTAAGTATTTGAGTACTAGTACTAACTAGTAGTCTCACATGCATGCAGCCACGCATGTTGGGGCTGTCAGTATGATATGTCAGGGTGCTGTGATAAGAGATAACAAGCCACCTGGCCAAAAGGATATGGCTTCAGCCAGACCCCCACGGACCGAAGTAGATAGTCAGACAATATGTGTAAGTAATAGAGATTGTAATATGCTGCCTCCGTTTATCTTTCTTTGGAGCCACGAAAGTGTATGTTTTGAATGTCTAGAAAGAAAGTAGTAAGTTGTAGCTTTGATCGGCTCACTAATATATTATAAGACTGGCTGACGTAGTATGACCCGCATCCAGTACATTTGCAATGTAAAAGAGAAGCAGCGAGTAGATGATCATGTGCTACTCGTCGCCTGCGGTTGGTTGCGGGTGCCGGTCGACCAAGGCACCGCAGGCGACGCGTGTGTAGTGAATTGAGAGAATGGGCAAGGCGATATTGTCTTCTTTTTTTCCCCGCACCCTTTTTGGGGGACGGGGAGTGCTGTACTTGTCAGGACCGCAGGTGTCCCTCTTGAGGAGCGTCATGCGCGGGGAGTACTCCTTTTGCCGCAGTGGCGCTCATCAGTACTTTGTCACACTGGGGAGAAGGTATGGAATCTATTACTGGCATTATTAACGAGGCCGGGGTTCTTTTGTCTACGCCTGCAATCTTGGTTATATGCATAGAGTCTTATATTAATGGAGGAGACTGCGAGAAAATCTCGCGGTAGTACACTTTATATATAGTAGTCCTCAATCATGGTCCTCTTAGAATGCTTCTCTCGAGGACATCAATAGATAGAAATTGAAATCGCACACCAAAATTCCGAATTAAATTGACAAGGCATGGGATGGTGTGGCTGCAGGGTCTCCCTTTTTCTCACTCTGCAAGAGCAGGAGTATGCCGATATGCGATCTGTTTACTGCTCGTCCCATAGCTGCTTGAACAGACTAGTCTTGCCGAGCAGATCTGATGGCCCCCCAGTTTCCACGATGCAGCCGTCCTGCATGATCAGGATCTTGTCAAACTCCCGAATACATCTCAATCGGTGGGTCACGGCGATGACGGTGGCATGCTTAAAATGGTCCCGGATGATTTGGAACATCAACTGCTCCGTGGCAATATCAACATTGCCGCTGATTTCGTCGAGAACAAGAATATTTGCTTTACTCTGGCGGAGAAGAGCTCTTGCTAAGCTTAAAAGTTGACGTTGCCCACGTGAAAACGTTGCATCACTCACTTGTAGGTCGAGAGAATAGGATTGGCGTGTACTAGGATCCCTCCCTAGGCCTACCGTATCCAGGGCGGAAAGCATCGCGTCGTCTGAGAACTCTCCGCTGGGATCAAGATTAAACCGTAGCGTTTCTGGCAGTATGAGAGGGTCTTGGGATATCACAATAAGACGGGCTCGTAGAATGCTGCAGGGGATGTCGCGCAGATTTGTCTCGTCAATAAGGACGGAGCCAGAAGTGGCATCAAGAAGCCGGAAAAGAAGGAGTATGAGGGAGCTTTTGCCACTTCCGCTCCTGCCGCAAACTGCCACTTTCTCTCCCGGGCGGACGGTCAAAGTAAGATCACGAAGTATGCATTGCTGGGGACTGGGTCTGTCCAGGTAACTTGCATAGACGTGTTCGAGCCGGATAGAGCCACAAGAGGGCCAGTCCTTGGCAGGCGGCCGAGGATTCGCCAGATTCAGGGCGTCCTCTCTGGGAAGAGTATCTTCATAGCTTTTAACACGAGCGATTGCACCAAGAGAAGTTTCCAGCTGTGTCCATGAGCTAATGAGATATGATAGACTGCTGCTGAATCCCAGAATGTTTAGCAGAGAAACGGCAATGGCACCAGTATCGACTGATGAGCCTAGCATAACCGCCACGGTAACCACAAGAATAGCCAATGCGGCTGCCACAAGGTCTAGTACAAGATTCAACCAACGTTGTATGCAGAAGAGTGTATAATATGGCCGGACTGCCTTGTCCACCAAAACACAACACTGGGTCGCCCATGTGGCTTGCCAGCCAAATGTTCGGATCGTGTCCGCACCCGAGGCGGTTTCAAGAAAGTGTGTATAGAGCGGACTCTGCGCTTCTAATTCCAAGAGGCGCAGCTGTCGGGAAGTTCGCAGATAGAAGTTCTGTAATGCGTAGAATATTATGATCACAAACGGCACGGTAATGGCGATATACTTGTTTCCCCCAGCAATAAACATGACCTCGGCGATCAATGTTCCAGCACCAAAAATGGTCATGAGAAGCGCTCCAGACAACTGGTTATCAATTTGAGAGAGATCTTGACTGAATCTGTTCAGGATGGTCCCACTGTCAGATGTGGTAAAAAACGAATATGGCGCATTCATCGTGGCGGTCAATAACTGCTCATGCAAACGGCGGGAGCTCCTTGCAACTAAGAAAAGGATGAGATATGTGATACTGAGTATAGTACCAACCAGCTGAATGGATGCACAAGCTCCATACACACCCAGATAAACACCTAGGGAATAGTTAAAGTCGTGGTCTGACCAGTACTGGAGCCACAGAGTGGGGAATTTCGACCCAAATATCTGCACAATTACAAGACTCAAGAACCCAGCCGAAGATTTCCAGCCCATAGATTTGAAGTAGTATTGATAGACCGAGAAATCACCAAGTCGACGTGGCAGGTCCTGACGTGACTCTATCAGTTTGTTTTTCGTTCTTGTGGTCTCGGCATGATGTTCATCGATAGGGCTGGCTTCGGTCTCACTCAGTATAGAGGCTATCTTCTCAGAGGAAATTCCAGGGGGGCTTCCAGATGTTACTGTACCGCCATCAAGGTGTAAAACAGCATCAGGTAAGTGAATGCGGTCAGGATCACTGCATGCGAGAATAACTGCGATGTTGTGGGATTTGCATAGACCTCGCGGACCCAAGGCGCGATCAAAGACTTTTCTGGCAGTGACAATGTCCAATGCACTGAGGACATCATCCAAAATGAGGAGGTTTCTCCGCGAGTACAGGGCTCGCGCCATTGCTAGTCGTTGCTTCTGGCCACCACTTAGGGCAGTCCCTCCAGAGCCAACACAGGTCCTGTCCCGTTCAGAAAAGGTAGAAATATCTTCATCTAGCGCACATGCATGAAGGACTGTGATATACCACTCTTCATCATATAAAGAAGGACCAATGACAAGCTCCCGAATAGGGATGTTTGGTAACCAGGGATCTTGTGCACAGTAAGCCATCGCCATGGATTCTAAGTACGAACCAGCAATGCAGGGTACTGCTCCTATGAGTCCCTTCAATAGAGAAGATTTCCCGGATCCCGTAGGCCCGGTGACGATTGTCAACGTAGAAGGGTGTATCTTGATGCTTACATTCGTCAAAATTGGTGCTGGAGCGTCTGTATATTTAAAGCTGGCATTGTGTACTGACAGACACCTGCCTTTCATGGGAAGGGCTTCAAGCTCGAACACACTACCAGAAACAACTTTTCCCATTGTATGATGCTCTCCAGCGTTGTAAGAGATCTGATTGATCTCTACCTCGGGTAATAAAAGATAGTCCTGGATTCGCTTGAAACAGCCTAGAGCAGCCCCTAGTTGAGTAATTGCGTGAACAAAGACCTGGATAGGCTGAGTGACCAAAGCAATTAGGGCAAGAATAGTAAAGGAGTTTGTTGATGTAACCACATCACTTCCCAGGACCATTGTGAAAATGGTGAAAGTAAGGATTGGTCCGGCAATTTGCGGTATGTTGGCTGCAGACACAAGATAAGTAATGGATTACAAGAGGTCTGGATATGGAGACATACCAACAACGTTTCTCCACATAAGAAGCATCCGAGCCCCCCGAGCACGTTCAAGTTCTGCGTTGCGAAGGTCACATATACGTCGCTCAACGAAAGAGGATATACCAAGCAGCTTGATGCTTCTAATTGAGCCAAGGACTGATGCAGTAGTAGCAATGCGCTCCTGGACAGCCTGGTTCCATTTCCTCTGGTATGGGGGTGACTGGGCGGCCACAATATAGCTCAGGGAGACGGCTGCTAGGGTACACCCAACAGATGCCAAGCATGCCCATTTTACCTGCCTCTCAAGGAAGAATATGGCAAGACCGACCTCAATTGGTGAGGCAAATGGAGCGTCCAGACGCATCAAGTTGTTACAAATACTTTCTGTGTCGGTGCTCATTAGAGTTAGTGCAGCTGAGTCTTTCACCGTAGCTGTATCTAGACGCTGCATCTTTTCATAGAGGGCAGTGACCAGCATGCTTCGTATCATCGTAATGACGCGGTTTATTCCATGCATATAGAGCGATGTCGTAACCTGAACATAATTCTCATCAGCTCGCTTTATACCATTGACGGGTCCATGAATATCGGGTATTGGAGCATACCGCCGTTCCCGCATAGATAAGGACTGTGGCCCCAACAAGCGCCCCTCCAACAGCATTGTCTTTGGAGGAGGCAGAGAGGTATTGAATCACACAATTCAACAGTAACGGCTGGGCAATTTTGAAGCCAATCAAAGCTATGCGGGGGATTGCTGTCCATATCAGCGTTTGTTGGACACAAGATAACATCGCCAGCACTAGGTTATGTTGACCTCTGGGGTGGTCCTTTACTCCTACATAGAATCACGATCAGCTCAAAAACGTTGGATTGATTTCTGGTAGCTTCTCAGGGAATTTAACATACTAGAGGACCACCTCGCTTGAAATTTAGTCTGCACAGTCTCCGCCGAGAGGTTGGAATCAATGGGAAAGAGATGGCTGGGACTTAGCAAACCGCGTGCCCCGCGAGCTAACAGGGGGTTCAGCCACCAGAAGACAACTCGATTCACCATCCCCCCCACCATCTCCGGAGGATAAGCAACAAATGGAGGTTTCAGATATTTCTGCTTCTCTTGTAACTCCGCTATAAGCATCAAGAAACGGATGCTCAGCCCTGCAGTATAGGTTGCTGCGATAGTAGAAGGACCCCGTAGCCATAATGTCCGGGCTTGTACTCCATCAACCAACGTGCTGGACAGAAGATAGAAGCATAGGAGAATGGAGGGAGAGACTGATCGTACATGCTCATTCCAGGACAGAACAGGAATACTAAGGGAGCATGTCAATGACAGGCAAACGGATGCAATGGTGGCTTTGTTGCGATATTGCGGGGCCATTCCCCAAAGGATCACTAAAGTGAGTTGGCTGCAGATCAAGGCAAGGCTCAGAGTTATTTTCGCCAAGATGGAGACCTTGGCCTGTTGGTTTGTTGTTAATTTGATCTTTCCAGGCTGCCCGATGAGCTGTAGCAACCTCCAAACCATAGCTGGAAGAAAACATGCCGAGGGAATAATACCAAACACCACCTGCTCAAAGAGGAGCGTAAAGTCCAAGTAGTCGCAACCATGGATTGGAGGCCCAAATGTTCGATCAGCTGCTAAGCTGCAAGAGCTTGCCATGCTGGTGGAGGAAGGATAACAAAGATATATTAATGTCTAGGTGTTTGCTTGATGGTGAGCCGCTAGATGCAGGTGAAGTACGATGACCAGTCATTTAACTGTGTGAATATGAAAGCGATCACGGCAGGCTTTCAGGTCAGCTGGGCAGAGGGGATTTTACCTAGGCAGCAAGAGAGGGGGGTTCGCCTTATTCTGTAAGTAGGGTGTATGCTGCATTAGCTGTATGCGGAGCTCCTATCTGTCCTTATCAGGCCTCGGCTGCGCCAGTAATATAAGTAATATAGGTCTCCCAATAGTCCGTACCCGATCATGGCCCCTGATTGGTCTTGCCGCGTAAAGTCCTATCCCCATTACTTGCCTATTTAGAGATCCTTGGTATGTGAATCCGCAGCGCGTATATCAGCCCCGATTGCTACAATCTCACCTCATGCTTGGCCCCAAGTCTGCCCTAAAAATAACTCTTCTTTGTGCCAGTGTGGGCAGACAGGCCTCTATATACATTTTGGCTGTAGCTAAAATCAGGTCTGTACTTGCCTCAATACTTCCCAAATAAAGGGTCTATCTGTAACACTTCCACTGCATACTTTCAGTCCCTGTTTGAGTGGCAGAATTTGATGATATGAAGATGAGAAGTGACGCCGGCGTCAAAGAGCCATCTATTTGCATGAGGCTAAACAGGAACCAAGCGACCGCTTGACAGGGATGGTAGCACCGGCTCTTATTCATTGAATACAAATTCCGCCAATTGAGATCCTGCCTCATGCCACACCTGTTTGCGAGTCTCTTGGTTGCGAAGGTTAATAAACGTAGTAAATCTTTAGCTATTAATAAAACGTTTTATAATATTAGAATTATTAGGTAGATTAATTCAATTACAGTGATATATATACTTGATTTTAGTAATTTTCTATTTATAGTATCTAGATAATTGTATAGGGCGCGCTCGCGCGCCTCCTAAAGCCTTGTTACTGAAAATGACTATGGTCAATCAGATGGTCCAAGGTGCCCAGGGGTAAGGCGTACTTATCCGGTACAGGGTTCCCCAACCCGCATGGGAATGGAGATGCTCACTCTCCAATGCCGCCGCCGGCCGGTGGAGCGACTGCTGCCCCTTTGTCGTTGCAGTCAACCTTGCAGCCAATGGACTTGGCAAACGTATATTCGTGGGCCTCTCCTTCAAAATAAGTATTACCAACCCAGCAGTAGGGTTAAAAATTATAACCATCATCAGAGTCCTGCGGATCAAGGGCTCCGAGGTCTTGAGAGAGTGAACAATCGGAATTATCTGCCACTGTGATGCTGGTGGTGAGAATCTACCCGAGGGCCTGTGCCTCCGAGGAACAAATACAGCACATGAAAATCAATCCCGACATGCTGATGTCACCATGATCATATTAGATCCCGATCATGGCGGACCACGAAAAAGTGTTAATGAAATAATCTGCGAAAACTATCCATATAATTATGAGAGCATATTCCAACTTGGCCGTTCCAGATGTCCCTGATTCCACTAAGTATGTCTATATACTTACAACTCCCAACCTCTCACGAAAAAAAAAAAAAAAAAAAAAAAAAAAAAAAAAAAAAAAAAACCATATACCACGCGCGACATGCTCAGTCGTTCAAAGAGACAACTACCTTCCTCGCAGAAAGACCCTGCTTGTGATAGTCCATGGCATCCTGGATGTGGTCCAGCCCATTCGCATACACGACCGCCTCGGGCACAACCTGGTAGCGTCCCTCCGCCAGTGCTCGAGGGAGATAATCCGCGAAGATCATCTGCCCAATCCCATTATCGTACAGGGTGCTGGCAAAGATGTAATTGTACTGGATGCCCTTGGCCCTCGACTTGACCCAGTAGGAAACATTCCCTCCCATAAACGCCAGCATCGTCCTCAACGTGGTAAGGACCTTCGGGGGTGGGGAAGGAACCGGGTAGGTGGCCATGGAGATGCGCCTGTCCCCCGTGCAGCTGCCCAGAATATCCATGCAGTAGCCCGCAGCGTTAGCACCCACGGTCAGGGCTCCAGCAAGGGTTTTGCCCTGGCATGCGGCTAGCATGTCAGACACGACCGTTCGGCTCCGATAGTCAAACGCCTGGACTGCCCCCAAACTCTTGACATAATCGAAGTTGCGGGGCGACGCGGTGGTAAAGACTTCATACCCGGCGGCCGTGGCCAGCTGGATCGCGTTACTTCCCACACTGGTGGACCCACCCCAGATGATGACAGTCTTGCCCGTCGGTGGTTGATTTGGCTGGGGACGCCGAAGATTGAGCTGGTCAGGTTCGAAGAGACCACAGGCAGCCGTGGCAATCCCCAGGGGCAACACCACGGCCCTTTCGTAGGGGAGGGAATCGGGGATACGTGAGGTCATATGGTCCGCCAGCACCACGTATGTCTGAAATCCCCCTTGGGTTGGGCTGTTGATCTTCTCATGGGTTCCGCAGGCTTTGCCCAGGACCCGGTCGCCCACCTGATACCGGGTCACCCCGGGTCCGACTTCGACCACTTCGCCCGCGACATCGCTGCCCAGAACGCAGGGGTACGGGAGCCAACGGTACATCAAGGTGGTCCCTTGCCCCTGCAGCACCCAGTCGATCGGGTTAATGGCCACGGCACGGTTCCGGATCACGATCTGTCCCTCCTGGGGGTGGGTGTAGGGCGCCGAGAGGACTTCCAGGCGATGCGCTCGGGGTCCTACCAGCCAGGCTGCACGGTTATCAGGCATGGTGGTTGAGTGAAGGTATGTACGTGATGATATGAAGAGAGGTGGGTTGCGGAATCCGAGGAGGGGAAGAACCGTGGGGAAATAGGGGATGGGTAGCAGATGTAGGCAACTCACGGGCTCAGAAGTTGCGAGGGGCCTTTTCTACCTGGCCGTGGCTCTGCCATTTTTTCTCTGATGTTGAGGATGTTTGCTTGACTGAAGTGGAACTCTGGATCGAGCCCGAGGCGGCAGCCAACCAGGCGAGGCTGTATCCGAATGGGGGTTTAGTGCTGACACGGGGCGATGACGCACCGCACCGCCTCGACCTCTTGGTGATCGGACATATCCTTCTTACCTCCGTCTTCCCACCATCCTCATCGATCTTTCCAACTCGTTTCCTCTGCTAGATGGTGCCCGGCGACCATGGACAACCACATCAGGCGCCAGACCCGGTCAGGCCGGAGGTCCCGACGGGGCTGCGGCAACTGCAAACTCCGCAGCGTCAAGGTGAGTGAGTCGATGGCTGAGGGGCTTGCCGCAATGCAACGATTCCAAGCTGATCTGCTGGCCGCAGTGCGACGAGACCAAACCGGCCTGCCGGAAATGCCGGTCCTACGGGGTCTCCTGTGACTACGTGTCGACCCGGCCTGATCTCCAGGCAGCGGGGGAGCGCGTCCTCCACATGGGGGTGCCCCCCAGTCTGTCCTTCTGGCCCAACGAGAATGAATATCTGCTGAGCCGGTTCCAGACGCAGATCGCAGAGACGATCAGCGTCGGTCCGCGTCTGGATGCCTTCCGAAATGAAGTGGTTCGGCTTGCTCGATCGGTGAGCCCATCCTAATAACCCATTCGCAGCCGTTCGTTCTCCTCCGCTCGGCGGGAAAATAGACTGATGATTCGGCACCCACACAGACCCCTTTCCTGATGCATGCCATCGCAGCGCTCGTTCTTATGCATCGGCGACACTCAGACACACCGCCCGGAACGGGGCTAAGCCTCCCCGAATCGCGGCATCGGTATCGGGCACTGACCGGCTTCAACCGCAAGCTGTCGCAGCCCAACCGCCCCGAAGATACAGGAGCAATGGTGAGCACAGCAGCCATGCTATGGTTTCTCATCTTTTGCGAGATCGAGGCCCCGACCTTGGAGGAGACCTGGCCACTGATGCGTACACCCTCGTCGGATCCACCCTGGCTGCAAGTAAATCGCGGCAAAGCAGAGGTCTGGCGACTGATGCCTTCCAGTCCCACGGACTCTATTGCTGCAAGGCTCGCACCAGTGCAGCTATGCCCACTATCCCCAGTCAATATGATGGCGCTCGATATAGACACTATACCGCCGGAATTTGTCCGCCTGTATCGTCTCGACACGACTTCGCCATATCATGCTGTGGCGATCGGAGTAGCGCGGGCGCTCTATCACGACCAGGCAGTGATCACGACCATCCTCGGCTTCGTCACGTTTTGCAGCACCATGGACGATGGGTTCCGGCGTCTTCTCCTAGCCAGAGACCCGCGGGCGCTCTTATTGCTTGCGTGCTGGTACCGACAAGTGCGGGGTCTGGGGGTTTGGTGGCTGACGCCACGGGCGTGGCGAGAGGGGGAGGCGATCTGCGTGTATCTGGAGAGGCAGTTCTCGGACAATGTCGACCTTCAGAAAATTCTGTTGCAGTTGAGGTAGTGATGTGACTGGGACACAAAGCAGACTTTGTATGCCGGATGCGCAAGACGGGCTAAGAAATTTAGTGGGGGTTTCGGATCGGAAAACGTCTTCCATCGCCTCAGTCGGAGCATGACGATTTGTAGGCGGTGGTAATCTGCGATCCCGAATGGGATAGATAGTAGGCGAATTTTCGGGGTCTCTGACAAGTTACCGGTGCCAGTCGAGTTGGTGCCAGGTTATCAATCCCCTCCAGACCGTTGAGAGTTGCTTTTTTTTTGGGGGGGGGGGGGGTTTCCCTGTTGGTAGATAGCAGGCTGCGACATGGATACTGGTGGCATAAAAACCAGACCTGTTCCTGAGATGGGATGCGCCGGACCGTCGAGGCTCCACTGTGACCCTGTTTTTAATGTCGGAAGTCACTAGCGCTGGCCTGCCGAGCCATGGCTTGGGAGCCAATTTCCCTCCCTTCCGGCACTGCTTGAGCGCGCCCGTTGTCGCCGACCCAATCGGAGGTCATCTATCTGGACCAGGTGACCCTATGAGATCGCCGATACTACTAGTCTAGACGTCGAAGGGCAAGTTGGAGACGGAAAACAGCTGGGGAGTGAAGCGAAGCGACTGATGGAGGCTCGACATCAGGGCCCCGTGGGTCACGGGCGAGTCGGCCGGGCCTGTGATAGGCCGGGTTTCGGGTTTGGCCCCCCTCCAGCGATGGAGTCACTGGAAAGTCACTAGTCGGCATCGACGGTACTAACTGCTAGGGGCCTCGAGTCAGATCCCAGGGTCCGGCCTCGGTCGGCGTCCGTCACGTCTCATTTAATGGCCACCTTCTCCCCCCGTCCACTCTCTTGGCCACAATCACTCCTGGTCTTCATACCATCCATCCAGTCGGACACAGATGCTGCCCACCGTCTATCTCGGCGCGGTGCTCGCCGCGGTGGCCTCTGCCGCCGTCTTCGATGATGGCTATCTCGGATGCTACACCTCTGCGGCCGGTATGACCGACCTGGGCACCTGGACCTACCAGTCGACGGGCTCCTGCTTCCAGCTGTGTGGCAAGAATGACGCCAGCTACGCCGCCCTGACGAAGGGCAACGACTGTTGGTGCGGGGGCTCGGCCCCGGCGGAGACAGACCTGGTGTCAAACCGGCAATGCAACCTGGAGTGCGTGGGCTATCCCGAAGACATGTGTGGGTTTTCCGCCCCTGACGAGGGGCTCTTCCTTTGTGGACCATGCAATGGAAGGCATCGGGTGCTGACTACTAAGGACAGGTGGTGGAAATGACGTGTGGTCGATCTATCAGCTCGAACCGGGCTTTTCTGGCGGCGATGACGGTGATGACGGCGACTACGGCGACAATGGCGACAATGGCGACAATAGCGACGACATGGACGACAACGGTGACAACACCTCGACCACGACGAGCGCGGCCAGCTTCACCGTGTCGGCGATCTCCATCCCTACCACCAGCGCCGAAGCCTGGACGACGGCCACCGGCGCGGGATCGGCATCCGCAAGTGCCTCGACGATTGTCGCGACGAGTGCTGCCCAGAGCCTCTCCTCGGCCAGCACCATTCCCACCTCGTCCACCTCGGGGGCCAGTCGCCGGTACCGGTTCATGTTTTTCTAGGGGGGAGGGGGGACAATATGAGATCGCGGGGTCGCGGAGAAGGGTTCCCAGCCACCAGTTCACCGGCTCGAGGCAAGAGCCGGTCTATCCTGTGTCGTAGCTGAATTTGCAGCCTGAGTGGCCATATAATGATGTCTTGATGTTGCCTTGCCCGACCATAACGTCGTGGGAGAGTGTGACATTCTACAGACTAAGTGTCGTTAGATATATATAATCATCGTGGCCGGCAGGAGTCAAGAGTCCGAATGCTGCGCGGCGGGAGTATGAAGTATGCCAGAATCAAATCAACAGAATTGGAAAAGGAAAAGAACCCACCCTGCCAAGTGCTGTGCTGGTGGTTGCCTGGCAGGCAGGCTTTCAGGCGGCCCTGATGGACCCCCTGTTGTCTGCCTCACCCCGAGCTATAAGAACGGCGAGTGACTCCATCGATCCGATACTCTAGGGCATTATCGCACGCGACCGCGCTGTGTCCGGCCGCCATGGGATCCCAACCAGCCCGGCCGATCCAGCTCCCCGGGTTCGGCCTGCCCCTGAACCACAGGCCCCAGGTATCCCCCATCCCACCCCCACCCCACTCTGCCCGTCTGCCAGCGCTGTCTAACATCACTGCAGACGAGCACCTTCCCGAATGCGTTGGACGAGGAAGACATCGACTGTGACGACGTCGGGTGGGTCCCTCCAGCCGCCCTGTCCTGCTCACCCTCTCGTGCCCCAGCCCCGGTTTCATGCCTGACGCGTCCCAGGTATCTGACCGTGAGATCACCGCGCGATGGCGCAGGGAGGTCTTCGAATTGCGGCAGGATGTGACCACCAATATGATGAACTGGATCATCCAGGAGATGCAGTGGAAGGCGGGCGTCCTGCACGAACAGGGCCTGCTCTCGGTCTTCGACGTCGGGGTGGTGCGTTCCGATACGGCCGTCTCCCCGGCCGTCCAGCAGCGGCTGCGAGAGGCGGTGGTCCTCCTGGAGCAAAGCCCATGGGGCAAGGACTACCACCCCGGGTCGGACGAGAAGGTCGTGAATCTGGTGCACCCGTCGCTGTTTCCCGTGGTCTACGGCCGGACGCGCATCCTCCCGGCCGGGGTCCTGGCGGACGTGGGGAACGCGGAGGATGCGCCCCATACAGCTGCAGATTCCAGTGGCTGCCCTGCGATGTGGCGCTGCCCCAGGAGGGAGGCTGCCGCGTGGCCTCGTACATCAACAACCTCCACCCACACCAAAACTAACCGCTTTACCGCGCCGTGGAGAGCATCCTCGATGCTACGATCCCGCTCTGGGACAGCAGTCTGGCCCCTATCCGACAGTGGCCGCATGGGCGCATCCGCTACGCCGAGTGGGAACGCTCGCGGCCCATCGAGCTGCCCGAACCCGGGGCGTTCAGCCCCCCGCCCCGGGCGTGGTGGAGGGGGTCGGTGCACCTCCGGGACGGTTTCCGGCAGCAAGGCCTCCAGGTCACTGTCAAACTGGCCAACATCGAACTGAGCCCCGCGAGGCCGGACTATGGGGGTGGCTCGTGGCATCCTGAAAGGCAAATGGTATGTGGTCGGATCGGGTGGATTGTAGGGTTCAGGGCACTGACGGGAGCAGAACGAGCGCATCTGCGCCACGGCGATCTACTACTACGACAGCCACAACATCACCGTGAGTCGCCTGGCCTTCCGTCAGCGGGCCTCTATGCCGGAGGGTGTGTACTACCCCCAGGACCAGCCCGAGTTCCTGCAGGCCGTCTATGGCTTTGGCCCCGAGGTCCAGGGCTACAACGACAGTCCCATCACCCAGGATCTCGGCAGCGTCCTGTGCGCGGACGGCCGACTGGTCACCTTCCCCCACACGGTGCAGCACCGCGTGTTGCCCTTCAGCCTGGCGGATCGCTCGCATCCGGGCCATCGAAAGATCCTCGCCCTGTTTTTGATCGACCCCCATCGCCCCATCATCTCCTCGGCCAATGCCCCCCCGCAACAAGAGGATAGGGCTCGCGAGCGCCGCGAGGTCGTCTGTCGCCTCTTTTCCGAAAGGCTTTCGGCCGAGTTGCAGGATATCGTGTCCGAGAACATGACCGACGGGGCCATGACCATGGAGAAGACCAAGGCATACCGATTAGAATTAATAGCAGAAAGGAGCATCAAGCAGAAAAGACAGAATGAAATTTTTGAGATCGGGAGCTTCTCACTCTGCGAACATTAGAAAACAGGGCAATTGATTATATGGCTCATACTCGCGCAACCGCGACTGCCAAAATTTATTCGGATGTTAAACGCCCCCGTGGACCGGGCAATTCTACCCTACTACCCTTTCCCCGGGACACGGGCTCTACTGGGCAACCCGCACCCTGGTGACTGGCCCCTTGTATACCTTGCGGGCATAGATCGCATAGTATCCCAAGGCGAAGACCACCACCCCGCTAAAGATCACAATCGCCCAGTTGAATTCCGACGGGGCGGTGTCGTTGGTCAGGGGAAAGAAGGTGAACACAAATACAATGGCCAGCACCAGCAGAGACACCGTGTCGACGAAGGGGGTGAATCGGCCCATGCTCCAGCGCACGGGGGGCAGGGGCTGCTGCCGCCACCGCCGCAGCCGCACGCAGCTGATGGAGATCAGGTACGAGGACAGCAGGGCGGCAGTGCCCAGCGACATGATGGCGTTAAAGGCCACGGCCGAGCCGATGTTAATCAGCGAGAGCAGGGACACGATCACCAGGCTGGCGTAGAGGGCGTTCAGCGGGACCAGGAAGGTGGCATTGACCTGTGTCGAGTTTCAGCCGTGTGTGTTTCGGGGGGGGGCTGGGGGACTTACCTTGGAGAAGAATCCCGCAAAGGGGACTCCCCCGTCGCGGGCAAAGGAGTAAATCTGGCGCGAGGTGGTGGCCACGTTGCTGATCGTCGCGCAGAATTGCATGATCATGATCACGACCGTCATCCCCGTCGCCGCGGGCACCGATCCCGTCGAGTTCAGGAACACCTGGATGAAGGCAAAGCCGGTGGTCGACGCCAGCACCTCGTCGATGTTGCCGACACAGAAGGCGAGGGTCACAATCATGACGAAGCCCGTGCCGCCATTCAGAATAAGGGTCCACACCATGGCCTTGGGAAGCACCCGCGAGGCATCGCGGATCTCCTCGGCTGTCCGGGAGAGGTTAGTCTGTCTCCAGGGTGTCTACGATGGGGCGGGGGGGGGGGGGGGTAGGTGTACTGAGTACGTACACATGTGTACCGCCGAGTCAGGGCCTGTCACCGAGTCAGCATCTAACCTAACGCCTGTCCCCGTTTCACGACCCGAGGGACTCACCAATCAAGGCATAAATCGGACCAACGACCCCCACGAAGCAGGAGAGGCCGGTACTGCCCCAGCCGCCGCGGTCGACAATCGAGCCAAAGACGTCGGACGGCGGCACAGACGGCGAGAGTACCCATAGAGGGATCAGGATGCCGAAGAAACCGAAGCAGTGCACGATCAGAATGATCCCCTCAATCAGGGCCAGCTTCTGGGCGAGCAGGGTGTTGAAGATCAACGCGGCCACGGCCACGGCAATGACGAGCAAGGTGACATGCCACGGCTCGTAGGTATAGGAGTCGGGATAGTTGATCGCCAACAGACCGACCAACATGTTGGCGACGGTGTAACAGCACCCCGCGATGCCTGTGTGCCAGCCCAGGACACACACCCAACCGGTGATGTAGCTGAGGATGCATTGGCAACTCGGAGGGGCAAACTCGGACACCCAGTGGTACTGCCCGCCCGAGGTGGGAGCCCTATGTACATGTTCTCCGGTTAGCCTGGCTTTCTCGCGGTCCTGCCTGCGACCTGGAAGGGTGACTGCACACATACATCGAGGCCATCTCGGCCATGGACAGGATGACGAAACTGAATCCGCACAGCACACCGAGGTAGGTGTAGATCATACCCCCCTTGCCGCCGTCCGTGAGACCATATGATGCGCCACTGGGCGTTTGTTAGCCTGGAGCTTGGGGGTAGATCGTGTAAGGGCTACACTCACAAGAGGACGGCCTCCCAGGTGCACATCAACACGGCGCTGAACCCCAGCACCGACAGAAATCGAAAGTTGCGCTGCCCCCGTCAGTCCGAACCCCCCAATGACGCGCCATACGTACATTCAACTCCTGGTCTCGGCCCACCCGCCACATATCCTGGCTATCCTGGGTGGTTCCGCCCTTGTTCGAGGGTGCGGAACCATCATCCAGGGCGGAGGTGTAGGCCACCGCGTCGACTGATTTCTCCGGCCACATTTCGCTTGCCCGAGGTGTCAAACGAAATGAACATAGAAGAAGATCCGGATGTGTGGGAAAAAAGGGGGGAGGATTCCCTTCTTGATCAATAAGTTGCACCGTTGCAGGCTGGCCCTGTCGCCCTTCATCCCTGTCGTGGCTATCAGCGGGCTAGCCGGGATCACCGCCGCACTTGCAGGGGGCCTGCAGGTGAACTACAGCCCGTGGTTACATCGGTCCAACTTGCGACAGATATACTCCAAATTTAAAGCGGATGGACCGCTGGTTCTCCGCCGCTGCCCGCCGAGATTGGCGATCCAGGCAGGGATCTGGGGGAGCTGTCACATACTCGCTCCTCCGTGCTCCCGGCCGACAGCAGATACTCCAACACTAACCGGGAACCGTCAATTTCTCTTAATCTCGGCCCGATGCTATTATTGAGGTTGAGACGGCCTCCAGCGCCCATCGACCCGCTCATCTGGTGGATGCTGCGCGAGTCTTGTTCCCTGTGCCTGTTGATGCCTATCATAACCCGCGGTTAAGAGGATTCGTTGGGCCCCTTCACCCCCCGTGCTGAGGAAACGTCATGTTCCCAACTGCATCCGTTTCCACTCAACCGACATTCACAGTACTCGTGGCTACCACAGTAACAAGGGGAGGACATCACACCACAGTCAAAGCTTTGTTCGGAGGGGTGGATATCCTCGCATGGCCCAGAAGAAGCTCGGTCGCCCTTAGCGCAGATGGCGGGGCTGGAAAGCAAGGACCCCATTCCTTTACGGTGTAGGGTTAGCATGTGCCCTATCTAGATGGTCGGAGCCTGCTACCCCCGTCTCACTCTCGCCGGGGTCAACAGACACCAGCTTCCACCCCCCCGGTCGCTGTCTCCCAGGGAACTTGGTTCATTTCATTTCCCTCGCAGTGCGGCTTTCAAGACAGACAGAAATACATCTGCGTCCCAGCAAGATAGCAATGCCTCGTTCATCCTGTCTTTCGATTCCACGCCACCCATGGCCTCTCCTTACGCCATCACTCCGACCGACCGCAGCGGTGCGATTGTGATCAGTGCCACCCTTTTCATGACCTGGATGGTCTTAGTCTGCTTGATCCGGATCTACATGCGATTGGCTATTAATGGCCCCCCGGGCATGGACGACGTTGCTGCCTGGGTGGGAGGAGTAAGTTCACTCTGCAATCGATCTGGATCTTCTCTCTCAACCAACCTGACCAAACGCTGGGCAGACTATTGGCATTGTACAGGTAGGAATGGTTATGGACGGCGTTTCCCATGGGCTAGGAAAGTCCCATCCCGGAGATTTAGCCAGTATGATGAAGGTAATTCCTCATTCCGGGCTCCCCAGAGCACTTCCCACTCACCCTCCTTCGGCAGGACTTGTATGTCGCCGATATTCTGTTCCTAGCAGGCCACTGCGCTGCGAAACTGTCCGTCGTTCTCCTTCTCAAACGCCTTGGACGGCACCGGGTATACCTCCGGCTCTGTGTATTGCAACTGGGAGCGATTGTGCTGTGGGCAGCCGTATCTACCCTGGCCGTGGCTCTGCGATGCGATCCCACCCACCCATGGCAATTGAATAACTGCGGCTTTTTTGTGAGGCTCATCTTCAATCGCAGTCCGATCATCATCCCTTGCATCTAACACTAGGTAGGTCTCCGGCTGGCGAGCAATCACCGCCTTCGACGTGATCACGGAAGCCTTCCTACTGGGCTTAAGCATACATCTGGTCTGGGGGATCCAGATGCGCCGTAGCCAGAAAGCTGCCGTCATCTTTGCCTTTGGAATTCGAGTCCTGTACGTCCTTCGCCGCTCATGGAAACTGGAGCCAACGCTCACCCGATAGAATTGTGCTGCTCGTCGTGCTCCGCCAGGTCTACCTCAACCACATTTCCGTTGACGATACTTTCCTCGATCTCTCGAATGCGCTTGTTGTCACGGAGGTTCTCCTCCATTGTAGCCTTATGGCTGCGACTGTGCCGTGCCTCAAGCCCTTTGTCATCGCCTTCAACACCGGCTGGGGTCAGGGCTCCCACAATAAGGGTTCCCGTTATCTCCGGACGGGGACCAGCGGGGGGGCCCGGTCTGTCTCCCAATCTCAATCCCACCTGAAGAGTGCGGACGACGAGATCACGATGATCCCGACCGACGAAGACATCCACGGCAATGAGGCAGCGAACGGACACGGTCCCATGCTCATCCATGAGACGCTTGAGTGGAACTTGCGTACGGAGTACATTGAGATGGCGGACCTATAATCAACCTACTGTACTATAGGATACTGTAAAATAAACCAAGCGAATGTATGATCATGAGGTGTCTCGGCGGACAGGTTCCCGCAGCATGGAGCTGGCGCCCTCGGGCGTCACCCCGGGCACACTGACATCCTGAAACCCAAAGCGCTTGTACAGCGCTGCTCCGTCCTCGCTGGCATCCACCCAGATCGGCATTCCCTCCCGATCGGCCACTTCACATCCCCACTGGATGAGCATCGATGCCGCTCCTTTGCGCTGGTAGTCGGGGTGTGTGGCCAGAGTGTCGAGATCTGCGCAGTACATCCGCTTTGATGAGCCACCGTCGCCAGGCACCCAAGCCACCACGGATTGTACGGCGAGAGCACTTACAGTAATGTTTTCTACCCCGCATGATGGTTTTCCTGGCCTGGTCCATCGCCCTGAAGAAGTGATCACAGAAATCCCGATCTGAGTCGGCATGCCACGGGGGGAATCGATGTTCCGGGTTGGGGGATGCCGTGTCGAGATCCCATTTCACAAAGGCGACAAAGGGAGGCGCGGACTCTGCATCGGAGATAATCTTCAGATATCGCTGATTAGGACCAGTCAGACTGGACCGGTGGAAGTGCTCCCCCCAGGCACGCAGACCGGGAGTGTCGGGGAAGAGGCGTTCATTGATCGGGCCGGTGAAGGCGAGGTGCCACAGATCAACCAGATAGGGGATGTCTTCGGCTGTGATGGGGCGTAATTGGAACATTTTTCAGGAAGCAATGAAGGGTTGCGATAAGCCACCTCGAGGGACACCGGAGTCTCTTTATATAAGCCCCGACTCCCCCGCGGCTAGCCAGCCTAGCGGGGGACAATCCGGCACGACCTCCCATGATGTGCCAGGATGCTGATCCGTCGCTCTGCATTGCTGCGGCCGCTTGGTCGACCCATCTTTCTCCTGTAAATGTTTCCTCGGTGATTGGCATTTATCAAGTGGGCCTAAATTCAATTGTTCCTGATCGGCATTTTGGATCAAAGACAGTGCCGTGGGAAATATATATATCGCCTTTCCAATGAGACGCTGGAGAATGGGGGGAAGAAGAATTATACCGCTGCCCTAATCCACCACACATAGGGAGGAGTACTCCTCAGAAATCCCACTACCCACCCCAGTCGCTGATCTGGGGATGATAAGGACTGATGTGAGGGCATCGTCCCCGGCGTCGGCGACAAAGCCAATCAGGCAGACGCCAACCCGGAGCGCGGGACCAATCAGGGGGACCGGCTATGATGCCTCAGGCACTTGTCGGTTCTACTAATGGCCCGGTCTTTCCTGGAACCCGCAACCCTCAATCGACCAACCCAACACCACACGGACCCTCACCCTCCCAATTCCCGGCCATCCATTTTCGTCATGGCAGTCGCACGACCCCGCGGCCCGATTGTCTCACTTTCTCCAGCCTTGTTGCCATCAGGCAGCACCCCCCTGTCCGGGCGAACCGTCCACCTCGAAAAGCTGGAGAGCAAACATGCCTCGGATCTGTTTCACCTCGTGGGCGGGAGTCATCCCGCACACGCATCCCTGTGGGACTACATGGGGGATGGGCCTTACTCCGAGCCGGGTGCGTTCGATACAAACATCGCTGCCCGGTCGGCCTCGCGGGACCCCTTCTTCTTCGCCGTCATCGACCGGCGTCGCTCCCTGCCGAGCTTCGGCCAGGCGATCGGGTATCTCTCGCTGATGCGCATCACCCCGGACCACCTGACCGTCGAGATCGGGAACGTGATGTTCTCATCAGCCTTGCAACGAACAACCGGGGCGACAGAGGCCATCTACCTGCTCGCCCGGCACGCCTTCCACGACCTGAACTACCGGCGCGTGGAGTGGAAGTGCGACTCGCTCAATGAGCCGTCGCGGCGGGCGGCCCTGCGGCTGGGCTTCCGGTACGAGGGGACCTTCCGGCAGCATATGGTGGTGAAGGGCCGCAGTCGCGATACGGCCTGGTTCTCGCTGCTGCGCGACGAGTGGGACGCGGGGGTCCGGCCCGCGATGGAGCAGTGGCTGCACGAGGCCAATTTCCACGTGGATGGGGGCCAGAAGGAGACCCTGCAGGATCTCCGGGCACAACGCAGCTGGGGACCTTAGATGGAAGAATCTACTCAAGTCTACAAAGTCTATAGATACTATCCCTGTGCAGGGTTTAGGGTTTAGGGTTTAGGGTTTAGGGTTTAGGGTTTAGGGTTTAGGGTTTAGGGTTTAGG